AAACTTCTTGATTTGCATCATTGTTTGTTCCTTGGCCGAAAAGTTTAAACCAAGATTTTAGTCCTTCAATCTCAGATGGTGTTAACAGTCTCACAATATCTAGTGTAAAACTATAAGCCAATTTGGGTTTTTCAAAATGTCTTTCAATCTTTCTTGGTATCTTAATGGCTGGCAAGATTCTAAATAAAATATCTTCAATATTGATATAATTTGTTTCAACATGTAGATCTCTTAATTCACCACCTTTGAAGAATTTCTCGAAAACATCCTGTTTCTTGAAAATATTATTAAAAGCTTTTTCAAAATTGCCATTTAAAAAATCAGTCCAAGGAAATGATTTGTATAGAACCTCATTTCTTTCAAATCCTTTATCCCATGTTGCCCAGTTCTTGTAATTCAAATCATTCATAAAGTCCACCTCATCAGCAAAAAGAGTTGTGAAACACAAAGCTAACCATTGAAGTAACTCTTTGTTGTGTATTTCAACTGGCCCATCACCAACAATTGTATGAAAAAGAATTTTTGCCCTTTTTCCATCAAGTTGATTTAATAAGTCCATGATCTCAAAACCACCATGAATAGTCATCATTTTTAATTTTTCAACACTAACTCTATTCTTAAAATGAGCCTTTTGGATCAAAAAAATAAAAAAAAATGCGCAAGCCCGGAGTCGAACCGGGGGCTCAAAGATGGCAACTTTGAATTTTACCGCTAAACCACTTGCGCTTTTCGTTCAGTTTGTGAAGCTGTTGTGGCCACACACTTAGTCTAAATTACGTAATCTCTTAGTAATATAAAATTAGTTAAACTTTTAATATATTCATCATACAACAGATTTATTCAGTCATAAAGATAAAGTTCCAGCTTAAAAACTCTTAAAATTACGTCTGTTAGCTTTGTTTTAGCAAATTAAGGCAATTTTGAATTTGAAAAAACATTTGTTGTAAATTATTGACCTAACACTTTTTATTTTTACTTCAAAAATAAGTAAATATCAGTAGAAAAAAATTTTCAATCCTTTAAACTCGTTTTTTATAATAATTACAAGATTTCAAATAGTATGGCTTGAATTACAGATCTTTTGAAGCAAATATAGGTGTTTTAAATGATGTTTAGTAACTTCAAGATGAGGTAGTGGGCCTACCGGATATAATTTTCATGGATAAGAATTTTTTTTTACTGAAAACAAAACATCAAATTATTTTAAAAACCTGTTTCATCAACAGATTTGAATTGTATTATTCTTTAGAAAGATGGATGGGGATGATTTATTTGACGTCTTCGATGAGAAGCCCAGTCTTCCGCCACAACTTCCAGCAAAGAAGGAATCAGATGAGAAACCTTCAGACACTTCTAAAGTTGAATTAGTTGAAGATGAAGATTCTTCAAAGAAAAGACCAGCTTCACCAGTTGCCAATGATGAACAAAAAAAAGCCAAAAAGGAAAAGAAATTAGTTGATAAGAAGGAAAAATCAGAAGTTGTTCCACTTGTTGCAGATTCTTTTGAACAAGAAGCTTCAAGAGAAGTTAAGGCATCAAGTGGGTTAATGCCAAAGACAGATCAAGATGGTAAAGTTAAACTATCACATCAAGTTAGACATCAAGTTGCTGTTCCAGCTGGATATCCATACAAGCCAATTGGTGAACATAAAAGAGAGAATGAAGCTCGTACATATCCTTTCACTTTAGATCCTTTCCAAGATACCGCTATTTCATGTATTGATAGAAGTGAAAGTGTTTTAGTTTCTGCTCATACATCTGCTGGTAAAACAGTTGTTGCTGAATATGCTATTGCTCAATCATTAGGTGAAAAGCAAAGAGTCATTTATACTTCACCAATCAAGGCGTTATCAAATCAAAAATATCGTGAATTATTAGCAGAATTTGGTGATGTTGGTTTAATGACTGGTGATGTTACTATTAATCCAGATGCTGGTTGTTTAGTCATGACTACTGAAATTTTAAGATCTATGTTGTATAGAGGTTCAGAAGTTATGAGAGAAGTTGCATGGGTTATTTTTGATGAAGTTCATTATATGAGAGACAAAGAACGTGGTGTTGTTTGGGAAGAAACCATTATTTTATTGCCAGATAAGGTTCATTATGTTTTCTTATCAGCTACTATTCCAAATGCTATGGAATTTGCTGAATGGATTTGTAAGATTCATTCACAGCCATGTCATGTTGTTTATACAGATTTCCGTCCAACTCCATTACAACATTATCTTTTCCCAGCAAATGGTGATGGTATTCATTTAGTTGTTGATGAAAAATCCACATTTAGAGAAGAAAATTTCCAAAAAGCTATGGCTTCCATTAGTGACAAACAAGGTGATGATCCATCTGCAATTGATAAAACAAGAGGTAAAAAAGGTCAAACTTTTAAAGGTGGTAATAAAGATGGTAAATCAGATATCTACAAGATTGTTAAAATGATTTGGGTTAAAAAATATAACCCAGTTATTGTTTTCTCATTTAGTAAAAGGGATTGTGAATCTTTAGCATTGAAAATGAGTAAATTAGATTTCAATACAGAGGAAGAAAGAGATACATTAACCAAGATTTTCAATAATGCTGTTGATGTTTTACCAGAATCCGATAGAGAATTACCACAAATCAAACATATCTTACCATTACTAAGACGTGGTATTGGTATTCATCATTCAGGTTTATTGCCAATTTTAAAAGAAATTATTGAAATTTTATTTCAAGAAGGTTTATTAAAAGTTTTATTTGCCACTGAAACTTTCTCAATTGGGTTGAATATGCCTGCTAAAACTGTTGTTTTCACATCTGTTAGAAAATGGGATGGTAAAGGATTCCGTTGGGTTTCTGGTGGTGAATATATTCAAATGTCTGGTCGTGCAGGTCGTCGTGGGTTAGATGATCGTGGTATTGTTATTATGATGATTGATGAAAAAATGGAACCACAAGTTGCTAAAGGGATGGTTAAAGGTGAAGCTGATAGATTAGATTCCGCGTTCCATCTTGGTTATAATATGATTTTAAATTTGATGAGAGTTGAAGGTATTTCACCAGAGTTTATGTTGGAACATTCATTTTATCAATTTCAAAATGCTGCATCAGTTCCAGTTTTAGAGAAGAAATTATATGAGATTGAAGAAAACTTGAAAACAATTACAATTGAAGATGAAAGTACTGTTCGTGAATATTATGATTTAAGAAAACAATTGGATGTTTATAATGAAGATGTTCGTCATATTATAACACACCCTGCACATATCTTGACATTTTTACAAGGTGGTAGATTAATTAAAGTGAAAATTGGAGAATTTGATTATGATTGGGGTGTTGTTGTTGATTTCCAAAAAAGACAAAATAAACGTAATAAGAGTGAAACTTATACAGATCATCAATCATATATTGTTAATGTTTTGGTGAATACAATGTTTGCAGACTCTCCAACCAATTTGATTAAACCATTCCAACCAAACTTCCCAGAAGGTATTAGACCAGCAAAAGATGGTGAAAAAACCAAGAATGAAATTTTACCTATAACTTTAGATTCAATTAGTGCTGTGGGTAATTTGAGATTATATTTACCAAAAGATATGAAATCTAATCAACAAAAGGAAACAGTTTCCAAGAGTCTTGTTGAAGTTAAGCGTCGTTTCCCAGATGAGATTCCATTATTAGATCCAGTTGAAAATATGAAGATTGAAGATACAGATTTCAAGACATTATTGAAGAAAATCGAAGTTTTAGAATCCAAATTATATTCAAATCCATTATCATTATCACCAAGATTGAAAACTTTATATGAACAATATAGTTCCAAGATTGCACTAACAAATGATGCTAAATCTATTAAAGATAAGATTTTAGAAGCTCAAGCAGTGATTCAATTAGATGATTTAAGACATCGTAAAAGAGTTTTACGTCGTTTAGGTTTCACCACAGCTTCAGATGTTATTGAATTGAAAGGACGTGTTGCATGTGAGATTAGTACAGGTGATGAATTATTGTTAACAGAAATGATTTTTGATGGTAATTTTAATGAAATAACACCAGAACAAAGTGCAGCATTATTATCATGTTTTGTTTTCCAAGAAAGATCAAAGGAAACACCAAGATTAAAACCAGAATTAGCAGAACCTTTAAAACAAATGCAAGAAATGGCTAGTAAAATTGCTAAAATTTCCAAAGAATCCAAGATTGAAATTGTGGAGAAGGATTATATTGAATCTTTTAGACCAGAATTGATGGAGATTGTTTATTCATGGTGTAAAGGTGCAACATTTACACAAATTTGTAAAATGACTGATGTTTATGAAGGTAGTTTGATTAGAATGTTTAAAAGATTAGAAGAAATGTTGAGACAAATGGTTGTTGCTGCAAAGACTATTGGTAATGTTGCATTAGAAGAAAAGATGGAAAAGGCTATTGAATTGGTTCATAGAGATATTGTTAGTGCTGGTTCTCTATATTTGTGATCATTGTTGTATAGATATGTACATGTATTTTTATTTGAGTATTGATGTAGAACAGAGTCAAAGTTGAAGTGTACCATATCCTGGTGTTTAACGGATCTGGATTCTTTGATAGGAAACTAGGTTGAATAAGGGTGCAGCAGGATACAATGTGCACACTAAAAGAAAGTTTTGCTTGACACAATTATAGTTAAAGTTGAGTCTTGCTGGTTTTGATCAGTTGATAATTTACATGGTTCACTCGACAAGATGGGAGGCTAGAGCACCCCTTTGACTTCTCTTCTATGATCTTTATTTATGCACTGGCTTTAAGAACAACGCACCAAGAAATTAGAATCCATAGCTCATGTTTGACATGTACTGTTCCACTTTTAGTTGTAATAAGCGTGGGGTCCAGAAAATTTAGACTGGAAAACAAAATCTGGGGTTGAAATTTAATCTGATGGAAATTGATTACATTTGATTTAACCTAAACAGCAATTAAGTTCATCCCTGAACAACTTTAGACCGGCATAGATCATGTTGTGTTTAGTTGAGGATGATCTCATGTTTTCCATGTAGCAATTTGAGAGTATGGAACGGTAATAGCTAGTAGCAAAGAAATGGAGAAGGCGATTATGAGAAGAATAGAAGAACCAAATTGAAGTATTTCCCTCAGAAAGGAAATTTACACAATCAAAAGCTATGGGATTCTAGTTTTAAGTAGCGTAGTTCAACCTCTCAATTAACCATAGCTTCACCAATAATAGCCTGAGCTATCCTGTTCTTCACCTGTATCGACGTAATGGACTTCTGCTTTTGCGACAACGGTGAGCATCGATCGCTTCTGATATCACTTTCTCCTGCCTCACGTACTGCTCCGGTGCCAGTTCCTATGGCCATCCGACATCACCCACCCCACGATACAAAGCTGTGAATTTGACGCCAAAGTGTTGATTTGGATTTTGTTCCCATTTCTCCAGAAGCGTTAGGCACACGCCCTCAAACGTCATCTTGAAAGGCCCAATTGGCAGTTCAATTTAACATGATCTCAAGAAACTAGATGGGCTCATGGCCGGATAGGTCAGTGGCCCAAGTATCCTCATAGTGACTGAAGTACCATTGAGTCACCCCATAAATCAGCCCTATTACTGGCTGTTAATTTCATCTTCTCTATGCTCTTTGTGCGCGTACCAGGGATGAATCGAGTTCGGAGTCAAGAGCGCGGTACACCCACGCTCGCCAGCTGAAAATCTGGGGTAGAGCTTCTGGAGCAAGTGCCCTTCGTGGAGGATTTTCTGGCTTGCAAACGTCGTAAAGGCCTACTAAAAAATGGAGTATATAGAGAATAACCTTATCTAACTACCCAATATACAAGTTATATAGATATCTTTACTTAAGTAGCCTATAATCACCACTCTAACTACCCCAAAACTGGCACAATTTTTTTCCTGCCATCTTTGCAGCATTTTCCGGTACGTGCCACATGCGCGCCTTTGAACCCAAACCAATTCCTAACTCATCCGGGGAATTAAGCACACAAAATTGAAACAAAAAAGCTGCTGTAGCTAAAAGATATATCCCTTTCGTTCATGATGATAATTCCTAGTTTTTTGTATAAATAGAGGTCGATTCCCTCTTCTAATCCAATCCCAATCTGAAATAAATGTTTTATTCTTTGAAGAACTACTCAACTGTTTATGGTAATTTAACATCAAGACAACTATACTATAACATCAAAGCTAGTCTTCAATTACAATCAAATTACAAACTATTTTATTCAATATTCAAATACAATTACACTACATCCACAAAAATGTCTCCTTCAAAAGTTTATGATAACAGCGAAGCTGCTTTAATTGACAAGCTAAATCTTCATGAAGATGTTATTCTTCGTCACAATGCTTCAATTCCAACTTTATATGAAGATGGTTTACTAGAGAAGAAAACTGCTATTTCATCATCTGGTGCTTTAATGGCTTACTCTGGTAAGAAAACTGGTAGATCTCCAAAAGATAAAAGAATTGTTGATGAAGAATCCTCATCTGATAAAATATGGTGGGGTCCAGTTAACAAGAAAGTTTCTGAACAAACTTGGAAAATTTCAAAAGAAAGAGCTGCTGATTACTTGAGAACTAGAGAAAAAGTTTACGTTGTTGATGCTTATGCTGGTTGGGATCCAAAATACAGATTAAAGATTAGAGTTGTTTGTGCAAGAGCTTACCATGCTTTATTTATGAGAAATATGTTGATTAGACCAACTGAAGAAGAATTGGCAAACTTTGGTGAACCAGATTTCACCATCTGGAATGCTGGTCAATTCCCTGCTAATATCTATACTCAAGGTATGTCTTCTCCAACTTCTGTTGAAATCAATTTCAAATCAATGGAAATGGTTATTTTGGGTACTGAATATGCTGGTGAAATGAAGAAAGGTATCTTCACCGTTATGTTTTATTTGATGCCTGTCAATTACAATGTTTTAACTTTACATTCATCTGCTAACCAAGGTATTCAAAACAAAGATGTTACTTTATTCTTTGGTTTATCAGGTACTGGTAAAACCACTTTAAGTGCTGATCCAAACCGTTTATTAATCGGTGATGATGAACATTGTTGGTCAGATCAAGGTGTTTTCAACATTGAAGGTGGTTGTTACGCTAAATGTTTAGGTTTATCTGGTGAAAAAGAACCTGAAATTTTCAATGCTATTAAATTTGGCTCAGTCTTGGAAAATGTTGTTTATGATGAAGAAACAAGAGTTGTTGATTATGATGATGCCACTATTACTGAAAACACTAGATGTGCTTATCCAATTGAATACATTCCAAGTGCTAAAATCCCATGTTTTGCAAACAGTCATCCAAAAAACATTGTTTTATTAACTTGTGATGCTAGTGGTGTTTTACCTCCAGTTTCTAAATTAACAAATGCTCAAGTTATGTATCATTTCATCTCTGGTTACACTTCTAAAATGGCTGGTACTGAAGAAGGTGTTACTGAACCAGAAGCTACATTCTCTGCTTGTTTTGGTCAACCATTCTTGGCTTTACACCCAATGAAATATGCTCAAATGTTGTCTGATAAGATGTCTGAACATAAAGCTTCAGCCTATTTATTAAACACTGGCTGGACCGGTTCATCAGTTGCTAAAGGTGGTAAACGTTGTCCATTGAAATACACTAGAGCTATCTTGGATGCTATTCACAATGGTACTTTAGCTAATGCCTCATATGAAAGCTTACCAGTCTTTGGTTTGAATATTCCAACTGAAGTTCCAGGTGTTCCAAAAGAAATTTTGAATCCATCAAAAGCTTGGGTTGAAGGTACTTCTAAATACGAAGGTGAAGTTAAAAAATTAGCTTCATTATTCAAAGAAAACTTCAAGATTTACTCTTCAGAAGCTACTCAAGAAGTTATTGCTGCAGGTCCAACTTTATAAGTTGTATGACTTAATTCATCATTTAAATTTTGGGTCTTTTTTTTAATAATAATTTGGTGTTTTTTATTTTTGCATGCTTGTGTTCTTTTGAGATTATCAGTGATGATCTTCTTGTTTATTATTTAGTGTAAATTGGTTACATTATTTCAATACTATATCATTTAAGGGTTTAAAAAATCATGTATTAACGCGAAGTAGCTAATGTTTTCTTGCCCATGGCGCTTTTGTAACTTCTTGTGAAGGCTTTGAATTTGTTGTATGATGATAATTAACTTGTGATGGATTATTAGCTGCCCATGGTGCACTTGTTGTTGGGATTCTTGAAGTGGCACCAGAATTTAGTTTTTCTTGCAATGATGGTGTGTCTTTCTTTGACTTCCAAGGTGCAGTTACAATTGGAACTTGATGATATTGATGTGATGAAGATGATATTTTATCCTTCCATTCATCATTTGAATAATTTGTCTTTTCCGATAAATTTTCCTCACTTGTATGAACAGGTAATGGTGTATTGTTTTTCAATGATCTCCATGGGAATAAAACATTACCAAAATAAAAATGTTGAACAACAGGAAACTTGTTGACGACTTCAACTGAGTACATTTTTAACATCCCTTTTAATATCTTTTCCCAACTTTTAACATTGGAAATATCATAAAGAATTGGAGAATGTTCGAAAAATGCACCTTTTTTAACTTTATAAATAAATGCAATCGAATTGAAATATAAATTCTTGGTACTGTATTGGTAAACAACTGATTTATTGTTAACCATTTTTGGTGAAACAGTTGGGTAATGTTTTGCAGATGATGCAGATGATGATGAATTGTTCAAGAATTGTGAAGATCCCAATATATAAGAAATATGGAAATGATCATCAAGCCCCCAAACACCATGACTCCCTGCAGGCTCTAAAGTGTACAAAGTTATCAACTTTCTAACCAAATCATAATATCTGCCAAATATTATAAGGAAATCATAACCATCAATCTCATCTTGGTTCAAAACATTAGTTTTCCATAATCCTGTAATGAATGCCAAGAAATTCAATTCATGTCCAGTACCATAATCTAATCTTTCTTTGGACCCAAATGCATTGATGATATACCATTTCAACTCATTTAAAAACCCTTGAGGATTTGGTAATTTGTAATATGGACCAATCAACAACCGCTCCAACATTTCATCAATTTGATCTTCTAATTTTGAATGCCATTCTCTACATGCTAAATTCCCATATCTTCTTGGACCTTCCAATGGGGGTACATGATCTATTAAAACTGACATTTCATGGAAAAGGTCTAATAATGATTTGATGTATGGCTTCTCTTTTAAAACTTTTTGTAAAAAAGTTGAATCTGTACTTGAATCTTGATCAAACATGGGTACTGGAGCATGGAGGTCATGTGAATATTGATCAATTTCTTGTTGTGTGTATAAAAGTTCTTTACTCAGCACACCATTCGGGACCTCTTTATTTTCAACAAGCTGTACTATTGTAGTCAATGATTTCTGTAGTTCATATAATGCAATTGATGATTGGAATAGATGTAAACCTTGCGAGTCATGAATTCTTTTAACAGGTTCACTATAGTCGAAATGATCAGGTTGTGTAATCTCTTGGGGTGTCATAATTGAGTCCTATAGCCAGCAATAAACTATGAAACTGATGATAAACTGAAGTTCTTTCACACGATATTACAAGTTCATTATTCAATTATTACCACTGTTTGGATATTTTGGATCAAACACATTCGCGAAATGACGTTGTCTGGGTAATGGCAATTTCTGTGTCCCCTGTTCAAAAATTTCCATAGTGTCATTTTTTTTGAGTACGAGGAGCAGTTAAGAAGGAAACCACAAAAAGATTAAAGGCTTTCGTTGGACCCTGTTACAACGTTAATTGATCAAATAAGAGCGCCGGTGAACTGATTTGATAATACGTTGAGTGTCCATAGCCCATACCATTCTATCAAGAGAAATACAGAGAATACGTTGATTAATGTCCCTAGAAGCAGCATTAGCAGAAGAATCCAGCTCAGTGTTGAAAAGGTTGGATCCTAGACAGACTAATGTCTCCAGAGTGCGTAATGCAAATGATCGTTCACTATCACCTCATAGTCAATTGAGGTCAACTTCAAGAGGTAGGGACCGTGGTAGATCAAGTTCTCGTCGTGCCACTTCAAGAGCAAGATCACAAGGGGAAGATGTAAACTACAAATGGTCAATTTTATTTCATGATCCTTCAGAAAGATTTGTTAATTTAGAAAAACCAAAGAATCGTGGTAAAAATGATATAAATTCTGATGACGAAGATGTTGATGAAGATGATATTAGTGAAGAAGAACAACTTAGTGATGAGGAGGACGATTTTGATTATGATCTGAATGATTTAAAAATGCCCAATTATCGCCTGTCAATTAATGAGTACTTCAAAGGAAGATCTGCAACATCTAATAATAGTTCTAATGCGGCGGCCAAAGGTCCATCAACAGCCACCAAGTTGGTTAATAGTGTTGCTAAGAATTTACATTTAACTACACATGAAGACCAACACATAAAGAAAGAGGGTGAAAAATTAGAACAGTTGAGTGAAGTATTAGCATTGGAGAAAGGTTTACAAGATGCAAAGAGTTTGGGGAACAAAGTTCCAAAAGAAACCATTGCTGAAGTTTCCAAAAGACTAAATGATATTGGATTTGAAGGTGAAAGACTGTCAGTGAATGACTTGGTTGAGCTAGAGAATGCTAAAGATTCCAAATATGAAGAATATAAAAAGACTTTGATTGATGAATCTAAACTATCAGAAGTTGATGCTCAAGACGATGATGAGGCTGTGCCTCCAAAGGAAGAAAGAATTAAAGAATCAGAGATTGATGTCAATGAAGAAAATTTAAGAGTTTCAAGAACTATGACCCTTGGGAGATTTTTCACTAAAGGTTTAAGAAATGATTCAATAGCTTCTTATTTACTATACATGGATCTATCACCAGAATCAGTCAATTCATTACAATATACACTCGGTGCAGTTGTTAAATCTGGTGATGTTTTATACATTATCAATTCTGTCAATGATGAAGATGATATTGAATTTTACAAGAGACAATCTCAAAGGTTGACTGATCTGATAAGAATTTATTTGAATCTGATTCAAGATCCAAAATTCAAGTTACATGTTGTTATTGAATCTCTGAATCAAACTTATCCAAAACATTTCTTGAATGAATTGATCAAATATTTAAAACCAAGATTATTGATTGTTTGTTATAAGTTAATCACATCTGAACTAAACAACTATATATCTAATGTTCCAATGATGATTGTCAAGAGAAGAGCAAAGAGAAGAAGATCTGCTGTTTAGAGAAAGTTTCACAAATATTAATATTGACATTTATGGGTACAAGTTTTTATGAGTATAATTTAGTGTACATGCAATTGATTTGCAATTATGGAGAAATCTTAACCTGTCAGGTTTTGTAGTTGTTTCAGAGTGCAGACTTTAATTGACAGGATCTGTAGGTATGACATTCGGATCAATTTAACGTCCTGGTTGAGTACACAAACTACGACAACTGATCAATTCAAACACCTACAGTCATTAAATAGCCACATTAAAATGAACTTATAGATCACTCAAAGCATCTTCATGAGTTAGTATTCAAAGTTCCAGTTCACTTGACAAATTTTCAAATGGACATGAATTAACTAGGTATCGACTTCCTACACCAATCAAAACCAACCTTTTTCTACCACTTTGAAATATTTTTGTCTTCTGTCCCCTGGAAACAAACAACAGTTATGCCGGTAGAACAGATCCCCCAGACCTGATTATCAACCCTAAAGTATGTCGTAAATTGGAAGGACTGTGCTCCCGGGTGGGCGACGAGCAGCTCGTCCTTGTTGGACATCTAGGCAGGCTAAAGCTCAGAGAGCTTTTCTAGACTGCAGGAAGCCCAGGCTGAGGGCGACTCCGGAAGAACAAGATGGTATAAAAGGAGCACTGGAGGGGATTCGGATGAATACAAAACACAACGTTCATGAAGTTTTTAAAAAGAAGTCAATTATGAATCTGTGAATTGATTGATTCATACCTTGAGCTAGCACATTTGAAATTGGATCACAGCCTATTTTGGATATTCACTAACGAGCTGTAATTAAAGGGGTTATTCAACTGTACAATTCATGGTAATTCAACCTCCCCAGATGCCTTGTTATAGGCTAAAAAATCAAGGTGATTGAAGGAGTCCTTGTATATGTCCCAGCTTTTTCGCCAGCTTTTCGAGAGTGGTTGTCTTTTTTTAGCCTATTGTTTTTAAAGTTGACTGGGGTGCTTCCTTCTTGTGCAGATATTTGTCCTTGTGCAAAATTCACTTCTTTGCAACCACCCAATCAGAAAGCTTTGCTCAACAGAAACACAGCACACAGTAAAAGTTTGCACTGTTCCAGTAGATAAGGACATTTTAAAAAGAGTCGATTCCATGCAAACAAGGCAGCAAAAGTAGCCTATGAGCTGATTGTGGATGGGTTTGTGTACTTTGTCTTTCCGAATCGTTTATGACAAATAGCCGACAACGAGATGAGAAGAAATGATCTTCAGATCATGGCTACAATCTTCGATGCCAGCACTCTCTCTCGAATAACAAAGCCCAGATGGACATCACACATTTCAAGTGGTGGTTGTTGAAACACTACAACAACTTAGAACTTACTACAACCACGGCTAGCTCAGATTATTCTCAATCAGCTCACTCAACGCGTAGCCTGTTCTTTGCCATAGAATGTCCTCAGGCTCATATGCAAAAGTTCCAGTTTGTATGGCTTCATGTAACAATCTGGAGAGACAAATTGGAGCTTTTGTGGAGACTGCATGCCCCCAGCGAGGCTACGCTGGCTGGAGCTCTGCCTGTGTGCTCCGGGTTCGGGGCAAGCCTACACGACGCTGGGAAGTTGAGCTCACCAGCCTACGAGCTCAGCAACCACTAGATAAGCTTGTTGGTACTGACTCACCATGAGGTGCCAGTCGGAGGATCGAGAACCATTGAAACAGGACAAATAAGCTAGCAACATAAAGAGAATTGCTACTACAATTCCCATTCAAGTACCACTCGCACGGTGCTTCTGCTTCCCTCTGCCTACGCTCAGCGCAGCCTGAGCCCGTCTATTGTCCACTTTCCAGTGAAAATTTTTTTTTCCTTCTCTCGGTGACTTTTTCTTTCTTTTCGGTGTTTTTGTCCACAGAAACAAGAATGAGATTTTCAACTTTCTGATCATCAAATTTGACAAAATTTCGAGCACGCTTCATCACAACAATAAAGTATAAATATTCCCTTGAATTCCCTTTTGCAAAATAACCCCTGTTCTAAAGTTGGCTTCTCCCTTCTTGCTCTGAACAAAGCTATACACTTTCCATACATTCATATAAACAATGTCCTTTGCTTTCAAGAGATTGGCTTCAAAGCGCGCCTTGTTCACAACTTCAGCAATAGCAACAACTGCTATCTCTTCATACTATTTAACAAAACCTTCCTCAATCTTAGAAAATGAAGAAAGTTTACCACCATTAATCCAATCAAGACCAACTCCTCCAACAAGAGATGAATTGTTGAAAAAATTGGAAACTACTCCAAGTTTTGACGTTTTAATCATTGGTGGTGGTGCTACTGGTACTGGTTCCGCTGTTGATGCCGCTACAAGAGGTTTAAACGTTGCATTAGTTGAGAGAAACGATTTTGCAAGTGGTACTTCTTCAAAATCAACTAAAATGGCCCATGGTGGTGTTAGATATTTGGAAAAGGCTTTTTGGCAATTGTCAAAAGCTCAATTAGATTTGGTTATTGAAGCTTTGAATGAACGTAATAATATGATTAAAACTGCTCCTCATTTGGTTACAATCTTGCCTATTTTAATTCCAGTTTACACTTATTGGCAAGTTCCTTATTTCTATGTTGGTACTAAGATGTATGATTTATTTGCTGGAAGACAAAATTTAAGATCTTCATTCTTAATGGGTCCTTCCAAGACTTTAGCTGTTGCTCCACAATTGGATGGTAAAAATTTGAAAGCCGGTTTAGTTTATCATGATGGTTCTTTCAATGATTCAAGATTAAACTCTACCTTAGCTGTCACTGCTATTGAAAATGGTGCTACTGTGTTGAATTATGTTGATGTTACTCAATTGTTGAAAAAAGATGGTAAAGTTGTTGGTGCTTTAGCTAGAGATCGAGAAACTGGTAAAGAATACAAAATTAATGCTAAATCTGTTGTCAATGCTACTGGTCCTTATGCTGATGTTATCTTGGATATGGATAAAGATCCTCAAGGTTTTGCTCCAAAAGAAGTACAAAAACCAAAAATGGTTGTTCCTTCAGCAGGTGTTCATATTGTTTTACCAGATTATTATTGTCCAAAAGAATTGGGTATCTTGGATGCTAACACTTCAGATGGTCGTGTTATGTTTTTTTTACCATGGCAAGGAAAAGTTTTAGCTGGTACTACTGATGTTCCATTAGATAAAATCCCAGAAAACCCAACCCCAACTGAAGCTGATATTCAAGACATTTTACAAGAATTGCAACACTATATTAAATTCCCAGTTAGAAGAGAAGATGTTTTAAGTGCTTGGTCAGGTATCAGACCATTAGTTAAAGATCCAAGAGCTAAAGATTCAGGTTCTACACAAAATTTGGTTAGATCTCACTTATTATTTACTTCAGATACCGGTTTAGTTACTATTTCAGGTGGTAAATGGACTACTTATAGAGAAATGGCTGAAGAAACTATTAATGAAGTTGTTAGAAACCTTCAATTACCTGTTAAAAAATCAGTTACCAAAAATTTGATCTTGGCTGGTGGTGAAAACTATGATACCACTTTAGCTCCAAGATTGGCTCAAAAATATGGTATCACTGCTCCATTAGCTGAACATTTAGCTGCCAATTATGGTACTAGAGCTCCATTAATCTTGGAAATTTATAAACAAGATAAGACCAATCAATTACCTGTTGGTTTAGCTGCTTCAACTGATAACATTTCTTATGAACAATTCCAACACCCATTCAGTGTTGCTGAATTGAAATATTGTATTAAGTATGAATATATTAGAACTCCAGTTGATTTCTTGGCTAGAAGAACAAGATTAGCATTTTTAGATTCAAAAGCTGCTGCTCAATCAATTGATGGTGTTGTTAAAGTTTTAGGTGATGAATTGAATTGGGATTCTTCAAAGAGAAGTGAAGAAACTCAAAAAGCTAGTGAATTTATCAAGACTTTTAATTAATGATATGATAATTTTAATGGGTGGTGAAGACAAGATGAAAGAGATGATATAATATTCCCGTATTTATGAATGAACTATAAAAGACAAAGTTTTAATTGAAATCTTTTAAAATGAATAATAATAATAATAACAAAAAAAAAAATTTAAAAAGTACTATAAAAGGTGTTGTTTTCTTTGATGTTTTTCCTTCTTGTCACTTTTGGCTACAGTTCAATGATGGTTTTTTTTGGTTTGATTTCTAAAGTTGCATGGATGTTAGAGATGTTCAATATTTGTTTTTGTTAATGATTATAATGATGGTTTACATAATAGAATTGGAGGTCAAATATTAAAGAAACAAAATGATTATTAAATCAAAAAAGGTGGCAATAATTGGAGAAAGAAAAAGAATGGAACGTCTTATATAATAATTGTATATGATCATGATGTATTTGATGTTTTAGAAAGAGAAAAGTAATGTAGCTGATGATATAAAGCTTATACCTACAGCATATTATTCACTTGACTGATCATGTGTACAGCTTATATTAGTTTATTAACTTCAAAAGATTGATAATCACTTGGATTCATTGATAAATTTTCATAATTGTTGATCAAATAGTTAACATAAAACAATAACGATTTATCATTAGATTTAGCCTTTGAGTTGAAATTCCTTATAACAAATTTATTATGGCTTAACTCTTCAATTGATTGTATAGATGTTGAATGTTTTTTATCAATGGGTATTAAGAATTTATATGAATCATTATTGATATCAATTCTGAAAGTTTTTTGTTTACTATTTGAATTAATCAATTTGAAAGTTTTCAATATAGAGAGCTTATATATTAGGGATCTGATCTCTCCATCTCTTGAATCTGCTGGGTTTAGTTGTGGTTTCCTTTGGGCAGATCTTGATTTATTTGATTGAAGTGAACTAAGTGAAGCTGATGATGAACTATTACTTGAAAGATTATTGTCCTTTTGTGCACCTTTTTTGTTCTTGTTTTTGTTGTAGTATCTTCTTCTAGGGGTTGACTTGTTCTTTGGGGCTTGTTCACTCATTTTGAGTAGTATCTCTTATGGGTCTTTGATCTTGCAAAGCCATGTAAAAGATAGGTAAATTGATTCAATATGATTTTATTTGAAAAAGAAAATTCAGTCACGTGAATTGATTTTCTTGATAAGAGATTATGTAATTTTACTCTCGGTAAAACTGGTTGGTAGAAGCCGAGGCACAAACTCTTTGTAGTGATTGCTCTCTAGGCAGACCCTAGGCAAGCAGTAGGCAGACCGTAAGCCAAAGCTAGGCAGAGAACCTCTGCCCAGCACTCCCTTCCCAGATTGTGCCTAGGAACAAGTGTGATTTACTCCACATCAAAACCGCACTAAACCCATTTTGATGTCACTCTTTTGAACCTAAAAACAATGTCAAATTCGTTATTCAGCTCTGCTTGATCCATCTCCACTAAATACCATCAGAAACCAGGTATAAAGACTCATGGAATTTCCTGAATCAAACTTTAGTTTCATAATCATCTTTTAGTTATCAAATCAATTACGTATACAATGGAAAGACTCAACCAATTGAAAAACCATATAGTGTCTCCAAAGTCACAAGTTACCGCCCAAAGAGACGACGATGTTGTCGTTGTTGCTGCTTACAGAACACCTATTGCCAAAGGTTTGAAAGGTTCATTCAAAGATTTAGCCTCTGACGAACTATTGTACAAGTTTCTTGTCAAGTTTCTAGATACTGTTAAAGTTGACCCTTCATTAATTGAAGATGTTGCATGTGGTAACGTTTTAAACTTGGGTGCTGGTGCCACTGAACATCGTGCTGCTTGTATTGCTGCTGGTATCCCTGACACTGCTGGATTCCTTGCAATCAATAGACAATGTTCTTCTTCTTTAACCGCTGTTAATGATATCGCAAATAAGATCAAGGTTGGTCAAATCAAAATTGGTTTAGCTCTAGGTGCTGAATCAATGTCTAGTAACTATGGTCCAAGAAATATGGCCAAATTATCCCCATTTTTACACAATCATCCCGAAGGTAAAAAATGTGAGATTCCAATGGGTATCACCAATGAGAATATCGCTTTCAATTTTGATGTCTCAAGAAAAGCTCAAGATGAGTTTGCTGCACAATCTTATAATAAAGCTGAAGCTGCTGTTGCCAATGGGTTATTTAAAGAGGAAATCTTACCAATTGAAGTTGATATCAAATTACCAAATGAAGATGAAGATGACGAAGATGAGGATGAAAAACCTGCAAAGACTAAAAGAGTTTTAGTTACTACTGATGAAGGTCCAAGAAAAGGTGTTACTCCAGAATCTTTAGGTAAGATTAGACCAGCTTTTAAGAAAGATGGTACAACCCATGCAGGTAATGCTTCACAGATTTCCGATGGTGCTTCTGGTGTTTTGTTAACTAGACGTGATGTTGCCAAAGAATTAGGTTTACCAATCTTGGGTAAATATGTTAATTTCAAATGTGTTGGTGTTCCTCCAGAAATTATGGGTGTTGGTCCAGCTTATGCCATTCCAGCTGTTTTAACTGCTGCTGGATTATCAGTTGATGATATCGATGTCTATGAAATTAATGAAGCTTTTGCAGCTCAAGCTCTTTATAGTGTTCACAAAGTTGGTATAGATCCAAAGAAAGTTAACCCAAGAGGTGGTGCTATTGCTCTGGGTCATCCTTTGGCCGTCACTGGTGCTAGACAAGTTGCCACCATTTTCAGAGAATTGAAACCTGGCCAAATTGGTGTCACTAGTATGTGTATTGGTACAGGTATGGGTGCTGCTGCAGTCTTTGTCAAGGAGTAAATGTGTAGAGATCAATGGTCATGTGTATATGAAGTTATGATAAATCCATAGTCGCTTTTTAAACTTTCTTTAATGATGAATTAAATAGTGTAGAATTTACCAACGCGTATACAATTTTAAAGAAAGTAGTGGCCGTGAACAATGTTTTTTTTGCCCATAAGCAAAAAAAGTCACTAAAACTTCTTTACATTAATCATTTGTTCAAACAAACATCAAGAATGACACTAGTCGAAGAAATAACAAATAAATATGACAGAGACTCATACTTCACTTCATCAATAAATCTCCCGTCCAAATCAAAACACAAATCAACTTCTCAAGATAATAGGCCACGTAAAAGACTAGCACCAGGAACTTATAATTTAGCCACCATTGAATCAAATTTACATGGAACAGGATTGACTGAAGATCTAGCTGAACAGAAAAACTCAATGAAAAGATTTGATGAGTTGGATAAAGAGAATTATAATGAAAGTTCGAGAATAGAATTACCTAAAACTGGATTGTTATTCGAATATAATAGATTTGAATCAAACTCAACAGTTTTACAGAATGAGAAAAAATTAGGTCCTAAAGGTGGAAGGTTAAAACAAGGTAACACTGCACAAGTCAAGAAGATTTTAGCATCAAGAAAACAATTGAGTAATTATTTAGATGAAGATGATAAAAATGCTTCAATTTTGTTCAATGTCGTTTCCAAGAAAAAAAATCTACAATTTATTGTCCCTAACAAGAAATTATGCTCTATTTGTGGTGATAATGCGCCTGGCTCTTGCGTGAGGTGCAATTCTAGAGTTTGCAGTGTAAAATGTTCAACTGTTCATAATGAGACTAGATGTTCAAATTATTATGGATGATGGGTATTTAATGAGTAATGAATAGATGATATAAGCAAAAAAAAAAGTGTACATTTGAATTTAGTGTACCATTACTTTGAAATAGATAGAACGACAGTATAATCAGAATTATAAATTGACCATGTTCTCGAGTCATTCTGAGTCCTGATCATGGTTTAATCATCTCCGATCTCGAAACGAAAAACAAAAAACTCCAAGCAGAACAAATCTTACGCTCTTAACAAACAACTTCCACAATTTCAATTGAAGGAACAATCAAGGACAATGTACCGCCCTAGAGCAGTGAAGCCAAATGTGCTGGCGTCATTCCGCCGCTTCCAGTCTCAATTCAACGTTGCCATCATAGGCTCAGGTCCAGCAGGTTTCTACACAGCTCATCATCTAATTAATAAGAATCCAAATGTTCATGTAAACATCTTTGAAAAATTGCCCACACCATTTGGGTTATCAAGATATGGTGTTGCTCCAGATCATCCAGAAGTTAAGAACTGTGAAGATACTTTTAATCAAGTTGCTGAAAATGAAAGGTTTAAATTTTTTGGTAATATAACCGTGGGGAAAGATATTAGTCTGAAAGAATTACATAAAAACTATAATGCTGTTGTTTTTTCTTATGGATGTACACAAGATAATAAATTGAGTATACCTGGTGAAGAACTCCCTGGTGTTATTAGTGCTAGAAAATTTGTTGGCTGGTACAATGGATTACCAGAATGTCAAGATTTGAATCCTCCATTGAATAAAATTGAGGATGTTGTCATTATTGGGAATGGTAATGTCGCTATTGATTGTGCTAGAATATTATTGACACCACCTGAAGTGTTGAGTAAAACTGATATTTCAGATAAAGCTGTTCAAGAGTTGAAGAGTTCAACATTGAAAAATATAAAAATTGTTGCAAGAAGAGGGTTTTTGGAAAGTGCATTTACAAATAAAGAGATTAGAGAATTATTAGAATTGGAGAAATATGGTGTTAAGTTTGAAGGTGTTGATCCAAAGATACTTGATCCTATAATCCCTTTCAAAAATAAATTTGATAGAATTACTTCAAGAAGATTGGATCTGATATTGAATCAAATGAAACCACCACAAGAACGTAAAAAACTGAAATACAAAATACCTGAAGTTTTCACAAAGTCTTGGAAATTGGAATATTTACAATCTCCTATTGAAGCATTTGAAAATTCTAAAAATAAAAGATTAGTATCATCAATAAACTTACAAGAAAATCAACTATACCATGAATCCCCAGATTCCCCAGCAAAAGTCAAATCAATACCTGGTGCAACCCATTTGGAGAAAGCAGAACTAGTTATAACTAGTATTGGCTATAAAGGTGTTTCAATCCCAGGAATGAATGAATTGGGTATAATATTTAATGAAAGAAATGGAACAATTTTGAATGATAATGGTCGTGTTCTAGCTGAGGATCGCTCAGTATTACCAGGGTTTTATGCATCAGGATGGATTAGAAAAGGTTCTGCAGGTGTTATTGCTTCTACAATGATGGATTCTTTCACTAGTGCTGGTTTCATATTGGAAGATTTTGAAAAAGGTTTGATAAAAGGAGGTGATAAGAAGGGGTTTGAGAATCTGAATTTAGGAAAAAGTGTTGTTAGTTGGAAAGATTGGGAGAAATTGAATAAGTTTGAAAAGAAGCTTGGTGAAAGTTTTGATAAATCAAGATATAAAGTTATGAATGTTGATCAAATGTTGGAAATTATAAGAGATGATTCAACAAATGAAGACGAAAGATTTGCAAAGTACAAGGAGCTCGTCTCGAATCAATGAAAACGAGACTACGTGTATATAGTATCTTAAAGAAACATGATGAGTTAAATTTGAAATTTTGAGTTTTTATTGTATTATATGATTGTGAAAAAGTTGAACTACAGCTTTTCCATCTTTTGTATTTCTAATAAAAAGTTTGTTTTTTTGCTTTATATGAATATCAAATTCTTCTGGTACTTTATTTCATTTAATAATATATGATGGTCATGAATTGTTTTTCTTTATATGCTTCATTATAAATTCATCTAATGTTCACCATTTTTGTGGTGACGTAAATGGAAGTAGTATTCACAAGAGTAACCAAAGATTAAGATGAAACCAGCTAAATGTAATAATGGTTTACCAGTAGCATTGTCACCGTTGAAGTATTTTTCTTTATAACGAGCAATTGGACCAAATGGTTGGTTTGGAGCACGTTCACCTTGAGGTAAAGATTTGTAGAATTGAACAACGTTGACTAAACGTTTGGCATTTGGAGCAGCACCAAGGTTCTAATAGCAAGTTAGTAAATTGAACGAAGAATGATGTTGTTGGGGTTGGAGTTTTGATGTTGGATTAAGATTTTTTTATATCTAGTACGCTTTCTGGTAAGTTGATAAAATTCGTAGACCTTTTGAAGCAATTCGAACCAATTATATGAATGGCCTAGGAATATCATGTAATTCAATCCATTACAGTCTCTAATTTCCAACAACACGACTTTCTTATGTCCTTTTATATCCCACTGTTTTCTCAACGTCCATCTCCATCAACAACCCTAAAATTATAAAACTCACCTTAGCAGAAGCGATCTTTGGAGGGATCAAAGTTGATAATTGACGTTTAGCAATGAAAGACATCTTTGAAAATGACTAAGATTTGACTAGTTGTTCTTTTGTTAAATTGTCGTTGTCAACACAATTCAGGTTTTTTTTTCCTTGATCAAAGGGGGTTTTCGAATTTTCAATTGGAAGAGCATAAATGCACCGACGCCGGTGCTACACTTGTGCTGGAATTGTTGACTTCCGGATAGGGAAATAAAAAGAATAAACCGGTCACATACTGGGTCAATATTTTCAGATTATTCTACATTCAATTCAATTCATTGGTCATTATTATCTATTGTACAATTTTAATACAGAAGGGGTAATTAAGCTTGTGATATATATAGGACTGGTTGGGTTGTTAGTATATGTTTGACTTTAAATGGTTCAAAATACTCACCATTATTACCACGGATGAAAACATCACCGTATTTTCTGGTGACTTTATTGCTGACTATTTCTTGTGTTTCTTCTAATGTGATGTTCATGTAACCATCAATGGAATCTAAAGTGCCTGATAAGAGTTGTTAGTATGATCTTTTGAAAGACCAATTTGGCTTGGTTGAATATAGAGGTTACATACCATGGTATTCTTCACCTGAATAAAGTTTCACGATGACTTTAGCACCTGATATATCTGAGATGAACTTTGATGGGGCTGATATGGTTGTTGTTGTTACTTCTGACATTATTTGGTGAGTCTTTTATGTTTTGAATGATCAATGTTCTGATGATATTTTGGTATACGAAGACAAAAACTAAACCCAATTGATGAGGAAAGTTTCTTGAAGCCTAGTGAGCAGGGAAAAGGATAATGAAAATGGGGAGTATAGCTCTTTGAAACAACTTATCTTAGCTCATGTTCACTGGAACAAACTTGACGTTTTGTAGTGCTTCAAATGGTTTTTTTCAACGATACTTCCGAGGAGAGGAAACGAAAAACGTGACCAATGGTCGGATGTGTAAAATTTAGTGAAGAATCCAATCTTCATGAAGAGTATTTCAACAATTAAACAAACTTAGCTAAGACTTTGAAGAGAAAAAAAAGATATCAGTATTCTAGTGATTCATGGATAATTACCATATGGGTCTCCTTATGCTAAAACAAGAAGAATAAACCCCAAGCTAGCAATATTTGTGGTATGTGTTGACCAATCAAATTGAAACTTTGAAAGTGTTTTTGGCACAGTTCTGGTTGATCTAAATTTGAATGAATAGATTTGAATCTCGATTCTCCATATGTTAGCTATATTTACTCGCCCAGCGCACTTATGGTGTTGATCTTGCTGTGACTTACTTCACAGATATGCTTGATACTTGACATCAAGTGACACTCATACACAATTTGAAGCTTCAGACAACATAGGCATTGGGGTACCAAGTTTAACAACATCAATATTACAGAAAGCGCCTTACTACACTATGGCGAGTGTGCTCAAGCTACTTCCATTTTCTTGAAATCAATCGATGTTCTTTTTGCCCGATTGTACTTGATCTAAGACGTCGGAGAAGTTATCTCCAGTTGACTAAAGCTATCGAGACTCAATCTCGAAGGTGAACTTGGCTTATGTAAACGATAATATCACTGAGAGCTGACTTATGGATGCAGTACTATTCATTGCGTGAGACTATCAACCATAATGAGGAATTTAAAAAAAGAGTAAAATTTAAAGTGTGGACCCTCTGCTGAGTATTTAAACTTCCTTTATACTAACGCAAGAGATTTGAAAGTCCAGAGAGTCAACCACTACAACTAGTAGAACAGAAATGAGAGATTCTGTACAACCTATCTGTAGCTACATACACACAAATACACAGTCGTATCTAGACATGGAGAGTGGTATACATTTTGAACAGCTTGTGCTTAACTTCTCTCGAATGCCAAATAACGTACACTTTGCGAGAGAAGAAACAGATGATCGACACAATTAGTGCACATGAACAGACTGGGTACTTTGAACTGGAGTACACAGATCGAAGAGAGCCAGGATCACACCAACGGGTTAAGAGGGAGAGAGAACTGGTCAGAATCCCTGCTTTTTCAGGAAGTGTCTGAGCACTTGAAGGCTTTTTGGGTTGAAGAGTCGTTTTGTTGGTTGGATGCAGGAGAGCCGGTTAAATATTTGGCGAAGCAACTGCCTAAAAATAACCGAAAGTTTGAACTTTGAACAGAGTAGATCAGGAACAAAAATAGTGCTCGGTGCATCTAGTGGATCTCGATAGCTTTGGAATGTATGGACTGCTAAAGGGCCTTTGGATTTGAACTTATATCTAGATACACTGGCTTCTCACTCCATGCCCTATAACGTTCAAGATTTCATCAAAGTTGAGTTTCAGGAACGCGAGTAATTAAAGTTCTTTGCGCGTACGCCATTTCACTTCCTAAAACAGAAGTATTTAGAACGCAACAAAAAAGAATTAACCAATAGTAGAATCATTTAATAATTAATTGAGAGCTGAGAATCCAAGAAGAGAGTATACATCCATCAAGAAATACCCAAAATACACGTTATTTCCCCTATTTATAAATCGTAATGATCTTTTGTACTTCCCAATTCGCACAGATTAAAAACCGGTTTGCGCAACAGAGTTCTATTTTAAATCTGAATTTCCACTTTGATCTCAAATCCAAGTTGAAGAGATACAAAGGTAGATTGAAATATTTACACACAGTTCACCATTAATCTCAAGCGTCAGTCTTTCCAAGAGACACTCGTTAGACCTCCCACTCCGATCCACTACCAATCAAACCCCCATTCCCACCTTCCATTTTGGGCTTATTTTTTCGATCTGTCTCGTACCGTGTTACAAAATATTTTGATCTTCAAAAAATCTGGGAGAAAAACCATCTTAGGAGCAAAAAAAAAAGTGTTTTCAACAGGAATTTAACACTTGATCCACAATCAACCCAATATTCACTAGTCATTCCCATATACCTTCCTACAATTAGCTTTTGATAAGTCAGGAATTTCCACTTGATACATTCATTGGTGTGCTTTTGTTTCGCTTTTGCTAATTATACCCATCATATCCACTCCCTTGAATCAAACAAGAAACTTTTATATTTATTCATCAAACTTTCCATTCATTTAACAGAGCGCCTAATCCAATCACATTAATAATTACTCATAGAGATGACAGAGATAATACTAGATGAACCATTATCACCAGCTCACAACTCATTTTTAGATGAAGAAGATGACGAATCACACAAGTGCAGAAGATGTGATTTACCGATATCTGAGGGACACGCTTATGAATTAGGTGGTGATAGATGGCACATGTACTGCTTCAGTTGCTCAAAGTGTTCAAAGTTATTAGGCACAAGCTCAAATTTCTTGGTTTTGGGTACTGGTGATCTGATATGTTCTGAATGTTCTTATGCTTGTAACGCCTGTGGTAAAAAGATTGATGATTTGGCTATTTTGACTGGTGAACAAGCTTATTGCTCTTCATGTTTCTGCTGTCGTAATTGTAAGAAAAGAATTGAAGATTTAAGATATGCAAGAACTTCAAAAGGGTTATTTTGTATGAGTTGTCATGAAAAATTGTTGGAAAAGAAGAGAAGACATGATTTAGATAAGAAACAATCCAAACACATATCACATACGGGAGGAACAAATGCAAGTCACAGATCAAGTCGGTATACGCATATTGATAAGTCATTACCAAAGATTCCAAATGGTGGTCTTCCTTTGAGTGCTGATAGTGCAAGTGGATCAATTACTAGTGGTGATGCATCAGAAGTTTCAACACCTGGTGTTTTAGAAGTTTCAAGTACAGTTGCAACTGCTGCCAAGATACCACAAAGATCTCCAAAGAGGAAACCAGCTAAACTATCAGATGAACAACAACATCAACCAAGTTTAGACCCACCAGTTTCAGTTTCTCCATATGCTGATAACTATAATCCAAGAGCAAAGTCACCATTACCAGAACCTTCCTATTTTGATTCACATGATCCAATTGCTAATTATCGTTCAAATTCAAATACAACTCCTTCACAACATTATGTATCAACAACTTCATCTTTACAAACCACACCAAATTTGAAAAGCGAGGATAATATTAATGAAACTCCAAGAAAACAGAAATTGGATCATCAAAGTCAACAACATTTACTATCTGAAAACACTCCATTGAAACAAGCTATAATATCTCCAAATGGGAAAAACAGACAAGCTGTTATAGTGGATAATTTAAGTTCAAGTTCTTCCAATAATATTTTATCAAGTTATATCTCACATGAATCTCCACCTCCAAAGATACCAGTTCCACAGTTACCTGGTGGTGATGATTTTATTGATATGAATGATAGCAGTGATGATGATCAAATTTCAAAATATGCTCAAGAACCTTCAGGTTTCCATGATTTAAGACAAGCTAATCATGTTCCAACTGGTTTGAACATACAGGGAATTCCTTCATTGAAAGAAAATGATTCAATAAACTTTCAACCTGAACAAGAACAACAACCTGAAATACCAAATACACCAAATCATGGCTATCGTTCTTGGAAATTTGGAAGCTCGAGTAAGTCAGATGCAAATGGATTATTATCACCAAGTTCACCATCTCCTGGAAATTTTAAGAAATCTGCTTTGGCAAACATTACAAATGAATCAGGAAGTGGAGTTAGTAGATCAAAGTCTATTAGATCTCCAAAATCATTTTTGAGTTTTAGAAAACACAAGAAATCTGCAAGTGGTTCATCAGTAGAGCCAACACCAGGTTCAGCTTCATCATCAACTGCAACAACAAGGGGTAAATATTACTCACCATTAATGGATGGGAATCCAAGATTTGAAAATTTAAATAATTCTGCAATTATCAATACACCAAAATTCAATACTCATACAAGAGGTCAATCTGATACTTCACCTTATCAAGGTGCTGCTTTATTCACCACTCCACCAGTTCCTTCACATCATAAGACTGGAAGTGTTTCAAGACCAAATACTTCATCCTCATCACATTATAGAAGTGTTTCAGATGCTAATGCCACTTCTTCTTATCAAAATAATCATGAATCATCAAATACAGTACCTCAAGTTGAATTAGAATTAAGATCATTGCGTACTGAAATTTTTGATTTGAAGCAAACAAAAGGTGGGTTAAGAAAAGAGATTACCGATTTAACTTCACAAAGAGATGGTTTAAATCTTGAAGTTTTACAATTAAATTCAAGATTAGAACAATTGAAAATTTCATTTGAACAACAACAACAAGAATCTCAACAGCTTCAACAACAACTTCAACAGGAGCAACAGCAACAACATCTAGGTTTACAAAATGATATTCCAGCACCATCTGAGAAATCAGTTTCATCAGAGAGTCCATTAGTTACAGTATTATCACCACCACAAGATCAAATAAATACAGCTGAACAAGTTGATACTAAACAAAAACCGAAGGCAAGGTTTTGGAGAAGAAATAATGTTACTAAAGGGCTTGGAAATGTTTTCAATAAGAATGAGGCAATGAGTGCATCACAATCATCATATTCATTGAGTAATATTTTGAATGATGGTGGATCTAGTAATAAAGGAAATCCACAAATTTCTGCACCATTATTAAGAAATGAAGAAACTGATGAATTAGGTGGTAATGATAATAAGAAATTAATTAATGGATCAAAATCTTCAAATTATATTGATTTAGGTACTTCATCATCAAATTCTACAAAGAGTAATAATTCCAATCCAACTTTGATAATGAGTGATTTGTTTAATTCAACATTAGAAATGAGAACGATTTTTGAAAAAAGATCAATTCCATTAATAATTACAAGATTAGTTAAAGAAGTTGAAACAAGAGGATTAGATTCTGAAGGTATTTATCGTAAAAATGGTGGTACATTACAAATGAATAATATTTTAAAAGCATTCAATAATTTATTAACAGCTGAAACTTCTCAAGAGTTGGAGAATTCATTAGAGGGTGATATTAATGCAATTACAAGTTCATTGAAAAGATATTTATATTTCCATTTACCAGAACCAATAATCACAATGAATGTTTATGAATTATTTATTAAAAATTCACAAATTGAAGATTCTATGGAGAAGATTGAAAATTTATCAAATATTTTATCACAATTACCTAAAACAAATTTGAAAACGCTGAGATTTTTATTGAATCATATTAAAAAAATTGAAAGTTATCAACATTTGAATAAGATGACATTCCATAATTTAGCTGTTGTTTTTGCACCAACTTTTACAAGAGTTTCTAGTGGTGAAAGAGAATTAATGGATATGCAACCAAGAAATAATGTTACAGAGTTTTTATTGGTAAATCAAGATGAGATATTTGGAAAAATTGATATTGATTGATATTGAGTTATTATGACATTTTAGTTTTGCTTTTTTTTTATGTGTGTGTGTTAATTATGATTATTTTTGCTTTGTGAGTTTATTAGTTTTCGTTTATGATTAATTTTATTAGATCCTTTTATGATTTTCAGGATCAACTTTCAACATGGGTATATTCTTTTTGCAATAATGAATTTTTATAGCACTTCTAGTGAATATGGAAATGTAGATGAGATCATCAATCTTACAAATAAGCAATAAAAATAAACATCATCAAAAGGCTGTCATAAATCTATATACAAGATTATTCATATCATTTAACATCTTTAATCTCTGGAGCTGAAAACATTTCATATTTTTTATAACCAGTTCTCAACAAATGTTCAATCGTGGAGAATTCCTTCTTTGGCAACTGTTGAAACTTTGCAAACTCATTCCTTGGCACAGTTGTCAGTAACGTAACCACCAATCCAAATAGTCATGGATACTCACTTTGTATATGAGACAAAATGCTGTCTATTTTCCTTTTCAGATTATTAGTACTTCATTTTCTGGGTTTTTTGGTGAGGAAATGGGAACATACTTTTGGTTTTGTATATGAGGCTCTTATGCACAGTCTATATAGCTTGAGTACTTCTTTCTGTAGGCCTGATAGCTTCCTTATCTTCGCAGCCATGGTTGTAGTTATAGTGTTGATGAATATAGAGTACCCAACTTTAACTGGATCCGATTTTTTTACATGGAGAAGATGTTCGCGAACTCATTTGTTGACACGATATTTGACGTATATTCGAAGCAAAGTGTAGAGAGATGATGTGATTCGTATGGAATTATAATAGAACCAGTATTACTATTAAACCAATTTAGACCTAACAGGTCCCTAATTAACTACGCCCCCTAGGCACACGGTTTAGGTACGTGGCAGCTTACAAATCATCCCATCTCAGAACCGAGTAAACACGGAAGAGAAAAAAAAATACAGAAAAAAATTATAAACGTTGGATCTGACACTTTTCTTGATCCAGACATTACACTTTAATGGCCAACTACTCATCACTCATTTAGATGCATTCGCTATTATGATCACTGCCACAAAGTCAATCATTGTATCATTTCTCACTAAACTTGGTTATGGCGCTAGTATATACCACGATCATGACACAATAAAGAGTGAATCAACAGTGATCAAGACAGATCCAGAGTTTGAACTATCTTCATTACAATATTGCCTGTCGATAATAGGGTTCATATGGTGGTGTGCTATGATTGGGATTGCATATTATGGGTTCATAGAGATTTATTTGAAGTTTAATAGTCCCAAGTATAAACCTTCAAGTATCAAATTTGATGGTGATGAGATCGTTGATGACGATTCTCAATTAGAAGGTGTGACTATACTAAGACCTATCAAGGGTGTGGATACAGAACTAGAATTATGTTTAGAAAGTTCAATTCTACAAAAGTATCCATCAAATAAATTTCAAGTTTTATTTTGTGTGGAAAGTGCTCAAGATCCAGCTATACCAATCATTAAAAATTTGATCTCCAAATATAACCATCTAGATGTTCAATTATTAATTGATGAGTCATATGAGGAGAATCATTTTGGACCAAATCCCAAGATCAATAATTTAGCAAAAGGTTATAAAAATGCTAAATTTGATATAATTTGGGTCTTAGATTCAAATGTTTATGTTAACCCAGGAACTTTATTAAGATCAATCATTGCCTTAAAAACATCCAAGGATAATGGTAGACCAACTTATGATTTTTCCACTGGAGAAGGGAAACAAATTAAACTAGTTCATCATGTTCCATTAGCTGTCTCCATAAACAATAATAATTCTTATTCAAATTTAGGTGCAAGATTAGATGAAATGTTTTTATTCACATCTCATGCAAAATTTTATGTTTTTTTCAATAAGGCATCAATAGCACCTTGTGTTAATGGGAAATCAAACATTTATAGAAGGTCTGATTTAGATGATGCAGTTAAACAAGTTTCTTTGGGTAATGTGCCAATAATAAATAATAAAGAGACCATTGCAAGAGCTGCTTCAAATTATGTCTTGAAACCAAATGAAAGTTTAAGGTTTTTTTCAAGATATATTGGTGAAGATAATATGATTGGTATTGCGTTATGGGAAAATGGTGGTAGAACAGGTATGACTGGTGATGTTGTGATTCAACCAATAGGTACTGGTAGTGTTGGAACTTCAACAAACAAGATTATGGATTATGTTAATAGAAGAGTAAGATGGTTAAGAGTAAGGAAATATATGGTTTTAGCTGCAACTTTAGTGGAACCAACCACAGAGAGTTTAGTTATTGGATTATTTGGTTCTTATGGGTTATCAAATCTTTTTTTCCAAGGTAAATATATGAAATTAATAATGTTGATACATGAATTGATTTGGTGTTTTACAGATTATAATCAATTTAAAATGCTGTTAAAATTTTCAAATAAAGACTTGATGGATACCAAAGGGACAACTTCTCCATATTTCCTAGATTCAAATATTGATGAGAAATGTAAATTAATAAAATGGTTACCTATATGGATCTTGAGAGAATTATTAGCATTACCAATTTGGATTATGGCAATGTGTGGGACTCAAATTGATTGGAGAAATAGACCATTCAAGATCAGATCAGATCTTTGTGCAGAGGAGTTATAGATTTAGTGCTATATGATCTATAGATATAACTTGTAGACATCTGAGCATTTAAATAGAGCAAACAAATTCTTTAGTGATACAGTTCTAGATCTCACCTCAACAATTGATCAAAGAACAACAACGTGAACAAAGTGAGCTTGTCTAATCATAGCCTCATAGATCTCCAAGCCATGTATAGAAACCTGAGTTGAGGTTCAACTGTACTCACCATCAATTGTAAATGTACTTTGCGTAGCACCCTAAACTTTAACCGATCTCTCTTTTAGGGCCATGCGGGAAAACGCGCCCATCCAATTTGAATAAAACGGTTTCAACAGTTGAATTAATTAAACATTTACAAAATATCAGCTAACAATTGGCAATTAATTCACCACAAACAGAATGAAAAGGAACGTAGGAATAATGATGAATCAGGGTATAGCCTCATTGCTAGAATATGAGCACTGTACAGACTAATCTGGCTAGACATGCTTGTGTGCAACTGTTGAATCTATAGACAGATGTCTTTGACCAACGATCACCATTGCACAGTGAAACAGACTGTGCAGAGAGTATTCTTCTTTGGGGGCTGTTTGTGTGGCTGGAAGAAGAGTAGCTGATGGTCTGTGTATGTAGGAGTGGATAGTAGTGGCTCTAGAGTCCCAACGGTCAAGCACCCATGTCCGTTTAACGATTGATGCTTAAGGGGAAGATATTCTTTCTTTCTTTTAAACACATTCAATCCAAAGCACAACCATTCAAAGCAACAACCCTTAAGCCAAACCATCCCCAGTCTGTCTTATTCAGCAAGCGAATCACTCACTCCATTTATTAATCCCTGATCCAGTGATAACGTGCTCGGGATTAGCACCAACCGTTTTTTTTATCAGCGATTCCAACAATACAAATCTAAATTAAAGATAACAACTTACAAAATCACAACCTCTGAGCCATTGGGAACCAAACAATATGAACAACTACATGACCAGCTCCAGCAAGACGCCCTCGGTGTTCAGTGCCTCAGATATCTTTGACGATGTCGATGAACAGGATCGGCCAGAGAGTGGGCTCTTTAGCCATTCAAGCACCAATAACGATTACAACTATATCAATATTCATACTCCACAACGGAGAACTTCAAGCATGTCCAATGAGCAGGCAAAAGCTATAATATTCAGTGCCTATAATGAAAACAAGAAGAACAGCCATAATCATCAACTATCCCAAGCTGATCATCATCATTATGAACTACATGCCATTCCTTCCCAGTCAGCTTATTCAGATCCACGTTCTTCAGCAAATTTGCCATCAACTTCACCGCGCCTTTATCATATAAGACTATCGACAGATGATGATACTTTCAAAACCATTATGAAGAAAGATGAAAATACAACAGTCGGAGAGATTGTTGAAATCTTACAGAAGAAATTTAAATTGGGTGATCATATTTTAATTAGTCTTGAAGATGGTGATAATGTTGCTAAACATTTAACTAATAATGAAAAAATTGTTCAATTGCAAAATAGATTATTAAAGATGAATGGAGTTGATGATGATGATTTACCCAGTGCTTGCTTAAAGAATGACGTTTCATTCAAATTTTTGATTCATAGGTGATATTAATCAATCATATTGCTGGATTAATATTTGCTTTGAAGCTGCTGCTGCTGAAATTAAATATTCTATTGGAAAGGTACAATCTTTTTTGTACTATTGGGGTTGGAAGGTGTATAGAAGTGCTTATAGACAAGAGGGGAGATGAGATGAAAGACGTTGTTGATATGAATTATATGAATAAATGATACCATGAATATGATTAATCTTCAGGGGTGACATTTGCTCATTTGTAACTTGTTGGATATGGATGTATTCAACCGATTAATTTATTACTCAATTCCCACCATCAATTCAGGATCTGCTCCATAAACTTGATTCCATTTCTTCAATCCACCATCAAGGATATAAACTTTTGGTAATTTATGTAAATCATCTTTACATTCAGTTTTCAATAATAAATACCTTAGAAATTTTCTTGCACTTGAAGGTCCTCTTTGTTGAGATCTCATACAATGGAAAATATAAACTGAGGTATCACCAAGTGGATATTTTGATAATAATTGATTTTGAATTGAATCTTCTCCGAAACCTTTGGAAGGGATATGTATTGAGATGGGTATTTTGCCCTTGATGATAATATACCGATCAGTACTATGGTTGTACTATACTTTATTGATTAATACTCACATATTTGTAGTCAGAATCACGGACATCTATAACAGCAATATCATCTCTCTCTTCGGCTATCCAATTCCTCAAAGTCTCGGGTGCTAGTCTCTTGATACAGGAAGAGTATAGTTGATCCATGGCTAGATCATACGCATTAACCTTTCCAGATCTTCTTGTTACAAGTTCATGATTGAATTCAAAGTGAATAAAGCAAATCTCGGCAATGCTCGGTGTTTACCCTCCCCTCCGTCTGGCTAACTCAATGGTGTTCGGATGTACTCACCTTAACTTTTCCCCTTCAATAGCCGATTCTTCAACTTTGTGTCAAATTTTCAGCGTTGGCCTTGAAGAAACTGGAAGTCATCAACAAAACAAACGGCAAAGACGATGAGAAAAGCTGAGAATAATGAGAGAGTTGATTTGAATCATTATTGGAGTAACTCTGGTTGCCGTTACTAGGTGGATTCCATGCCTTTTAACTAGGTGTAGCTCGGTTAATGGTGTGGATAGCTACACAAATATAAATACAACTTCATAGAACCAATATCATCTTTTGAACTATCATCATCATCATCATCAATTAGCTAACACACTCACTATATACAATGACTCCTGTCTCACTAGAACCAAATCAACAATCTACAACCACTACCATCACTACTTCAAACTCCAGCCAACTACCTTTTGGTGAATACTTGTTCAGAAGATTAGAACAAGTTAAAAATGTTAAATCAATCTTTGGTGTCCCTGGTGATTTCAACCTAGGTCTTTTGGAACATTTATACAAGACTCAACTAAATTGGATTGGTGGTTGTAATGAATTAAACTCTGGTTATGCCGCTGACGGTTATTCAAGATATACAAACTCTTTAGGTGTTCTTATAACAACTTATGGTGTTGGTGAATTATCTGCTTTGAATGCAATTGCTGGTGGGTTTGCTGAATATTCCAAAATTTTACATATTGTCGGTATCCCAAAGACTAGTGTTTTAAACAATGAAGTTGAAAAAGCTAAACACTTACATCATTTAGTTCCAAATATTGATTCTTTAAAAAGATCTGATCATTATGTTTATACCAAAATGGTTAAAGATGTTTCTTGTATAAGCAAAGTTTTGGATGATTCTAAAACTATTGTGGAGGATTTAGATCAAGTTATTCAAGCTATTTTCAAAACTTCAAGACCTGGTTATATCTTTTTGCCTTTAGATATGGCGGATGCTTTAGTTGATGCTTCAAAATTATCACAAACCCCTGCTGATTATCATTTAATCAAAGATAACCATCCTCTGAAGACTGAAGAAATTACTCAAAAAATTTTGGAGTTGGTTTATAAGTCTAAAAATCCATCAATCTTGGCTGATGTTTTGGTTAGCAGATATCATAATGCTACTGAATTGTTGAGAGAATTTGTTGATTTAACTCAATTCAACAATTATACAACTTTTATGGGTAAATCCATTTTAGATGAAACTAATCCAAATTTCGTTGGTGATTATATTGGATTGGAATCAAATATTGGTATTAAAGAAAATATGGAGGCTTCTGATTTAATTTTATACTTTGGTTCCTATATTAATGAAATTAATACCGGCCATTATTCATTTGATTTCAGTGAAGATCAATTAATTTTGTTACATCCAGATTATATCAAGATTGGTTCAGAATTTTATCATGGTGTTAATTTCGTTAATGTCTTGAGTTCATTATTGATTCATTTAGATTCTTCAAAAGTTCCAACTAATCCACCATTACAATATGAAATTAAATTAAGATTCCCATACTTGCCATCAAAAGCTTCCATTTCTCAATCACATATGTTGGAAAAATTTGAATCATTTGTTCAACCAAATGATGTTATCGTTTGTGAGACTGGTTCATTTATGTTTGGTATCCCAGATTTGAAATTCAAATCAAATGTTAAATACATTGCCCAAGGATTTTATTTGTCTATTGGTATGGCTTTACCTTGTTCCACTGGTGTTGGTATTGCCATGAAGGATCAAAACTCTTCTTCAAGATTGATTTTAGTTGAAGGTGATGGTTCTGCTCAAATGACTATACAAGAAATCTCTTCATTTGTTCATTATGGGTTGAATCCAATTATCTTTTTATTAAACAACAGTGGTTATACCGTTGAAAGAATTATTAAAGGTGAAACAAGAGATTACAATGATATCAAACAATGGAACTGGTCAAAAGCTTTTGAATTCTTTGAATTTGGTGATGAAAAAAATTCTGAAGTTAAAATTGTTTCTAATGAACAAGAATTGACAAAAGCATTTGCATCAACTGAATTAAATCCAACAAAGTTAAGATTTCATGAAGTTATACTTGATAAGATGGATTGTCCTTGGAGATTTCATCATATGAATGGCTACAGACATCTTCCAGCTACTCAATAAACTTTTAACCATCATCCCTTTTCGCATATTGCTTACATTTATAAGTAACTCATCTTTTATATATAGTCATCAATATATCAGTTAATTTCAAAAAATAAACATTTTATGCATAATGAATAAATTAAATCTATGTAACGTAGTCTATTATATATTGTTCTTTGTAATTGATGCAAATTCTTCTATAGCTATAATTAAAAAGTAATTCAATCTTTTATCCAAGATTAAAGATAATTCAGAGTTACTTAATAATTTGAAAAGTTTTAAAACTTGTTCTTGTAAGTTCCTATCTTGAAATAAAATAGGCTTGAATAAATAATTGAATGTATTTTCATCATCTTCAATTTCATCACCACAATAAACCAATTCATCAATTTTTTGAATATTTACAGGAAAAATCTCTAAAATGTGGATAAAAGTTTCTAAATGCCCTTTCACATTTCCAACAAGGAATCCAATCATAAATTCCAAACATTCATAAAGTGTATCAACATCCATCTCTTCAACTTGATCACTTTGTAAAATCTTGAAATATTGATCAAAAGTATCAATCAATCTAATAATCTTGAATTCAAAAACCCAATCAAAGAAAACCAGATTCTTATTTCTTGATAAGTAATAATCTTTCAAATTCAATTCATTTTCAGAATCATCCCTTTTCAAAATTTTCAAAATTTCATAAATTGTAAATTTAATCATTGTATTGGAAACTGTATCAAAGTCATGATGTTGTTTAATTAAAACATCACATAAATTTATAAAATCTTGAGTCTTTGTCATGGAGACATCAAATAATTCCAATTTTGTTTCATTCATGAATAATTCCTCCATGTTTAAATCATACCAAAAGTCATAAAAATCAGTGAAATTTTCCTTCATCATTATATTATTCGTACCAATTATCTTGGTATTATGAACTTGCTTATCATATTTTAATAAAGTTTCAAAATTTGAAAGGTCAATCAATGGTAAATATAGGATCTTGTCATTATGGAAATACGGGTTATTAAACCCATTAAGGAAATTAGATAATGATAATATGAATTGACATAATTGATCTTTTGAATCATTTGAATAGATAAATATATTGAAATTTTGATAATTTGTTGAGTTTAACTTCATGGAAAGTTTCTTCAAAAAAGTTAGGATGGGTATTGTCAAGTTTAAGTCTGTGTGGAAAGTTGAAGATGGTGAAGTTAATGATAAATTTATGGGTATTTTGGAAAGGATCTTATCCTGTGGATCATCTGGCGTGTATGTTGGATAATATTGTAACGTTCCTGATTTATACCTTATCCCTTCAGTTTGAGATTCATTCAACAACAGTTGTTTCAATTTGGGGAACACTAATTGATTGTTGACTTCTGAATTCAATGATAATACACGTTGTAAATTGTTGTTTGCCTGGCAGAATTGCTTCCATAATGAAATATCTATACTGTTGATTGTATTAAACAATGAGATCAAATGTGAGACTTGACCATCACGTATGAAATTTTGTATTGTAAGTGTTATTAAATGTTTGAATATCACAAAATTTGACAATGGAGTACCTATTGATATTGACCTTATTTTAGCACCTCTAGCGTCATTAACATCTTCAATTTTTTTGGTAACTGTATAGAAGAACAAAATATCATCATCATGGCTTTTATTTTCAAAAATTGTGTTTATATCGTTTAACCTCATGTGTTGGAATCCTAAAGCATCTTCTTCACTATTATCATCTGGAAATAGCTGATATTTTCCTGTTGGGTCTTTGTAAAGTATAAAACTTGAATAATCCTCTTGTGTATAATGTTCACTTTGACTGGGTATCACTAGTTCACCAAGATGAGATAAGTATTCTTTGAAACCTGGAATCTTTTTCGGTATTTGGTGTCGTATCACACTACCGACTTTGTTATCAAACTCTGCACTAATGACAAACTTTGCCAGTTTAGCATCTTTCAAAGAGACTGAAGGGAGCTTCTCAGGAGACGTGAGCCTAGACTGGAAGTGCTTTATCCTAGGAGGAGTACCAGTTCTGGACATTCTCTGTGTTCTGTATCCTCCTTTTCCCGTTGTTCTTTCCATTATGGTCTCATTATAAGCTTCTTTCCACTCAAAGGCATCTCTGCCATCTTCTCGAGGTTCAATAGTGCCTTTACCACTTTCCTATACTTAAGAGCGTCACCCGCCACAAACCCGCTCAAGGATCAAAATTTCCATGAAAATAAAATCAGCGAATGCTCGCCCCCCAAATTCTACCATCAACTCAACAAACAACAAGGAAACTTTTGTATCCAAATCAAACCATCAGTTATCAATCATGTCTGCCTTAGATCAATCATTAGACGATATCTTATCTTCAAAGCCTAAGAAGCAATTCAGAAAGAGAACTCCTGTTGCTAAGGCTAAAGTTGGTAAAACTGTTGGTAAACCAAAAGTTAACTTGAGAAAACAATTACAAACTAAAGGTGCTGCTCCAAAAGGATCTGTTTTAGATGCTTCTTATGCTAACAAGGTTGTTGTCTACCATTTACCAAAAGATATCAAACAAGATGCTATCAAGGTATGTTTTGAGTATTGTTGTGTGTGAGATGTTTATTTTGTGTTTTTGCAAAGAGAAAGTGATGATTTGATTATTACGATCATTGTTGAAATCTATTACGAGATGATTTTCATGAACGAAGCGTCAACGTGTTGTTATTGCAGATTTCACAACACGGAGAGGTTGTTTTTACTGTAAATGGAACGTCTGCTGAATGTGACTTCTGTGAGTTTAAAAAAAAGGAAAAGGACAAATCTTTTGAGTTTGAAAGCAAGAAAAAAAATGTTCAAAGAACTATCTTGTTCATTTGAATAACTTTTTTTCCTCTATCCTTTGTTTTCTTTTTTTAGCCTGATAATGTATCACTATGAGATATTTTATTGAAGGGCTTTTTTTGTTTTGTTTGGCTAGACTTTTTTTTGATTGAATTGTTCATTGAATTCTAATGGCTGACTATCATCTTCCATCATGAGAGTAAAGAATTTTCAAAATTGTGCAAGCGGAGTGGTGCCAATGATTTGTCAGTTCAAGTGATTATTCACTTTCAATTAGTTTCAATGGTTCTTTTCAATATGTTGCTGTTGATCGGTGATCTACCAAAGATTCAGTATATGAATTTGTTTCTATCAATTTATGAATAATTTTGGGTAATGAGAGCTTTTATCATGTGGATATCATTTTTAAGATAGCAATATTTACAAATTCATTCACAGTTCAAGTTAAAATTTGAGAAGATTCATATACTGAGGAGGCTAGAGTATCCATCACAAAGGTTTGAGTGTTGCCTTTTGATTTCATTGGTAAGGTGTAGGTTTCCAACTCACAGAATTTCGGCTCACATTTTCCAAGTCAATCCTCCAGATTTTTGAAGATCAATAGTTTCATCATGATTTCCCGTAAAAATAATCATATACTTTTTGTAAACAACAGAAACATTCACAACCACACATTTCTTATAATTTTTAGTTAGTTTTAAGTTCAGTTTTGATTAACAAGTTTTAGGATTTTTTTTCATCTCAAGTTGGTGGTGTTGTTAGTGTTGCTTTATCATACAATGAAAAAGGTCAATCAAAAGGTATTGCCACTGTTATTTTCAAATCATCAGCCAATGCTACCAAAGCTGTCGAAAGATATAATGGTGCCCCAATTGATGGTGGTTCATCCAAATTAAAGTTGGAATTAATCATTGATCCAACCAAGAAACCATTAAGTAGTAGAATTTTAGCAAATGCTGGTGCTGTTCCAACTCAACCAAAAGGTTCAAAAGCCAATGGTAAAAAACAAGCTGCTGCTGCTGCTCCAGCCAAGAAACAAGGTAACAAACAAGGTGGTAAACCAAAAACCAAAAGACCAGCTAAAAAGACTATTGAACAATTGGATCAAGAAATGTCTGATTATTTCGAAAAGAAGGATTAAGTTGATTTAACGTAACGAAATAAAATATTTAATTCTTTGTTCTCTTTTTATTGTTCATCTAATTTCTTTTTGGTTGATTATTATTATTTTTATTTTTATCATTTTTTATTGTTCATGTTTGTATAAGTAAAGAGAAAGTTGTGTTTCAGGGATTTCCAATTGAATTACGATAATTTGTAGAGTTGATTGACGTTCACTTCATTAAAATTAAATAAAAAAACTATTTACACGGTATACCATATTGATTTATATTAGGCCGGGCTTGACAATATCTTCGACTTGATAATTTCGATCACAGACTAATGATATTCAACTTCAAGTCTTTGGAGCACCACCAAAATCCAAGATACCAGAGAATTTATCACCACCTTTTCTTGAACTGTATGAATTCCCAGCACCTTCATATTCAGATTTTCTTTTATATTCACCTGTACTTTCAGCAAAACCTGGTTTAATCTTGGCTATATTATCTTGCACAGAGACTTTATTATCACCATTGTCAAAATGTTCAGGATGGAATGATTTTTCTCTTTTATTTTCAATGATTCTTTACAAAGGATTAGTTAAAGACAACTAGATTAATCTTGGTTTACTCACGTTTTTGTGACATAGATGGCCCCTATGGCGAGAGAGGACACAAACCAAAAGTTATTCAGAAACTGTTTGAAAGGAGCAGAAGAGTTCATTATGAATTTGTTAATTCTCAAGTCTTTTCAATAGTGAATTGATTAATCACGATAGAAATTTCAAATTTTCAAAGGCCTTTGTAAAACCGATTCGCGAAGGCGTTTGCACCAAATTCGGAAGACGCGATCTTCCGGGTCGTCGAGTCAGAGATTTTGAAATGCTGGGGTTGACTTTTATTCTTTTCATCTTTTATACTTGCTTATTATAGGTCCCAGATAGATTTAAGGATGAGTGATAGATTGGAAGCTGACCCTGTGGCTCATGCCCTTGCTGGTGGAATTGGTGGTGCCCTTAGTATGGCTGTTACTTATCCTCTAGTCACTTTATCAACATTGGCTCAGACTAAATCATCCAAAACTACTCAACAACAAATTAAAGATGAACAAGATATCAAGAAAGATGATAAAGTTTCCACTTTAGCTGCAACTAAATATCTTTGGGAACATGAGGGTGTTAAAGGTTTTTATTCAGGTTTGGAAAGTGCAATCTATGGAGTTTCATTAAACAATTTAGTTTATTATTATTTTTATGAAGCAATAACCAAAGTTCTTTTAAAATCAAAGCAACATACAAAAAGAGGATTAACACCTTTGGAAAGTGTTGCTACAGGTGCTATTGCAGGTTCAATCACTTGTATTTCCACTAATCCAATTTGGGTTGCTAATACTAGAATGACAGTTAAAGGTAAAAACAATTCAAATACTTTGAAAACATTGATTGAAATCGTCAAGAAGGATGGATTGAAAACATTATTTTCCGGAGTATTACCTGCATTAATCTTGGTTTTAAATCCAATTATTCAATACACTATATTTGAACAATTGAAAAATTTCATTAATAAAAGAAAACCAAATGGTATGACTTCATTACATGCATTCTTTATTGGAGCTTTAGGTAAATTGATTGCCACTGGTTCAACCTATCCATATATTACATTAAAATCAAGAATGCATCTCAAAGATGAATCAAATTCAAATCCAAAGACGATTATAGGTTGGATTAAACAAATTTATTCAAAAGAAGGAATTGCAGGTTTTTATAATGGTATTAGTGTTAAATTATCTCAAAGTGTTATGACTGCTGCATTTTTATTCTTTTTCAAAGAAGAATTGACTACATTTAGTATTAAATTATTGAAACTAGCCAAAGCTTCCAAAACTCGTTCTTTAAAGAATATCTAATTTATATTTTATATGTATCTATGATTGTAGGTTATGCAAATGTTTTCTTTAGTTTTTCATAAGTGAAGAAGATAACAGCATTTGATGGAACAGCTCTTGTTAAAGTTATACCCAACCCTCTATAAAAAGCTTTCAACCCACCATGTTTATATATCAATTTAGCAGTGGAAATAAAAGTTAATTTTTGATCAGGATTAACAACACTACTTGTTTGCATTTTACTTTTTATAGTATCAGCAGGGAATAATGACAAGTTATATGAGATACCAGCACATGCACCACTTATCAATAATTCAGAGATTGTGTTTTCAGCACCATTTATGTTTTCAGAACCTAATCTTGCAATTTTCAACTCTTTTGACATGAATTCATAAGCACCAAACCATGAAGCAGTACCACCACATTCTCTTAATAGTGTACCTGTTTGACCATGCCAAAAACCTTTTATCCCATCATTTGTTAACACTTGTTTAATCAGTTGTATTATTGATGATTTCTTTTGTGAATAAACCTGCTCCACTTGTAATTTACATTTGATTAATTCAATTGGTGTTAGGATATATGAGGCAACACAACCACTGAATCCACCTGATAATACGAGTAAATTTAATGGTAATTCTTCATTTTGTTTCATTGACAATTGATTCTTTAAGAAATCTTGTGCAATGTTATAAGTCACGAAAAGACATGCATTTTCAGCAGCTGCACCAACTATAGGAGATGAAATTCCCTACCAAGGTTAGTACCAATCTTATAAAACCAATTGTGTTTCCCAAACTCACTCTATAAAATCCAAAGAAACCCTCGTTGGTGAAAGTTTGCTTTATGCAATCAAATGAGTTTTTATATTTCAAAGGTTGATCATGCGGTTGTGATTGTAATCTAACTTTAACTGTATCGAAAGGATACTCTATTAATTTACCAGTACATCCAGATAACTAGAGAGTTAGTTGATATGTTGGTTGGGGCTAGTATTAATACTCACCGAACCAAATAAGATATCTTTCAGACTATTCTTCAAGGAGAATTCAGAGTCAGTCATTCAAAGGGTGATATATTGGCCCTAGTATTAGCTAATATTGTTATTGATGAGTGTTGAAACAAGATTTGATCTCATGTCAAAAAGATGAGTAAACATGTTGATTTTTTCCTCTCCAATCGATCAAATCTTTTATTTTTCAGTTACGAGACACAATCTTTGAAGGAAAGTTGAATTTGATGATTTGGAAAGTGTTGATTAAAAGATTTTGTGTCTGATGATTAGTTGTAGGTTTTATCTTAGTGAATAGAGAGGAATAAATTATTAATAGTTGTGTTTTGGTTAAATGATCACGAGTACAATAGCTTATGTTGAAGTTGATGTCGATGGGTATAAAAGGTTGAGATGGATAGCAATCCAATGGGTTAACTAACTATGACTCGAGGAATCCACTCCTATTGTTCCGTTAATGGTAAAACTAGATAATACTAAATAATATCAAGCCCTAAAGCAAGTAATTCAACTCACTAAACTTTACCTTTCTTCTTGTTTTTAGTGCCATTAATTTGCTATAAACTACGTCACCCTTACGTAATACACCTCTATAGAGGCCAAGGCAACATGAGTATAAATTAATTGCGGATTCCCTTTTCGATGGATTTCACAACAATTTCATAAACAATTAGATTCAATTGAACAACAAACAATAATACACTAATAATATAATAACTATACCACCATGTCATCCAAAACTCTAGCTACTCAACTTGAAACACCTCGTCCATTCCCAGAAACTTCAGACAATGCCCTGGATTTGTTCTCGTTAAAGGGGAAAGTTGCATCAATCACAGGTTCTTCAACAGGTATTGGGTTAGAAGTTGCAAATGCTTTTGCTCAAGCTGGTGCAGATGTTGCCATTTGGTATAATTCCCATCCTGCTGATGAAATTGCTGAGGAAATTTCTCAAAAATATGGTGTCCGTGCAAAAGCTTATAAAGTTTCATTAACAAATTTCGAATCTATACAATCTTCAATTGATCAAATCGAAAAAGATTTCGGTACAATTGATATCTTTGTTTCAAATGCTGGTAAAGCCTGGACCGGTGGTTCTTTATTAGATCAAGAGGATGATAAAGAATGGAGAGATGTTATTGATTTAGATTTGAATTCAATTTATTATTTATCAAAAGCAATTGGGAAAATTTTTAAAAAAAATGGTAAAGGTTCTTATATCATTACTGCTTCAATGTCTGGTCATATAGTTAATGTTCCTCAAATGCAAAGTGGTTATAACGCTGCTAAAGCTGCTGTATTACATTTTGCTAAATCTTTAGCTGTGGAATGGTCAGGTTTTGCAAGAGTTAATACTGTTTCTCCAGGTTATATTGCTACTGAATTGACAAAATTCGCTGATGCTGATTTGAAGAAAATATGGTGGTCTTTAATCCCAATGGGGAGAGAAGCTTTACCAAAAGAATTGGTTGGTGCTTATCTATATTTAGCTTCTGATGCTGCTTCATACACTACAGGTACAGATATTAGAGTCGATGGTGGTTATACTGCACTATAGTAAAATAAACACTAGATTTTCACTGTATTGATTAATTGAATTAACTTAGATCACTTTTGTTTTGTAATGATTGTAGCTGTTTTTTGTTGTGCGGCTTTCAACTGTAATTTTGGTTTTGTGTCAACTTTTCGGATCGACTAATAATTTGGTCTTTTCAGATAAATTGGAAAAAAGACAGGGCTCATGGGACCAAACTAGTACTTTAATAACAATAACAGTGGTTATCATGGCACAGTTTATCAGAAGGAACAATAATAACATTGACGTTATTTCATCAACTTCAAGACCAGTATCTTCAGCTTCTTTACAGGAATGTGTTGAAACATCATCTTCATCGGATTTAATTGTTCAAACCAACAATTCACCAACCACTGATAATTTCCAAACTGTTAGAATAGAAGACCATGAAATCAATCCATCATTACCAAGTCTGATTTATGATAATTATACTTTAATGCAACCAAAAGAAAAACAACAAATAATTAATGAACCTCTGACAAGTCCTGAATTAAACTCCCAAAGTTTCCAAAGCGCTTTAGATACTTATCATCAACCTTTAACAACTGGTGATATGACTGCAATTGGTGATTATGAACTAGAAACTCAACAGGTTCCAGATGATGAATTAGCTGGTCATGTCAATACAATCCATGAACAAGATTCTGCTCAAACTATAACTGCACCAGTCACACAAAATCAAATTAATCCAATGGTAACTGTCACTATTTTATCAAGGCTTTTCAAATTTGTTAAATATTTGATTGGATTAGATCCACCAACTAACCAAGATCCTGAAAGACGTCCATTATTATCACCAGATGTTGAAAATCAACAACCTCCTCCAACAACTCCAGGACAAGGTCCAGCTTATAACTTGTTGAGCAGATACCGTTATTTCTTCATTGTCTTGACCATCTTGATTGGGATTGGGTTGATCACTGTGGTCTTAGCTACTGGAGACTCCAAATTGTTGGTTCTTGTGTTCAAGGCCTTCTTGTGTTATCTTTTGGGTTCAAATGCTCAATATTTGTTTGGGCAAGATTTTTGTCCAGTTTCGTGATTTCGCGAAAGTGAGAATTTGTATTATGTAATGTTTGGCGTATAGATTATGTAATTTTGAAAAAAAAATTATGTCTGTAGAAATTTTTTTATATAACGTCTCTATCTTTTTGTCACAAATATTCTAGAGTGATAATAAACTAGACTAGTTGTCCAAGTCTTAAATAACTTTCAATATGGTTGCCTCAAGACGTATAAGAAAGAAAGATTTGAGTAGCTCGTCTCCAGTTGCTCCAAAGCATAAAAAGTTTGATGATGATGAGTTCCATACAGCTGATGAAGGTTCAGATCAAGAAGAACAAGAACAACCAGTAGAGGATGAAGAAAGTGAAGAAGAAAGTGATAGTGATGATGATGCTCCAGAAGAAGAAGCTGTAAGCACGGGGAAAGCTCTTTATGAAGAAGATGAAGCTGATCAAAGAGAAATATTGGAAAATGAATCATTAAAATTAAAACAAAAAAGAATTGAACAACAAGAACGTTTTAAACAACAACAAGAATTGAAAAAATTAAAATTAGAGAAATTACAACAACAAGACTTATTACAACAACAAAAAGATGCCAAAATTGCTAAAGAACGTGAGATTAAAAATTTAAACAAGAAATATGAAGAAGATTTAATTCAACAAGAATTAACAAAACAATTACAAAAAACTACACAATTACAAAAACTAAGGAAATTTAAAGATGAAAAATTGAAAACAAGAAAAGTTGCAGGTGGTATTCGTGTTAAAGTTCTTGATGGTGGTTCAAAAAATGTTAAAAATTCAATTAATCGTGATTCTTTATTGAATAAACGTAAGAAAAGATTGAATAAAAGGGTATGATTGGAAAGAGATAGAATGGTGTGTATATTACTCGTTGCTTGCATATAAAGAGCTTTTTGAAAGATTTGGTTTCAAGTAGAATCTAATTTGTTCACACACTGAAGGGATTATCTAATTATCAATCTCAAGTTAGTGTCAAGGATACTGCATGATGATGATAGTTTCTAGTGTCCAGGATTAACAATATGTGAAACTACTCAGTGATAGACCTGCACTTTAACTTGAGAAATCCAATTCTCTGGTATCTACTAGTGTTGACTTGAAATAAATCTCTATCAAAACCCTGTGATTTTGAGCTCATCCTTTAGAAATCCCAGTCAAAGAGATATGCTCGATCTAATCTCAACTTAGATCAACGTTTCATGAAATTGAGCATGTTGGTTCAAAGGTGCCAAATTAAAATTCTGGATCACCTAGAATTCTTTGTGAAATGAAACATTATCTTGAAAATTGATAGATCTTCTAGATCAAGCGACATTTCTTTTCAAGTTTAACCAGCTCTAAGCACTAAATTCACGTTGAACTAGACTATCACATCCAAGAACATCTTTAAACCAAAAACCAATTCAGTCCAGCTTATTAAAGACATACACTAGGATAATTTCACTTGAGCCGATCAGTATTAAACAAAAAGGGTTCATATACAAGTTGAGTAATAACCAGGGATCCCAGACAGCTTGAGCCTTGATCTATGAATAAGCTGAACCCATGACCCATCTTTTGGTCTCCAATGTATTGTAAAGAACCTTATCAAATGTATGTATGGAATTGGCAGAAGATCAATTTGACATGGAATGGACGTGTACAAGTTCAAACCATGGTTCACTACTTGAAACCTCAAGTGAAATCCTCGATAATCAACTTTAGGTTGAGTCTTTAAAGTACTACAACAATATTATCCTGGCAAGTCGTAACTGTGTACCTTGATTATTGAACCTTGGTTGAAACTTCATATCTACCGATTAGACTGCGTACATGAAATTTGAGATTGAAGTGCAGATGCATTCGATTACACAACCAAACCAGCTGTGATAAAAGGCAACAAGAACATATAACCAGCTTACTCCAACCATTCAGAAAGATAATGATTTGAGTGAAGTGTGTATTGGTTGGTGATGTTTGCACTCTTGTCTTTATGAAGCTGAGCTTTGTTAAAGCTGTTCAAATCTCAGCCTGGAACATGTCACACCGTAGAAAGTCTCAGAGATGGGTGTTACGAGGGAAAGATCTAGGGGATCGGTAGGTTACAAGTTACACAACTTCCATGACAAACCAGTTTCAAGGAACCCAGATGCTTATCTTCGGTATGTGGAGCATTGGCGACTCAAAAGGAACTACATATCAAGCCCATGAATTGATTGAACTCGCCCCGTGCTAGTATGATTGAGGGAATTGGAAGCTCGGTTGAACAGTCATATAGTGTGCTTTGGATAGGTGATCACACAAAAGTAATCTGCATGGAGTAGTGAAGTTTCAGTCTGATGGATGATGGATTCTTTCGCCCCAACATCAACCAACTTTGAATTCAAATGCCATTAACCATCCTGCTAAAAAAGGACGTTGTTACACCAACTTTACAAATGTTCTACGAGCGCAAAAGTTTACCAGAAGCTCGCTTTGAGCTCTCTACGAGTTCAGAATCTGATCGACATGCACTTCAAAGTCCTCAAACAGAGGAAGCGTACACCTTGGTCCCTCGAGATCTCTGTTCTGAATGTGGAAAGAAATTCTTCAAGTACTTCAAGATCTACAAATTGTAGAGAGAAGGACTTCCAGAATCCAGCGTGTTTGTGCTTTTGTGTACATAAAATCCAGAAGTTTTGTTGTGTAAGTGTACCTGTACAACCTTATAGGTACAAGAACAGCTGAGAGGTTGATATACAGCTAAATCGTTGAGATGCTGATGTTTATTTAAAGTACTTATATCATTAACGCTTCAAGAGCTAGCTGCTATCTAGCTGCTAACTAGCTGACTAATTGTCATAGTGCGCAGTATAGAGGCTCAAAGTTCAAAAGACGGCGACAGTAATATTAAGCTGGACCATCATGTTGAGTTTTGAGAATATCCTCATGCATCCTCTCGCCACTAGATGTAGCATCTCTGAAGCTCATACTATAAGCACATACGTAATGATCTTGACTACTCAATTAGTAGCACCGCAAATATTACTCCAGAGGCCGGCCGCTTTGATTAATCAATCAGCCAGCTGTTTTTCTTAGTTGACTTTTCAAGCAGTACAGCTCATATTGAGAAGGTCATAATTAGCTAATTCTAGAAAAAAGGTACATTTATATTCCCGATTCATCGCTCAAGAGTCAACAGCTTTGAGGTTCAAGCTTTATAAATTGTGTCAAGCTTGGATTAAAAAAATACTGATCGGGCGCTCCACCCCGTGAAGGCTATTTAAACAGCTAATTAAGAAGATCTACAATATCGTTACTTAGGGGGCCTCTTTCAATCGAGAAGACTTTGAAAGTACGAACGAATGTAGCGTACAAGCTCAAGCTAGCAAGGGCCCCAGTTTTTAGGTTAGTTGATCTACTCTGTACTGTGTTTTCTCCAAGTGTACATACAACCCAGGGTATCTTCCACTGTATTCTGGTTTTAGGTTCTCAATCCTTGTCATAGGTGGAGTCTACGAACCATTTCGATTAAAGTTCTACTTTTGATCTGATCGAAGTTTCAACATTTGTCAAACCTTAGATTGAAACAGGCATTTAAATTTTGAACGGGTGGACTTTCGAAAGACTTCACGGTAATTTGATTGAATGCTGAGGCCTATAACTGATCCGTTGGGAAAGGGTATTTGAGGTGTCAGCAGCTTGTAGTTCGACCCATTTCACTCTTGAGCCTTGACACTCAATTGATGTGAATTAGCTGAATATAATTGAGTAACTACACAAAAAGCATGAAGTGAACCGTAGAGGACCGGGAACCTCAACTGGAGCTTTGAGAAAGGAGAAGAGTAGGCAGAATTTATCCAGGGCGTATCTCGACTCACGATGCCATGGGAAGCATACTAGTGAGTGCTCGTGAGACACTCTCCAACACCTCAGCCGAACACAGACTCTGCTTCGTAACTTGTTCGAAGGAACTTGATACAAGAGCACTCTTAACAGTTCTATACTTAGCACATGTTTGTGATCAACAGGATACCCATATCATACACCATAGGCGAGCTAATAACGTCTGGTGCTGTTTTATTCAAAGCTTCAAGTACCAGTACTGGTCAGGTTCAGGGGATTTAATTGTAGCGTACTGGCAACAAGAAAGTGTCTTCAAAGTTCAACCTTCACAGCGACTAATCTAGATCTAACAGTAGTATGCAGCAGCGCTTATATTTCAAGCTATAGAGTTCAGTTGCAAGTTGCAACTTACAGCCTTTTGCAAGGGATCAATTGATGAATTACACTGACAAAGAATCCTGTGTACCTCGTTTTATTCTTGAACGGGGAATGAAGCAAGTGCAGGTACCGTTGAGTAGTTTTGGACAGGTATTGGTGATTGAGAATGGGTACATACTACACATTGAGTTAGGTTTCATCATTATTAGCTAGTGTATCTGAGCTATGAATCCTTTCTCAAAGTAGGCTTCACAACAAGGGTTCGTACAACCAATCGATCCACTTCCTTTTTCAGCATTTAGCAGGTCTGATCAGCTGCCATCGAAACCTTCAATTACTTTAGGATCTTCAAGATCGTCACCAGCACCAACCGCTAGTTCCACATCAACTTTAGCTCATACATCGTTGTTGCAGAGGTGGACAATAACCATTGGTCAACCTAGATTATCATGCCAGTTCACGAACCACGACTGACAACTACAGTCTACACTCCAACATTTGGGGGTGGTCTGTCTGCCATGGCTGCAATAAAAGTGTTTCAGTAATTGGATGTAATTGGTCACTTCCTTGTAGTACAGTCGAGCTAAAAGAGATCGAGCATCTAGATCAGCACCGGCCACAGTCCAATATTTAACTTTAGACTCAGTAACCAGTTGCACGTTCATTCAAAAGTTGTGAGCTCCTTTAACAGACCAACTTGTCAAAATGATCTGATTATATGAATCGACAGAATTTGGGGGATTAAGTTTCAATTCTGTTCTATATACTCTTTGTAACACATTACCAGAGGTCTTTTATGTTTAAAATGCGCTCATGGCATCAACATCGTAAGGCTGAACATTTTTGAAAAGCAGATTTGAAAAAGCTAGTTTAAGTCCAGGCGATGAGCACAACTTAACATCATCATGAATCTCTAAAAACCATCACGATCGACGTTGAAAACCAAACTCTTTCAAGGCTTGACTCGGTTGAGTTGTATTACCACTCTTTTGACGGCTAGTTCCTTTTAACTCAATATCGGTCTCAATGAGTACATCATCGACCTGGACGTAGTGGACCGAAGTGAAAAACAGCATTAGTACATGGAAGAATATAGACAGCCACCTACTTTGGCTCAGAAAGAAGCTACACACCACTACAATTCAACATTAAAGTGGAGGCGAGTATCCCCGTTTTAACATTATGCCAGGCGCTAGTGGTGTTGTTGAAAATTCAATATGGGTGTTTCACTTTTCATGAACGTCCTTCGCTCGCTTTATTTTATAGCACACAGCTTGAACAGGATTGAGGTATCTTTATAAGATGATTGTCCTATTATATCTGTTAATTTAAGGCGCTGCGCGCTTGATGATCAAACAATTGTTGAAAGGACGTTGATCTAGTTGAAGTAAATATCATCTTTTCAACTTTTTGAGCTTCGTTGAGTACATCGTTCTATCAATGCACTTAAAATAGCTGATCAAAGATATAATTACCTCTACTAGACGTTTAATTGATCATGAACTCTTTATTATGATACTATTAATGTGACTCCAATGAGAAGTTGGCTCGAATAGTTCTCATAGGTCACGAAGCTCCATTTTGTCAATTCATCACTAGGATCAGCTGCACTAATTATAAGTCAATGTCATGTCTAGTTTTTCTCTATAATATTGATATTTAGAAGTACTTAAAACCAATTGGCTTATAACTGTTAATATTATAGCTTAAACGTGCACTAAAATTAAGGATCGCCCTTTGGCAATTGAATAAAGGGATGAAGGGTTATCAAAGATTAGTATTGCAGCTCTCAATATATATAACGTAAACTATGAATACTAATTATAACATAAAGAATGTACTGTTCAAAATATCAACATTCCGAATATTAATGAACCATTAAACAAGAAACTTCCCTGAACAGCAAAAAATCATTTTCTCATATATATGATAACCCGAGGCTCTATGCTAGAAGAAATTGTACCTAGAGATCGATTGATGATTATTATAAATTATTTGGTAATAGGAATATTAGCGTATGAAAAAGCAGCGAATCAAAAAAATTTTCAGTTTTGGGAAAACTGTCTCAAGTATATTACATAGTACATAGCACACACTTCTCTTCACAGGATCAAGTACCTCGAGCTAAAAGCATTTGCTGAGCCAATTGCAGGATATCATAGTCTATAGATCATGTAGGATTCGGTTAAACCAGCTTGAACTCAAGATCTTCACCTCTATTGATGTTTTGAACTTGTCTTTCTTCCCTGAAGATGTCTTTTCGATTCGCATTGAAGACAGAGCGTTTTCTTCGCCCACATAACTTCAAATTGAGAAACTCTGTACTATGTTACTGAAGAAATCTTGGTGACCATATCTATAGATTTGATCAAGTAGATCTGGTTCTTTAAAGTAAACACTAATGTATGATCTATAGCATCGCTATCATTCACGAGCTGTCATCATCACAGTACTGTACACAATTCAGGAATTAGAAAACACAACACTAATCCTTTTTGATTCATTGAATATTACAAATACATTTGAATAGGTCATTGGGCATTTGTAACACGGCTTTCATGTTGGCCATCCCTCCTATCAAATCACGCTGTGTGAGTTAGAATATATTGATGTTCATTAATCTTAGACAATCCATATTAATATAATTTATAAGATCAGTACTTTTACTGGCAAATTCATTTTCCAACAAGATACGCACTTCTTGCTTTTTCATTCAAGCATGATTATACTTTTTGAATTGAATTAGGGCATGTGAAGATTTTGCAAAAAACCACTCTGGTGAAGTTAGATCAGTCTTCTAAGACACTGTAGAGGAGCTGTATTTTGTTAGCAAAGAAGCACCAAACTTTTCTTTGATGACCTTCCAGTGCTTCTTCTTTCAGCTCAGATAAGCATGTCTTAGTTCTTCAAATGAAAAACCTTTCAAAAACTAAAATCAAAACTTTCCAGGAACCTCACTTCGTGATTGGGCAGCCAAGTTGATTAATAGACAACCATCAGAAGTTCAATTCAACACCTTGTACACATATAGCAATGTTTAATACAGCTAGGAGTCCATTGATGCATTTAACCTTCCCGAAGATCAATCATGAGATTCATGAGATCTGTAGCTCACATCGTTAAATCCTATTCTGTTTATAGCACCATACAGTTTATGCCACACATCAAAGAGCTCTCAGCGCTCACCCCCTTATATCAATGATGTTCAAATAGCCTGGGTTCATTCCCATTGGACAAGACACCCTTATCAATCCACCTTCTCTAGCAAATCATCCTCAGTTTTGAGACCAACCGCCTTTGAACGGTATACAGGAATTGTTTAAGGAAAGATTGATCCTTTAGGATTGGTGGAAACATCACAACACCATGCTTTCGCGAATTCATTTTGGGCGAGAAAAAAATGAACGACTTCAAAGAAAACAAAATAAGGTAATACTGAACATTTTTGCAACTGGTAAAGATCACCACTTTTATTACTACCAATCCATTAAAAGATACCAGAAGAGAAAGATTATCTGTGACAATCAACATATCTCCCCAAAAATGGCTTTGAAAGAACTTCCAGAACTAAGTGAGTAGGCTCAACATCTTTCAAATTCAACCCCCTTGAAATTAACATCATCTAGTTTCTCATGAAGAGATGAAGGCAAATAAAATCCCACTAGAATGGCGTGATAGATGTGCTGCACTATGGATCCCATTGAATAAATGTCGTAGAGAAACTGCATTTATGCCTTGGAAATGTGTTCAATTAAGACATGATTATGAACATTGTCAATATTTGGATTTTAAAAGACGTGTTAAAGAGATGGAAGAGTTGGAGGCTGCAAATTGAGTGGAAATGAAGCCTTATTTATACTTATTTATTTATTCATGATTATTTATTTATTACTATATTATTTATTAAGTTCGGGATGATGAACTTTTATTTATTCAAATTATTTTATGAGCAACTACACTGATTGTAGTATCTGGATCCTCTACACTAACAGAAATCACAACCAAATTGAAAAATAGTATTATAATAATCTAAACATGACAAATTAGTTATAACTAATATTAAAATAGTACAAAAAAAAGATGAATATATATGAATATGTATGAATGTAAAACAAAATGTCAATTGGAAAAGACAAAAACTTGTATGATTGATATATTAAAGAGTGGAATTAATGATTTTTTGAATCTTTAATGGTCTCACTATGATGATGAATATGGTGATGCAAAGAAGAAGGTGAAATTGGTGATAAAATGACACCTTGTTGCTGTTGTTGTTGCTGCAAAGTTTGTGTATGTATAGGATGTGGTGAATTAACTTGAAGAGGATGTATTTGTTGTTGGTGATGCTGCATTAGCTGTTGTGGTGGTTGTGTAATGAATTGCTGAGGAATATTACCAGGTGGTAAAATCACAGCACCAGGTTGTGGTTGTTGATACATTGGTGGTGATATATGTAATTGTTGTGATGGATGATTGAAATGTGGAATGACTAATTGAGGAGCATCATTAACAGAGCTGCGTCTTTTGAATGCATTCTTTTTGATAACTTTATTAGAATTGATGGCATTGGCAGCAGCTTCAGGACCATCTCTTTTCAAGATTTTAGCATGAAATAACCCACAAGCATTACACAAAGTTCTTGCCCCATTTGGACCTTTCCTCCATTCTGGAGTCTCTGTTATTCCACATCGTTGACAAAACAATGGGGGTTTCAATTTGTTTTCTTGTTGGAACTTGGATAAACGGCGGGTATATGTTCTTTTTGGTTTAATTTGGTGATGCTGAGATAAATGATGTTGCGTTGTGGTTGTATAATGTGGAGCTTGTTCCATATGTGGACCAGGCATATAGTATGGATGTGGTTGATGTTGAGCAAAAGGTGGAAATGGTTGATTAGTCTGTACTGGAGCTTGAGAACCTTGTGGAGGAGGAAGTTGATGAAACTGAGGAGGTGGAAAAACTGGCTGTTGTTGCTGAGGTGGAACAGCTTGATAGTACACAACATGCTGTTGTTGCTGCGTTACTGGAGATGGATGTTGAGATCTATTGATTTCAGATTGTGAACTGGTGGATGAATTTGACGGATCATTATTTTTGGTGAATATTTCAGCAGCAACATGTAGATTATTCAGCTCTGGATTGGAATGAGCTCTTTGGTTGTAAGTCAAAGTTGGTAAACTTGGTGAATTGGTGTTGATTGTTATTGGTTGTCTTAGTGATGAGGCTATACTTGAGATTGAAGGTAAACGAACTTTTTTTGGTTTTGATTGATCATGTTCAGCTTCCACACTTGATTCTCTATCACTATTATCTGATCCAGAAATTCGTCTTGAATTTAAATGCTTATTCCCTGCCATTGAATATGGATTGGCATAAGATGATAAATCGGAAGTATGAGGGATGGATAGTGTGTCTAATTTAATCATTAGTTAGACTTTGTGATTATGAATGCCAATGGGGGTATATGTTTCCACCGGGTCAATTTAATGTTATTGTAATGATGATGATCCAACTCTGAAGAGGTTAGTTAGTTTTATATATTCTTTGAATTGATGCTCCAGGTGTATACCCACTATTACTTGTAATTGACAAGAATCTAAATTGTAACTGATCTATTATTAGTGTATGGGCGATGAGCTAGTCAATGTAGATTTCTAGATCCCGGTTCTTGTTTTTCAGTTTGATCAAGAAACGTTTAATTCTTGTTAGGATCCAGCTGTCAAAAAAGGCCCCAACTCCACTGCTATATATATTCAATTAGCCATGATTAATCATGATGAACATTTTCTCACCAGCTCATGAATTTAAAGCCCAAATGCATATTGAATGCTGTACATACGTTCGCTAATCCCAAAAATTAAAAATTGTTCCTCTTATCGTGAATTGAAATGCGGTCGCATGCGCTGTACACAGGACAGCTGTACATTTAAATTTTGGTGTTTCAAACTTTTCTGCAGGAGGCTAAGCTCCTACTGAAATTTGCTACACCCACACTCAGCGGCATACAGCTTACATAACATGCTTGCAGATTCTCAGACTCCAGAGAAGAAGTCTAGTCTGAGATCTCGTAACACGCACATGAGCAAGGTGAAGGTGGCTCTAACTTCTTGGTGCAGCATCGGCTAGTTTCGTTTGATGACTTTTTATTGTTTTTTTTGTTCTCGCTTGGGGGAAGGTGCTCAGAATAAGGTCTAGAATGTACGTTCTTGATGACTTTGATAATGGTTGTTGAAGAGGTACAACATTTGTACAGGTTGAGGGTACAGCATTAGAGTTCTGACAACGGCTATTTGGATAATTAAAGTCCGCTGGAATTGTACTCGTTGGAATATAGACTAAAGTTTAAATATTGGTGAACCTTCAGCCAAAGCATGAGTACATATGAGCATTTTAACTGTCTTTGAGCTTATGTATGCTCCACTCTATTATGAACTGGTATTATAACTAGTTATATTTAGCCAACTCGATTAATGCATGACTATATTTTGTTGCCTTTACAACAATTATTTAGAAGGACTTTGGCAAGTGATATCACTAGCCTCGTTGAACATCGTTATTTACCCACGTCCTAGAATCTCATTTTTCAAATATGTAGCCTAATTGAGGGCTTTTTTTCGTTAGATTAGGAACACTACAACTGCTTGACTGTGTTGTAACTTGTAACTGCCTTGTAATATCTATAGATTGATCTTACATAGGATAAATGAAGCGATCTTTAGTGCCTAAAAACAACATCCTTAGGTGGTGTACAGGGAAGATCAACAGTAGTATATGTACTTTCATCATCACTATGATCCACAAATACACATCTGCTTTATTAGATTAAAGACATGGTCAGCATATCCACGTCCTTGAACTTTGGTACACATCTTTTTCACAAAAATGTTGTACATGTACTAGAATTGATGTAGCCAGTGTACCTCAAAGCATGAACTGCTAGTCTAAGATGGTCAAAAAATAAGCAGAAGAAGTAACATCTGTATTTTATTATCTATTACAAGCCGTTAAGAACATGAGTGACTCTTCTAGCATTGACTCTTGTCTCTTGTCCAACTAGATCTCACTAATGACCGTATGAAGCTTGACAGAAACCCGAGGCTAAACTTTTTCCAGATGGGTAAACATTAATCAAAAGCTCTTAAACCCTGTTGAAATAAATAATAAACATATTAGTTACTCTGTGACGCGTCTTGCAAAATATTCATACCTCTAATTGTTGATTGTTGTGAACGGTACAGATTCCGAAGGGATTTCGAGACAAGTTTAACATACTATTATTATTCACAGACGCATGGCACACTTGAACATAGTCAGTGGTACTCCTTCAATATCCATCGACTGATTTTGAATGAGCCTTGTATTACTGGTAGACGACGACCTTTGAGAGTACGCGTTTATTCACTTCGAAAAGTAAGCCCATAGTGTACCTAGATGCTGTATAAGTTCCTAGTTACCCATTACTAGGAACATGATCATCAAGATTATTTTAGTTCATACATATTGTTCCATCTAGCGAATAACCAGCTGTTCAGAATCATACAGCTCATGTATATGTTTTCCCAGTTCACTTTCATCAACTCTTGAACAACAAATCTCGATAATTTCAGAAATCAAAATGCAGTATTGTTCATGGTTCCTAGAACAATCGAAAATTATTAATTCAATATTGAAGTACGTCGTACTTGACCAGCTGGAGTTTCCCTAACACGAGCTTACCTCGGCCAGAACGCACCGTAAGAGTTGCTTGCCTGAAGTTGAGCAGTTAATTAGCGAGAGTTTTCGATCTTGTCTAGACGAAGAACTTCAACATAATCATCTACGTACGTTGACCAGGATCAGGTCTCCAACATGCATTCGAGCCGAGTTCCAAACCATCTTCATAGAAAGAATATTCTATAACACACATGAATCATAATCCCACAGCCTAGCTTATAAGCCTGAGGCAGGTTCACGTATAGAAGAGTTTGTGACATTTTCAATCTAGATAATTAATATTTTTTGAAGATCAATTGTCTTCAGCTACAGACCCCTGAAGTCGGAAAGAACTACATAGCCGTTGATTCTTCAAATGGTGAGAAAGGAATAACTGGGTTCTGTTTTCAAACTGAAGCTTGTCAGCCTCCGCAGCTTATAGCTGGTCTACCTTCAACATACGCTTGATCAACTTTGTCCTGATGTTGAAAAGCTTTCTCTTGAAACGTCGCGGTCGGAGATTAAAATCAACATCATGATTCTTTTTAAGTTTTTTATCATCATCATCACATCAAATTGAATCGAAAGCCTTGCATCGTATATGTCAAATCTCTTAAAACATGTGCATTGTGTTATCTATGTTGCGGTGATGTACATTACAACTTCAAAGGCGTTAGAAGTTGGAAGGTGTGTATAAAGAGTTTGACAGCCTATTCATCTTTCAAATAAAGATCTAAAAGGTTTGAATCGTGGAGAACTTTATGAGAGTTTGAATTCATTGAAGTGAGCACCACTCAATATCAATGATCAGTGGCAACTCAACAATGTTCTGAATGAAGGGATCCAGGTTCCAGACTTCAGTATATATACAAGGCATCCTGATCAGAGTCAATACAGCAAAGAAGTTTAAGGTTAGATGAAGTTAAACGTTGTGAACGACATTGTGCAAGACAGGCGGGAGCTTGATTTAACGTTCGAAACTTTAGATATTTATTGTGCTCACTGCAAAGCAACTGAATTGCAGGGATTTGTAATTTGATTATTGCTTACGTATCGCAACTGCAATTCCTGTCGTTAAATCTAATCAAGATCTGGGTTGGCATGCAAGCAGGCAGATTATTTATTAACCAACGCGAAAGATATAATTAAAACTCAACTATTATAAGCCAGAAGTTGTTGATGAGTGGTCTGAGTGTCATCTTCACGTCCTCAACATCAAATATAGCTTACACTTCATCAGAAGACGCTCAGGTGATTGGTACCTTGAGGGTCGTTTTAACGTTAACGTTGAGGGTTTTCCAACTATTTTTAACCTTTATACATACTTCAACATCATTCGCCCTTCGATCTTGATCAAGCTAAAGAATCTTCTGTATCAAGGGTTATTTCTCAAACAAAAAAGTTATAGGTAGCTACACTCCAATCATACTATCTTTTTGTTTTCTTCTGTACACCCATTACCAACTACGTTAGTCTTTGAGAGAAATTTCAAATCAAGGTATAAGCTGAACATTGAGGAGTTTGACTACACTTCTATTACTCAAAATTTATGGAGCTCACTCTACAGCTAGTTCAAACCGGTACTATTACATTTGGATACCAGCTTCGATGTTCATGTAATCATCATCTGATTTTAAACCTTCTAAGCTCAATTCTCGATGCTAACTTCCATACAATAGTACAAATTGAAGTGGAGGTAAACTCAACAAAGCACTAGATTGGATTAGAGTCTTAAACAACATACGGGTATCAATCTTGAATTTTGGCCATCATTTCATTGAAAAAAATCCATGTTTAGTGCCATATTATTGAGCAAAATTTAATCAAGCATGATGCATTGACTTGAGCAATAGTTCCAGATGAATTAAGCTAAAGAACCGAATCAAAACAACATCCTCTTTGGTCTGTTGTCAATTACTTGAACTCAACCAGATTTCCAGATCTTTGAATAGAGCTTGTCAATGTCTTTGTTCAAGATTAAACTGTGCTTCAATGTAAATCTTCATTACAAGACACTCTTCTGGTAACACATTTGAACAAGGAACAAGGCGATGGTCGAGTGCACGGCGTAAAGAGCTCAACTAATAAGCAACAAGAGAAGAGTAATCTCAAATGGCCCACTAGGTTACTTCTTAAAAGAAAACTGGAATGTAGTTCACGTTGTGAATAGAAGTCTAATATTTTTCAAGCTAAAGCGATAGATTGGCGGTCCATAGAGCTGCACCTCATCGTGGGATCAACTACAATGAGCATCGGTTCCTCGAACATTCTCACGAGCACTAGCAAAAATCTTGCAATTGATCAAAGAAATGCACTTGATTCCTGAATACACCCTCGGTCAATGGAGGGACTTCTTCCTTTGGGTGTGTGTAGGTGGGTTGTGCCTTGTTCTTTGCAAACCAACCAAAACCATCTCGACTCCTGACACCTAGCTGACTGATAATTCAATTCACTTTATAAATCATACATTTCGTACTAGCTGAATACGTTATAGTAATAACGGTCTTGTAACGAACCCACAGAATGGTGCTTCTGTACTTGTACAACAGGAAAATTCATTAGAGGGATTATCTTTATATGTCTTCTCCACATCGACTATGTAATATAGTTTTGATTAATCTTAATTGATATTAATTCAACGTCAAGCTAGCTGTGTTGCCAGCTAAACCTAGTACAAACAATTAAAATGCGATCAGGTTTAATAACAATAATAATATCTTGAAAAAACACCATGCTGGTTATTCAGTGGTAACTTCTACAACGGTTGAATACATCTTGTTGTATCTTTCGGTTAAAATCTTATACGACGGAAGAATTAATCTACTAGAAGCCATGATATAGGGTCAAGATCAAAATCATTCCAGAATCTTTGAATTTGAAATCAACTAGCAGTGCAAACCCTGGTACCGGGATATTTGCAGAAGCGCTTAAAGGATCTTAGATTGAATATGAACTGTATAACAAGTCATTGAGCTGAAAGGCAAGCTCTATAGGTTTAATGTTCATCCCCGTACAGGCTGACAGTTTTCCTGTGACTCTGTTCTCATAATTGACCATTCATGAGATCCTTTGGCTTTATATCATGACTTATAAAGTCATTCAAGAAAGTTCAATCCAGCTTCTTGTACGAAATTATTTTGCAGGTTTTCGTTATTCCTGTGTATGTTGAACAAGTCTTGTTATACAGTTATACATCTTGATACCCTGTTATAAAGCCGTTCATGCAGCTGAACTTTCATTATGGACGCTGTAGACCTACAAACCCCCCAATAATCATATGATTAAAGGTACAAGTCTTAAAGCCATAAACGATAATGGCATTATGGTAACACACAAATTACCAGCTGATCAGTGCAATTGGCCTCTCTTAATTATCTATTGCCAGATGAACCTTGGTATTGGTCAGTATGACATGATCGGACCCAGCGCTGACATTTTTGACTTTAATCTTCAGCATGCTACACATACACATCTGCTTATAATAAGCGAGCGCACAGAGCACATACAGCTAATCGGTCATAACATATCAAAGCACCACCTGTTTGTGTAGTCTGCAGTGTAAGCTGATTTTAAAATGCCGAAGAGCATGAAGAAAAGTTCCTTCGCGTTTTGCTCGGAGATTTATTTTAATTATGACATAAAAATATGCGGCTTAATTTGGTAACTTCAGCGATAGATTACGTCAGTGATTACTCATTACTTGATATGCTCAGCAAAATTTGGTTATACATAGTTCAAACAATCATTCTTGATTGAAGCAGCTAAGAATAATCTGTTAGGTCGAATAAGATTATGTTTATACCGATACTAATTTGATCTAGTTGCAGTACAGAGGTTATGTATTACTCTTGAGTCTTGATATAATGTATTAATGGTGTTTATCGCATGGGGAATATCATCAGTGGCTACCAATTACTACTGGTTGGACACCGGCCTTCATAAGTTACGATCACACTTCAAAAATAGGTGGGCTGTTGAGTATATAATTATGCATCCAGCTAATCCAGCTAAGCTAGAGCTGACCACTGGTAGAATCTTTATTACTTTTGGCTGTTCATTGCCAGCTCTATATCATGATCATGACCAATAGTGTATTGATTATGACTAGCTGTAAAAATCTAACCAATATTTACTGGCAATACTGCTTTGACTGATATGAGAACATCGCTGTTGGTATATAAGTTGGTTGATAGGAGAACTACTCCATGAGCTTGTTTGATGCTTTAGCGGCTAAAGAGAACATCTATATGAAGTCTGGACTCATGTATATAGCTGGCTTGTCTGCCTTGATTGAACAGCTATTGGTTTTAGGTTTGGTTAGCTTTTAGTTCTAGGTTCACAGATGAAATGATTAGTTAAGATGATAATTTCAGCTCCAGGAAGTGTATAAGAATACAGGCTAATTCCAGTTCTGAGAACTGAGGTCGTCTGTTGTGAACTATCTTGCAACAGTCAGAAGGACCAGAGATACACTAAATATCTGTAAGAGAACTCATCATGTCAACTAGAAGAAGTACTTCCACTAGAGATGCTGCTGATGCAGCTACTACTGAAGAGGCTCAGGGTCAAGAGGTTTCAGGCGGTTCTTCGCAAATACTAATGCTGTCATATGTCTAGTGCAATATTGTTGATTATAAGTTGCGGCGTTTGTGGCGACATGACGCAGCCTCATCCCAGTCGAACTACAGAATAAAGGATAACTAATTTGGTTAATTTTATCCAAAATTAACTTATACAACTATTGGTTATTTCCCACTTGCTGATCACTGCTTCCAGAAGTTGAACGAGCTGTTCTGCAACATGTTCAAAGACGTACAACAATACGTACAACAATACGTACATATCAAGTCTATAGGCTATTCAATGTGCCTTCTTCACGTTAGATCAATATCTAGACAGTTAGTTAGTAATCTAGCGACACAGCTATTCTCCAGAGCCGCAGAAACAGATTGACGTGTATTATTGTTTAACCTGTACCGGGATCATTAATCTGCGCCATATTATATTGACTTTGAGATTAACAAATTATTGTATAACGTGGAAAAAGGATATCTTGATATTGGCGCGAGTCCATAGACTGGGCTGTTCCAAATTCAAGTTTTGTGGAAAGCCAGACTAATAATTTAAGTTCCTTTCAGTGTACTTCCTGACTCCATTGGCCTTTAGAATTGGCGTGGTTAGTGAATCCGGAGTCAAATCTTCCCGAGCATGCTCAAACTTCACAACCACTTTCCTTGAAAAAACCAGATGCATAGTGGATTATGATGCAGAGGGCTATAAAGTATAATAGGCTTACACAAACCTGGATTTGGACCAAACATTTCTCAAAGCGTAAGCTATCAAAAAAATCATCGAGTGAGAGTTGAACAAGTTGCAACCATTTATATTTGAGCACCGCACTATTGACCCAAGTTCAATATTAAGTGATATTTTGCAAAATGATACGCGTAAATCTCCTGCGACATGTAACGGATGTTAAATTATAGACAGCAACACCCAAGATGTCTTATGTGTCCGTTCAAATGAGAAAGAGATGGCTTTCAATGATAGAAAATGAGATGGGTTTTGAAGCCATGCGTGTAACGGTTCAACAGAGTACACATGGATTTATATCCCACCAGAAATCAAGCCGCAAGCCAGATGAGCATAGGAAACCGAGGGGAAAATGCACCAGATTAATGATTCAAAATGTTGCGGAACCTGGCTTCAGCTTTATTCCATAACCCAGCTAGTATCATTATTGTTATAGTGTGAGTGAACAATTCTAATATCAAGTACTTGAATTAAAACAGCTGCCTCATAATTTGAAAATATTCTGCCATTTTTCTGTGCAATTATCCCTTCTTAAACTTTTAGCCGACCAGATTGAACACCAATATGGCTAGAAAATAACACCTACAGAAATGAACACAATGTATGTAAAGCATGAAAACCAAGGCATCACATTATTCTTATTTATTTGGTCCCTCATGAAAACGTATTCCGTTCAATCTTCACCTGCTGGAATTTCATCCTTAAGTATCTTGATTAATTTCAATCTTAATTCAGTACTTGAATCACCACGTAACACGTCACTAACAAAGTGAGCTTCAACTTCCAGTTGGACCATTTCTAAAGCACCTTTCAAAACACCAACTAATACATTTGAATACCACAATTCTTTTACTGCCTTCCCATCATCGGGCAATTCAACAAATTCAGCCAGTGGGTTCTCATCCAATATCAAACTGAATGTTTTACCGTCACTTGACCAATTCGTTACTGCTGGTGTGATATTTAGGAATATTTTGAAACCAATCTTGGAGATAACTTCAGCAGTTTCTTTAAATGACACACAACGTCCTGTTCCTGTCTTACTCAAAAAATCCTCTATGAGTCTTATACCTATATTATATCCCATCTTTTCCAATTGTTGGTTTACTTTGTTATAATCACTTTTGAAATCACGCACCAATTGAGCAACAACTGAACCATATGTCAATGTGAAAAGTTCAGAGTTCTACAATTTTTAGTTAGTGGACTCCTCTTTTGATTAACATCGTTGAGAGACAAGAACTTACCACTTTATCCACTCTATTCTTCCATATATCATCACTTGCTACTCTGATTGATTTACTCATTTCTGTATGTCTTTACCCCAAAGTCTTGTATTGAATTGCGTTGAAGTTACCAATCGTTACACGGTACAACAAAAGTTGACGTTCAGTTTTTTTTTTAATTTTTGGATCGAAAATTAAAAATCGGTTTCAGGGACACACCACTATAAAGATCAGGAAAAAAATTGGTTATCGATTTTGTTTATTCATTCATCTATTCATCATTGTCTAACAAGTTTTCGAGTACTTTTTGATATTTACCATTGGTGGCGTTATTGGCTCTTCTCAATTTTCTTTCGGCTTGCTTATAAGCATCTTCTTGTTCTTCACTTTCATAATCATAAAGATTACCTAAACTTATAATGGCTTCAGCAACATCAACCCAAGTTTGAGGATCTTCTTCATCTTCAGCCTTCTTGAAAAATTCAACAGCTTGTTTGGTATACTTGATGGCTTGCTTTCGTGCTTCTTTGGCAGAAAGACCATCCATTTCAATGTCATCTTCAACATCTGAATCATATGTAATGGCTGTAAAGATATGGGAAGGTTTTTCTGCAGCTTGTAAGAATAATTGACCAATTTGCGCCGAAACAGATTTGTAAAACTCAAGTTTTTGTCTTTCTGAAACTTTTAATGATTTCAATTCCTTCTTAGACAATTCTTCAAAATCTTTTGTGATGAAATCACCGAAATTTGAACCATGCTTGATTAACCAATCAAAATATTTTTCATGATTCTTACGAATCTTATATAATGGATGCTTCTTAGATAATTCAACTTCTTTTTCTTCACCTTCATATTCATCATCACTATCCAAACCTTCAGCTATATCTTTCTTCCCAAAATTTTGAACAATATCTAATAAATCATCTAAAGCTTTTAAAATTTCAAAAACATTAATATCTAACAATGCATAATTTTCTAATAATTTAACAGATTCCTCAGCTTCTTCATAGTTCTTTGTGGCTTCATCCAATAATTGGTTTAGTTTCAAATCATCTTTTGAATTCAAGTCTAATTGTGAAATGTATTCTAATGGGATTCTACTTATCAAAATACGACTTTTAGCAAATTTCAACTCGATAGAGTCTGGGTAGTGGTCTTGACCCAAATCAACACGTTCCAAAGCAGCTTCGAAATAATCCTTGATTGATTTACCATCAACTTCATCATCAGTGTGGAAGACGGCCAATTCACTTAGGGCAACAGCATAAATTGAATGAAATTCAGCAGGTAATTTATTATCTTGTTGTTGGTTTCTTAACAATCTGTCACATTCATGAACTATACCATTCAAGACTAGCTCATTATCTCTTTCATAATTGATATATGTGTTCCAAAGAGCTTTCAATTGGGCTAGTTCATCATCCGGATCCACTTCCTCGTTCAGCTCAACAGTAATTTCGTTTGACTTTGGTTGTGGGATAGCTTCTTCTTCAGCAGCTGGTGCTTCAGATTCTGGAGTTTCTGTCTTTTGCTTCTTACGTTGCTTAGCAGCTTTACCTAGACCTAGAGTTCTTTTAGCCATTTTTTTTATAATATTACTTAAAAGTTACAAACAAAGAAAGATCCAGATGAAACGATTCAAGATATATGTCAAAAATTTTCAGGTATAAACATCAGCTCATCGTTTCGCGCCAAAAAAAAAATAAAATTGAAAAATCAATTCGCGGAATAGTTTTTGTCAGTGCCACACACTAGCCACAACATTGCACGTGACTTTTGCTGATAAGATGCCAGAGGCCGATTGAAAATTAATACTCATCAAGATTTTTTTTCCACTCTTCTTCTTTACAACTTATCTGGACCATCATTACAAGTTAGCTCAGGAATCATGTCCATACTAACATCACTGAATTGTCAGGATGAGGTCCATCTATTTGTTGGTGTATCAGGGTTAACTCATTCAAGAGTTCAATCAGTTTTGTCCAATAAAGCTCATCCAATAATAATCACACATGATCCAAATGTTTCAATTCCTACAAATCTTAAGAAATTGGTTCATGAGAATAAAATTCCATTATATGAACGCCAATTTGATTTAGAAACCGACTTGCTCACTTTGGGACGTTCAAAAGTCGGGAAAATCGTTGATAGATTGTATGTGAATCTTTCATCAAATTATTCAATATTCAAACAACAGATATTTGAGAAATGTCAAATCTATAGAATACCCATCAACACCACTGAATCGTCAGATCTATCAACATTCACATTATTATCAAGTTACTCTGATGGTGATTTTCAATTTGGTGTTACTACATCTGGTAAAGGCTGTAAGTTAGCCAATAGAATCAAGAGAGAAATTGTTTCACAATTACCTAAAGATCTAGGAAAAGTTTGTACAACAGTTGGTGGAATAAGGCAAAGAATAAAAGAAGAAGATAGAGTGAAATTAGCTGAATTATATAAAAATGATTATGAAGAATTTTTAGATTTAGAGTCCGGTGAACATGAAGAAGATTCAGTTCAAAATTCAAGATTTAATACCTTTATTAGTGAGTTCAATATGACTGAAGCACAAAAGAAACTACAAAGATCAAGATGGCTATCACAAGTTGTTGAATATTACCCATTTAGTAAATTAGCATCATTATCAATCGATGATTTATCAACAGCTTATCACAATTCAAATGACAACGAACAAACAAATAATAACCAAGGAGCAACCCTATCTCAAAGTATACCGAAAGATTTTTCGGGTTCATCTAATGAACCAAACCCAGTCGTTTCAGATACAGCATCAAAAACCAATTTGGAAACAAAAAAGGGCTCCATTTCATTAGTCGGGGCAGGACCAGGATCAGTTTCTCTTTTGACATTAGGAGCATTATCAGAAATCAATATAGCAGATATTGTTCTTGCAGATAAGCTAGTTCCTCAACAAGTTTTGGATCTGATTCCTTCCAAGACTGAAAAATTCATTGCAAGAAAATTTCCTGGAAATGCTGAAGCTGCACAAGAAGAACTATTACAGATGGGTATTAATGCTTTAAGAGAAGGTAAGAAAGTTGTTAGATTGAAACAAGGTGATCCATACATCTTCGGCCGTGGTGGTGAAGAATATAAATATTTTGAAGAACAAGGATTTACACCAGTTGTTTTACCAGGTATAACTTCAGCTTTATCATCAACTGTGAATTCTAAGATTCCAGCCACACAAAGAGACGTTGCTGATCAAGTCTTAATTTGTACAGGTACAGGAAGACGTGGTGTTTTACCTAACTTACCAGAATTTGTTAAATCAAGAACAACTGTTTTCTTGATGGCATTACATAGAATTAGTGATTTGGTTCCAGAGTTGATTGCTAAAGGATGGGATCCAAAAGTTCCAGCTACTATAGTGGAAAGATCTTCATGCCCAGATCAAAGAATTACAAGAACTAGATTGGAAGATCTCGTTGACGCAGTTGAAGCTATTGGTTCAAGACCACCTGGATTATTAGTTGTGGGGTACGCATGTGAAGTTTTGAATAAACCTTTAACTGAGAGATGGGTTGTTGAAGAAGGGTATGAAAGTAATGATTCTACTGTATCAGGTATCTTGGAGTCCTTAAAAGCATAAATAGATATAGAATTCTGTGATTCCTAGTTTATTATAGTAGTGCCCGATGTTCAAAAAAATCAACAATTCCGAAGGACTTAAAAGGGAGATAAGTTTTCGAAACTTCCACCATTTCCAAAACACCAATATCCAACGAAAATACCTAAAAGAATGTTTACTAGCACATTCAAAAGACAATTGATTCCCACTTTTAGTAGGGCATTACACTCATCCTCTGCGTTGAGGACCAAGGCCCATGAAGCTGGGTTTGTTTTCGAGTAAGTTTCCATTTGGGTAATATAAAGTTTAATCTAACAGATTTCACAAGTATGGATGGTGTTTTAGTGAAGGGTAAAAAGGCGATTCCAAAAGCTAAAGAAGCATTACAATTGTTGGATGAGCGTAATATCGCTTGGATCTTAATGACTAATGGTGGGGGTGTTTCAGAAGCTCAACGTGCAGAGTTCTTATCAGAAGAATTAGATTTAGATATAGATATCGATCAAATTGTTCAAAGTCATACACCATTAGTCACTTTACCTAATAAATCAGAGCAAAAAGTCTTAGTCATTGGAGGTGATGGTGACAAGAGTCGTAAAGTTGCTGAAAATTATGGGTTTGGACTAGCATTAACACCAGCTGATTACATCAAGACAACTCCTGCGATTTGGCCATTCCATAGAAAAGAATTGCTAGAATTTGGTAGAAATTTACCTGGTATTGATGATTTAAAAATTGATTCAATCTTAGTTTTCAATGATCCAAGAGATTTGGGTACTGATCTTCAAGTTATCTTTGATGTTTTGAAAAGAGACCCAAACACACCTGTTATTTTTTCAAATAATGATTGGTTATGGGCTAATGAATACAAAGAACCAAGATTTGGTCAGGGTGTTATTAGATTTATCATTGAACAAATGTATAAAGAGATTCACGGGAAAGAGGCTAATAGAACCATCCTTGGTAAACCTACAAAAGTTGCTTATGATTACGCACATCACATATTAATCAATAGATCCATTCATTTGAACCAGATATCTGATATTCCTAAGTCTAGCTTGACACTAGGTGAAGAAATTAAGGGATCACATATCAAACAAGTGTTCATGGTTGGTGATAATCCAGCTTCTGATATCATTGGTGGATACAATTATGGCTGGAACACTGCATTGGTGAGAACAGGTGTGTACAGAGACGGCGATCAACTACCATGTAAGCCAACAGTGATAGCAGATGATGTTTATGGAGCAGTTCACCAAGGTATAAAACACTTGGGATTACTTTAAAATGAATAGAAACAATAAAATAAATAGAATCAAGTTTATATTTCCGAGGGTTTTATCAGCGTTTCACGTGACCATATACACCCCCCGTAACTCGCCATCAGGGCTTTCTCGATTTCGTCATTTCTTTTGTCATTTTCTGTCAGAAGATCAAATTGAAACATCACCATTTCACCATTCTTCTTACGATATTACTCACCTGCTCAGCTATTTTGCTAAGGATAAAGCTATCAAATCTCTAGACAACTACCATACTACTGCTATTAACTCCATAATGACTGAACAACAACAACAGCAACAACAACAAAGCTCTGCCAAAGATTTCTCTACATCTCCGTCAGATTTGCCATCCAGTGGCACCTTATCAGCCAACCCACTATCAACAACAACTTCAACTTCAACACCATCCACCAACAACGATACCACAACTACCACAGCCAAGGAATCCTCTCCTCAACCTTCTTCCAATAAGGTAACTAAACCAATAACCAAAAAAAAATCGAAAAAACTATGTCATTACAAGAGTTGTACTAATCCTCATTCCATAATTGGTGATTGTACTTTTTGTTTCAAGAAATTTTGTACACGTCATAGATTATTAGAAGCTCATGATTGTGAGCATTATAGAGATGTCAAGAATGATTATCATGAAAGAAATGCTAAACAATTACATTCCCAACAAACCATTTCCTCAAAAGTTTAAGCTGGCTCTTTTGCTTTGATAATGTTTTCCCTATTGGTGGCGATTTCGGAAAACAACATTTTTATGATGAATCTTGTGGATTTTAAAAACCCACAGTAATGAAACTTTTTTTGGATTAGGTTGGAATGTTATTTATTTTATTGGCTTTAATATTGTTTGGATTCTTTTTATTTTTTTAACTTGATATTCTCTTTCTGATGTTGCACTTTTTATCTTTATTTACTTTTTTTTTATACAATTTGTCATACTATACAAGCATTACCCATATTATATCACTATTGTCTTAATATTTGTTTTGAATACAATAATAGAAGTGATTTATATTTTGAATTTTTGTAAAAATTACGTTTGCTTTCCAATAAATATAACATGTACTTTTTTTTCTCTCTAACTATACAAGAATGTGTGACGCATTCTTCCCAATGAAAGCCTTTTTAAAAATCAAATGAAAACCAAAATATAATACCCTAAATTTATAAATCATCATCAATACTATCCAAAGTGATAGCTTGACCTGGTTTGAAAGCCGGAAGCCCTAAAAATGGACATCCTGAACATCTAAAAGCATCACCTAATGAACATGAACCACAACCACCAGTTTTACCCTCCACGGTGAAATCAATTTCAGTAAGCTCTTTAGCGCTGAATTGAACTCTAGGTTTAATAGGTTCTTGTTCTTCATTGCCAAATCCAAATGCTTCTTTTTCAGCCAATCCACAAGTACAGTCTTTACAAGCTTTTCTTCTCTTTTTGCCACCATTTGAATTAGGCTCTCTTAGACAAATTATTGAAGATGTATTTAGAGATGATTCAATCAATTCATCTTCATTAATTAGTTCATCATCTGACTCTTCGGAATCTTCACTGAAAAATCTCATTTTTTTCTCCGTAACTTCAGGCGTTGATAATTCAGGCAATGATGGTGTTGGAGATGGTGATTTCATAGGTTCATCGATTTCAACTTTTGGTTTATTTAATCTTTTAAATTTCAAACTTGATAATTTTGAATTCTTTAAACCTGATCCATTTGTGGATTTTTTAGTTATTGGAATAGCTGAGCTTGATCTTAGACTTTGTTTGATTGAAGGGTGATTAGGTATTGAGCCATTTTGACCATCTTGATCTAGATAATAGATGAAATCATAGTTATTTGGTTTTAATTCAACTTTATCCAAGACAATATTTGATAATAAAAATTGGTCAATATTTGAACCTGTGTGTAGTTGTGAAATTTCTTGCTTTTTGGTTTTGACAATTTGTTCAGCCTCAGGAAGTGCAACAAAGTTATGGTTCAATATTAAAAGAACGTTTGAAGACATTGTGTGATGTATTTATAATGTAATTCTCAGGTTGTATTTCACCTGGATATATCTGAGAGTATAACTTCTGGTAATTTGAGCAGAGACACTTGATTTTTTGAATGTAATGAAATACTTCTCTTGATAAATGATGAGACTTCACGCGTATTTAAAAGGACCGAGCTGAATTATGAAAAGATGTGATGTTGATGGGTATTAATAAAGATGACAATTTCGAGCTGAATATATTTTTTTTCTCCTGATGACAAAAAGCAAAAAAGCGTGCACTCTCCAAAATTCGAAGAATTTCAAAGACCGAGATTCAAAAGAGAAATGAGCCACAGTGAAATCAATCGAGTGAGAATTATGAATTTGTTGTAACAAATGGATAATAATGATGGATTATACCAGTTATTTATAGCTTGTTATCTACTCTATGCTATCAATTGTGCCTGTTTCTGTTCCTGGTTAAACCGTCCATTTTTTCCTGATAAAATAATTTCCACCGGATTTATCCTCCACTGTTGAAAAAATGATTTGTTATCTCTTTGATCTGAGTGGACAGAATCAAAATACATTGAACTTGAACATGGCAACTTTCCAACACCCAGAATTAACAATAACAACAGGCAGTTGGATATAATAATTACTGGGTAATGAGAATCAATGTTATCCAATTAGAAGTATTGACTACACTCATGATTCTACAACTGTTCAGCAATAAATGTAAAGATTGTTCATAGAGTACATTTGGCAATATTGACACATTATATGTAGAAATTGAGAAATGACACCAACGCTCACTCTTAACGATGAATTAGATGAAACAATTATGGACACAACCAGCTGTGTACATGATTAAAAAAAATAACATTAAAAAAATATTAAACGAACTGAATGTATTGTAATGACATGTTGAACATTGTGACCATTGATGAAGTGAAATCAACTTTATTGTTTTCTTTGCTGCTGCTGTTGTTGTTCCAATTGATCTTCTTCTGCAACAGTAACCTTCCTTATACCTTTGGTTAATTGACTGACATTTTTATCTTTTGGTTTTTCCTCAAGTGTATCATCATCTTCATCATCTAATGCATTATCATCATCATCTTGGTCATCATCATCATCGTCGTCGTCATCATCGTCATCGTCATCATCGTCGTCATTATTTTCATCCCTATTCAGATCCACATCATCTCTAATGTCATCATCTTCATTATTATCATCGTCGTCATCATCTTCATCAGGATACCCACCTAATTTATGGACAACTTTATCAACAATTTCATTATAATCCATCATACCACCCATACCAATATCACCATTAATTCCAATGATTTTTTCAACTGGTTTTAAAACTTCAATCCATGGCATTTCTTCTTTAATTGTTTTCAAATGTCTTTTAGTTGGTGCTGAATTATATGCATAAGTAACCATTGATGGTGCCAATAAAATTGGATATTGGGTATTCCAAGCTCTAATAACATTTGTTAATAAGTTATCACATAAACCTAACCCAATTTTTGATAAAGTATTTGCAGTTAATGGAGCAACAATCAAAATATCAGCCCAACGACGTAATTCAATATGTAAAACAGGATCTGTACGATTTTTCCAAGTACCCCATTCATCACGATCTCTCCAAATTGTAACATTAGTACTAAAGTCATTTCTTGAAACGAAATGTTCAGCTGCACTTGTTAAAATTAATTGAATAGAGATTTTATCTTTACCATAAATTTCCTCCAATTTCTTAACAATCAACTTGATTTTACCTGATGCAATAGAACCACAAGCGCCAAATAAAATATGTAATCTACCATCATCTTGTGGTAATCTTGGATCAACATTTGGAGTTGCTTCTTTTTTACCTGTAACTGATTGAGGTTGACCTAATGAAGAAGTTGACTTATTCAATAATGGTAATCCATTTGAAGATTCAATACCAATACCAACTGTACCTGAATTAGTTGTGTTGGTATTGTTATTAGCATTTCCACCCTCCATAACTTCTCTGATGTTTCTGGATTCATTTGTGGTACTACCACTATTACTTCTTGATCTAACACCTCCATGACGTATAGTGTCTTCAACATAGAAATGAGCATGCATATCAGGACTTTTCAAATAATTTTGATGTTGATAGTTAGAACCTTCAATAGGTGAATTAATCGAGCTATCGCTTTGAGCTGCATGGAAAGGAGCACCTTGAGGAGAACTATTTGATGAACCACGATCTAAAATTATTGGTTGAGGTGTTGCAGATTTCTGATTATTTGCTGAGGAACAATTTGAAGATGAAGATGGACCACCAGTATTTGGACTTTCTGACCTTATTCTATCTCTTGCAGTGGCAGCAGCAACAGCGGCAACAACAGCAGTAGCAGCTGCTCTACCTCTTAACAGAGCGCCACCTGCTGGAACTGTGTTTTTGAACGAACTATTACTTGGACTATTAATCAGTCTTGAATGAGGATCATCTATAGTGACACCAGTTGGTTTTGGATGCTGTAATTCTTGATAACTTTCATTTTGTTTAGGATGTTGAGTTTGTTCATTATGTTCACCTTGTTGTTGCTCAAATGATGGAACTTGTTTACCATCACTTGGTTTGAACTCACTATGAATGATATCATTTATAGAATTGGAAGAAACATTATTACCAGTAGATATTCTAGTGTTTAAAATAGGTGGCGGTGAAGGACATTTCAAACTTGATAAAGCTAAATCTGTTGGAGTTGGTTGTCCATCACGACCGTTTAATGCCTTTAATTTGCTTAGTTTTGCCTCTTTTGCAGAGTCCAGAATATTACCTGATGCTTGATGACTATTTTGACGATGGAGAGAACCACTTTTAGATTGTAGTTGAGAATGCTTTTGTTTGATTTGCTCTTCCAATTGTTGTTGATATTGTGATGATTGTTCAGTAGGGCTGATTGTACTTTGTGCCTGGTTCAACAAATCATTTGGTGAAACCGCTCTTTTCTCAGTCATTTTGGATTAACCCAGTAACAATATGAATCTTCTAGGCAAGTTCTTTTATTTCAATTGGGTTGTTATTTCCAGTTCTTGTTGACTATCTTTTGTGGTTAAGCACTTTTTTTTGCCCTCTGATTACCACAATTTTTTTTTTCTGAAGGCAAACCACCAAAGAAAAAAATTCTTCTGTGATATTTTTTTTTGTTTGGAAGCTGGTGACGACGATCAGTTGGCAGGTTACGAATAAAATGAATTTGTTTGCAACAACAGCCTTTAAAAATTAGTTGAAAAAGATGAGTCTAGTAGTAGATTGAAATAAGTTCAAAGTATTGTACAATACTAGTGACTGATTATCAAGAACTCTTTATATCTTGGATGAACCGTGATTGCTTAAATACTCAAAAATGTGAAATTCTGGAATGACGTTGTGTTAAATCTTCTTAGCCAAGAAACTCTAGGCAGAAGCTAGAAGGAGCCCTGCCTAGCGCTAGACAGAGAACCTTTCTGCCTACGCTAGCCGACAGACCCCGTTAACATAAGGAACAAATGGAGCCCGTGCTCGAATGGCAGATGGCAATTAGGGCAAAATTAAACTAGTACATGATATTTGGTCTAATTTCTCAAGCGTATAGATTAAGCTTAAGGCAGATACCAGAACGTTAAAACGATCACTAAAGTCGTGACTCTTAAAGTCTATCGCTAGTCATTTGAGCTATTCCCCAGGGAACCTAATACTTAGCCAGGGCTTTGAAGACAAAATTGATATGATCAGTCATTTTTTGAGAAAAATGTAACCCAAGTTCATACCAGGTACTGAAATTAGTTCTCATTTGCTTCTAGTAGTGGATAGTACTGAATGGAAGAAGAACTTTTTATTTCTATAAACATCTGGTGAGCACTGGGTATATTGGTCATTTTGACCTAAGTTACCGGGTCGTTCAAATTGTCAGCTTTAAAATACTGTCAAATAATTGAGATGTGTACTTCAATTATCTGATAACTTGTACTCAAGTAGTCAACTCAGAGCCAGTTCTGTCAAATTATATCTGAGTTTGAAAAAACAATTCATCCTAATGGCACCGTATTTCTGGTGAAAGTAACCAATGGCTTGTAACAAAATGAATTAATTGGCTTCAATTTTGGAATCAAATTGAGAATGCATGGCCTAAAAATATGTAGCTGAAATAGATCCGCTACTTCATCAGTCACATCTCAAAATTATAGTTCCGTTGGTGACACCCATGCTTTGATGACTTTGAAACCTGCTCAAAAGCCACAAACACGAACATCTGCTTTGGATGGCTAGGTCACTTTCTTCAAAATCCGTAGATTCCTATGTACACCAGTTTATTCCTGACAACAAACTTTTCATCAATTTTAAAAGGAAAGGATGGTAAAAATCTGATTAGTAGTTCCAATAAAGAAATGAGCACAAGCACGACCATATCCTACCAACTTCCGAGCTTATTCCATTTGTAGTCCTCATAACCACCATACGGATGCAACTAATCATCAGCCTTGTTGAAAAGCAGTACCATGGACACCTTGATTTTGATTCAATCAATTAGCAGTCACAGACATTATTTTGAAGAGGCACAGACAACTACCTGAAGTAAACTCAAATTGTAGCTCATAGACTTTAGTCCAATCACGGTTGATAATTCCTTGGTTCTGAGTTGTTTCAACTTGTTCTATAATTAACACCCATGAAGCGCACATAAACCAACGCGAAAACCATAAAAAGCCATTCACGTGACCAGACTTTCCGTTTTCAGCTTCGAGTGTGTCTCCTACCGCGAAAGGCTGTCTGCCATAACCAGACGTGCACTCTGAGCCAGAACCAGATCCATTGTGCAGCAGATTGCGAGCTTGTTCTGGAGAGATTGGGATTGGTTTGAGGATGTAATAGTGATGGATATGAGAACTAGATAGTAGCAGACACTGGATAATTATCCACGATATACCCATCCAGTCACCTTCACCGTCTTTTCACTCTGTTTTATTTCTCTTTTTCCAACGTTCGTGTGCGTTTATGGGGCGATTTCCGATTTATTCGCTGCACTTCATTTCTGAGCGTGTCACAAAAAAATTCAACGCGACTGAAAAGTTTTTGAGCCAGAACATCAAGACCATAAGAGGTGGGAAATCGTTACGTGATTGAGGACTAGTCACTGGATGGAAATTACACACCCAAGTGGTTAGACCTAGTAACGTACATAGCAAAAGTACCAGGCTTATTATGGTGTAGAAACTCGATTTAATTAGCAGTATTTGACAATAGGGAAAAAGTGTACCTTACAACCCACTTCAACATTCTCACTTACAACAACTATGGACAGCTTTATGAAATTTGAACAAGTGAATCGATCTTGAAACAATCCAAGAACCAGTGAAACGATTGCTGCTTCATGATGAAAGCTCAATTGTGTAATGGTGTTGATCTATATACAAAACTTTTTCACTCCGTGTTTGTTCATCTCGGTCTCGACTCCCAGCCTGCCTAGTCCTTGTAAAACCAAGCTACACCAAATCAAATTTTGGACCGTGTTTGTACTGAGCTGTGAACTGTCTTATGTACTGGATTCCACGCAATTAATTATATTCCAATTTTAGGTAACTACATCAACGGTTAATTTGTTCAAATAATTTGCATAATAATTAATTACCCAGCAATTTGATCCCAAAGAAGCTGTGAAATAAATACTGCTTGATCCAAATCTCTTGTTCTCACAACCACTACTTCAGGAGAAAGATCACAGTCAAACAACAACCATCTTCGCTATATTATCATCAAACTACCCAGTCCAATATTCGGTTACTATCAAATCTATTGTATACTCAATATTTGCTAGTCCAAGATCATTTTCACTTTGTTCATTTGCTTCAAGTACTTCAACTGATCCAAAACCACTACTGAAAATTGGATATTACAAACCAGTCAGCTCAACACTACAATCAGCCAACTATTCAACACTCCAATAATCATTTCATTGGTTCACATTTAGTCTTGTCTCCAATATACAAAATCACCATACATTTTGCCGGTTGATCTGATTTTTTTTTTTTTGCTGAGCCCAAAATCAATTTTTTTTCTGAGAGCTATACGCGTTACTACCGTTTTGGGAAAACTGAACAAAAGCTTTAAAACCTCCATCAACAGCCCATAATTGAATATCCAAGCTGTTCACTCTCCAAAGCACACACAGATGATGAGCTCTCCACCACATTTGCAACAACCTTTGGGTCTATCTCAGTACCAGAATATGCTCAACGAGTCGCCTGTCAAACCAGCTTCTTTTTATTTCAACAATGATAACAGCAATAATAATTTGAACTTTCAAGATGAAAATGGCTTTAGAAACTCACAACTAGACTTGGATCCACAGATTTCTCATCAATTCTTGTATTCTTCAAATGATGAGAACCAATACTCTTCAAATGGGATCCATGATTTTGTTCCTCCATCTCAAAATGATGATTCAAATTCCCAATTCTTACAATTCCCACCAAAATTTGAGAATAATGGTCAGCATAATAATGCCAACAGTTTCCAAGTTCAAGTTAGACTACAACAACAAGCTCAAGCTCAACAACAAAATAATAGTGGTCACCAAGGCCCATATTTACATTCATTCCAACATAACCAAAACCCAACTTCATCAACACCTCAAGTGAATCTTTATCCGGCAATGGAATTTGTACCAAATAGCCAGAGTAATAATAGTATAAACCAAATACCAGAATCAACTTCAACAAACACTATATCATCATTTGATTCAATGCCATTATTAACTTCTTCATTGGTGTCTTCTTCAATCTCTGATAATTCTATTGCATCACCAATATCATTCAACCATTCTGCAGTTACACCAAGACGTACAAATAGACGTCCATCATTCAGTGTCACTCCACTACCTTCAATCTATCAAACACCTGCCCAATCATCTGGTTTGAATAATGTTAATGGTTCAACAACTTCTCCAGTTGCATTGAAGAATGGTGTTACTCCAACTTCAAGACGTCCAAGACATAGAAGAACAAGATCAAGATTATCATTAGATGCAAATGGTGCTGCTTCAATCGTCACTATAAATCCATCAATTTCTTCAAACTCCATTAGATCTCCAGCAGTTAATGGATTGACTTCTGCTGGTGGCTCATTCAATTTGGGTAATGGTACAAATCCATTCTACACACCTCCTGCATTTTTATCACCTCATCAAGGCTCCCCAGCTACAACTCCATTAGCTACACCTTCTGTTGAGAAGAAACGTTCAACTTCAAACTTTGAATCAATCTCCCCTTCAATGTTGATGAATCCAGGTTCATTAACTTCATTAAGTCAAGGTGATGATCGTGATGAGGAAGATGAAGATGATGATACTGAAAACAATGATTCAGTGTTTATTGCTGCTGCTGACCTAACAATGAAATTAGCTTCAAAATTGGCATCACAATCAAATAATGAACAGAAATTCTTGTGTGATCCATTAAATGCTGAATTTGCAGGTTTGAACAGCTTGGTACCACCACACTTACAACCTACTCATCAAAAACCAAACATTTCAAGATCCCAATCATCAATAAACCTAGCATCAATCGCATCTTCATCAGAAAAACCACACACTACAACAAATCCAAATGATCCATATCAAGTTAAGCATTATGATATTTTACAACCTCGTAAAAAAATCCAAAAATCAAATTCAACAACAAATATTAATGAAGCTGGTAAGAAGCCTAAAAAGACACATTCTTGTCCTTTATGTGCTGCCGTTTTCCAAAGACCTGAACATGTTAAACGTCACATGAGATCTCATTCAAGTGAAAAACCTTATGAATGTGATGAACCAAATTGTGGTAAAAGATTCAATAGAGGTGATAACTTAAAGGCTCATTTGAGAAAGATTCATCATCGTCAAATATGATGGAGTTTTTGCATTCTTGTTGTTTGGTTTTAATTATGGTTTTATGTCGTGTTTTTGGTTTTTTACATTCATTGTTTTGTGTTAGTTTACTATCCTTTTACGTTGGGGTTTCTTATTCATCCTTTTATGCATTCAGTTGATCAATTCGGAAATGAATTGCATCTTCTTGTTCTTTTATTACTTTGTTGACTTTATTCTTTTTGATTATAGACGTTCTGACCATCTTTCCCAGTGGTTTTATTTATACATTCCTTTTTTTATATCCAAAAAATAGTTTTATTATTTGCTATGATTGTTTTGTTTTGTTTTTGAATTAGAGAATATATCTCATTTGGTGAATCCTGCAGGACCAGGTTATATTTTCAAGAAATTAGCTGTATTCATGATGATCAAGCTCAAACATGCAAGGTCGTTTATCATATAATGTTATTATTTCAATGTTATGATTAATTTATTGTTACAAAAAGCTTCGTATACATGGATTGATCACATAAATGAAATTGAACATTTTCTTTAATCAACGCTCCAGTTTTCATTAAGCAACTAAATTTTAAATAAAATTATAAAATTTCTCTGACAACAGCATCAGTAGGGAAATTGTCTGAAGTTGTACCAATAATAGCATTACTATTTTGGAATTGTTGATGTTTAAAAGCAGCTAAAGCATAGAAGATTGAACTGAACAACAAGAAGATAGCTGGAACTAACAATGAAGTAACTTGTGCAACACATGATACAAATTGGATAGCTGACATTATTAAATAAAACCCAGCTCTTGGCCAATTTTGATTAAATCTTTTCACAAATGTATTGAAATTATCACTTAATGGACATATTCTCAATAAGAATGGAATTTCAACAAATATTAGCAGCAGACCTTGTACACTATCAAAGAGTTAGTACCAAGGGCAAGTATAATGTTTATGGATGGATACATACATGCAAATGATTGAAAACACAACAACAACATTGAAATGGAAGATATTAGCAATACCTAGTGCAATACATAAGATAACACATAAGATCCCATTCCTAATATGATTAGTTAGAAGATTGATTACTCAATTACCCTATAAAAGCACCACATACCATTGTCCATAGACACTATTTTTCAATTGTTAGTACTTTATTCTTAAACACCATCAAGCTCTAAACATACCTAAAGTTTTTACTCCTAAAGTCCTCTTTCAAACCTTGGTAATTAATAAAACTGGTAATTTTCAAAGCCATTTTCAATGAATTATTAAAATTAACCAATACTTCTTTTGTTACTTAATTGAATATAATTGAAAGTACAACTTCTTTGTTTATTTGGATACAGCCTGTTAAAATGACAACCCAATTTAAAAGAAAACCGAGGCCGCGAAAATAGGTCATGTGATCTATACGATCGTTTTCCCGGAACTCGGAATTTTTCAGGTTTTGTTGAATATTCAACAATTTGTACAACTAAAACATGATAATTAGGTGTTCACTTTAGGTGTTTTGGTGCTAGTGTTTCCAGTTTTGTTCAATGAGTCGACTACTAGGCGGCTGGAGAATGGACACTACCGAAGACTCGATCAAATTAGACGGGAATGAAGCAGATTTAGAACAAGATCAATTTTCAACTTCTGGATCAGAATCAGACTTATCAGAAGAACATGATTCTGAAAATTCGTTAACTAAAGATTTAGAATCTGTTGGAAGATTCTCAAATTTTAAAATCCCTAGCTTTTGGAGTAATATTAGTCTTTACGATAATAGTCAAAAGTTGGAAGATGGTGCAAACACTCAAACTACTATTGATGTTCAAACAATCTCACGACGTGAACAATTATCAAATTTTATTGAAGATTTGAAAAGTGGGTTCTCTTTACAATCTGCTCTTGATAGATTCCAAACCATAAGATCCGTCTTGGAGGCTTCAATCAATGAAACCATAGATAATAATGTTGATACGGATATTGAGGATGAAGGTGAAGAAGAGAATTATGAACCTCATGTTATTACAGCTGCTGTGGAACCAAAAGAGGTTCCAATGCTTGATCAAGTGATTATTCCCGAGAGTAAAGAACCTTATCGTAACCGTCATCACAAAAAAAAGCATAAGCATATTACTCGAGAGATTGCAACTAATTCTGAGTTGGAAGAACTTGCGTATGTTTCTCAAAGTGAATTGAATGATGAAGCATTTTTAAGAAAAAGGATAAAAAAGATTAGAAGGCTGTCAATTAGTGAAGAGGAGAAGAACAGATTGACTCAAAAATTAATGATGGGTGCACATTATGATAAAATTAGATTTGTTGATGATAATGGTGATGAAGTTTTACAAATCACTGCAACAGTAACGGAAGAAGTTGACAGACAGCAAGAGACCCAAGAGGATGAAAATATGACAACTGAAGATGAAGATGATGACCTTGTTATTGTTAATGATTGTGATAAAGTTCCCACGTATCACAACGAATCATTAGAGATCTTTGGATGTCCACATTATCAAAGGAATTGTAAAATGGAATGTCCTCGTTGTAAACAGTGGTTTGGTTGTCCTATTTGTCATGATGAAGTTGTAACTGATCACAAGTTTAAAAGAGAAGATACTAGACATGTCATGTGCTTGAAATGTTTTGAAGTTCAGGAACCAAGTGAATTTTGTGATAATTGTGATATTCAATTTGCCTTGTATTATTGTTCTAAATGTAAATTATATGATAATGATGAAAATAAAGATATTTATCACTGTGATGATTGTGGTATTTGCCGGTTAGGTTTAGGATTGGGTCAAGATTTTTTCCACTGTAAAGGTTGTAATGCTTGTTTGTCAATAGAATTGCAAGATGATCATAGATGTATTGAACGTGCTACACAATCAGATTGTCCCATTTGTGGAGAATATATGTTCACATCAGTTAAACCTGTTGTTTTCATGTCTTGTGGGCATGCTATCCACCAATCTTGTTATGAAGATCATTCCAAACATAGTTATAAATGCCCAACTTGTCAAAAAACTGTGTTGAATATGGAGGCTCAATTTAGGGTTTTGGATATGGAGATCTCATTGCAACCGTTACCACAGCCTTATTGCCAATGGACCTGTGTTGTTTCATGTAATGATTGTAATGCTAAATCGTCATGTGCTTACCATGTGTTGGGATTGAAATGTGATAATTGTAAAAGTTACAACACTGTGCAATTGAAATTAATTAAACCTGAAGAAAGTGATTATGAAAGTGATATTTCCACAACCACCAATAATCTGAGAAGATCAAATGTCAGAAATTTAAGAAATATCCCCATCAGAAGTTCTCACTTGTTGAATACCAATTATAATATTGAGGAGGCTGATGTCCAAGACCAACAAGATAGACCACATGGGCATCAACAGCATCGTCACCACCATCATAATGATCGCGAGCATAGACCACATAAAAGAGATAGATCTGAGACAGTCACACAGGATGTGGCAACATCAGCTACAGATACAACAACTGAAGGTCGTATTTTAACATTACCACAACAATTGTTGAGTAATTTTGACAATTTTGTTAACAATATCCAAGATTCTTCATCAGATGAAGAAGATGATGAACAAGATTTCCTCAGAGTTAATAATTTTAAGAATAGATTAAAAAATAGTGATATTTTTAGTGATTCAACACCACAACCAGAAGACGGTAAAGAAACTAAAGAGGGTCAGATAATCGATAATGATAATGATACTTCAGTCCAATCTATTGGATTCGCTGGAGCAATTAGAGATTTCCTAGCATCCGGTACATTAACAGGAATGATTGATAACATGAATAATGAAAGTGATGATGAAATGGATGACGAATACGTTAGTGATGAGAATTTTAATGGTTTTTAGTATATAATTATAAGAAAGAGAATAGTACTACCTTTGCTTTGTAGAGAATATCAACATGAGATCATTAAAAAACATTAAATTCATTACAACTTTATATCTGATGAATCACCTAGATGAGCACCACCATCAATTGGAATAACAGCACCATTGATATAATCAGACTCCTTTGAGCAAAAGAATAACACAACGCTTTCAATATCCTTTTGATTACCCAATCTTCTCTTTGGGTTAGATTTAATCATATGATCACCAATGGTTTCTAGTAAACCATTCGACATCTTTGTTGGGAAAAAACCTGGAGCTAATAAATTGACGTTGATGTTTTGAGGACCCAATTCCATAGCTAATGATTTACCCATATGCATGACACCAGCTTTTGAAGCAGCATAACCATAAGTACCACCTTCAACAGCAGTTGGAGAGATCCCAGCAATCGAACCAGTAATCAAGACTCTCGAAGAGTATTCTTTTGTACCAGCAGCTTTCAATAAAGGATAAAATAATTGAATTGTAAGGAAAACACCTTTCACATTCAACGCTAAAACTTTATCAATAGCCTCTTCTGGGTGTTCAGTTAAGGAAGCACCCCATGTAGCACCAGCATTTGGAATCAATATATCAACTTTTGATTCATTTGAAGCAACAACATCATAGAACTTTTTAACCCCAGCTTTGTTGGAAACATCAGAAGCAACACCAACGATTTTAGCGTTCAATCCTTTATCCTTGGCTATCTTTTTCAAATAATCAACAGCTTCAGCAACAGCTTTTTGCTTTCTTGAAGTTAAATATATTGATTTCGCACCATGAGTTAATAGAACTTCAGCACAGTATAAACCCAAACCTCTTGAGCCACCAGTAATGGCAACAACTTTCCCATCAACGTTCAATCTAGTCATCTTGTATAACTTGTAAAGTATATCTGAAGTTGACAAAGAAGATCAAAGTTGAGGATATCTGAGCAGCTTTATAGCTTTGGATAATGATCTAGACGTTCTTGATCAGTTTTTACCCTCAACCTTCAACTAGCCTTTCTGATCAGCTTAACCGAGGTGACGAGTTTTTGATGTTCTCCACAAACAAAAAATTAGGAAATCTGCGGTGTTTACCAGGAAAAAATCATGCACGTGACTTTTATAAGCATGTAACCATAACCATTTCCTAAAAGGAGCAGATACTCTTTCGGGAAACTGAGACTGGTTGGACCAACAGAATGGCAAAAGCCAACAGATGAGCATGTACCGATGCACTAAAGTATAAACAATTTGGCTGAGCTTCATTCGAGATCCATCTCATTTATCACCATCAACTGGCCTTTGCCTTTTGGATTAATCAGTTACTGATCTGGACTACACAGATGAATTCAATATCTTTTATTGCTCAGACTGTTGACAGAGCCTTCAATAATGAATCAACAAACCCATCACAAATAATACCAAAAGAATCAATAGGCCAAATAGATTCCGACACAAGTGCTTCTAAAGTGAGTGCCAATGGTGAAAAGATTGACCAAGAAACAGAATCCATAGTATCAAAAGATGACATTCAGCAAGATGAATCTAAATCAACAGCATCATCACCAGTGACCCCCGAGAACACAAGCATAAACCGAGAGGGTACAATAAGCTTTATGATACGGATTTTCCTATTCATACCAAATCTTATAATAGTGAGGCCATTGCTTTTCAGTTGGTTCATAATAACGTTCCCATTGAACCTCCTAGAGCGCAAAAAATCCAATACCAATAATGACAATAACGAAGATAATGATACCACCAATACCGAAAAGGATAATAAAGACCAACCGCAATCAGATAGTGAGCCTGCATCATCTACACCTTCACCTTCATTATCACCTACACAGCACTCCCAACATTCAAATACCACTATACCTGAATTGGATGAAGAAACTGAAAGTTTATTGACTGATTCAAAGATTGCTATAGATTTGAAATCACCAACATCACCAATATCATCAAGTTTATCAATTCTTAATTCAAAGCTTTTAACATTCCCAAAATTTGTCTTTCCAAGAAATCTAATAAATTCAAATACAAAAAAAACATTAATATTAGATCTTGATGAGACATTAGTCCATTCGTTATCAAGAGGATCTCGAATGTCAAATAGTCATATGGTTGAAGTTAAGTTGAACAGTCAAGTTGCAACTTTATACTATGTTCAGAAAAGACCTTATTGTGATTTATTCTTGAAACAAGTTTCAAAATGGTACAATTTAGTTATTTTCACTGCAAGTGTTAAAGAATATGCAGATCCAGTTATTGATTATCTTGAATCTGAAAAAAAATATTTCCAAAATAGATATTATAGAGATCATTGTACATTAAGAGATGGGCAAGGCTATATTAAAGATTTATCAAGTGTTGATAAGAATCTTAACAATGTTATAATTATTGATAACTCTCCAATAAGTTATGCACTTCATGAAAATAATGCAATAATTGTGGAAGGTTGGATTAATGATCCTAGTGATAGTGATTTACTGAATTTGATTCCTTTATTGAATGGATTAAGATATACAACGGATGTGAGATCTATTTTAGGATTGAAAAATGGAGAAATTGCATTAGAGAAATGAAGAAAATTCCACCACACAAGAAATTATGAAGTTACTAATTAATGAGATTATATGAAAGGCCGCCAAATGTTATTTGATAATACATATCGAATAAATTAACTACATGTTCTAGCCATTATATGCAAAATTATTAAATTAGGGTATTAGTGTAGCCATTCATAAATTATTATTCTCCTTTTCAGTTTCTTTATTTGTTCCACCCCCTCTTATTGGTTTAACAATATGTAAATTCAATCCAACTCTGCCATTAAAACTATGATTGCTACTATTTGTAGTTCTCCTGGACAGCAAAACACCATCAGCTCTATGATAGTTAAATTCTGAGCTTGTAATAGAGTCATTGGAAGTGTTAAAAACATCCATTTCATCAATTTGTGACATATTTGAAACATTTCTTTGATTAATATTACTATTGCTCCCATTATTAGATGTCTTCTTTACTGAAATCAAGCGATCTTTTAAAAAGGACAACTTACTTTCAAAGTTTGCACTTTCTTTATGAACTTGAGATTGTTGATCCTTAACCATCAATTCTAATGTTTTGATTCTTTCATTCCTTGTTTCAGATATTTTCTTGGTTGTCAGAACATCTCTTTTCAACAAATTATTTTGAACTTCTAATTCTTCCAATTTTTCACTGAATTTTTCCAATGTCTTTTCAAGTGCAAATACTTTTCTCTCTTCCAATTCTTGGTCTCTGAACGATGTTTTCTCTAGTTTATCCTCAAGTTCATCAATTTTCAATTCCATTTCAATCATTTTATTACATTTATCCTCTAAATCTATCATTAATGATTTGTTGATGAAAGCTGAATCCTCGAGTTGTCTTTGTAATGGAGCTTTATTTATACCAGAATCAAGCTGAACAGTTGGTGCCTGTGATAAAATATCAGTCAATCTTGAGAGTCTTTCATTCAATGACGTTATTACTTTTTCAGATTCTTGTAATTTGAAATCTTTCTCCTTGCTCAATTGTTCTGACTCTTCGTCTTCCTTTTGGATTTTACTAGCACCAGATTTCCATAACTCTAGTTCCAATTCCAACTCTTTATTTCGTAGATCTTGTTCTTCGTTAATCTTTTTCAAATTTTCAACTTGTTTCATCAATTCCATTCCACTTGGCTCATTATTAACATGGGCTTTATTCTTAATCTTTTTAGCTCTTGTACCAAATCTTAGAGTTGATATGGTTTCTTGGACATTGAAAGTTGATGGAGAACAATTGATTATCAAACTTGTTCTGGAATTACCACCCAAAGATTCTTGTAATATTCTTGTCAATTTGGAGTCACGATATGGTATATAAGTTGACTTCAAATCAGTCAATGCATTGATAACGTTTCCCAATGAGCTCAATGAACTATTAATCTTTTTGGCCTCTTCAAGAGTCTGACCAGATGCACCAGTCTTGCCAACCTTTTCACTTCCTGCTAAATCAACAAGAAACAATTTACTTCTTTTAGTGCTTCCATCTAACTGATTAATTTGAGTTAAATTCAATTGGAAAATAGCATGTGATCTTGATGATTCCATATTCATCTCAGTGGAAGAAGTCACTCTCAAGTCTGAGCCTCTTTCCAAAACTGAATACAACTCTTTTGAAGAGCTGATATAAATTTTACTCAGATTCCTTACATGGACACCATTTGTTTTATCTTCTTGAATCGATAAACTGTTTGATGGTTGTGGATCAGTGGTTAATAAATCACGAATCATTTCCATGTAGATCTCCATATACGACACACTCAATGTAAATTCAATATTTTCATCACCGTTTGCAATTTTTTCAAATATAGCATCTGCAATTCTTGGAATTATACCTTTTTTGTCCTCGTCATTAATTGATGACCCCATCATTGTATATGATTTACCTGAACCAGTTTGACCATATGCTAACACGGTACCATTATACCCATTAAACAAATCATCAACAGTCTGTGTCACTGAGAAATCAAATATATCACGTTGAGAGCTTTGAGGATCAAAGATTCTATCAAATGTGTAGTTTTCATTGTTTACCAACAACGACGACTGATCCAAAAACTGCACACACGGCAATCCACCTTCATCTTGTAGTTTGATTTCATTTTCATTATGCGGCCTGAACCTTGCAACCACTTTGATATTGTTGACTTCTCCTGTGATTCTTTTACTCAATCTATTGTTGTTCTTCACGGGCGTTTGATCAAAGCTAGTATCCGGGGACGCCAGAACTGGAAGCGATATAGTTGGTGGTGGTAAACTGTTTCTATTTCTTGCCTTTCTCTCACTCAACGATCTCTTGATTGAAGATCCATTTTTTGGAGAACGAAGCTCTTTCAAAGGTGTACTTGAGGAGGACATCCTTGGGCTTTGTGGTGACAATAGCGCTGTGTTTGTAACTCTTGTTTCCCCCAATGCCATTCTCTGATCCCTGAAGTTTCAGCAGTGCTTTGATCTGGCAATCACTTGGAATTTCAATAACAAGGCAAACTTTGAATAGACCCTGGGTTTTCCCTTTGAAAAGTTGTTGGATCAAGTAATGTTTGGTTGTTTTTTTTTGGCAGGAATGTACGAGTTTGGTGTTTATGCTGAAACGCGGTAGGTATGTTGAAAAAAAATACAAGAAAATAATAACAATACGCTACAGAACAAGTCAATTACAAAATGACATGTTGAATTTATACAAGAAAATAATAACAATACGCTACAGAACAAGTCAATTACAAAATGACATGTTGAATTTTTTCTTTACTACTCTCTATAAAGTTATTAAGTTACCACTCTCCTGTTTATTCATTTGATTTCAATGTCGTAAATGACAAATGGCTCATATTCAGTATCAACCAAAGACGCATATTCATTTAATGAAGAATCTTTTTGAACTTTACCTTTCTTGTCAACAGAGAAAGCATTACCACCCAAGTAACCAAATTCATGGAATAACTCTTGCTTAGCCTTCTCATTACTTTTTGCAGATGGTAATTTTATTAGTGTGGTTTGGAAATCTGGTGGTAACCCATATCTCAGCACACTTTCAACAAATATTCTAATAGCTTTCAAATGGAACCAATTAGAAGTTATATCTGAGTAAGCGGCTCTGGCTAGTCTGACCAATTCATTTTTCAAACGATGTTCAGTTTGTGCAGCAACTTCATGTTCTTTTCTCATTTCATTAAGAACATCTTCAGAGTATACGAAATCTCTTGGAACAAACTTTCTTTCACGTAGTGCTTGTAAAAAATCTGGAATATATTTCTTGAATAAAGTGGTATTATAAAGATAGTATTCATTATCTTCACTGACGACTTTTGCACTTCTTGGAACAACCATAGGCACTAATGATTCATAATTGTTGAGGAATTCTTTTTGTAAACTTTTTGGAACAGCAACTAAGATGGTTTGTAAATGATCGGAACCAAGAACAAAATCAGATGGTGAAACTATATCATGTAATGATCTAACTGATAAATCACCAGTCTGTTTTCTTTCAGCAGCACTCAAGTTAGATTTGGCAGTATTATAACTTGTAAATGCATTTCTGACATCATTATCCAATTGGAATGCTTCATTGGAAAGAGCAGAAATCAATTCTTTGATGGATTTATCAACTCTGAACTTGTTTGATTTCCATTGGAAATGTTCAAGGTAATCTATAACGGACTTATCATCAACTTTTTTACTCAAATTTATTAATTGTTGATCGTTATCATATAAACTAGCTAAAACTTCAACAACTTTACCAACTGAGCCAGCCAATTGTTCGTCAATTTTTTGTAATTCTTCACTTTGAAGAACTAATTGATCCAAAGTACCTATCTTGAAGCTTGGAATGGAGAATTTGGTTAAAGAAGTTTTACCATTCAAAAGACTTCTCTCCAACCATTCAGAAACATCACTTGAAGGAGATGACTCAGGGGCTGCCTTGGATGGCAAGGAGAGCAAAAGATAATTTGCGATTGACTCAGACATCTGTCAACAATACTCTGGCGATGATACCTATTTCAACTAGTTGTTGCAACACTTATCTCTCGAGCACTCCCTTTCCTTTCCAAAAGCTGAAATCTGCTCCCAGCAAGTGTGCAAACCGAAAACAAGAAGCAGCGCTTCTCGCGAATTTGAGCCGCCGGGCAACCTGTTCGCGAAAACGTTTTGAAAAACGAATTCGCGGATTTACAATTCGTGTTGCGCTGACCGATGGTTAAATTTTTTTTTTATGTAGAGCGAAGAGAAAAGATGCTTATGCTAAAAGAAAGAGTTAATTTGTAAAAAGAACTTTGATAGAATAGAAGAAGATAGAGTATTAAGATGAGCTCTACTTTGGAAGTATGTACTACTGAGAAGCTTTTGCAAAGGTTTTCAAGATCTAATACCCCAAGGTTTTGGGGGTCTCCTTACAGATAACTAACATTTTCACTAATAGGAAAGATTGAAAAACAATTCAAGTGCATTTGATGGTTTACTTTCATTAATACCTGCTAAATATTACTATGATGATGATACCCAAAATCAATGGAAGGCCAAAAAGCAATCAAAAGAAGAAGCTAAGGAGGCTAAGAGAGCTAAACTAGATCCTGTACAATCTGAACAATCTGATCAAAGTGCATCTGCCTCCCAAGTCTTGAAGAAAAGGGCCAAAACTGCTAAACCAGTCGTTATTCCTGGTAGTAAGCTAATACAGAAACCAATAGTCGAGGAAGAAAATGATGATGAAGAGGAAGAAGAGGAAATCGAAGAAGAATCAAATGAAGAAGAAGCTAAACCAGTCAAACAAACCAATCAAAAGAAAGATCAAAAGAAAGAGGTGAAACCAAAGGATAAATCACAAAAAGTTAATGGATTTGACGAAGAAGATGAGGAAGAAGAAAATATTAACATTATGTTTGACGATGAAGGAAACGAAGTTGATTTTGAGCAACCAAAACCAAAAGACGAAAGCACTGGTAACTCAGTGGAAGTGAAAGAGGAAGAAAAGAAGAAGAAGGATGAATCCATCAAATTACTCAGAGAAAAGCTTGCATCAAAAATCAATGCTTTGAAAGAGAAGCGTAAAGCTCCTGGATCAAAAGCTGCAGGTGCTCCATCCTCAAGAGAAGCTATTTTAGAAGAACGTCGTAAAAAGGCTGAACAAAAAGCTGCTCAAAAGAAGAGAAAATTAGAAGAACTTGAACAAGATGACGATGATAACAGTGACGAAGATGAAGAAAGTGATGATGGTGAAGAAGATGATGGAATGAGTGCTGATAATGTGTTATACCAAAATATTAGATTCAATGATGACGAAAGAACTACTTCAGATTTACAAAATCTTAGAAAACATTCAAAGAAAAAAGGTCCAGCAAAGAAAGACTTGAAAGCTCATTTAAAATTAGTTGAAGCTAAGAAACAAAAATTAGCACAATTAGATCAATTTGAATTGAAAGAACAAAATGAAAAAGATAAATGGAATACTGTTATTGCTCAAGCTGAAGGTGAAAAATTGAGAAATGATGAAAAACTGCTTAGAAAAGCATTGAAAAGAAAAGATGCACAAAAAAGAAAATCTGAATTTGAATGGAAAGAACGTAAAGAGACTGTTGAAAATTCAATTAGTGCAAAACAAAAGAGAAGAGAAGAGAATTTACAAATCAGAAAGGATAACAAAGGTATCAAACGTAAGAACCAAGCAAAGCAAAAGAGAAAATTCAAAGGTGCAATTGTTCCAAAACGTGCAGGTTTTGAAGGACGTAGATCTCGTAAATAATGAGATCATTTAGAGAGAAGAGAAAAGTTATAGGTTGTATTATAGTCAAATCAAAATAAAAAGTGGCATACAAAAGGAAAACAACCCAGTGTGCTTTTATTCAAGTGTATTGTATTATTAACTTGACTTTCTCTATAAATTACCACCTTCACGTCCGGTACCTGAATATTTTGAGCTAGCTCTTAGCTTTGGACCTTTCAAATAAAACAAAACTGGAACTGAAATCATCATGATTGTGATAATACCCAAAATAGTAGAACCCCATGCAACAGGGAACTGTGAAGTTGACAAGTTTTTAAACATGGCTCTACCAAATAGTGGGAAGCATCCAGCAACAACAGATCTTAAAAATGCATTACTAGCAAACGCTGAGGCAACATATCTATGAAATGACATGCCGATATAGTTCAACAAAGTTTGAAACATCATTATTCCTGCAAACCCATATATTGCAGCTCCAATAATTGCACCAATCCAATGATGGTCCCTCGTTGCAGACCATCCAAAAATAAACAATCCAATAGGCAAAATTATACTACCAATTATAGAAGCCCTCATAAACGCTTCTGGGTGAACTTTCTCCTTTCTTAACATTGGTTTAGTATAATCTTGGAAAATCAAAAAAATATATAAAAACGCACCAAGCGCAACACCAACAATAATGGAAACATATGCAACACCAGTAGCCATAGTTGAGAAGTGTTTAGTTTCAGCGAAATAAATTGGAAATCCTTCAAACCACAAGTACATAACAGCGTATAGCAAAGCAATGTATAGGTTAATCATCACAACAACAGGTTCACGTAACCCAATTTCAACTGATCTCCATAAGATTTCAGTCAAGACTTCACTTGGTGACTTATCATGAGTGTGCAAGTCTGATTCTAATACGATATGTGGGTTTCCTGTGATTCTTCTCAATCTCTCAGCTTTTCCCGCCAATATGGTTTGATGATAAGTTTCTGGAATAATGGTTGCAAATGCCAAAGCTAAGAAGCTTGATAAGATCAACATGAACCAAAATGACCATCTCCAGCCATGAGTAGAGACTTCCAACGCAGAACCAATTAAAGGGCCCAAGCTGACTCCAGAGAAAGAACCAATACCCCAAAGAGCTAAACCAACTGGCATGTATGGCAAGCTATACATATCAGCAAATGTTGCAGCACCTGTAGCCAACGCTGGTGAGGCAAATATACCACCAATGAATCTTAAAACACAAAACGATGCAATATCCTTAGCTAAAGCTGTAGGAATTTGCAAGATTGCAAATATTACCAACGTTATTACATATAGTGAATTTCTTCCAATCGATGGATGTTCTGATAATGGTGAAAATATCAATGGACCTAAACCGTATGCAATAACAAATAATGATAGTGGGAGTGTAGCAACAACATGTCCTATATGGAACTCATCTTGTAATTCTTCAATAGCAGGTAGATAAACAGCAGACGCCATGTAAACAAAAGCTGAAAGCGTGGAAATGAACAATCCAACAAATATTCTAATCCAAATTGGCCAATTGTTTGGATGATCTGGGTCATCGTCACCATCCCAATCAACAATAATGAATTTCGATTTATCTAACGTCAGTGTGCTCTCATCTGATGAATCAATTTCTGGTTTTTGATAAGGTTCTAAGTATTTCTCTGGAATAACATAATCCTTTGACTCTTCTTTGTAACCAAGATACTTTCTGGATGAAACTCTGTAGATGAATCTTCCTAGTAAACTTCCTCTAATCAATATTTTGGCGCTTGACATTGTGATTGCACTTGTAGTCCTTAGCTATTCAGTCATCTTGAATTTCATTGCCATGGAGGTATTTGCTAGCTTTTTATATGTTGAGGTTCTGTTCAATCGTAGTATAATGAGCTTCACGTACTTAGGAATTCCATAGCTCAAGCTTATAAATTATCAACTGTAAACCCATCTCTCACAGGAACTAACGGCTGTAACATTTTGCTTTTGGTAGGCAATCTCAAATGCCCAGAAACGAGCTATTATGGGTTACAGCTGTTAACGGCTGAAGCTGAACTAGATAAGTAAATGCTAGAACATGTTTCTTCAATGATTTCTCATCCTAGACGTTGATTGTTAATGTTGATTTTTAATATTCTTGAGTGTTCATGTTGATTAATGTTGTACTGAACTTGAAACTGGAAAAATTGCAATTCGCGAATTGGATCTGTAAAGTAAAGATGGTTGGCGCACTCCTCTGAAAGTGAAAAGAAAAATTTGTATGTAGAAGCTTGAATCAAAAACATAGGCGATGAGCCAGTCAAAGTTAGTTCAAAGATGTCTAGCTTAGTGAAGTTGCCTTCTTCAATCAATTTGATACCCAATGTGAAGAAGATATACACACTCCCGCTTTTGAAATCCATACCAAGAGGTAAACTACGGAGAAATCCACATGATAGACCTAGAGTCCAATCACCAAAATTTCCTAAAAGGTATTCCAAATCGGCCAATATTTTGATAAAGAAAAGGTCTATACAAAAACTAGAAGCTATGAATATTGATGTGAATAAATTTCATCATTATGTGGCGGTTGAAAAGGATAAAATGATTAAGGAACAAGGTTTCACAAACACTACTGAGAGACAACATCTAAATTCATTGCAATTATTGAATACCTTCAAATTCAACACACCTTCTTATAAAAGATTCACAGCGTTCTATAACACAATCAAAAATATCGATGATACGTCTGTCATTGTTACCAAGAAATTCAAGTTTCTGCTGGAAGAAGTTAAACGAGAAGTTAAGGAACCAAATGCTGATGAAATAACACCTGAATATCTTAGAGATTTTGCTCCACAAAATAAAGAAGAATACCAATATGTTTTAGAAAAACAACTTCGCAGAGCCGCTGGCTTACAACCAGTGAATGCAAGATATAAATGCTCAGCTGAACTCTTGAACGTTTTAGAATACCTTCAAGCAACTAATAGCATATTGAAGGTTTCAGTCAATGAATTCAAAGAAGTATTTGAGGCGTCGTTGTTCATTCAAGATGATGATCTAGCTAGTGCAGTAAGAATTATTGCCGGAAGAGCACTTTTTGCATTAGGAAAAATTGATGATTTGTCCTTAGATAAACATTATAATTTGATTACAGCATTAATAGAAAATGATCAATTAGGTGATGCACAAGCGTTAATAGAGCGCAATCCGGTGGAAAGACCAATGTGGTATCATCTAAGAGCCTCTCTTGCTATCAAATGTGGGAACATGGATGCTGCTGAAAATTGGATCGAAAAAACAAAAAAACTATTCAAAGTTAAATTTGTGCAGAGTGATATTTATGTGTTGATCATCAAAAGATATGTGTTTGGAGATAATTTTGAAAGAGCTGACTATTGGAGAAAAGAATTTGAAGCATGTATTGAACAAAGAGGATTCACAAGAGATAATTATAAATTGCCTTACTTTGTTGCACCTCCAAAGGAGAAGTGTGAATATTTAGACAAATTCCATCCATTGGGTGGTATTACTTATTTAATTATCATTGGGTTCTACATTGCGTTAAAACCACTGAATCATAAAGTTCAAGAGATGATTGAATTTTATTTGAAACAACCAAACACTAAACCAAAAGATTTAGAAAATGTGATTTTAAGTTTTAGATATGAATTATCAACAAAGATTAAACCTCATTTAGAGAAATTGAAAAATAGACAAGCGGAAAAATACTTGTTATCATTCATCGAACAATTCCAAAAACAGCATCCACTTGTAGCATTGCAAGAAGAATTCAAAGATGAACTTTTGAACGAACTGGCTGAACTTGGTGGATTCCAAACAATCACTCACATTATTGAAACTACAATTGAACAAAAGCAAAAACCAAAAGATACCCATTTCACCTCATTACTCACAGCATTACTGAAAAGAGACAAGGTTGAACAAGCTTTCAAGATCTTGGAGGCATTGGAAAGCTCACATTTAATTGTACAAAGTGATCCTCAAAACATAGAGTTAAGGCAGGATCAATTGCTTCCATCTGTTAATGCTCACCATTATGCTGCATTCTTGAAATACTATAGTAATAACCGTGATTTTGAAGGGTTTAATAGTGTTATTGAGAGATTCAAAGAGGTTCATTTGGTTTATAATACTGTTTTTTTGAATCAAATTTTAACAACCTTGTGGAAAAATGATAAGATTGAGGAAGCATTTAAATATGTTGATGAAATTTTACTGGAGAACATACATCTACAAGATCCAACTCCACCTGTTCATGGATATCTAAGATTATACACTACTGTTTGGAAATTGATAAAGGTTCTATCATTTATGAGTTTGAAACAAAATGTTGAAGTTCCTAATATCAGATATGTTTTCATGAAGATGATACATGATAATGTTATTCCAACAGATAATCTATATGATACAATCTTATCAGTCTTTATCAATGAAAAAGATTATTATGGTGCTATTTGCGTTTTACAATATTTGGGTAAAGTTCATAGAACATTACCACATAAATACACCTGTGCAAAGATTAAAAAACTCTGCAAGTTTGTCAAATTTGATAATAATGCAAGAAACGTTATACCAGCTATAGATCCAAATAAAAGATTTGAAGTTGGTCATCAATTCCAGAGATATCAAGAATCCTTTGAACAAATTAAGCAAAAAACCAGTCGTAAAGTCTCACTAGATCCATTTGCACCACAATCTGAAGGTAGATCTCCTTTAAGTGGGCATCCTAGAGACATGGAAAGGTATAATGACCCAGCAGACCAAGCTTGGAAAATATTATTATATCAAATGATGACAGTTGTTCGTTCCCAATACCATTTTGATAACGAAGAATTAATAAGGACACATGATGATTTTGGTTTGGACTATGAGGCTGATAGAATTGTTAAGGAACAAGAAGAAATACAGAAAGTCAAACATGAGAGATCAAGAAGGAAAAAGGAATTGAAGGAACAGCAACACCTTAAAATGCAGCATATGGCTAATCTAAACCAATAGATTTGGATAGAACACGTGTGACTAGCTGGAATGAAGCTCATTTCTTGTATATAACATAGAGTTTTATTAACAGTTGGGGACATCATAATGGAATCTGTACATATATTTCGCGCCCGCGATAGATCTATATAGAAATCCAAATGACACAAAGATATAGACCATGCAACCACTTGTTGAAGTAACGTAGGTATTGATTCACCTTGATCGAAAGCTTAATCATTTAAAAATACTATCTACTATTTTACTATGGCTATACAGGTACTTCAATTCTTGATCCTCGATTACTAAGCTTTATACTGTTTGCTTAGTCACCATAACATTGCTTACCTAAAATAGAGTGTAATTTACATCGTAATAATTCGACATTTGAAGTGCTATTAACATAAGTCACAACTTAAAAAGCACAAGACATAAAACATTAAAAATTGAAAGTATCTTTTGTATAAAATGATCGTTTTATTGCGCTTTTGATGGTTTGGACTCCGCGAATTAGTGGAAAGGAGGGTATCAGCAATAGAGTGCGCTTACCGAGTTGTGGCCAGAGATTCCAAATGACAGAAGTCAAATTGTACCCATAATTGTGAAGTTACACAAAGCTTTTTTAAGGAACACAGAATTGAACTGAATCGATTTAGTACTCAATTGAATCAAATATAAATTCATTAACTTAAACAAAATGGCTGACAAAATTGATGAATCCAAGTTATCACCACAAGAATTGAAACTATACAAATTGTATGGGAAATTGCCTTCAAAAAACGAAGTGCTATCACACAAATTACAAGAACGTAAATATTTTGATAGTGGAGATTATGCATTAAATCAAGCTGGTGTTAAAGATATAAATACAAAGTTATCAAACAAGCATTTAAATCCACAGGAAATTCTGAGAATTAATAGAAATTCAATCAGTGGTACAAGCCCTGGGAAATCATCTTTAGAAAATGAAGCTAAATTAGATGAAAGTACACAGAAATGATTGTGGTGATCTAGGGTGTATGATTGTTGGTGGTATTTTATTTTCAGGTTGAAGCTGTTGGGTTTTTGCGTTTCTGGTTAGCATGATTTTTTTTTTAACTTCAAAGTGTTTTTGGTGATTATAACTTTTTTTTTTGATATTTTTTGACGTTGCAATGTGTGGAACATGGAAAGCTACATGATATGATATGATATTCAATTAAATAAATGACATATTATTGTGCATTGAATCACTATGGGACTTGACTTGTAAATTTTGTATGAGTCTTTTTATCTTTATTCAAATAGATATCTTCCAATCTTTCCAAAGATTATTAAACCAAAGAAGAAGAAATTTCCTAACCATAACATTACAGCTGTGAATTCAAAATCTTGATACCAATTCTTTGGTAGCCCTTCGAAAACAATAACACTGAAACTAGCAATTGAGGCAACGAAAACTCCTGTGAAAAATCCAGAAAGCGTGCCATCTAATAATAACCATAAACAAGGACTTAACAAGGACCAAGCAATTGAAGCCTGGATGGAAGAACTCCATTCAATCTTACGAACAGCAAATGAAACACCTAAAAATGCAACAGCAGCTCTAACAATTGAAGATGTATCAATTCCAAATGGTGTTGAGCTTGAATCCTTACTATATGGTTTTGATCTAAAAATATATTTATCAAAAATTGGTTGAACTAACCCAAACAAAATACCCTCTATTGAGTAAATTAACCACTTTGGCGCAACTCCATTGAAAACTAATTGATTACTGATTTTAATACCAATATCTAATGGTTTTGACGCTAGTTCTGGAACTAAAATGTGATTATCATGGATATGTTGGCCAAGTTGATTGTATAAAATACCTGATGCTGAAAGTATCAATAAACTTGCTGTCAATTTTAGTATTTTTTTAAATAAATGAGGTTTTGGGGTATGAACAATTGTATGGCTTTCATTAACTTTATTCTTTTCGATATTTGAATTCAAAGAGTTGTAAATTTCATTATCATCATTATCTTTGTCAAGATCATTATCATAGATAGAGTATAATGGAGCCTTTGTTAGGTTGATATCTGTTTCATCAATAGCTTCTTGTGACATGGTGAGATGATTGAGTTGTTTGAACTCTGGGGCAAAACGGTAAAACGGTTGTTGTTTTGAAAATGCAAACGAAAAATGAAGATCCAATGAGCAGATAAACAACAAATGATCACTTTATGATAAGTCTAGAGCAGGTGAATAGCTAAGAATTGAGTTAACAATAGTTGATAAGTGTTTGAAAGTAATTGTTTTGTTGTTGAAAAGGAAAAAAAGATCGTTTACTTTTTTCTAGCTTCGAATAAAATCACCAGTTTTGTTACGGCCAAAACAATCATAATGAAGACCTGGTTTTGGACAGTTTTAAAGAGTGTTGATTTAATGAAGCAGAGAGTCGATGTAGTGGTATTTGGTTTTTGGGTAGTTGGTATCTAGTAGATTAATGTGAATAGCTAGTTAGGTTTTGGTTATGTTTTGATTTAAATCCAATTAGTACATCGACGCCAATCCACGGAGAACGAGCATCTCCAGATAGTCACAATTAAATTCAGTCATTTTCTGCTGAAATCTGAATTAATTTATGGGGGACTATGAATTCATTGATTCTATAGCTAAACTATGTGTCATTTTATTGGGATCAAGGTCTAAAACATGAAAAAGTTGGATCTTTTCGGTTCTAATTCGATATTTGTAGTTTAAACCATCGATAAATCACTATGTCATTGGTTCATGAAGGGAAGAAGTCAAGTTCAGTTGAAATGGACCATCGTGGACGGATTTTGAATGTTTAGTGCTCAATGGTTTTGGGGATTGGGGTTGGCTCAATAAATCAGTATCCTCAACATGGAAGAAACAATACAGCCTGGGTGACCACTGTCTAGGGCCTGGACTGAATTTGAACAACGCAAAGGAAAGCTTTTCAATAAACCCAATCTGGAAAGTCTTGAGTCAATGTACTTTTCTGTGACAATAGACCAGTTGAATCCACATGTGAAGATAAATTGTGGACGTGATTTTGGTGATTTCAATCATTCAAAAGTCATGAAAACTCAACCATAGCCATACTCACAAGTGTAAGAACAATACATGGTAGCACTCTAGTGCAATTTGATGGTCAATCTCAAAGTAATCCATACATCATCACCTTTAATTCCAACCATGGCTTGAAACCACCATCTCCAAATTGTGTTCAACATGTTCAGCAACATGAGAAGATCTGAAAAACCAAAAATTGCTTGGAACAATAAAAAACACCTGAATATAATTACGACGCGCTGATTGAAGACAGCATACACGCTCTACCAACGCCTTTGCAGCTACGTGTTTCCAAATGAAGTGTACAAGTCTGCTCTCAAGTTTCTTTTAATTGGTCCACAATTTGAGCCGTTCATGCTGGGCTAATTAGGTGGAAACTGTAAAAGGGGTCTTCAAGAAAGCGGTCAAGCCAAAAAAAAATCATCGACATCATCAACGGGTATATAAACGTTTCAAGATCGTTTAGATAAGTGTTTTTTCCATTCAAGTTCAACAAGTTACAGCCAACACCATCGCCATAATGACTATTGCTGGTAAAAGAGTCTTGTTTGTTGGTGGATCCTTTGGTGGATTAGCCTCTATGAAATATTTCATCAAGCAATTTTTAGAAACAAAAGCTACTACTAATATAGAACTTTTCTTATTAGAACCAAGAGCTGGATTCATTAATGTTTTAGGTATCCCATTAGCTATTGTTAGTCCAAAATTCGCAGCTGAATCTTACTTAAACGTTGAAGGTTTCAATTTCAAATTCTCAAAAGTGGAATCAAATGATGCTATATTGACTGAAAAAATCTTGAATGCAAAACCAAATCAAGAGTTCCCTGATAATCTAAAGCTAACTTATATCCAAGGTAAATGTGTTTCATTCATTGATAATCACAACATCAATTATCAACTAACTGATGGTGAAGATATCAGACAGTTATCATTTGATTATTGTGTTTTTTCAACTGGAAGAAAAAGAGCATGGCCTTTTGATCCTTTAGGTTACACTCAGGAACAATTTGTTAAAGAAATGGGCGATACTCAAGAAAAAATTGAAAAAGCCAAAACTATCTCAGTTATTGGTGCAGGTGCCCTTGGTATTGAAATTGCAGGTGAGCTTAAAGAAGAATATCCTGACAAAAAAATTATCTTGATTCATCCACATCCTTTTATACCTCCTGAAACTTATGCTGCAAAGACTTTTAAAGAGGGTACAGAGAAACAAGTTAGAAATTTGGGGATTGATTTACAATTAAATACAAGAATTGCCAAAGAAGAAGATAATGGTGATTTGTTAACTACAAAAGGTGATATGATTAAATCGGAATTGAACTTCTGGTGTAATTTCCACACAAACAATATTCAACCACTATTACCATATTTCCAAGACTCGGTTGTGGATAAAAAAGGTGAAGTTATTGTGGACGAAAAAATGTTAATCAAAGGCTCTACTAATGTCTTTGCAATCGGTGATATTATCAATTTACCAATCATCAAGACTGCAGGTGGTGCTTACCGTCAAGGTGAAGTCGCATCGGGTACTATATTCAACATCTTGGTTAAAGGTGAAGAAAAATATGAACAGATTGATTTAAAGACATGGCCACACGCAATGACTGTTGTTGTTGGAAGAGGTAAATCCATTACACAGTATAATGCTGATGGAGATGGAGAAGTTCAACTTGATAACCAAGAGGTTTTAGATTTCTATCAAGATTATTGTAACACCAGAACAAGGACTCTAATGAATCTTGATTAAGGTGTATTATACAATAGAATGGATGACGTTTTGTTGATTTCTTTTTTGGCCTTATTGTGTAGAAGAAGCGCAAACAAAGTTTAGTTCTGACATAATCACTGACAGATTCAAGTCACAAACTGAAATCTGGAGAATCTGACACCTTCAAAACAGAAAGCCATTAGGCATTTAATTGTTTTATTCTATTGTATTAAGGTGTTGATGGGATAAAGTGCCAGAATGCACAGATACAACGAGTCAGTGTTGCACAAGTGGACCAATAACGCAGAGCGGGAGTTGTACTTGAACGGGAACAACCACGACCTCAACGACTCTCGTTTGTTTGACTACAACGAAGAGCTGAATAATGCGGTAGAAGGTGAGTAATAACAGGATTTGAAATCATAAGGGTGTACTAATAATCTTGATAGAATCATGGATTGATTTAGAAAAGTTTAACGCGTCAAGACGACAGGACAGGGTCAATGAAGGTGAAGAAGACGAAGAGGACGATGATGATGATAGTAGGACTTTAAGATTAAATAGTGAAGAGAGCGGCAACGAAGATGAATACGTTAAAAACCCGAATAGAAGAATCAACTTTGAGCTGAATGATGCTATGGGTACAGATATCAAGTCCAAAAGAAGTTTTTGTGATGGATATGACTTGAATACTTCATTAACAACTATCTTGTCGAGAGAAAAACAACATTCAACTGAAAATAGGTGAGTAAGCTTTCAAATTGTTAATAACGTGTGAATTCTAATTTTTTAAATAGCAAAATCATGTTTATGGATGTTTCAAATTCTTCATCAATGTTATCTAATGTTTCAGGCTCAGAATTATCATTTAAAGCTTCCACAAAGAAACGGAAAATCAAATCATCAACATCACAATCAAACTCAGGAGACTATGCCAATAGTATAGTTTTCATAAGTATCATTGCGAGCTTGAGTTTTAGTGCTGGATATGCTTTAGGTCAAAGTAGAAAGAACTAGATCACTAATCATCATCATTATTCAGAACTGCTTCATCATCATTTTTTTATAAAGAGCGGCTAAAGGGCTTTATTAGCTATGAGTTAGTGCTTATAGTGCTAATGCATTTAACAAGGTGGTTTTATGGACAAGAAGGCTTACATTGAGCTTACAATTGGGTGTTGCAATTGGTTTTTATGGGGGATTTGATTTGTTATATGGGTTTGGTTTCTAATATCTAGTATTGATTACTATTGTTTTATTATGTGGGTCTAAGGTTATGGAGATATTATATATACATATATGCTAATGTTTGGATACTTGTAGTACTGGTCGCCAGTTTCTGTATAATTAAGCCCAAACTGGACCTGTCAACGGCGGTATTAGTGAGGTACATACTGATTTTACCAGCACAAATGATTGAGTAACTTCTCTTACCGTGAATCAAAGCAGGTTAGTAAAAGCGACACAAGATCAGATGGACTTTTACAGGCTTCATGCTATAGATGTATATGATGGATTTCAACAGAGTCCGAAGAAGTTATTATTGTCAAGCCCATCACCAAACTAAAGCCGCGCTCTGCTAGATTCAACGGTCAGGACTCAGGAACCAACTGGGAATCCGCCACAAGATCATAAATGAATGAAATAAAAAATGGAAATGTTTAATCCATCAGGCTAATCTTTTCTTTTGAAATACTAGGGCTTCAACTCAACTCTACACCGTATTCCTATCTTCCTACCTGGCAAACGGCGGTGCTAGACGCTAGAAGCCCTACTCGGACACGTTCCCACACCACGCAAAAGCCATAGATCGCCCTGCTCAAACGTAACGAATTCCTGATTCCCAATTTCTTTTGATCTGATTGGTTCATATTGTTCCTTTAATTTCACAGCGTTCTACAAAATACTCAAGAATTGCATTTCTTAACTATGCGCGATTTTGAAAGCTGTTGAAAATTGTCAAAACGAAAAAAAATTTTGTTAGACGTTAGACGTCATAAAGGAAAACAAACCAAAAATTTGTTATCTGAGCGGCTTATGGATATGAATATGGTGGTACATGTCGTGAGAAAGACGCTTTTTTAGACTGGCTTCAATGAGGTATCTGACTAGCTTAATCTAGCTATCCAATGGCGTTCTTTCTGTGAGTTTTGGTGGTCTTTTCGTGGTGTTTTGATTGGTGGTTCTCCAAATTACCTATGGTATATTCAGGCCCTGTTGAGGAATTGGGCTATGGAAGAACCTGTGATAACCAAAAGAAAATGGGCATTTCGAATCAGTTGATTAACGTACTCATTTTGAAAGTTACTTTAGCTTATGCACAAAATATTTTTCCCACTTCACCACCCAAACAGGTTAATTTAATCGTTTAATGGATCAGGTATAAATACACAAACACTGGTCCACTTTTTACGCCTGGTAATGGATCCAACTAATCTGTGATTTCCATTCAAGAAAAGAAGCTGTCCACCCCTACTTCATTTACAAAGTGTTATTTTCAAAGGGTATATATGCCTCAACCACCTAATAAGGAAGACAACTTGTCTATTGCACCTGTTGATACTGAATCTCAATCTCAAGAGGTCCATGATCAAAATGGTAAAAAAATTGCATTTCAAGTGAAGAATGGAGAAAGATCCAAGACTTCAAGATCTGGTTTAAATTTGAAAAGAGCAGCAAGTGTCGAAGCTAGTGAATTTGGATCTGAAAAAAACAAGTTTGATGCTAAAACTACTTTGTTCATGGCTTTTAGCTCTTTAGGTTCCATTTATGGGGATATTGGTACATCACCATTATATACATTGGCTACTATTTTCAGTGATGCTAAAACTGTGGATGAATCTGAAGTTCTTGGTGGTGTTTCGTGTGTCTTTTGGTTATTCACAATTGTTGTGATTCTCAAATATATCTCTGTTGTTCTAATTTGGGGGCCTTATAAAGGTGAAGGTGGTCAAATTGCAATTTATACAAAGATTGCAACTGCTTTAAGTATTGGACCTGGTGCACAAAATCAAGAAGTTCAAGGTGACCATATCTCAGACACGGAATTTTTATTATCAAGAACAAGAACTTCAGAATCTTATTATCAACAATCAAAGTTCATCTCAAAATATCTATCGAAATTTATTTTATTCTTATGTTTCTTTGGTTGCAGTCTTGTTATATCTGATGGATTATTGACACCAACTACTTCAGTCTTGTCTGCTGTAGAAGGTATAAAAGTTCAAGCACCAAGTATTCACAGTGCAGTGCTTCCAATCTCATGTGTTGTGTTGGTTTTCTTGTTTGCTATTCAAAGATTTGGATCAGGGAAAGTTTCATTAGTGTTTGCCCCAATTATTGCCATTTGGTTGGCATTATTAGCTGGTACTGGTGTCTATAATATCACTTTACATCCAGCTATTTTGAAGGCTTTCAGCCCTGTCATCGCAGTGAAGTATCTAGTTAAAAGAGGTGGGATCAACGTTTTAGGTTCTGTCATGCTTTGTATCACAGGTACAGAAGCAATGTTTGCAGATATTGGTCATTTCGGTAGATTACCCGTTCAACTGACATTGGTTTCATACGTTTACCCATGTTTGATGATGGCATATTTTGGTCAAGGAGCTTATTTGATTAAGAATCCACATATGGCATCTACTGTTTTCTATGCCTCAATTCCTGGTGGGAAAGGTTTGTTTTGGGTTGTTTTTGTTTTGGCTATTGCTGCTACAATTATAGCTTCACAAGCTTTGATCTTGGGTGTTTTCAGTATTTTGAGACAATTGATTCAAATTGATTGTTTCCCAAATTTTAAAATTGTACATTCTTCAAAATCTCATTATGGACAAGTCTATATACCTACAATTAATTTCTTATTAATGATTGGTGTGATATTGACAACTGTTGGATATGGGAAAAGTGCAAAAGTTTCAGCTGCTTATGGTTTAGGTGTGTCATTAGATTTCTTGGTGACCACTATTTTGATCACAATTGCCATGATTTATGTTTACAAGTTTCATTTTATTGTTCCATTATGTTTCTTCTTAGCCTTTGGTACTGTTGATATGTTACTCATCATTTCAAACATGAAAAAAATTGTTCACGGAGCTTGGTTCCCATTAGTTATGTGCATTCTGTTTACTGCATTCATTTTGTTTTGGTATTGGGGTAGATCGGCCATTAAAGAGAACTTTGAACATCCAGTTTTGCTTGAAGGTAGATACAATGACAATGAAGATGAATCAAATAAAAGAAATTATGAAACTATCACATTCATTTATACCAAAAATATCAACATCACACCTGATTTTATCATTAATTCAATGGATTCGATAATGATCTTTGTGAATATTAGTGTCAAAGCTGTTCCATATTTAGGTCCCTTCTATGATGATATTAACATCATAAGGGTTGCACCAGGGATTTACAAAGCATCAGTTAATTTTGGGTTCATGGATGAATTAGTGGTTGATACTGTTGTTCTGGAAAAGCTGATAAGAGAGTTAAATGAAGAAGATATTTCTGGACTGTCCCAATTGGATGATGTTGATATTGTTCATATCATTGAAAGTGAGAAAGTTCGTGCAAAGAGAAACTTTTATTTCTATGCTGGTGATTCCAATACCATAATGGGCAGGATTATGGGGAAATGGTATGGGCTCTGTAATGTCATTAGAAAGTATGTTATTGAGTACGTGTTTTCAACTATTCATGATTTATTCAATAGTAATGATATCTTGGATAATGAGTTGGTATTGGGTGAAGGTGAGATAGATGTGATTTATTTGGGGTCTATCGTTAGGATTTGATTCATGTGTGTGTATAGAGGTTATTTATAAATGTTTAAACCATGTATCATATATCTGTATACGCTTTCTATCAGAAACTAGCTAGTTTAGGCCCTGCGTCTTCGAATTATTTGGAGAAACCGCCCCCTGATCGCCTCTGGAGAATGCCCTGGTTTCATAATCCCTCTCGAGCGTTCCTATTGGCCCATTTTGGTGCAATTTGTGCCATCATTTTCACAGTGTTCTACAAAATACTGAAGAACTCATCTTGTTAACTATGCGCGATTTTCTTGTTGATGAAAACCAATTTCAAAATCTTCAACTTTCTAGACGTCATTGGTAAACATCAACAAATAGACCCAAAGAGATGAGACCATGATGCCAATTGTTGAGGAATAGAACCCGTATGGAAATCATGTGGTTGTAAAATCTAGTTATTCAATGGAGAGGTGATTGCCCAATCCTGTTTAGGCTGGAAGACTGTGACGGCGCTGCTCAAATGAATCTTTAAACAGACATCCTTCAAGGGCCTTTATCGGTGGACAAACCTTGTGTTAGTTTCCATATCAGGTTAATTTCATTGATTTTACTATATGCTGCAATTCACCACGGAAGTATAAATACCAAAATTTATCTCTGATCCTGACCAAGTGCTTCAATATTTCAATACCAATAATGTTGTCACCAACAGAAGGAAAAATAAAAATACCAGATTCCCCTAGACTCAAGTGCGCTGATTCTCCACTAGGTACTCCATTAGAGGAATCAAGAATCAGCTTTCAATTAGATGCTACAATTGCTGGTTGTTCGAGAGCTGCAAAGATTGATCATGCTTTAAGAAGGCCAATCAGTAAGGATTTCAATAACTTCACGCCATTTGAAACAAACCATGAACCAAGAGACATCGGAAGTATTCTTGTTATGGGTTTCAGCTCTTTAGGGTCGATCTATGGTGATATTGGCACATCACCGTTATACACACTTGCAGCAGTTTTTCATGGTTCAGATAACTTACAGAAAACTGACATTGTTGGTGGAATTTCATGCGTTATATGGCTATTCACGTTTATTGTGGTGCTCAAATATGTGTTCATTGTCATGGTTTATGGTCCAAATAACGGTGAGGGTGGTCAAATTGCCATTTATACCAAAATAGCTAATGCCTTGAGTATTGGGCCTTATTCTGATGATGATGTGGATCCGGATCACATATCTGATACTGATTTTTTGTTATCAAGAACAAGAACTTCAGAATCCTATTACGGTCAGCAATATTTTGTCTCGGAATACTTATCAAAGTTTATCTTATTCCTATGTTTTCTTGGATGCAGTTTAGTTATTGCGGATGGGCTTTTAACACCAACAACTTCTGTCTTGAGTGCTGTTGAAGGCATTGAAATCATAGCTCCAGGAATTGCCCATATGGTTGTTCCAATAAGCTGTGGCATTTTAGTGATCTTGTTCTTCATTCAAAGATATGGAGCTGATAATATTTCGATCGTGTTTGCGCCTATAATTTTTGTTTGGTTATTGTTATTGGGTGGTATTGGTATTTATAACATTACATTAAACTTTTCCATTTTGGAGGCTTTGAATCCACTGGCAGGTTTTGAATATTTGAAAACAAGAGGTGCATTGAATGTTTTTGGTTCGGTAATGTTATGCGTCACTGGCACAGAAGCCATGTTTGCTGACATTGGTCATTTTGGTAGGTTCCCAATTCAGATAACTTTGGTAGCTTTTGTTTATCCAAGCTTGATGCTAGCTTATCTTGGACAGGGTGCATATTTGCTAAATAATTCAACTAACTTGGCTAATGTCTTCTATGCTTCTATTCCTAGTGATGAGAAATTATATTGGCTTGTTTTCATTTTGGCTATTTTCGCTACTGTTATTGCATCTCAGGCATTAATTCTAGGAGTTTTCAGTATATTGAGACAATTGATTCAAATAGATTGTTTCCCAAATTTCAAAATCATTCATTCCTCGAAAAATCATTTTGGACAAGTTTACATTCCAACTATCAATTTTTTGTTGATGGTTGGCGTTATAGGAACAACACTGGGATTTGGATCAAGCTCAAAAGTTGCTTCGGTTTATGGCTTGGGGGTCTCATTGGATTTCTTAGTCACTACAATATTGATTACAATATCGATGATTTATGTTTATAATTTCCATTTCATTATACCATTGTTATTCTCCTTAACTTTTGGTGGTTTGGACTTATTGCTAATTGCGTCAAATTCCAAGAAGATCATTCATGGTGCCTGGTTTTCATTATTGCTGGCTATTGTATTCACTACTTTCATTACATTTTGGTATTGGGGAAGATTTAACGTCAAGGAAAATTTTGAACATCCAATATTATTAGAGAATAGACTATTCGAGGAATTGGATTATGATGAGAGGCCTATTATTCGAAAACAATTTTCGGCAATCACGTTTGTCTATACTAAAAATGTCAATATCACTCCAGACTTTATGATCAGTTCTTTAAACTCCATCATGGTCTTTGTGCATATCAACGTGAAGTCCATTCCTTATTCGGGGCCATTCTATGACAATGTTGTTATGGAAAGAATTTCACCAGGGTTTTATAAAGCCACAATCAATTTTGGATTCATGGATGAACTAATTGTGGACAGTGCTGTATTGGAAAGGTTGATAAGTGAAATCTCCCCTGCCGATTTGAAAGTCATCTCAAAATTGGTTGATGCTGACGTTATTCATATTATTGAAAGTGAAAAGGTGCGTGCTAAAAAAAACTATTTCTTCTATGCAGGTGATTGCACCACAACTGTCGGTGTTCTTATGACTAGGTGGTATGGATTTTTGAATGGTATCAGAAAGTATTTGATTGAATATTTATTTGCTACAATTCATGATTTATTCAACAGTAATGATATATTGGATAATGAATTGATTTTGGGTGAAGGTGAAGTTGATGTGGTTTATCTAGGGTCTATAGTTCGTATCTAAGTCGCCTACATAACGAACTGAATTCTTATGCTGTAGTATATTGATCAATAAATAGAGGTATAAATAAATAATAAATAAGTTTAATAATAAATAAATAAATATGGGGCCTTCCAACCCTAATAATAATTAAAGATTCTGCAAGGATAGTTCTCAGGATACATTCCATGATCTCCTTTAACTATGCGAACTTGTGACTTTTTGGACAAGTTTAAGGAAGGTGCAACCACAACACCATATTGACCTAATATTTGTTTTTGGATGATTTGGTCATCTGCAGCTTTCAATGATGAAGACAAGTATATTTTAGCTTCTGGTTCTTTGAAAACTTGTAATTCTTTTTCTCCAGTATTACCTATTGAGATTCTTGGATCAGTAGATGTACCCAACTTCAATAGACCGGAAACTCTAGTTTGGTCAAATGCTGATATTTTTGGATAATTTCTTCTAGCATCTCTCTTGAAATAGGTATTGCCTTGAATGTCACCAGCTGGTAATGAGTATGGGTCTTCATAGTATTTACCCTTTGGTTGAGAACCTGGAGCTGGAACTCTGTATAACGGAACAACAGGGTTACCAGAGGAACGATTTGGAACCTTGAGCAAATGTTAGTTTCTCAATGTTCTTTATACAGAGATAGAACACTTACCAAAGTTAAAACTTGTCTAATCTTTTCCCATATCCCCTTGGATCCTTGGGTATATTTCTATCAAAAGGTCAGTAATAAACTCAAAAAAAAAAAGAAAATCAAGTTGGTACGCACTTTATAGACTGGAACAGGACCACCTGACATGACTGACTTTGATCTATCTTGTGTGGTGTCTAAAACGTTGATGTTTACTATGGTTCTTACTGAAGCTTCAAGGCGTATCCTTATTTTCACCAAAAAACTCAAAAACTCGATTGGTCGAGACAGCAGAATTTTTTGTACTGGAGAAACGACAGACGTACTTAATTATGGATTGGGCTTAGCAAACGAGGTGAATTTTTTGAGCTTTGAAGTCATTTAAATTGAATTAAAACTTCAAATCGAAAAGAAATTGGATTTCATTTGAATCCAAGTGATTCTTCAGTCACAAATGTCGCTGTTCATGTGATTTCGAGATTGATTTCAGTTACGCGAATTTTGGTTTTTGTCGTTTGCGATGTACAAAAAAAAGAACAACAATAAATTTCAACACAGGACCCTTTACTCTATCTATCACAAGGAATAACTCTACCTATAGTGCTTATTATCGTGGCTAGCTGAATCTTTGTCATTTACTTCTCATACTTTTCTGGTTTTTGCTCCAAAGAGGCCACCTCAAATCAAGTTTTTATTTGCACATCAAACGAATCCAGCATCAATTGACATTATGACTGATATTGCCAACTTCAAACAATCCACGATATCCAAACCATCCATAAGTGTACAGACGTTTTATAATGAATATAAATGGGTGATAAACTCGTTGTTAGTGCTGATAGGGTTTAGGATACTGAGTTCAAGTGATCAAATAAGCTCATTATCATACAAGTTTAAGAGTGTTTTGCTTTTTATCAAAGGACTACTGGCAAACAGCCAGCAAGAAACAAATAGAAGAATCTTTGAGGATCTAAGGTTTGAATATGACATGGATTTTGACAAGATGCCCATGGCCTTCGTTGGTGTTGGAATGCTGATATTTGTGATTCTGTTAACATGAACTGAAACACCAAGAAGCAAAAAAGACATGATGTTACAAGAATGATAGATTATTTCAATTCTCAAGCACATCACAGAAATCTAACAAGTCAGATGACCACTCTCACAAGACTATTGAAACCAAACGAACATATATTTATTGATTCATTAAAGCGATTGCATGATTATCCAAGCACTTGTGACTTTATATTGGAAGACATTCACAGAAGCAATATTCAATAGAGTTACGAAATACAATAACGAATCCACCACTCTGATGGCTATTTGATATTGTAGTAAATCATTTTAAATCGGCTAAATGAACTCTAACACTATGTGCATCTCGGAGAATTAGTAAACTTAATCTAAATGAATGAATCAATACAAACAAGAAGCTCACTAATTTGGTCAAGAACTGAAGAACTGAACATAACAATCAATTCATACGAGTCTTTATTCATTCGCTTCCTTCACAATAAAGAGAGCCGCAATGGACATTACCGGTCGGAACCAAATACGTTTACGTTGCCGAATAAATTTCACAAATCTTCATTTTTTTGCTTTTAGATTTTAGATCAAAATCTTTTCAGACTCCAAATCTCTTCAGTTCATTTATCACACGTTATTTGATTATTAGATTCCATAGAAATGAGTGGCTCAGTTAGAAGTACAAAGCTTTATAGATGGGATTCATCTGTTTATTTCCTCTTCAATTTACTAGGTTTAGTCGTTACTGTTACTGCATGTACAGCCATCTTTAAGGTAATTTTACCAAACGAACTAGCTTCTGCTGGTCACATTCAATTTTTAACCAATCTATCACTACTATTCACAATATTCACCATTCTCTCAAATATTTTGACCATTCTGGTGCCTTCTTCTTTAGTCAACTATGTCAACATTTATATGAATGCTATTTCAATCATTTTGGAAACTTTAGTTGCTTTAATCTATTGGAGTTTGAGGATTTTCTTCATTCACTTGATTGTTCCAAAGGGTGTCACAAAGGAAAACTTCATCCCTGTTCATACTGATGTTGCGGTTCATCTTTTCCCTATCACATTCTTGTCATTAGATTATTATTTCATCAAATATCAAAACTTTAACATACCAACAATCAATGTGCTTTTGATAGTTACTGCATTAACTTCAGCTTATTGGTTCCTATTGGAATATTTGATTGTCCCACCAGCATCATATCCATACCCATTTTTGAATGTTGCTACACAAGAAAGATTGGTTATTTTTGCTTTTGTCGCTTTGGCAGGATTCGTCTTCTACCATGCTTTTAACTCGTTGCACAAGCCTATTAGATCTTTGATTTATAAAGCTGAAGGCAAAGCTAAATCAGCTTGAATATGTTCCCAATAAATATACAGTCTACCATATTGCTAATGCTTTTCTCTTTGTAGCCCTTTAATCTATGATATATTCAAGGTCCACGTTTACGATTCCTACAAAATAGAGACTCGAATACTCTCGGTGGTCCAACACTATTGATTCATCAGGTTTATATTTACGGTAATAATAACTTGCAAACGGCTTCTTACAAGTTTTATTATCCTGTAGCGCTTCATCTTCAGCCAAAATGTATTGTAATGCCTCTTGGAAATACTCTGGTTTGGAGCTGGATCATTTGCCCGTACGCCTCGTGCTAGCTATTCTTTAACTATTATTACAGCATAACATACCAATAGTGGTTTCAGTAAAGACCTTTTCAATTTTTGGATACCTACTTTATGATATCTTGGTTTCATACAGCTCTTCAACTATGTTTGAGGAAGTCAAACACATAACCATGTATGCTAAAACCAACCACCACAAAACTTATTATGAGTGCCAAATTAGGAAGAATATCGGATGGTATGAACCAAAGATATGTAGAGCTTATCACTTTGCAAACATGTTAGATTTCAATTCTTGAAAAACACAATGAGTTATACTTACATATTTTTGCTTCAACATTGTGCTCAGAGTTCATAAACTGTTGATCCTTGGAATAGCAATCATATTTGGTTTCCAAGTATAAGAATAAGCCAGATTCATTGTGCTCATTGAGAGTTTCAAAATCAAAATGAACAACGTTAATTGGATCCTTTAAACGTTAATAATACTGCATTTAATAAATTCCGTTGCTACTTACCAGTGCACTCCATGAAAATCTAGCATTATATATATCACCAGGGTTACCACCAGAGATCTTGAACCATTTATAAGAATGATTTTGTGAGTTTGGTGAAGGAACAGTAAATTTTACTTTGTTCACTTCATCTATGGTGATTTGTTCATAAGATTGTTTCGATTCCAATTGGACATTAGGAAGCTTGACGTAAAACGCTTCAGTATTTGCTAGCACATTGATCACAAAGCAGCACAGTGCCACATATACAGCCTTCATTGATAACTCTTTAAGTCTAGGTAATCTTCAAGTATTAATTTTGGCTGAATCGAAACTTCACCAAAAGATAATTCGCGAAAAATCTCAAAATCGCGAATTTTTGCGTGGCCCGCTCCAATTCCTTCCCCTGATTAGAATCACGATTTTCAGAATTAACATCATGAAGATTTTAAAGAAAGACAACCATCATTTACGAAAAGTGAATTACTATAATGTCTTTTTTTGACTTCAGATCACGGAACAACAATCCAGTACAAGACGATGCGGATGAGCAAGTTGCAAGTTTCATACAGACTTTCCTAAACGCAGAGGAACCAATGACTCGTGATGAGATTTTACGTGAGCGAGAATTACATCTCAATGAAAATAGTCGCTTCAGTTTCTTTAAAAACTTTATAGATATCATTGGTTTTGGCTTATTTCCGGTATTGCTAGCTAGGATAATCAAAAATTTGTTATCAGCTGTTACATTTTCATCAGATATCATTCAAGATATATTTGAGTATTACTATTCAACCTCTTATGCTAAAGATAATTTAATTTTGAAATTTAGCCAAATAATCATGTATGAATTGGGTAAAGATGAAATATCAAGATATGTTAAATTGATCACTATATTTGTTTACGTTGGATATTCAGTTTTGGTTTCAAGTTATATGATTTTCACATTTGTGTTTTACTTCTTATGTTTGGTTCTGACAACCACTAGAAGATGGAGTGAAATTGACAAGTTTTTAATAACTGTTTTCAGAAATTCAAGTGGTGTCTTCTAACTGATGATTTTTCCAGATATATATTGTTCACTGCTATAAATAACGTCGCACTGTGAGTTAAATGGAATTCCTCATTTGCTATGAATCTTGACGGGCTCAGAACATCTCAATCAGGCACAACCTATTGCGAGTATTCCAACAATGTCAAGTTCTGGGAAGTCTTTCCTTCTCCATTCATTTATGAATCTATGATTTCAAAAGAGACACTACAATATCCTCTAATTTATCCTGAAAGTGTCAGCGAGTGGACAACTAGATAATGAGCATACTTCATCCACATGGATTGTATATGGAAACGTAATTATACAAATGTGCCTATGAGATTTGACCAACTATGTAAGGTTGAAAACCGTTTGTTCATGACGCATACTATAATTCCGCGAATGGGTTTTGCGCGGAATCTCTCTCTATTATGGTCGTCCCAAAGCAGTACAAGAATTCCGCTCCGGAATTTTTTTTATATGGGTTGATAAATACTAGACAATTTCCTCAAGACAAAGTCTTTTCAATTCCAACTTATGATCTTATTGCAATTATCCTTCTCATCTGAAGCATCATGAAGTTATCAAATTTGGTATTGCTAGCAATTGCTACCATAGTCACAGCTCATAAACAAGAACATCATCAACAAGAACCAGAATCATTTATTAGTGAAGAAGATGCTACATTAGAACAACTTTGGGGTCAGGATTGGCCATATTCAGGTATAAACACATTTGCTCATTTACCTCATACGAAATGTCTTCTTGATCCAAATGAAACTTTTGATATTGCTGTCGTTGGAATGCCATTTGATACTGCAGTAACTTATAGAAGTGGTGCTAGATTTGGTCCAAGAGCCCTAAGAGCAGCTTCACAAAGACAAAATTCATTGAGAGGTTACAATTTCAGAGCTGATATCAATCCTTATGATAATTGGGCGAAAGTTATTGATTGTGGTGATATTCCAATCAGCCCAATGGATAATGGACTTGCCTTGAAACAAATGACAAAAGGTTATGAAAATTTATTGAATCATAAGACAGCTGGTGAAGAGGCATATCCAAAATTGATAATGCTTGGTGGTGATCATTCGATTATATTACCAGGTTTAAGAAATTTATACAAGAAATATGGTGAGATTAGTGTTATTCATTTTGATGCACATCTTGATACTTGGTCACCAAAGAAGTACCCATCATTCTGGCATTCAGATCAAAGTAAATTCACTCATGGTTCAATGTTGTGGATGGCTTATGAAGAAGGTTTATTGAAACATAAGAGCAATGTTCATGTTGGGTTAAGATCAAGATTAACAAATATTGAAGATTATGAAGATGACGATGCTCAAGGCTTTTATAGAATCCATGCAGATGATATCATGGAGGAAGGTTTAAACCGCATTGCTGAACAAATCATTGAAAGAGTGCCAAAAGATGGTCCAGTTTATATCAGTGTTGATATTGATGTTATAGATCCAGGTTTAGCACCAGGTACAGGTACTCCTGAAGTTGGAGGATTCTTGACAAGAGAATTGATTTATTTGATCAGAAAATTGGAGAATTTGAATGTTGTTGGTGCTGATTTAGTTGAAGTTAGTCCAGCTTTCGATCATGCTGAGATCACTGCATTAGCAGGTTCACAAATTGTTTATGAATTAATTACAAATATGGTTAAAAAAGGGCCATTGAGTTTTAAAGATACAGTCAAGGATGCGAGGATTATCCAAAAGATTGAGCAATATGGTCAAGGAATACTTAACCAAGTGGATGATATGATGCATTAAAAAAAACAAAAAAAACTTGTATACTATCTAATGACAAAACATGACAAATATTGAACATTTTATAAAGTTGCTCTTAGATTTCACATAACAAATGCTTGATGGAAGCTCCCCACATAATTAGTGTTTTTGATGAATTGTAATCTTTTCTGATTTCAACGTTATAAAACCTTCAAAAAATCAAGGAGCTGACTAAAACTTAAAACGTCTATACCTATTTTTCTCCTTGAATAATTTTACAATAGCATCAGTATTCTTTTCTGGAAAACATCTCACATGAAATGCAGTCAATTGATGAGGAAATAAAAACATTTCCTCATTCAGTTTCAACTCTATCAAAACATCACTTTGAATCAATACAGATTTCAGATTCTTCAACTGTTCTAAATCAATATACAGTGGACCGTCAATCTTGACATCTTCTAATAAAGGAAACTCATTCAAATCAATAGACCTCAATGCTGGAAATGTGATATCAATCTTCTTCAAATTCGGTGCATATAAATTCTGGAACCCAAACCCAGGTCTAATAGATTCATCCATATCTGAAGACATACGAAATCTTTGTAAATTGGGTAAAGAACAATTTTTAAACCCAAGTCTAGGATCATTACGATCCATAGGTGAATATGTCAAGGGGTTCCTACTCCCATTGTTAAAAATTACACCTTTCAATTCTAAATTTTTCAAATTGTTAAAAGTTTCCACCATTCTTTTAAAATTTCTAAATGATAAATTAGCATGAGCTATTCTTAGTGTTTCCAAACTTGGTGCTTGAACTTCTGGAACTGATACAAATTTTGAGCAATCTGGGAAATATAGACTTTTCAACTTGGGAAATTCCAATCGGTTTAAATTTGTAACTAAAGCTGGTTTTTTGGTCTCCAATTTGATGAAAAAAGTCAACCCTTCAACGGTATATAAGTTTATTGATTCAAACCAATCCTCTGCATCAAATGTTTCAAAAGCACCTTGTTGGATATAAATTTCAATTGATTTAGCTTTCAAATTGTCATTACATGATCTTTCCAGCCCAACTTTCCCATTAGTTATTCTAAATCTATCAATTATAGGGATATTATCTGTAAAATTTTGATCAATCTCCATCACACCATTTGCAAATGAAAAAACTTCTATATTTGGAGCATTTATTTTCCCCAACTTCACCCTTCTTACAAAGCCTAAATGTTCGTATTTTAAAGACATTTCGAAAACTTCAAGTTGTGGAGCATCAATATTTTGAATTTCGAAAATTTGATCAACAATCAACTCCCTAACATTGGGCATAAAGATGTTTTCAAGCTTGGTTATACTTAACCCACCAGCTGTTGTGAGTCTATAGTTTCTATGGTGTGTTTCTATTGATAAATCACTAGTTTTATAACCGAAAACCAAATCCTTTATAACTATTCTTTGATCAAGAGATTCCATATATAACCTCTTTAAAGGTGAACTTGTGAAATCGACACAGCTAAGAATATCCTCTGCACCATCATCAATCAACGAGAGTTCTTGTAATTTGGGGAATTGAACTTCCCAATCAAGAATATTATCCACCAATGTACAATTTAAAAATTTGATTTGAAGAGCATCAGGGAATTCAAGAAGTTTGAAATCAAGGTCTTGATACAATAACTCCACCTCCGTTATATTTTTAAAAGTTATTCTTTGTAATAATGGCCAATTAACAACTTTTGCATAAACTTGTTGGAAAAACTCAGCAACTAATTTGTATTCAAGAGGATGATATGATAAAGAACTTAAACCAGATGCGAGTGTTAGGATTTTAAAATTTCTATAATCTTGCTCCACATGTAATCTTGCCACGCCATGAAAGAATTTATAAATTGGGAGACAATAATGAGTTATCCAAGATGTTGAATTTAGAGGATTAAACCTTTTAGATTCATAAATGATTGATAATGGGATTGAATGGAAATAATCATGGAATTTTGATTTTGAATAAACAACTATATCCATATGCACTTTGAGTTTATTCCGCAATTCTTTAATTTGGAATAATGATTGAGTTGTTGTAAGATCTAATTCATGTAAAATTTTGACTAAAAGTTCATTTGGAAGGTGTGTAATATCAACAGGTTTTGCAGGCAATTTGGCAGCCTGTGAGCCATCCATTTTGGTGAGGGAAGGAACTTGACTTTTCTAAACCCATTGTTGGCATTATGGATCAATCATGGATTAATATATATGATATTGTTTATGATTATTCTCGTTGATAAGAGCTCTATGAAGAGATGAATTAAACTGCTCGCCGACTGATTTCCTGGACATTTCATTGAATCAGCGAAGAAAAGGCAAGGGTATTTATCCAGATTTAACTAATCAAGTTTGTGGTATAAAAACATCTCATGAGATGAAATGTGTCTTTTCCCTTTGATTGAGCTGATGGATCTTTTGTTGTTTGTTTACGTTTACAAATCTGAAAATTGAGCTGATTTGAATTCCAAAATCCAATTCACAGAACGCATTCGAGGTTGATTACAAAGCATCAACTTCTCCAGGTTTTCGATAAGCTGATTAAACCATAAACAATAACACGTTAATTAAATAACCACTATCTATTAATATCCATGTCGCTTTTTGAACAGCTTCCCTTTGAGGTATTGAGCCAGATATTCCACTTGCTCCACCCCTTCAACGACCTCCAATCAATAGCGCTAATCCCACAACTAAGACCTTATCTCTGTGAGATTCTTTGCTTTATATCAGATACAACTAAACCAAAACTATTAGCAAATGCCCATCATGTGGATAATTTCATAATAGAGTATAAAGGTCAAGATTATGAAGAGTTTAAAGAGTTGATCAAACAGGTCAAGGGCACGAACCATAGGGTTTTATACCAAGGTTCATCATTCCCTATTGGGTTTTTCAATAATGAACTTTTCCAAAATGATCAAGGTTTAGAAGGTGTTCATTTTGATAATGTTTTGAGGATAGGGAGGGATAATTGGTTTGAAATGTTTGGGGATCAGTTTTTCCATTGTTTTGAAGATGATTCAATAGTTTTCAAAAAATGTCAAGAGATGAGAATTGGGTTACAATGTCGTGGGTTCCCGATGGAGAAAGTTCATGTGCCAAATTTACAAAGATTGGATCTAAAGATTATTAATGATCAAGTTTCATTAGATTTTTTGAAGAATATGGTTAGTTTGAAAGAGTTACGGATCAGTACTGCAAATGGGTATGGTATAATGGGGTTTAGGTTTTTGGAATTAAAGAATTTACAAGTTTTGGTATTGGATTCACAAAGATTAGAGTTTGGGTTTTATGGTTGTAATTTCCCCAAATTGAAGAAGCTTGATATTACTAGGTTGAAAGAGATTTGGATTGTCTTGGATACAAGATTTGATGAATTGGAAGAATTGGATTTAAGTTGCACCAAGTTGATTTTCCCCATATATTCCAAATTCTTACCAAAACTACGTTATTTAAACGTTCAAAATCATCATGAATCAAATAGTCATATGACTAAGTTAAAGATGAATGAATTGATAAATTTGGAAAGGATTGATCTAAGTTCATTTGATTATTTGATCCAGAATCCTAAACTATTGGATTATTTAAACGAGGTTCATTTTAAACGTGATGTTTCAATAAATAGGAATTTTGAAGTTGAAGAGATTGAAAGATTAATGACATTACAATTCAAACAATTGAAGAAGATTGTGATACATTTATATGAACCCGGTGAATATGATTTTGAACGGATCAACTTAATTAGTCCCTTGAAGGAACAACTTGAAGTGAAATTGATTGTTGATGGTGTTGAGGAACAATTTAAGCTCAAGTTAGCCTCTAGTGCATTGAATGTTGAAACAATATTTAGTCCTCAACGGAAAAAAAGAAAAAGTGTGTGAATAATCAGAAAACTAGTCCTAGCTACTACATTGTTGATCTAACCCAAATATTAATTATTAATTGAACCTATCTATATTATATTGCCAAATGAAAACCAAAAAATAAACCGAATATGTGAAAAGCATTCTATCAAATGTAGTGTATAATTCTAATATCTAATGATCAAAGCCTGATCATCTTTTTCAATCATTTTCAATAAAGAAACATTATCAATAACGAAATTATTGAAATTCAAAGCATAATTATAATTAATATCAAAATCATAACCACCTTTTTCAGGTTCTAATTCACCTTGTTGTAATGAAAACTGGAATGCTAAATTTTCCAATTGAACACTATTTGATAAAGATTCTTTGTTTAATCTTAATGAAGTTTCATTAATTGGTGTATTCTTTAATAATAATGCAAATGAGATCTTGGCCATGGATTGGTCTTCATTCAGGGTGAGGTCTAAATGATTCAACTGTTTGTGATTAATCTCTTGAACTGATTGTTTTTCAGTTAGGTCTGTTGATGGTTTTAGCAAGTTTTCTTTATGATGGAATGAACCAATGTTGAAAGTTGTTGTATACTGTTGAATCTCATAATCCACGGTGTAGTAGTATTTGTAGTTTGACTCTTTACTGTTTGGAGAGTATAATGATATGAGAAGTTGTTGTTGTTGGTCAAGATGAGATTGTAATTTTTTAGAGATGATGTATTTCACCAAATCCTCGAGCTGGTTTGAGGCACTGGCTATTGTGTTTAGCTGTGAAGGATGAGCCTGTGAAAGGATGTTGAGCTTGATCTCTGTGGGTATGCTGTTCATGGTCTATAGTGTATGATGGATTAAAACTAAGAGAATCTCTGCTTACCTCCAAGTCTCTATCTTATATAACTTTTCAAATATTGAAGTTTCCAGATCTAAAATTTCTATTGTCGCGGTGCAAACCGGAACAACCTCGAGCCAAAAGAAAAGAGCAGAGGAACATGGAGCGAAAAGGGAAGTGATAGGCTGGGAAATGGGTGGATATTGAGGGAGAGTAGGCTGATATTATAACCTGGTGATATATATATTATGCTACTATTACACTATGAATATACTCTATTACACTATTAAAAGACCTCCGGGCACTCTCGCGTAAGGTGCTTCACCTGATTTTTTTTCTCTTTTTTTTCAGTTGTTCCGTTTGTCGGTGTTGAATCATCAAATGGCAGGAAGTGAAGAGTCAGAGGACTAGCGGTGGTAGAACAAGGGAAGAGAGAAGGTGGAATAGAATAGTGAGAGGCTATTGGCTATGATCGTTTCGGATTGTATCATATTCTGTTTATTTAGTGATTGGCTTAATACTGGAGTTAAGTGCGATCTCGAATCTACTATGTGTCAAATACACTTCATTCATTTAATTCATAAGCTTATTTAGCCAACTTAACCTTCTTATCAGCTCCATAGGCCTTGGTGGCATACTCACCATGTAACAAGATAATATCTTGAGGTCTATAGTCAAATTTTCCACTGAAATAACTAGTTAAAATGTCTTTAACACCCAACGAATAACGTGCTTGAGCATCCAAATTAGACCCTGAAATATGTGGTGTCATTGCATTACCATCTCCATACTTATTAGCCATAGTTCTCCATGGATGATCAGCTGGAGGAGGTTGAGGATACCAAACATCACCACCATAACCTCTTAATTTACCATTTTTCAAAGCTTCTGCAACATCTTCAGGAACACAAATTGCACCACGAGCTGTATTAACTAAATAAGCACCATCTTTAAATTTGGATAATAATTGCTTGTTAATTAATCCTTTTGTACCAGAATGTAATGGTGCACTAATATTAACAACATCACATTTTGAAACCAATTCTTCAATACTATCAACCCTTTTAGCTCCAACTTTTTGCTCCAATTCAGGTGTTAAACCTTGATAATCATAATATAACAACTCTTTTGGTTTAAAAGGATATAATCTTTCCAAAACTTTATAACCAATTCTTCCGCAACCAATAGTCCCCACGGTTTTACCTTCTAAATCATAAGCATCTCTTGCAATTCTTGCAATATCCCATTTCCCTTCTTTAATACTTTCATGAGCTGGAATGAAATTTTTAATCAATGACAAGATTGTTAAAAGTGCATGTTCTGCAACACTTGTTGTATTTGAACCTGTAACTTCCAAAACTGAAATATCACGACCAGATTTTTCAATATAATCTAAATCAATATGATCAGATCCAACACCTGCAGTGACTAATAATTTTAAATTTTTAGCAGATTCAATACGTTCTTTTGTTATATAAACTGGATTAAAAGGTGTTGAAATAACAATCTCTGCATCTTTAATATGTTCATCAATCGTGGAACCTTTATCAGAAGTGGAAAAAATTGAACGACCATTCTCTTCAATGAATTTTTTCAAACCAAGGGCATTTTCAGCTGATCCTAATAATTTTGGTGTATTGAATTCACCACCTTTGAATAAAATTGCTAAAACTTTTGACATTTTGATATAAATGAGCTGTACTTGTTGAATTGAATTGGAATGAATTGACTTTGATGAAATCCTGACTATTTATACTCAATCTCCTTTATACTTGAATAACTTCTCATCCACTAAGAATCATCCAATCCAACGGGACAATCAATTAAAACTCCCTCATGGCTTTGTATTAATTGTACCTTGTTTTTTGTGTCATAGACGATAATCTTATTCAACTGGGGTAAAAAAAGTGTGTATTTCCTAAAAACATGATCAGATTTAATTAGAAAAGGGATCCGTGGAAAGAACTATGTTTCAATTGATTATTACTTGATGGTTTATCCATGGATGGAATTGTTCTCTTCTTGTTTGTTATTGGCTCAGTTCAATTGCTATTCAGTGTAGCGCAAGTTCCGTTCTCTTTGACAGGTGTTTTTCATTGGATTTTTAGTAACGGATCGAGTCTCGAATCGATTCGACATCTTATTGGCCCAATCTACACGGTTAAATAAAAATAACAATATATCAATCTATTCAGGCTTCTTGTAAACATGGGATGCACTTGCTTGATCCGAAGGGAAAACCAACAACTCTGCAATCACAGTGTTTTGCTTTCTGGTTGTAGCGAAAACAATCAATTCTGCAATATCATCTGCAAATAATGGTTCACGTCCTTTATAAACAGAACTAGCAGCTTGAGCATCACCATAATTACGAACTATACTAAATTCAGTCTCCACTGCACCTGGTTGGATCTCAATAACTCTAATCTTGGTATCAATCAATTCTTTTCTAAGTGATTCAGTGAATGCTCTAACTGCAAATTTTGATGCACAATAAATTGAACCACCAGGATAAGCATCACGTCCGGCAATTGAACCAATGTTTACAATATCTCCAGAGTTTTTCTTTTTGAAAATTGGTAAGATTGCTTGAGTTATTGAGATTAATCCAAAGACATTAGTATCAAAAGTTCCATAAATATCTTCATTTGAAACTTCACCAACTTTTGAATTACCTAATGCCTTACCTGCATTATTAACCAAGATATCAATATCTTGAAATTCAATTGGTAAGTTTTTCAAAAAAGGTTGAATTGAATTTTTTTCAGAAACATCTAATTTACCAATAAATGTTTGTAAACTTGGGAATTTTAAATTTAATTCTTTCTTTAAAGTTTCTAATTTTTCTAATCTTCTTGCAACTAGGATCAATTTTAAATCACCATTTGAAGCTTCAGCGTATTCTAAAGCTGTAGCCTTACCGATCCCTGAGGATGCACCTGTGATGAAGATTGTTTTACCAGCGATTCTGGAGAGGGCTTGTTTACCGTATGACATTGATAATTGTTTGATTGTAAGTGAATTGAATTGAATAGGAATCTAAAATTTATTTTCCAATCCCTAATTTATAAAAGCCACATTGTAATCCACACTAATTGCTCTTTTCATCGGCTCAAGTCAAATCCAAGGATAAATGCAAAATCGCGAAAATGAAATGAAAATAAAAAACAAAATCAAAATCAAAACAAAACAAAACAAAACAATTAAAATTCATTTCTTCACTTTAAAACTCATCACAAAAATATGTTCAGAAGATCCACAATCGGTAAAAACTCATCCTCGTTGAAGCAGAGACAACTAAGCCATCTCCATTCCCAACTAGCCCAACTCGAAGCGAATCTCTCCGATTTCGAAAACTTGATCAAAATAACAACATTTCAAGCTGAATATATCAAGAAATTAGGAATAATGCATGGAAGTTTGTAAGTGTGAAAAGTATTTCTCCCACTCATTTGGATAACATACTAACAGATTTGATAGATTCATGGCTAGTCATAAGGTGTTTGAAGAAGAAGTTCGTGCTCAAGAAAATTTGGAACATGATGATGAAGTTGATCAAGATCAGGAAATGGAAAGTTCAATCACAAATGAGGAATAAACATTGGGCTGAGCTGCTTAATCATATGGGTTTACGCGTTGCTTATTGATTTAAGCTTCATGTTGTTCAAGCAAACATTGGTTTGAAATATGATGGAAGGAATAAATGGAAAGTACACCACATCAATTCGAAAGAGATGTTCAAGGCTAAGCTATAGTAAAGCCAAATTCCACAGTGGCACTATTGAGCACCAAATAGTCAACTCCAGTGTCTATACACTATAAATATAAGTTTCTACTATATTTCAAACTCTTTTTCGTATCCTTTCGATCTGCCAAAGCACAACGTGTCGCTCGTTTAGTGCTTCAGCGCCTGAGATTGCCTATACGACTCTTAACAGTTCGCGAATTAAGAGCGTCAAAGCTAAATTCGAGTCAAGAGAATTGCAATTGTAGAATCATTGATCAGTATTAATCAGTATCAATATCAATATGCCTAATTAACTGATTCTATTCAAGTAATCACCCCTAAACGAGCTATCAAACTCAATCCAGTCCCTCGTTTACCAGGCCCTGCCCAGATACAAAATACCTGCTGCTTACGTACGGACCTCATCTCATCGTTTAAAGAAATCAGACCATAATAAGCTCAACTCAGAACACCATCAACGCTCGAGAATGGTACCAGGCTGTTCCTTTATAAGACAGCTGATACACCTTTAAACGATGCCTACTGAAATATAAATATCAAAAACATTCCAATCATCAATCACATTAACCAATTATTCACCACCACCATCAACAATGTCACAAGTGTTTGCAAACGCAACAAACATCTTACCTACATCACAATCCTATTCAGATGCCCTCAGTCTAATCTCATCCACAAACCCTCAACTAAACATAGTGGAACAATATTGGGCTGCTTGGTATCATTATATGCAAAATGATGTTTTAGCTACTGGGTTATTATTTTTTTTATTACATGAATTTATGTATTTTGGTCGTTGTTTACCATGGTATATTATTGATAAAATCCCATATTTTAACAAATGGAAAATCCAACCAACTAAAATCCCATCAGATAAAGAACAATGGGAATGTTTTAAATCTGTTATAATGTCACATTTCTTAGTGGAAGCTATACCAATTTGGACTTTCCACCCAATGTGTCAAAAATTGGGAATTTCAATCTCTGTCCCATTCCCAACTTTGAAAACAATGGTTTTACAAATTAGTTTATTCTTTTTTTTGGAAGATATGTGGCATTATTGGGCTCATAGATTATTCCATTATGGTCCTTTTTACAAATATATTCATAAACAACATCATCGTTATGCTGCCCCTTTTGGATTGACTGCTGAATATGCTCATCCTGTGGAAATCATGTCTTTAGGTGCAGGTACTGTTTGTATGCCAATCTTATATGTTTATTTCACCAAAAATCTTCATCTATTCACTTTATGTGTTTGGATCACATTAAGATTATTCCAAGCTGTTGATTCCCATTCAGGTTATGAATTCCCTTGGTCATTACATCATTTCATCCCATTCTGGGCTGGTGCTGAACATCATGATTTACATCATCATTATTTCATTGGAAATTATGCTAGTTCTTTTAGATGGTGGGATTTCTCCCTTGATACTGAAGCTGGTCCTGAAGCTAAAGCTGAAAGAGAGGAAAGAATGAGATTAAAAGCTGAACAAAAGGCTAAAAAGGCTAATTGATTAATGAAATAGATGGTGTAGTGAATGAAATGAACAATATAATTAAACAAAAAAACGTCTTTTGTGATTTTGCTTGATGATGTGTATTTTTAACAAGAAATTCATATATAACGATGGATTATAATCAAAATGTAGGTTAAGAATTCATTTCAAAGTCTGTATCAAGGTCTAGCTTCTTAAATTCAGGATTAAATGGCCCAGCTAGTTAAATGATTGGCTCGAAAAAGCAAAAATCATTCGTTTGATCTCCAGATCACTTAAAAGATTGAACTTTTGCTGCCTCAATTGACACTAAACCAATCTCCTAGATCTCCGCATCCATTTGGTATATCTTTCAAAACAAAAACTTCACTGGTTGTTGAATAATCTTCCAACCCCCGATTTTCACCATAGTTAAGCCTTTGAACTCAAACTCTTCAAATTCCAAAAATCTCACTGTTCAAAAAAAAACCAAAAATCAGAAAAATCGAAAAAAACCAAAAATCAAAAAACCAAAAAAAAAAAATCAAAAACCAAAAAAAAATTGAATTCATGAAAAGGACCGAATTTCTGTGCACAAGTGCACCAACGCCGTCACTGCACAAGAGAATAAAATCATAATTAACCTAATGGATAGAGCAAAAATGCCCAAAACTACTAGAATAATATCATCTAATTAGCAGTATCTTACTGTTGTCTTACTTTTAGTGGTCATTTATACACTATTTATCGTAATATTTCAATTTAAAACGCTTGTTCAGTAGTTAAGAGACGCAGATTTGACCATTCGCGAAATTGTGTCAAAAACATCTTCAACAAAAATATTGCAACCTTTCACAGAACTACTTCAACTATCAAATCGGAGTTTACAAAATGGATGGCGGTGTACAAAGTAAAGCTGCTGAGATGTATTAGTAAGGCTGATCTGTATATGGTTGACTAGACAACGGTTTTGTGGTTAAGCTGTGATTTAGGGATTTGTTGTTTTTGTACCATTATTTGATGGTTTTGTGGTATGTGAGAGAGTTGTTGAAAAAACTACATAAAGGTAGACTGATTTACCAATGGATTCATCACTTGTACATTTGACCTTTTTCAAAAACTACAAAAAAAACTAGCTAAATTCTTCCCTCATCAACCCATCCCATCTGCAATTTTGCAATGATGATCAAGGCTAATCAAGAGAAAATATGAATCAGAACACATCTCACCAATCATCTCATCAGCTTCAAGCTCAAACCACCTCCATCAACATCAACAACAATCAACAACAACAAGTTCAAACCACCAACCATCTTCAAGACAACACTACCAACCACAACAATCATGACCACCATCATTGTTCACCAAACACTACTGAAGCTGCTACTGAGACCAACTCCACTGATGATTCAACTAAATCATCTTCAAATTCCAATTACCCATTTGGTTTCATCAAGTCTTCTAAAGATATCCTTGCTGGTGTTTTAAATACTTTAGTTGGGTTGAATGTTTCTTGTTTTGAAAAGTTAATTGAACCTTTTTTACTTGGTACTTTTCCCAAATCACCAACTCAAATCACATTGTTGAAGTTTAATCATGATGATTACTTTACTGAACATTCAACTGCTGATGATTCACAAAGTCCAGGTAATTTTACTTTCAATAAAGTTGGTGTTTTCTTTCCATTTCATTATTGGTTCCAAAGAAGAAAAGTTGTTTTTGCTGATTCGTTAGAAGTTGTGTTTGCTAGGAGGTTCACGCTTGGATTTTATTATTTGATATGGATCATTCCGATGACATATTATTGGGAATTATTCCCCCCAAGTGCTTGGTTAGTTGCTGTTTTTCATGTATTCACTTTGGTCAATTACTAGTACTAGTGAAATGTTCCATCGGTATTTTTGTTCCACCTATTGCCTAGAACAATGATGCTTTATCTGGTGAAGCTGATACAAAGTCATCATTGCATAAATAGGATGGGAAATTTTTGAATATAAATTTTGTCGGCAAAGCTTGATTTTTGTAGTATGCGACTTCTTCTTTTTATATAGTTTTTGGAAAATATTTGAATTTTTTCTGTCGAGACAATACGTCTCATCCTCAGCATGAGTTGTTTTTATATTCTTTAATAGTCAAGCTATTTCGTGAGGTGATTACAGATATCCAACTAACAGCTTGATTCTCCATTAATCATAGGCCTCATCATTTTTTACTCAATTCACTCATGTTGGTTTCACAAGTTGTAATTTTCTTTGCGCATTGTAGTTACTAAAAACTCATGCTAGATCTCAACCTTTAAAAAGGTTCGATATCTTTAAAGCCAAAACTCTTGGTATCCAAGATTATAGATCATAGATTTCACTTTCTTCTTTGTCAAATATCAAGTTATCATGAAACTAATTCACTATACAGAAAACTAAACTGACACCAACTTGAAAAGGATGTATAGTTCCGATAGTGGGAGACAGATGAATAAATGGCAGCTCATACCTGTCCTTATAAGAGTACTAGCACTGAGGCAAGAGTATTCCAGTAGACTAAGTAATTGCAAGAATCACACTACTAGTAATCAAGCACAAATAATTTGATTAAAAACATGTGTATCTAGTGAAATTTAGCTGTGGTCACGTGACTATATATTCAAATGCAAATAACAACGCAACATTATATGACACTATAATAAATAAAATACATATATATGATCACAAACTTTCAAAGTTTGTTATGGTGTATTATTTGTGTTTTATTTTAGCATCTTTGTTTTTATTTTTAAAATTTAATGTAAAAGAATTATAACGATGTACTTATCTTTTTTTTAATTTATAAAACAAATAAGGGTCTATCTGTATGATCGGTTTTGAAATTTTTTTCAAAATGCCCTTAAAATATATTCATCTTATAGATAATTCAGTTTTATCAAGAAAAAAGAACTTTAATATATATGGGTTCTAACAAAGTGTATTGAATAATTGTTGAAAATGAGAATTTCCCGGATGTGAGCGGCCGGCGTGTATTTCCGACATAAAGAAGAGTACTCTGCGATTTATTTTTGATACACCTGAAATATCTATAACTACATTTTTCAAAACTTCAATACAAAAATTTATAATATAATTGAACTAAAACACTGACTTTTTTTAATAATTTTTTTTCTCTTTTAATAATTTAAACAATTATTTTGTAATACATTGATCTCTCTAATAAAATAACAAAACTTTCAAAACGAATGAATCAAAACGCTAATGTCCTCTAGTAATTTATCAGTTAACAGCCTCAGAGAATTGAATCAAACGTTTGATACCAACTAACCAATTACCACCTTCATGACTATGATTTGTCATTAAATCAATGTGAATATTCAATGCAGTTTGATAATCTTTTGAATTTAATGAATCAATCAAACTATTTAATAAATCAATAGTTGGTTGTGTTAACAGTTCTTCATTATTCAAATGATCAAATAAAATATTCAATCTTTTCTCAGTATCTAAAACTTGTTTGTTGAATTTTTCTGGAATACTTGGTTTAACTTGTTCCAATTCTTTACTTAAACTTTGATATATATTTTGAGTAGCTGCTGGAATATGAGAACGATCGCCTGCTGGATATTTGGATTTTGGTGGTGCACTTGAAGCTTGAGGTGGTTGTTGCTGTTCTTGAGGTGGTTGTGCTGCTTGATATTGTGCATGTTGTTGTAATGAAGCTGCTGCTGTTAATGGAGTTGCACTAGCTTGACCTGCTGCTAATGGTGGGGCATAGGCACCTTGTGCTGGAGGTGGTGGAATTGAACTTGCTGGAGGTGGAGCATATGGATTAATTGCTGGTGTTGATTGAGGAGGTGGAGCATATGGAGTTGGTTTAGCACCCGGTGGAGCAACATTTGCAGGTTGAGGAGGAGCATATGGGTTAGAAACTGGTGATATTGATGGAGCTGTTGTTGGAGCATATGGATTCTTTGGTGTTTGAGCAGCAGCTGGTGGAGCACCATAAGGAGATCCATTTATTGGTGGAGGAGGTGGGAATGAACCATTAGTTCCTAGCGGAGTAGCATTAGGTTGTGGTGATGGTTGAGTTGGAGCATAACGATTGTTTACTGCAGGTGGAGGACTTGGTTTATTTTCTTGAACGCTTGGAACTCTTGATTTTGAAATTGATCTTGGTGGTGGTGGAATTGATGGTGGGTTAACAAATGATGAGGTACGACTGATTGGTGGAGCAAGAGAAGCAGCACCTTGAGATGGTGAAGCAGCACCGTATGGTGTAGCAACATTCACAGCAGCAGCTGGAGTTCCACGACGTGGTTGACGATGGAAAGTTGATGGTAAATCATTCCAACCTTCAGTTTCATTCTTCTTAGATGCAATTTTTGGTGGTGGTGGGGGAACAGAACCAACAGAACCTGGTGGACCAACTGGAGTAGCAACATCAACTGGTTTATAAGGATTAGAAGGAATTGAAGCGGCTGGTTTATAAGGGTTTGAAGATGCCAATGGAGCAGCTTGTGGAATTGAAGGGGTAGCAGCAGCAGATGGTCTATATGGATTTGAGGCAGCTGGAGGACCTGGAACAGGTGGTTGTGAAAACTGAGCATATGGAGATTGAGCAGCAACTGGAGCTGGTGGGAAACCGGGAATTTGAGGTTGAGCTCCAGCAGTGTATGGATTTGCTGAAGGAACAGCAGCAGCTCTTGCAGCACCACTAGCACCACCAACTGAACCGTAACGACCTGCACCGGTAGCTCTTGTGGTTGAAGTAGTTGGATTAGTAGTACGAATACCAGATGCTTTAGCAATACGTTCCTTTTCAAGTTTCACAGCTGGGATTTGATCAGATAATAAACCCAAGAATTTGTTTGCCAATTCAAATTGACCTGAAGTGGAAATAATGTTGGTGAATTCTAAAATTGTAGATAATAAGGCTTCATTATCAGTAACTGGAGCATCTAATTTCAAAATTGATCTATAAGCACTGAATTTTTCAACGAATTCAGTTAATGATTCAAAATGAGCATCATAAGCAGATTTTTTGGAGGACTTCAAAATCTTGGTTTCTAAACCTTTCAATTCACTAACCCAAATAGCAGCAACTTTATCTAAAGCAGAAGCAGTAATGTAAGTTTTAATAGCATCATTACGGTTCTTAACAGGATCTGAAGCTAAAATTCTATCACCCAATTTAGCAAATTGAGTTTTGGATAGTTCTTCATTTTTAGAATAGGTTTTGATGGCTGTACCAATTTGTTTCCAATCAGCAACATCACCATTTTCAACAAGATCATTCACATTATCTGATGAAACACTGTATAACAAACGAGCTAGTGGGTCCTTTGAAGCATATTTAGCAAAATATGCGTTTTTAACTTTTTGTTTCAATTCTTCAGAACCATTTTGGGAAATGATTAAAGCTTCCACTAATTTATCATTTGATAATGAAATATCAACAGCCTTATTCAAATCTTTGGCTAATAATGCATTTGATAAATCTGTAAATTTTGAATCTTGTTCAACCAATTTGAATGGACCTGATGGTAGATATTCTTTAGCTTGGTTTGAATCACCTAAATTATTGAAGAAATCTTCACCATTTGTAGATTCTTCACCTTCAGCATCTTTTTCATCATCAGTTGAAATCTTTAAAGAAATAAATTTTTCAAAAACATCAGATTTATCTGTTAATTCATTCAATAATTCCCAATCAGATTTACTAACATCATCATGTGAATCTTTCAAATGAGACTCTATCAATGATTTGAAATCACCAGTGTTTAAAGCAGTTTTCAAATTTTCATTATCTTTTGATCCAGGAACTTTAACTTTTGAAATCTTGACTTCTGATTGTTTATCACCAGTTTTGGTAACAGTGACAATCTTACCACCAAAACCGAAACCAACAGCACTATGAGCACCATACCATTTTGGAGCTTGTTTGATGAAATATTCAGGTTGTTGAGTATCAGTATCAGATATTTGATTCCAAAAATCATTTTCAGTTGTTGAATTGATTCTATTTTGAGCTGGTGGTGAAGTATCTTGTAAAGTTTGAATAGAAATTTTCTTATCAAAACTTGCACTAGCAAAGATATCTGGTGAAGATGGAGCAAATCTTGTTTTGAAAACCCAATTGGCAGTAGTTGGATATTGGGCCAATTTTTGACCACTGATAGGGTTCCATAAGATAGTTGTATTATCTTTACCACTTGACAATAAGAATTCTGGGTCTTTAGTGTTCCAATCAATTGACAAGATTCCCTTTTTATGGCCAGTTAAAATACTTTCAGGAGCATTTGAATTTCTTAAATCCCAAGTTAACAAGACTGGTAAACCATCAGATTCAGAAGCAGTTATCAATTTGGTACTTTGAGTTGGATGCCATGCAACGACTGAAAGATTAGCTCTTGAGCCTGTATTGTTTGTGTAAGTCAGATGTAAAACTTCTTTCTTGGCTTTAAGATCCCAAATTGAAGTGTAACCAGCACTACCAGCAGAGGCAAAAATATGACTAACAGAGTTGTTCCATGAAACAGATTGAACGGTATCCATTGGAGTCATAGCAGTACCTGGAGCAAATGGGGCCAAGTTTGTTAATTTGTTGGTATCCCAAATGAAAATCTCACTATTGGCACCACCAGAAGCTAATATATTATGTTGTAGCGGATTGAATTGTAATGACTTGATAGCACCTGTATGTTTTGTACCAGTAGCAACTGATTCAACTGATATTTCAGAGTTCAATTTACTAGTATTCCAGAATTGAACAGTACCATTCTCAAGAGCACCAGCTAATAATGTGTTATTTTTGGACCAATCCAAATCATGAAATTTGGCATCAGTGTTGATGGTAACTTTTGGTTCTTTATCTTCTAAGTCGTAAAATGATAACACTGAGTTAGATGAGAAATCATCATCAATAACACCAGCAGCAGTACCAGTTGCTAAAGTTGGGAGTGTTTCATTTGACCAAGCAAATGTAGCCGTGCTATTTATATCATTGATTTTAACCATAGCTTCTTTTCTTTATATCCAAGTCTGAGAATAGTAAGCAAATGGATTATCTCTGGATGTTGTTGATTATTTTCTTTGATTCAATTTTCCAAATACGTGTCTGTTTGTTGACAGTTGTTGTGAATTGACAGGGAATAAACAAGGTAATTTGAGAGATAAAGTGTAATTTTCTAATCCAAAACTTGATATGAAATACCCTAAGACTCAACAATTAACCAAATCTGAGCTATTGCAAGACAATTGGATAGTTGTGATGTTGTGAAACGTAGGTGTTGTGGAGAGCCTTATTAAAGGGAGCTTGAAGTTCAACGAACGCCAGATCAACAACAATTTCAAGAATGCGAAAACTCGAAAAAAATAGTATGGAAAAAAGTCGTGCAATGACCAATTATTTCCATAGTATGACAATTTTGTATGGGCTTTAGATTGAACTGAACTACAACTAGTTGGTTTTATTTGGATTTAGTATTGAAGTGTTGATAGGGAATCAAGAGATAATGGCCATTGAAGACACACAGCCGAAAAGAGCAGAAGAAGATGTCGAGGAAGACGACGATGATGACGAGCCTGACGAGTGGTGGGTACAACGCTATTTTGTTCAAGAGGAACACATTTAACTAATAGTATGATACAGGGATCAAAGAATTAATAAGACAGGTTGTGCTGGTGAGTAGTTGGAATCAATTATGGATTGTTACAATCTATTAACAAGACATTTTAGATGAAAATTTGAAGTTACAACTGTGTCATGCTGACACTGGAGATTGGAGACAATGCACAAAAGAAGTGAGTATGGTTTGAAAATCGTTGATAAGTTAACTTTCTAATCAATCAATTCATTAGATGGAAGCTTTCAAAAAATGCTGGGCCAGTAACCAAAATAATCAAAGAGTTCACACGGTTGATAATGATGATCGAGAGATATAAGCAAAGGCCGATTTGTGGTGAGTCTTTCTACAAACACCACCACTCTTGGATACTTCCAAACAAAACAATACTCTGTAAATAGCAGTCTTAATGAGGTTATGATTCCCCCTAATGTCGTTTGTTCGAGTGTTAATTGTAGAATTCGTACGCTCTTCACGTAGAAACTCGAAGAAAATCCTAGATTTTTTTGCCAGACAGTGATACAAATTTAAATTTACAACGTTTTCTCTCAAGAAAATCCATCTTCACGAAGAAACCACAGATCAACCCAAACAAAGTCAATCTTTAATCTCAATTGTTTCAAAAATGTCTACCGAAGAACGCCCAAGAGTCTTCTTTGATATCTCAATTGGCGGTGAGCCAAAAGGAAGAGCAGTCTTCGAACTAGTAAGTACTTGAAGAAACAGCTATGCTCAGAATACTAACTTTACAAAAGTTCACTGATATCGTTCCTAAAACTGCTGAAAACTTTCGTGCACTAGCAACTGGTGAAAAAGGTGTTGGTAATGCAGGTGTTCCATTATCTTTCAAAGGCTCTAAATTCCACCGTGTTATCAAAGACTTCATGATCCAAGGTGGTGATTTCACAGCTGGTAATGGTACAGGTGGTGAATCAATCTATGGTGAGAAATTTGAAGACGAAAACTTTACTGTGCTACATGAAAAACCTTTCCTACTATCCATGGCTAATGCTGGTCCAAACACAAATGGTTCACAATTCTTTGTCACAACTGTTCCAACTCCACATTTAAACGGTAAACATGTTGTCTTTGGTAGATTACTAAGTGGTAAATCAGTCATTAGAGCGGTTGAAAGAACAGCAACAGATCAAGGTGATAAGCCATTAAAAGATGTTGAAATTGTCGATTGTGGTGAATTACCAAGTGACTATGTTATTGAACCAAGTGTGCCAAAAGATGATGGTACCGGTGATATTTATGAAGAAGTTCTGGCTGATAATGACAATGTGGATGTTAATGATCCTGAAAGTGTCTTCAAGGCTATAAATGAATTGAAAGATATTGGTACTAAATTGTTTAAAGAGAAAGACTTGACAAAAGCATTCCAGAAATACTCAAAGGCTGCTAGTTATCTAGAAGAATATTTCCCAGATGATTTGAGTGAAGAAAATTTGGATCAATTAAACAAATTGAAAGTTTCTGTTAATTTAAATGTTGCCCTAGTTGGGTTAAAGATTAACAAATTTGATGAAACTGTTAAAGCTGCCACAACTGTCCTTGAGCAAGACAAAGTTGATGATAAATCTAAAGCTAAAGCACTCTATCGTCGTGGTTCAGCATACTTGAGTCTTAAGAATGAGGAAAAAGCTCTCAAAGATTTGAACGAAGCTTTGAAATTATCACCATCTGATGGTGCCATTATCAAAGCCATCAACGATGTCAAGAAAATAGAACAAGACCGTATTGCTAGGGAGAAAAAAGCCTTCAGCAAAATGTTTAAATAGAGTAATAAAGCACAATAAACAATAATTAGAAAGCTTTAAAGTGGTTATCCTTTTCTTAGTTCAAGATGCTTTAAAATTGTAAACAAAAACTCAAATCTAATCTCCGTGCGTAAAGTTGAGACCGCGAGTAAAAACAGGTCCGAAGTGTTCGTTGTTGTGGAAAAGTTGAAAAAATACTGAAAAATCAAATCCAAACGGGGGCAAAACAAATAGTCTTAAATCAAAACAAAGGACAAACAAACAACATCAAATTTATCAAAAGCTGTTATAATTTTTTGCATCAAAGATAGAGTCATTTGAGAGGAGTATTTTCATATATTTGTTTTATTGACTTGGGTTATTTTTGAGTAGAAATTATTGGTTCAAATTTGAGTGATAATCGTCAAACAATCAAATTATCTGCACTCATTCAATTGCTGTTGCTGATTTTATTATCCTATTTTCAATAGAAGTGAAAAAAGACCGGTTTTTATAGCCCCTTACTTTTCACCAGTTAGAATAAATCGGGATATCAGGTTGTTTTTCAAAAGTTCATAATTGTTGCAAACATATACAAAGTTTATCAAGTTTTCAATCCTGTTTTGCATTTTCTTCTTCATTTTAATTTAATTTTTAATTGAGTACTGGTACTCATTAAACTACATTTACCAAAAAAAAGTACAGAAAAGTTATCATTTACAAAAAATACAAAAAAAGTCCAAAAAAAATTAGAATTTTCATATATTATAAACCAAGATGGTCCAATTTCCTTATTCCAGTGCGCCATTGCGTACAGTGAAAGAAGTAGGTTTTCTTTTTGGAAAGAACCCCAATTTATTTTAAAGAATGTCACTAACAGTTCAATAGGTCCAATTCGGTCTTTTATCTCCTGATGAAATTGTAAGTTGAGACTAACTGAGATCTTCAGTCTGTCTTACAACAAATATACTAACATGATATTCTTTAGCGTGCCATTTCTGTTGCCAAAATTGAGTTCCCAGAAACAATGGATGAAAACCAAAAACCTAGAGTTGGAGGTTTAAATGATCCAAGATTAGGTTCAATTGATAGAAACTACAAATGTCAAACCTGTGGTGAAGGTATGAATGAATGTCCAGGTCATTTTGGTCATATTGAATTGGCGAAACCAGTCTTCCACATTGGGTTCATTAGTAAAATCAAAAAAGTTTGTGAATGTGTGTGTATGCACTGTGGTAAACTTTTATTAGATGAATCAAATGAATTATTCAAACAAGCTATAAGGATTAAAGATCCAAAGAAGAGATTCAATGCGGTTTGGAATTTATCAAAAACTAAAATGATTTGTGAACCTAATTATCCAGCTGAAGATGAATCTGGTCAAACCGTATCCAGAGGTGGTTGTGGTAATGCTCAACCTACCGTTCGTCGTGATGGGTTAAAGATTTGGGGTACATGGAGAAAAGGTAAAGACTTGGAAGAAAATGAACAACCTGAAAGACGTTTGTTAACCGCAAGTGAAATCTTGAATGTCTTCAAGCATATTTCACCAGAGGATTCTCGTAAATTAGGGTTCCATGAAGATTATGCTCGTCCTGAATGGCTAATATTGTCAGTTTTACCAGTTCCTCCACCACCTGTTAGACCATCTATTTCCTTTAATGATACACAAAGAGGTGAAGATGATTTGACATATAAATTGTCTGATATTATGAAAGCCAACATTAACGTTCAAAAATTAGAAATGGATGGTTCTCCACAGCATGTTATTAATGAATTTGAATCTTTACTACAATTTCATGTTGCTACATATATGGACAATGATATTGCCGGTCAACCACAAGCCTTACAAAAATCTGGTCGTCCTATTAAATCTATTCGTGCACGTCTTAAGGGTAAAGAAGGTCGTATTAGAGGTAATTTGATGGGTAAGCGTGTTGATTTTTCAGCTCGTACAGTTATTTCAGGTGATCCAAACTTAGAATTAGATCAAGTTGGTGTCCCAAAGAGTATTGCTCGTACCTTGACTTATCCAGAAACCGTCACCCCATACAATATTCATAGACTAACTGAACTTGTCCGTAATGGTCCAAATGAACATCCAGGTGCTAAATATGTTATTCGTGATACTGGTGATCGTATCGATTTAAGATATAACAAACGTGCTGGTGATGTTGTTTTACAATACGGATGGAAAGTTGAACGTCATTTAATGGATAATGATCCTGTGCTTTTCAATCGTCAACCATCTTTACATAAAATGTCTATGATGGCGCATCGTGTCAAAGTTATGCCATATTCTACCTTCAGATTAAATTTGTCTGTTACCTCTCCATATAATGCAGATTTCGATGGTGATGAAATGAATTTACACGTTCCACAATCTGAAGAAACTAGGGCTGAATTGATGAATATTTGTGCTGTTCCTCTACAGATTGTTTCTCCACAATCAAATAAACCATGTATGGGTATTGTGCAAGATACTTTATGTGGTGTTAGAAAAATGACATTACGTGATAGTTTTATCGATTATGACCAAATGATGAATATTCTTTATTGGATTCCAGGATGGGATGGTGTTATTCCTAATCCAACTATTTTGAAACCAAGACCACTATGGACAGGTAAACAGATGTTATCAGTTGCAATTCCAAAAGGTATTCATTTACAAAGATTTGACGAAGGTACTACACCATTAAGTCCTAAAGATAATGGTATGCTTATAGTGGATGGTCAAATTATTTTTGGTGTTGTTGATAAGAAAACTGTTGGTTCAACTAATGGTGGTTTGATTCATTTAGTCATGAGAGAAAAAGGTCCAAAAGCTTGTGCCGAATTATTTGGTAGTTTACAGAAAGTGGTGAATTTCTGGCTACTTCATAACGGTTTCTCCATTGGTATTGGTGATACTATTGCAGATGCATCAACCATGAAGGAAATTACAGATGCCATTGCTCATGCAAAGGAAAAAGTTGATGAAGTCACTTTGGAAGCTCAACAACAAAAATTGACAGCTAAGCATGGTATGACATTGAGAGAATCTTTTGAAGATAATGTTATTCGTTATTTGAATGAGGCGCGTGATAAAGCTGGTCGTTCAGCAGAAGTTAATTTGAAAGGATTAAATAATGTTAAACAAATGGTTAGTGCTGGTTCCAAAGGTTCTTTCATTAATATTGCTCAAATGTCTGCTTGTGTTGGTCAACAATCTGTTGAAGGTAAACGTATTGCTTTTGGGTTTGCAGACAGAACATTGCCACATTTCGCCAAAGATGATTATTCTCCAGAATCTAAAGGGTTTGTTGAAAATTCATACTTGAGAGGGTTGACCCCACAAGAGTTCTACTTCCATGCTATGGGTGGTCGTGAAGGTTTGATTGATACCGCTGTTAAGACTGCAGAAACTGGTTATATTCAACGTCGTCTTGTTAAAGCCTTGGAAGATATCATGGTCCATTATGATGGTACCACAAGAAATTCTCTTGGTAACATTATTCAATTCATTTATGGTGAAGATGGTCTTGATGCTTGTCATGTTGAAAAACAAACTATTGACACCATTCCAGGTGAAGATTCTGCATTTGAAAAACGTTACCGTGTTGATTTAATGAGTCCAAAAACATCCATCAAACCAGGATTAATTGAATCTGGTCTTGAAATCATTGGTAACACAGAACTACAAGCCGTTCTTGATGGTGAATATAAACAGTTGGTTGAAGATCGTAAATACTTGAGAAAGGTTTTCGTTGATGGTGAACACAATTGGCCACTTCCAGTTAATATTCGTCGTATCATTCAAAACTCTCAACAAATTTTCCACATTGATCGTACAAAAGCTAGTGATTTATCATTGGATGAAATCGTCAATGGTGTCAAAGATCTTTCTACCAAATTGTTGGTTTTACGTGGTGAATCAAGACTTATTGATGAAGCTCAAGCGAATGCTACATCTTTATTCCAATGTTTGTTGCGTTCACGTCTTGCATCACGTCGTGTTATTGAAGAGTATCGTCTTAACAGAATTGCATTCAACTGGGTTCTTGGTGAAATTGATGCTCAATTCCAAAAATCTGTTGTTCATCCTGGTGAAATGGTTGGTGTTGTTGCTGCTCAATCTATTGGTGAACCAGCTACTCAAATGACATTGAATACTTTCCATTTTGCGGGTGTTGCATCTAAGAAAGTCACATCAGGTGTTCCTCGTTTAAAAGAAATTTTGAATGTTGCGAAGACCATGAAGACTCCTTCTTTGACTGTTTACCTAGATCCAGACTATGCTGCTGATCAAGAAAGGGCTAAAGAAATTAGATCTGCTATTGAACACACAACTTTGAAAAGTGTTACTGTTGCCACTGAAATCTATTATGACCCAGAACCACGTTCAACCGTCATTCCAGAAGATGAGGAAATGGTCAACTTACATTTCGAAATTCCAGATGAAGAGATTGAAGCATCTATTGATAAACAATCACCTTGGTTGCTTCGTATTGAATTAGACCGTACTCAAATGAATGATAAAGATTTGACTATGGCTGAAGTTGGTGAAAAGATTAAGGAAACTTTTGGTGATGATTTGTTCGTTATTTGGTCAGAAGATAATGCTGAAAAACTTATTATTCGTTGTCGTGTTGTCCGTGATCCTAAATCATTGGAGGAAGACTCTGAAGCAGAGGAAGATCAAATGTTGAAACGTATCGAATCTAATATGTTAGAAGCTATTACTTTGCGTGGTGTTCCAGATATTACTCGTGTCGTTATGATGAAATATGATCGTAAAGTTCCAGATGAAACCGGTAAATATGCGAAGGTTCCAGAATGGGTTCTTGAAACAGATGGTGTTAATCTTGCTGAAGTCATGTGTGTCCCAGGTGTTGATGCATCACGTATTTACACTAATTCCTTTATTGATATTTTGAGTGTTTTGGGTATTGAAGCTGGTCGTGCTGCCTTATACAAAGAAGTTTACAATGTTATTGCCTCTGATGGTTCCTATGTTAACTACCGTCATATGGCATTACTTGTTGATGTTATGACTTCTCGTGGTCATTTAATGGCTGTTACACGTCATGGTATCAATAGAAATGATACTGGTGCTTTGATGCGTTGTTCATTCGAAGAAACTGTTGAAATCTTACTTGAAGCTGGTGCAGCTGCAGAATTAGATGATTGCCGTGGTGTTTCTGAAAATGTCATTCTTGGTCAGTTGGCTCCAATTGGTACTGGTGCGTTTGATGTTATGGTTGATGATTCTGCATTGAAAAGTCTTCCAGTTAGTAACGCTGTTCCAGCGTTTGAAACTTCTGATGAATATAACGATGGTGGTGCTACTCCATATGATTCTTCATCTCCAGCTCACAGTTCTGATATCGAGACATCTGATGAAATTATGTTCTCACCAGTTGCCGATTCCGGTGCTCCAAACGCAAATGGTGGTTTCACAGAATATGGTGGTGGTGGTTTAACAGATTATGGTGGATATGGTGCCGCTGCTTCACCAGGTGCTGCTTTAAATCCAACTTCACCTTTCGGTGGTGGTTATGGTTATGCTCCTACTTCACCAGGTGGGTTCGCAGCATCTCCAGCTTATGCCCCAACATCACCTTCATACTCTGCAACTTCCCCATCATACAGTCCTACATCCCCATCTTACTCACCAACCTCACCATCATATTCACCAACTTCACCATCTTATAGTCCAACCTCACCTTCATACTCACCAACTTCACCTTCATACTCACCAACATCTCCATCATACTCACCTACATCTCCATCATACTCACCTACTTCACCTTCTTATTCTCCAACATCACCATCCTATTCTCCAACATCACCATCTTATTCACCAACATCTCCATCATACAGTCCTACATCCCCATCTTATTCACCTACATCACCTTCATACAGTCCAACATCACCTTCCTATAGTCCTACATCCCCATCATATTCACCTACATCCCCATCATACTCACCTACATCTCCATCATACAGTCCAACATCACCACAATATAGTCCAACTTCTCCATCATATAGTCCTACATCACCACAGTATTCACCAACCTCTCCACAATACTCACCAGGATCACCTGAGTATTCACCAAAAGAGGATTCTGAGGAAAAGGATAAGAAATAATCGAGATGCTTTAATTAGTTTTTATGCCTGGGTTTTTTTATTGTCGATATTGAAATCATACAGTGGGTTAATTTTGTAAAATTATGTATAAAAAAAAATAAAATAAAAGGGTTTAACGTAATCATTAATTGTACTTTTCTATACATTGCTTTTCTTAGATATCAATCCTTTGAACATGTCAAAAGAGTTACCATCTGGTTGAAGTTGAAATTTGTTACCAGTAGGTCTATCACTACGATCAACTTCTTCAGCAATTAGCATACCCCAGTCATCAGTGATACCCGTGATTCTGGTTCTGGCGTTCCCATGATCCTGTAAACGAACAATTTGATTTGAATGTAACCAATGCTTGTAATATAATGGGAGCAATGACTTGAACCCTTCATTTTTGAACTTATTGAATAATGTTCCCATGTGGTACATGTATGATGCAACTAATTGTTCTGGAGATATTGGGTCAAGGCGTGATTGTCCACGTTTCACTCTAACTTCATTTAATAATGAGATGGTTGAATTGATTGATGTGGTTGGAGCTGCATTTGATAAGTTGATACCAGTACCAATGATCACTTTGTAGTTTCCTTTCAAGACATTTGTATTCACCAATATACCAGAAATTTTCACATAGGAAGGCTCAATATCGTTTACATCAATCTTTTTACCGAAGTACTCAGGTTTGATAGCATAAATATCATTTGGCCATTTGATTCTAATTGGTAATTCTTCATACCCCTCACCCATAGTCTTAACAGCCTCCACAACAGCTAAACTTGTTAAATATTGAACAAATACAACAGGGGCATGTTTATAAGATATTGGTAGGTCTAAAACAAGAGAGCTTGCAACCACACCTGGAGGATTGATCCATAAGTTACCACCTCTACCACGACCAGAAACTTGGACTGTTGCAGCAAATACAGTACCGGATGGTATATTTTTCAAAATATTGAAGTTTTTGTCAAGCATGGATGATGTTGAAGTGACAACTTCACCATACAATAATGTTGCACCAGCAGAGCCAGGAGTTAGTGAGCCGTAATACTCTTGTAAGTATCTGAAGTATTGTTTGATATCAAAATAAGGTGTCAATCTGCGATCTGGCAAGCTATCACTAAAGACGTACAATTCTTTGACAGCGGTATCTGGATCTTCAAATTCTTCTTGCTTATTTAATTGGTGAGCAGAGTTTGGTTCTTCACCTTGGTGTAGTCTGATGATATCTGTATTACCCTTTATTAAATCATTGGATTCACCCTGAAGACCCACATTATCGACAATCTCTTTCACTATGGATGAAACTTGTCCCGCTATTGGAGAGGAAAATGTAATAGGTGTCAATCTTGGTCTAACAATCTCATTTTCATTAACAGTCAAGCCAAATTTCTGTAAACATGATCTCAAAAATAATTGACGTGATTCATTAGTTTCTATCAACTTATTGATAATCTGTGTATAATGTTCATCATCTTTGTCTTGCTTCAAGATTTCAGGAACCCATTCTGGATGTGTACCAGTCAAAATAGCAGAGCCTTTACCGACTTTAACATGGATAGCAGCAGCAGCAGTTGAACCTGCTTCAACAGATATAGGCTCAGTGTAAGTGGCCAAAACGTCAACATTGTCAAATTTATCAGCATCAACAAACACACCACCACCGTTATAGTAATTGTAACATGTATCTATATCAACATTTAGAGCATCTTTATTAACTGATAATCGTGCAACACGCGCTCCTGATTCATCACCATATTTAAATCCTGCAAAAGCTGGACCTCTAGCAGTACCAGGGAAAAACTTGAGTTCTCTTGGACCACTAACCTCGAGTTGAGGATCACCCACAGCAAATTCACAACGACCAGAGCCATAGTAACCGCCAGCACAGAACCCTAAAAATTTACCACCTTTGCGAACATAGTCTTTTATGATCAAGTTTGCCTCGCCGTTCAGTTCTCTGCAAGTTGGGACATCTGCACCACCTGGGAACACTAACAATGAAGTTTTAGATGGCCAAGGCTCCTTCTTCAAGATCTTTGAGTCCACACCGACAACAGCATAATATGGGGATAAGAATCTTCTTAATGATTCTAAGCAGTGCTTAACAGAATCTGGAGTAGTTCCTGGGCCTTGAAATGGGTGTTAATAGATTTTCTTTAGACAAGTTTGTTGGGAGATAACATACCAGAATAGACAAGGACATTCATGTTTTTGATGGTACTTGAAGACGTGTGAAGATGACGAAGTGATGAAGAAGAGGGAAGGAATAATTTTAAACTCCAAGTCCTTTGCATACACAGGTTTCAAATCTACCACTGCTTGTGATTGGCCTCTGTAGTCATCTGAATCATCAACAGAATTTCGGAAACGTTGTTAGCGCCCCGATGAAAAATGGCAGTCTGAAAAAATGTTGAGAAATGCGTTCAAGTGGTCAACAATAGATTAAGAAAGAAGACCACACACAATCAACTGGTGGAAAGGGTAACGAAGTCACTGGGAATGCAATTGGAAAGATGTTACTGGGACGCTTTACTATCTCTGCAAGCTTGAACCACTATCCAAAACTGCTTTTGAGGCAATCAAATCAGTTTAGCTTGGTCGGAAGACCAACATTATTAAAGAGCTTGAACCAACAGTCGATACGGTGTTTCTCCAGATATAGACCTTTATTACAGGAAGATAAAGATCAAAAACAGAAATTGAGAACCCAAATAAGCGACAAGATCAAAAATACAGAGATTGTAACGAAATCAAGGGAAATTAAAGATAAAATAACCAAGCCAATTAAAGGTTTAATCCCTGAACATGAAAACATCTACACCATACCCAATATTTTAACATTCACAAGACTGGTAACAGCTCCAATAATAGGATTTCTGATTGTCAAGCAACAAGTTGTATATGCTTTAGCATTATTTACCTATTCCTGCATCACCGATTTCATTGACGGGTACATTGCTAGACGGTTCAAGATGCATTCAGTTGTCGGATCAATAATAGATCCAATGGCTGATAAGTTTCTAATGGTTACATGTACTGCTTGTTTAGCTCATGCTGGTCAAATTCCACTATACTTGGCAGTTGTGATTTTAGGAAGAGATGTATTGTTAGCTATTTCTGCCATTTATTATAGATACATTTCATTACCACCTCCAAAGACGTTTCTCAGATATTGGGATTTTAGTATACCATCAGCAGAAGTTCATCCAACCACTATTTCCAAGTACAACACTGGATTTCAAATGTTATACATAGGTGCTGCCGTTGTTAAACCTGTATTATTGTCAGTTATTGATCCATCATATATAGAATTGCTAGAATATTGCTTCTCTGGATTTGGTTATTTTGTTGGTACAACTACAGTTCTTAGTGGATTATCTTATGTTTTCTCCAAAGATGCCGTCAAGATCCTCAACCAGCCTCCAAAGAAGTAAGATAGAGTATGAACTACACTGGATAAAGGGAATATAAAGCTTTGTACAAAATCTTTTATTTATATAAAACCATTTACATCACCATAATTATCGACTGAATGTAATATCATCGATACGTAATATTGATTTAACAGTTTCAGAAGCTAATGTGATGGCACTTGTACTGACTAGTACTGGTTGCAAGACATGTTCATCATATGTGTTTGTAGCAGCTGAACGACGGACTGAAATACCTGCATTACGTTCACCATTTTCATGTCTGTTACGTAAATCAGTAACAACGTTAATACTATTCATACCAGCATTTTCAGCCAATGTAGTTGGAATGACTTCAAGAGCTTCAGCAAATTCATTCCAAATGAAAGCTTCAGTACCTGATAATGATCTTGCTTCTTTCATCAATGTTCTTGAAACTTCAATTTCTGGAGCACCACCACCAGCAATCAATGCTTTTTCTTTAACTAAACAACGGACAACACATAGAGCATCATGTAATGAACGTTCAGCTTCATCCAAAACCAAGTTATTAGCACCACGACAAATGACAGAAACTGTTGGAGAAGTAACATTTTTAACACCTGTAATTTTAACAATTTTTGAACCTGATGATTCAGTTTCTTCAACCAAATCAGCAGAACCAAGTCTATCTTCTGTGAATAAATCAACATCTGAAATTGGTTTACATGAAAGACTTTTACTCAAGAATTCAATTTCATCACGTTCTATGTCCTTAATAACCAATATTCCTAATTTTGATAAGAAATGCAAGGATAAATCATTAACAGCATCTCTCAAGATTGATTTTTGGATTAATAAAACATTACATTTAGCCTTTTTGATTTTTTTACAAATGTTTAACAAATAAGCTCTTTCTTCTTTTAAGATCTTATCCATTTGTCTGTAATCATTCACCACAACATTATTTTCCATATCAGGTTTTGGAGGTGAAAGTTGAAATTGAATTAAACCAATTCTTGCCTTTTCAATTCTTGTAGGACCACCTGCATTCTTGACAACATTTTGAGTCAATACAACACCATCGACTAATTGTGTATCATCAATTGTACCACCAACTTTCTTTATTAATCTAATATCATTCAAATCAACATTTGATGAATCTGGGCTTGTGATTTTTAAGACAGAGTCAACAGCTAGGGGACCTAATAAATGACTATGTTGACTAACAATTTTACTACTTAATGAGGTAGAAGCTGCACGAATTAAAGCTTCACGATCATCTAATGAAATTTTTGTAGACATATCAAGTAAGATTTCAACAGATCTTGCAGCTGCTCTTTGGAAAGATTCTGCAATTATAGTTGGATGAATACCTTTTTGTAATAGTTTCTCAGCAGCACCTAATAAAGCACCGGTCAATATAACAACAGAAGTAGTACCATCACCGGCTTCGACATCTTGAGCACCGGAGACATCGACAAGCATTCTAGCGGCTGGATGTAAGACAGCCATGTGTTGAAGAATAGTATGACCATCATTAGAAATGATAATTTCACCTTTACCAGTCTTGATCATCTTATCCATACCTTTTGGACCCAATGATGTTCTGATAGCATCTGCCACTGCTCTAGCAGCTAATATATTGGATTTTCTAACCTCTTGAGGTTTCTCTTTGTTTTTGAAAGTAGCATTGGAAGGAGCAACTGCTGCTTTAGCCATCTTTACTGAGGTTCGTGAGTTTCAATTGGTGTTGGATCCAAGTGCAAAACCTCTTTTGTTCAGGTAAATGATCTGTATTGAAATCTTGCCTCTGTACATTTCTTCAACGCGTTATGTGTTGATGCGAAAAAAAAAATTCGACATGTCCATTTGCAGGGTAAATTTTGTTCGCGAATTTGAAGTTTATAAGCGATGAGCTTGACTCTTTGCAAGTTACTTACTAATTGTATGCTAGAAGGTAGGAAAATGTCATCTCAAGAAGCTGCTCATGTGTTCAAAGAGATCCCAGTGTCCAGGGAGCAGATCATCAACTGCTCGTTCTCTTCGTGGTACCCAAAGTACAAGAAGCATGTTCCAAAAGCTCACATTATTAAGCCATTACCACAGGCTTTCATAGACTACCTTTCCAGTGATGGGATAGAGCTACCAGATGATGGCCATTATGCAGTGAATGTTGGTGACGGTGATAATGAGTATAGTGACTGGTCAGAAGAAGAAGAGGAAGAAGAAAAGGAGGTCAAATCTCAAAAGACTAGTAATGCTGACACATTTAGCCAATTCAGTGAAATACATGAAGATATTAAGAATTACATCAACAACAATGGACCAGTTACCCCCAAACTTAACTGGTCTGCTCCAAAAGATGCTACTTGGATCATTGCTACAAATACCATGAAGTGTGAAAACGCATCTGATATCTACTTATTACTAAAATCATCTAACTACATTACTCATGATCTTTCAAGCGCATTTGATGAAGTGAAACCAGAACAAGAGGAGTGTAAAGATGATCAAAAAAGCACTGAACTTGAGTATGAATTAGTGCTTAGAAAATGGTTCAATATCAATCCAGCCTTAGAGTTTAGATGTTTTGTTAAAGATAGAAGAATCATCGGGATCACACAAAGAGATTTGAACTATTATGATTATCTTGACAATCTATCTGAAAAGATCAGAGACTTGATTGATGAGTTTTTCGAAGATGTTTTGGCAGAATCGTTTGCTGATGAAAGTTTTGTGTTTGATGTCTATCTACCAAGACCGTTCGATAGAGTTTGGTTAATAGATATCAACCCATTTGCTAGAAAGACTGACTCTCTTTTATATACATGGCATGAATTAGCTACAACAGAAGTTGACGATGATTTTGACTATGGACTAAGACTAATTACAGAAACTAATAAGGGAAGGTTCGCTGTGAAAGAGCATTCTGAGAATCAAGTTCCACAAGACGTTGTGGATGCCAGTTTAGATCCTTCAATGATGGTCGAGCTAGCCAAAGAGTGGCAAGAGTTACAATTGAAGCAAGAAGGACCAGCATGAAATCAACGATTGATGATTTGTAATTTGTTTATTGTAGTTATTCGGATATATCCTAAAACAGTTCAGAGAAAATCAGTTTCAATCTTTTACCATCGACAAAGAAACCTCAGTCTACAATGGCGTCTTGGGATAGTGAACCTAGTACAAACCAGTCCTCGTCATCAGATTTCCACAGCGCTGAACATGATGGAATCAACGTGCTTAATGATGTGTTGCTTGTGTTGGATAGTAAGCCCAGTGTGTTGGGCGGTTGTTCGTTGTCGTTAAGTGAAAGGAAATTATGCTTGATCGAAGAGATTCATATTGATTCAGGTGTCTCTTTAGATACTATGCTGATTTTGAGCAAAAGTATGATGAAACCATTATCAGAACAATCACGACCATTGTCATTAATTTTCATTAGTCCTTTCCAAAATTGGACCATCTCAAGTTATTGTATCATCTAGGCTCAATGAATCAATTTATAATGAATTAGAACGTCAAAGTATGTTGAAACATATTAGAATTTTATGATGATCGGTACTAATTGCTAATCAAGGTTCAATTAGAAACTTCACGATTGATGTTTTGAGATTAAAGTCATTTTTAAAGCACTCAATTAAAAGACCCATTCAGGACCTTCTGCGAGCACTTGCTGATAACAGAGCCTTATATCCAACATTGAATGCTATAGAGCACTCAATTGGTCAATCAATAGCAGTATGTCAATTCAAAGGTATGAATTTGGACGTAACTAACATTTGCTTTAGTCTGGTTGCCTTGGTGCTTTACTTATTTCTCTTGGGAGGTGTGAACTATTTGAAAGCAGAGATATTGATCGCAACAACCTTTTCCAATCCGTGGAAGTTTATGCATGGTATGTATAAAGATATTTAATCTAGGTGACATAGTGAACTGACTTTTGATAGCTCTGATACAGTTTATGTAGAACCTGAAACGTTATATGCCCTTCAGATTCTCAAGGAGAATGATTCCGGTTTGAATAAGAAAGATAGCCACCATTTACAATCATTGTTCGGTATGTTGAACCAAACTCATTCTGCTTTGGGATATAAAAGATTGAGAAGTTGGTTCTATGCACCTTTGGCAAACATCTCCTTGATTAACAAAAGGTTAAATACAGTGGAAGTGCTCATATCTGAAGATAATACTCAATATTTGGAGAATCTCATGTGCTTTCAAAAACAATTACCAAATATCAATCAAACAATATCATCAATTGAAATGGGTAGACCAAGTGTGAAGAGCTGGTCTCAGATGGCTTCTTTTTTGAAATATGCAATAGAAATTTATGATGTTGTGGGCTTAATGAAAGATATAGAATTTGTGGAGGTTTTGCAAAATATCTTAACTGAGGTTGATGTCGAACAACTCCGTAACCTATGCACAGCTGTTGACTCTGCAATTGATTTTGATCAATCAAAACAGTGGAAGAGAGTATATGTTAGAGATGGTTTGGTGAATCATTTAGATTGCTGCAGAAAGAACTATGACCGTCTTGAGACTACTCTCGAAGAAGCGGCTTCAGAAATATCTATACGATATCCACATGTTCCATCAACTTTTTTGAATGTGGTTTATTTACCCCAAGTTGGTTATTTGATTTCAATTGATATCACAAATAGGGACGAAGTTCCAGAAGAATGGGAAGAAGTGTTTGCTACTGTAACAAATATGTACTACAAGGATGAATATACTCACGGAATGGATGATGAATTAGGTGATGTCTACCAGCTCATCATTGACTTGGAAATTGAAGTTCTTTATGAACTACAAAGTGGGATATTTGACAGCATGGATATGTTACTTACTGCTGGTGAATTGTTTGCAGAGCTTGATTGTTTCATGTCACTTGCTTCCATTTCCATGCTCCAAGGTTATGTTAAACCAGAAATTGTGGATGAAAGTGTCATTGAAATTAAAAATGGTAGAAACCCGATATTTGAAAACCTTGTTCCTTCTTATATTGCCAACAACACAGACATCGAGAAACATCAATTGTGCATAGTGACTGGGGCCAATGGATCAGGAAAATCATTGTACTTATTACAAGTTGGAATTATTGTATACCTTGCCCACTTAGGATGCTTTGTTCCAGCCCAATTTGCTAAGATTGGCTTGACTGACAAGATACTTTCAAGAATCTTTAGTATGGAATCTTTGGAGAAGTGTGAAAGCTCATTTGGACTTGACCTTCAAAAAATGAGTAAATGTTTACAGCTAGGGACTGAAAAGAGTCTTTTATTGATTGACGAATTTGGAAAAGGCACCGATGTTATTGGCGGTCCAGCTTTATTAGGTGCTATTATTGAAAATTTATCTAATAGTGAAACTCCACCAAGAACGATTATTACTACCCATTTTCATGAGCTTTTCAAAAATAACATCATTGAACTATCTTCAAAAGTCAAACACAATCACATGTCGGTTATATTTCAACAACAAGACGGTGAAGATAAACTTACTTATCTTTATGAATTGAAGGATGGACTTGCGTTGAATAGTTTTGGAATTGAGTACGTTAATCTGTTTACTTTTTAACCTATTGAATATCTAACCTTAGAAATTAGTTGTGCAAAAGCATGTGGTATCCCAAATAATATAATCACCAGAGCTAATGAGATTTTGCGGGAAAGTCATGAATCATTGATATCTAGTGTTGATAGTTCCAAATATAGAGATATTGAACAGGCTGTAAGTATCCACCCCATTAATGACTACTTACATATGGACTGACCGTTTAGAAATACATTGCTAGAGAATTTTTGACTTGGGACCTTGAAACAGAAGAGTCACAAACAGAGCAAGAGCTTAAAGAACACCTAAACAACACTCTACATGTCATCAATACCCTATGAATTATGCTATTAACCATCATTATTTAACAATTTTTTTGACTATAATACAAGAACTGAAACTATTTAATAAGTTCAAAATTTGGTGGATCTTGTCAAATTCTTCTTAATACCAGTCTTTTCACCTTCATATGGACCAGAAGGTTGTGAATAAACAGCACGTGTAGATTTGAGTTTCTTTTGTGCTTTTTCATACTTCTTTCTCTTTTTAACACGGGAGTTTCTGTTATCTTTATTACGATGTGGAGTAAGACCTTTGTTTTTCAATATTTGATAATTCAAAGCACGCTTACCATCTTCTCCCAGGTTTTCTTGTAGTTCAGCCAATTTACCTTCTTTTGCAGCTTTAACAGCTTGGTTGTGAGCCTCTATTCTTTGAGTTTTTTCTTTGATTTTAGAAGATTTAATTGTGTTGTAGTATGAATCATTGTCAGCGTTGACTTCTCTGGCATCTTTTTCATCTTGTGAATCATAGTCATTTTCGGCATCTAAATCTTCACCATTATCATCATGTTGACCACGTTTACGAGCTTCCTCAATCAATCTTTGTTGTCTTTCAAACAGACGTTCTTTGTAAGGGATATCCAAGTCACCAGTGTATCTTTCATCATTTTTCTTTGCTTGTTGATCAATTTTGGAAGTGTAGAAACGCAAAGTACGCTTACGAGTCTTCTTTTCTTCTGCATCAACATCAGCAATTTCACCTTCAGCGAAATCTTCTTGTGCTTGTGACTTAACCTTCTTGAAATTACGAGGCTTAGATATATCAATTTCTACTTCACTTTCTTCCTCATCCTGTTCAGCTTCACCCATACTCTCTGACGCTGAATCAAAAACATCTTCGTCATTATCTGATGCATCCTCAGATGAATTGTTTTCGGAATTATCCAAAGCTTTGGTGTTGTATTTTTCATCATCACTTAAAGAAACATCATCTTCATATAGCTCACTAGCCTGTCTCCAAACTTCTTTGGAACTCAATATACATTCCATGACTGGATGTTCTTTCATTGTAAATGGTTCTTCGTCTTTCAAAAGAGCCAAAAAGACAGCAAAATATGAACTTATAGCACCCAAGTACGCAGATAATGCCGTAAATTTAACATTCAAAACTTCATTCTCATCTTTACGTTCTTTCAAACCATCTAATGTAGGCTTCAATTTGGAAAGCTCTTTGGATAAGGGTATGAACTCTGGATGTGAGGTTGAGATATATTTGCGCTTAGCTTTTGGATCAAGTTGTGAAATGCTTTGAAAAGTTTGCAAGGTCTTGTTGGAAGAGGCATCTGTACTGCCAAAATCATGTTTCTTTGCGCTCTTTGTCCATTCTTCTTCGACCTCTTCATCAACGAAATCATCCATGTTAAGCTCTTCTAAATGTCTTTTCTGTTGACGTAATGCTTCTTCTTCTATAAGTTTAGCTGATTCTTCATCATCCAAATCATCAGCACCATAATATGCACCTTTTGTTGAACCCCATGCACCTTCATCTTCTTCATCTTCAACATCCTCCTCATCCTTCTTTCCAAAGAATTCAGCTTCATCATCCTCTTCTGAATCACTGGCATCTGAGACTCCTAAAACTTCCTCATCGCTATCTTCATCCTCATCTCTTTGCCTACTTGGGCCAGCTTCGTTTAATAGAATCTTTTCTCTTTCAGCATGGAAAGAATCAACTTCATCCAGTCCGAAATCTTCATCTGTTTGAGCTCTTGATTTAGCTTGACCTCTCTTTGCCATTCTGAATTACTCTACTGTCTCTAAACCTATAAAGAATGTTCTAAGATTTTTGTTTTCTATTTGACTTAAATTTTTGTATTGTAAAGGAAAAAAAAATTTGAAGCGATGACTACCGGGTAAAATTTGTATGGATATATTTTTTGCAAAGGTATAAACAGTTCAAAATCTTTCAAATCAAAGTAACTCAAATCCAGTAAAAATCATTAGAATCTGCCTGTTACGTTTTCCAAGATGTCTGACAAGATACCCACAAGCTCACGTCTCGACTCGTTGTCGCGTCGCTCGACACCAAGTGCAAAACCAGGATTGAAATTCAAGCCAAAAGTGGTTGCCAGAAGATCTAAAGAAGAAAGAGATGCACAAGCTCCAGTCACTGCTCAAGAATCAAATAAATCTGATAAATCTAACAGAGGAAACAGTGCTAGAGGTAGAGGTGGAGCCCGTGGTGGCAGAGGAGGCAGAGGAGGCAGAGCATTAGCAGGTACGCATTTGGTGCAAGCAGGTCCTTTAGCATCTGGAAATATTTTGAGTGATTCTACTCAATCTTTCACCAGATCAGCTACAGCTTCACCAACTCCTGACTATTTGAGCAATTTAGTCAAAAGAGAAGGTGTCAGAAGTACGTCAGTTGGGCTGGATTCTGATGAAGAGGACGATGACCCAGCAAGAATCAACATGAGTAAAGAGTACAAATTTGATCCTGAACATACTGAATTATTTCCAGTTAGACCTGTTCGTAATGAGCATGTTGAGTCTGGTGATCATAAGGCCAACCCATCATCAGCTGAGTACGTTCGCTCAGAATCACCTGAATCAGTATCATCAGAACCAAGTGGATCAAAGACGACGGTGAAGGAGGAACCACAAGAGAAAGATTTAAATGCAGTATTACATGAGAAGGATACCGAACTTCAAAAGAAATTGAATGATTTACAGCTTCAAAGTGAGTTTTTATCAGTTGATCCAACAGAAGCTAAACAAGAAACTGAAAGATTGAACAAAGATCATAGATCAATAGTGAAATCGATCATTGAAGCAGACAATAACCCAGAAAATTTTTTATTTATTCAACTTCCTAGAGTTCTACCAAAATTCGAAGAAAATGATGAGGTTAAAGCTGCTAAAGCTGCCCAAACAATCAGCGTAAAACCTGAAAAAGAAGGTGATGGTGACATTACTATGTCTGAGAAGAAGACTGAAGGAGAAATTGATCAACTAGAAGGGCTAGTTGGTAAGCTAAGGGTGCACAAGTCTGGTAAACTAACCATGAAGCTAGGGAATGTTGTCATGGATGTTGGTAAAGGTTCTCAAACTGATTTTTTGCAAGAGGTTGTCTTAGCTGATGAAAATGAGAACAGAAATGCATATTTGTTGGGCCACTTGAACGAAAAAGTTGTTGTGACTCCAAGATTTGCTTGAACGGAGTATTATGTACATTAGTTAAAGAATACGTCTTTCTTTCGTTTTATTCTGTGATGTAGAAGTCTGTCCTTGTTATGATATGGCCTAGGTAGTTGTAGGTCTAGACTATATTTCGAGACTCAAAGTCCCTAAGTTTGGTACCTAGTCTCATTTCAAGGCTAAACTGATAAGACTGATCATTTGCTAAAACAAATAACGTCAAAAACTTAACGCCAAACACCAAAACACACTCAATATTGCCACTTCAATTAACAGGCTCAGAACTGCACTACATACTGAAGCTTTAGTGATCAATCATTTTCTAATCACCATCACGAGTATACTGGTGCCATCTCTGTGATTCTAGTTGTGGACTCACACAATAGAAACCAGCCACAATGTCATCTCAACATCCTCCAACCTTCTTGTCCCGTGTATTTGGCGTGAATTCAAACACAAGAGATGCTGAAACAGAATTATCAAGTATAAGAGATGATTATAGGTCCCAAGATGAAAGTGAGCATAGACTGTTGCAGGACAGTGGAAGGGCTCGTGAAAGATCATTGATAGAGTCAGACCAAGAAAGCATTTCAGATAATGAACCACTACAACATGAGGATTTATTTCAAGATGTTCACCCCAATGATGGAAAGAAACAAGATGACGGTTTCCATTTTGATCAAGTTGACAACCCAAATCATTTAGATTTCATCGGTGAAGCTGAAACCGAAGATGAGGATGATGTACCCATGTCCATCATGGTTCATCCAGAACCCTCATCAAACAGACACACAAAAACTGGTACAGGTTTGGATAAACTAAACACAATAAAAGGTCAAATAAACAAAAATATGAGAATTCCAAAGCTGAGAAATATACCATCAGCCAGTCCCTTTACTCTACCGCTTCATAACAAGGATCCAAATAACACAAACAACGAAGCAGCTCAAACATCATTTAAAAAAGATAATCGTGAAGCTCCCTCTTCCAACTCTGCAGAAGATGAAAGAATAAGAAGAGCAAAACTTGGGATCTTGAATCCAAGAGAACGGGCGCTATGGAAGTGGGCAAATATTGAAAATTTGGATAGGTTTCTTCAAGATGTTTATACTTACTACCTAGGAAGCGGTTATTACGCAATTCTTTTATCAAAAGCACTTGACCTTGCAACTCTTGCCTTTGTTGTTTATTTTTCAACATATTTAACAACATGCATTGATTATTCAAAATTAAAGTCATCAAATGCTAAAAGTCTAAGTGATATTCGGGTTGATCAATGTTATGCTTCAATCCATCCACTTGCCAAGTTCTTCTTATGGTTATTCTACATTTATTTTGCCCTAAAGATTGCCCAACTGTATTTGGATGCTCAGGAACTACGTGAGATTCATCACTTCTACAAGTATCTTTTGGATATATCAGATAAAGATTTACAAACAGTTTCATGGCAAGTTGTGGTTCGCCGCATCATGCTCCTTAAAGATCAAAATGCTGTGACCTCCAACGTCTCTGACATGAAATCAAAATCAAGGATTGATGCACATGATATTGCCAATCGTATTATGAGGAAAGATAACTATTTCATTGCCTTGTACAATAAAGATATTTTGGACTTGACTTTACCAATACCAGGATACAGAAGAAATTTGTTAACCAGAACTTTGGAATGGAATCTTAATCTTTGTATCTCAGGATTTGTGTTCAATGAAAGTGGTCAGGTTAGACAACAATTTTTGAAAGAAGCGAAAAGAAAGGAATTATCAGAAGAGCTTTCCAAAAGATTTATGTTGGCTGGTTTCCTCAATATTATATTAGCACCGCTAATAGTTACATATTTCATATTGTTATACTTCTTCCGTTATTTCAATGAATATAGAAGAAACCCAGGCTCAATTGGATCAAGACAATATACGCCATTTGCAGAATGGAAGTTTAGAGAGTTCAACGAACTTTACCATATTTTCCAAAGAAGAATCAACTTGAGTGTTCCAGAAGCTTCCAAATATGTTGATCAATTTCCCAAGGAAAAGACGGTTTTAGTTCTCAAGTTTGTTTCCTTCATATCAGGGTCATTTGCTGCCGTATTAGGTATTCTTTCAGTCGTGGATCCTGATATGTTTTTCAATTTTGAGATTACAAAAGATAGAACAGTATTGTTTTACATCAGTATTTTTGGTACAATATGGGCTATTTGTCATGGTACAATACCTGAAGAGTACCAAGTTTTTGATTCTGAAGCCAGTTTGAAACAAGTTGCATCCTTTACTCATTATTTACCTAAGCATTGGGAAGGGAAATATCACACTGATGAAGTTAAAGCTGAGTTTTGTGAATATTTTGATTTGAAACCATTGATATTACTACGGGAGCTTTCAAGTCTTATATTTACCCCATTCATTTTGTGGTTTTCACTACCGAAATCTTCAAATAGAATCATTGATTTCTTTCGAGAGTTTTCGGTTCATATTGATGGGTTAGGTTACGTCTGTACATTTGCAATGTTCAATTTTGACAAGTCCAAGTCCACTCAAAAAGCTGCCGCTTCTGCCAAAAAGAACTCAAATGACCCTAGAGAAGCCTATTATAATTCTGGTGAAGATAAAATGATGAAATCATATCTTTATTTCATTGACAGTTATGGAAATAATGAAACACAGAGAAACACGCGCCCATCTAGAGTGAATAAAATGAACCCTTTGCATCATTCTATACATGGGAAAATGAGTCAACCTCAAAGTCCTGTTCAATGGAATTTACGACCTGAGGAGTTTGGTTCGCAATCCTTCATGGCAACACCAACAGATAATAGGTCAAGGGGTAATTTCAGAGATACAAGACATTTACACGAGCCAGAACATTTGGCTTTAGGAGATTCTTACATTACCACTTTACCTCAAACAGATACAAACGACACTGATAAAGGCAATGAACAGAATCCTGGAGTTTTGGGGTTGTTGAACCAGTTTTACAAAGATTATGAAATTTCTCGAAATTGAACACTTTCTAGTATTTCGTGATTGTATTTGGCTTTTATTTATTATTTTGGGTTGGGTTTAGTTAGGAGTAAAATATACGTACGGTTTATAATATTTCAATTCATCAGCTACATGGTGATGTATAAAACACAATAACTGATTATCTCATTATATCTATAAACACACAATTTATTTCTTGTTCTTACGAGCTTTCTTTTCACGATCATAAGCATTTTTTTCAGCACCTTCAACAGTACTGATAGAATTGAGAATTCTGGCCATCTTGGAATGATATGCATCTTGGGAATCCTTCTTTTCTTTGATTTGTTGTCTAGCTTCAAATCTACTATCTTTACGAATCTCACGAAGTGCAATTTTTTGTTCCTGTTTGAGCAAGTGACGCAGTTTATTGGTCTCTTGTCTTGATCTGTCATGATCATATGATCTCTTCTCTGGATTGAAGTTTTCTTCAAATTTAGGAGCATATGTTGCAATAGCAAGCTTCTTGTGAGTTTGTAATTCCAATGGTTTACGTTCATCATTAGCAAATTTCAATAATCTGTTGAATTTGTCAACCAATTGTGTGATTTTTTGAAATTCTGGATAAAATTTTTGATATTTTGCAAGTATAACACTGAATGGCTGTGCAATTTCAATGAAGGCAGTTTTCTCCTTCCATGTGTCTAAAGCGTAATCTATAACTGATATTATTTTTTTCAAAAGTGCTTCCTCATGTGATTCTTGAAGTTCACGATCAACGTCTGAGATTCTTAAAGTTTGTTCCTCAGTTGTGATGCCTTTTTTCAATGGAAGTCTAACATCAGGCTTAGTAGTAATGGAGCTATGTTTGATTTCTTTTGGTGATAATGAAAGTAAGGCTTTCTGTAAGAAAAATGTGACTTCGGGTATATATCTTTTAGCAATTCTTTGATATTTCAAAATAGTATCTGATATAAAAGTTCCCGCAATCAACAAGTTTAATGAATTGTATTTCAATTGTTCTAAACTTTCACCCATCAAAATCAATGAAGGTGTCACTAGCAAATGATAATGATCAGATGTGGAGAAAAGCATACCAACTAAACCAAAGAAGACTAGGTCAGAAACCATTGGATATTCATCACCACCAGCGATTGTTTCATTGATTCTCTCTTGCATTTCTTTGATTTGTTCACGCAAGAACTCCGTTAACTCATTAGGGAATCTTTCAGAGAGTTTTTTCAAAGTGGAAATTAAAGATTCTTGTATTTCTGGGAAATCATCAGAGTCAACGTCATCTGATTCTGATAAAAATAGTATATGTTGGAAAAGAACATTAGTGAAAACAGCTAGTTTTTCTTTATTACCAGCTTGTAGTCTTGGTGAATAAGTGTCAATGATTTTCTTGATATGAGCTGGAGTCCCTTTCAAGGCAACTGATTCTAACTGTGAATGAAGATCTTCTAAAGTTTGTGGACAAGAAACTTTGTTTTTGGAACCGGTAAATGCTCTTCCAGTTGATTCAGATTCAGATTCAGATTCTTCTTCAACCTCAGCGTCACTTCCATCAGTTTCAACACCTTCAGCTTGATCTTCGCTCTCTTCACCCCAAAAATCGTCATCTAATTCATCTGGTCCCTTTTCAGCACCATAGTCATCACCTTGCATACGTCTCAATCTAGCTTGTTCTAATTCTTTTTGTTTATCTTCCCATTCTTTCTTCAATTCTTCTTCAGTTTTGGTTCTATCAGCTGGAGCAGCACGTCTATCCATGTTCAATTCTCTTACACTTTGTTCATAATTGATACCATTTGGGGTCTTTGAAGCTTGAACAGCAGCTGGTTTTGATTTTGGAATGGTCCCCAATTCATGTAAGACATCAGCATATTCGTCATCCAATTCCTCAACTTGATTTTCTCTTTGTTCTTGAGCCATTTGACGTTGTGCTTTGTAATATTTAGATTTTGCCATAACTTCTTTCATAACTTCTGTTTTAGTTTTCTTTTTTGGTACCGCAGATTCATCTTCATCTTCTTCAGCTAAACCTTCATCATCAAATGATCTTTTTTTAGGCTTCATAAAATCATCATCGTCAGAGTTTTCTAAATCTTCAGCATCAAAATCATCTTGTAGAGCTAATGATTTTCCCATATGGGTTAAACCGCCTTCTTCATCAGAATCATCATCTAAATTGTATAAATTAGCTCTGTTGGATTGCTTTAATCTTTCATGAGTGAAACGTTGAAGCATCTTTTCTTCAGGATTCAAGGAAGCATCATTTTCACCAAAACGACGATCTTTTAGTAGACCACTTTTATTCTTTGCAGCTTTTTTAGCTTCCCAAGCAGCTTTTCTTTGGTCTTCACCGATTTGCTTAGAGATACCAGGTTTACCTTGAGCTCCCTTGACGAATTTACCATTTGTTTCATACTTGGTTTTGTTTGTCTTGATTTCAAATGGATTAAACTGTTCTCTTATTCTTTGAATTTTTTCTTCTCTATCATCACGACGAGTTTCTGATGGGGCCCTTTTAGAACCTTTCCCTTTTCTTTTGACATTTGTTTGACCAGTAAGTCCATTCTCCTTAAGAGCAGCTTTTAACTGCTTCAACTGTGACCCAGCCATTGTTCGATGGTTTTGAATCAGGATTTGTTGATGTTAGAGATGAGCTCTATAAAAAATTCTTATGTTTAATTTTTTTTTCATCAGCACTAGCCACAGATGAGCCATGGCTAGTGAATGTGGCTGGGGAACACCAGAATACAACTTAAAAACACTTTGGAGAAGCCTGAGCAGAGTCGAGTGAAGAACTTTCAAAAGAAGGTCAGAGAATTATCTTCTACACAAACAAACAAGCCTTACTTTATAATGCCTTTATGTGATTCTCTGTGTTTAGCTTTCCTATAGTGTAATTTTTGTGCTTGGTTTGAAGCCCTGTGCTCCCAAATCGAGAAATCGAAAATTGAAAACAAATTCAAAGAATCAAGTTTGAATCAACAACGATTGAAGTAAATTACACAACACAGAACCAATTGAATATCAAAAATGTCCAGAGACGCTCCCATAAAAGCTGATAAAGATTATACTCAACTTTTGGATGAACAATTTCCTCAAATTGATGTCTTGGGTAAAGTAAGTAATTGATGCTTTTCAAATGGTGGCAATAATTAGAAACAGATAAACTAACAATCCTAAATAGAATGACTATAATGCTGCATTAGAGAAACTCTTACTATTAGAAAAGCAAACCCGTCAAGCTTCTGATTTGGCTTCATCCAAAAGAGTTTTGACCAAAATTGTCGACTTGTTAGGTGATCATAAAGATTGGAAAGCGTTGAATGAACAATTAGTTCTTCTTTCAAAAAAACACGGTCAATTGAAATTAGCTGTCCAAGTTTTCATTCAAGAAGCAATGTCATATTTGGATAAAACTCCAGATTTGACCACCAAGATTGAAGTCATTGATACAATTAGAACTGTTACTGAAAACAAAATTTTCGTTGAAGTTGAAAGAGCAAGAGTTTCAAGAGAATTATCACATATTAGAAGAAGTCAAGGTAAGATTGATGAAGCTACTGAAATTTTGGTTGAATTACAAGTTGAAACATATGGTTCAATGAACTTGAGAGAAAAAATGGAATTCATTTTGGAACAAGTTGAATTATGTATCTTGAAAGGTGATTTCAACCAAGCAACTATTTTATCAAGAAAGATTTTAGTCAAGACTTTACAACTTGCCGAATATCAAGATATCAAATTACAATACTACGAACTATTAATAAAGATTGGTTTGAACAAGAATGATTATTTGAACATAGCCAAACATTTCTTATCAATTTACGAGATAGAAGATATCAAAAAGGATGAAACCAAATGGAAACCAGTTTTAATCAATATTGTTTATTTCTTGATCTTATCACCATATGATAATTTACAAAACGATTTGATTCACAAACTAGATTTGGATACTAATTTAAGAAAACTTGATTTACACAGCAAATTAGTCAAATCATTCATCACACAAGAATTGATGAGATGGCCAATAATTAAAGATGTTTACAGTGGTGAATTACAAAAAAGTGAATTTTTCAACAACAAGGAAAAAGCTAATGAAAAACATTGGAGTGATTTACGTGATAGAGTTATTGAACATAACTTGAGAGTTATCTCCACATACTACACAAGAATAACATTATTAAGATTAAATCAATTATTAGATTTGAATGAAACTGAGACTGAACATTTCATTAGTACTCTGGTTAATCAAGGTACTATTTATGCCAAGATCAATAGACCAGCCAAAATAGTGAGCTTTGCTAAACCAAAAGACTCAAATGAATTGTTGAATGAATGGTCAACTAATGTCGATGAATTATTGGGTCATATTGAAACTATTGGTCATTTAATCACTAAAGAAGAAATGATGAACGGTATCAAAGCTTCCTCTTAGATGTTAATACATGATGGGTTTGTTAAATTCTAGACAACTTTTTTTCTGTAACTTTGGTTATCTGCCATCCTTTGGTTGATTATCTTCCCTTCTTCTCTTTGCACTCTCAACTAATTCATTCCACCTTTCCTTCAGTTTTTTTATTTGACTTTCGAGTCTCTTGTTCTCTTTATCCATTGTTTCCAATTTGCGATCATTTGCTGCTTTCTTCTTCTTCTCTTGTGTTTGTAAATCAGATTTCAATACCGTAAGATAGTTCTTCAGATTCAACTTGAGTTTCTTGTGAAATGATTCATAAGCTTGTAAATTCTCACTATAAGTACTCAATAATTGTTTCAAAGTTCTATTCTCCAACTCAAGTTCTTCAACTGATTTTCCTGAAAGCTTTACATTCTTGGGAGTTGAAGTTTCAATGTTATTGTTAAGATTTGGTGGTTTTATCAAGTTGTAAACTTGGACTTGAAACTTGGTTATAGGATCCGTTGAATCATCATTCACCAAGCTCTCAATGGTGGAGTTATGACCCGAAACACCCCTTACAGAAGCCAAAGAAGCTGATATATTATCAGCACTTTGTTTATTTATTGTGCTCAATGGATTATAGATGGATTGCTGAAGTTGGGCCTGTGAAGAGGACCTGCTGTTGGTGACTTTCTGGTTTTGCATCAATGACAGTTCATTTGCCCTTCGCAAATTCTGATCAGCCAGAATCTGTAAAGCATTATTTATCTGTTAACTGTCAGCATTGAACTGCTTCTTAAGGATTGGCTTGAACGAGGATACTCACTTCATCGTTATCAGTTTTCCCAATGTTTTGTTTGAACAGCTTACTGGCATCCTTGTATAGAGCTGAAGCATCTTTGTATTGTCGTTTTGCTATCAACCTTTCCGCTTTCTCTACCAGATCATACCCCTTAAATTGTTAAAATCTGCTCAAAACCAAAGAGCAATACCACACATACTTCATTCAGTGACATCTCCCATACAAATTGGACTTGTTTTATCACCTTTCCCCATACAAATCCAACATTCACTGTTGTAATGTGAAATCTGGCGCAAAAATAGTGTGCCAAAAGACGTGCAAATACCGTTTCTCTCGAAAATGGATTCAAATTCTTGTCAACACCAAAATTCCACCAGCTGACCCTTGTGAGCTCATTATTGGAGCCTTCATACTTGTTGGAACCGCTTTGGTTGATATTCAGATTGATAGAGAGGTTGTTTGAAACCTGGAAAGGCATTGTATTGTTTCATTAAATCCCTTGCTTACCCGTTGAGAAGAAGCCAAATTTCCCCCATAGTAACCACACAAGGCCGTTTATACCCTAGTTAAGGAAGCTGATGAGAGAGGAAAGCTACAATGGAGACTGACTTAATATTCCCCAATGGTGATGAGTTCTGGAAGTATATAGAGAATACTTTGAGCTGTGAGAATTTTGATGATTACCACATTGCAAACAGAAAACTCGTTACATTCATAAAGACAGTCGCTGATCATGTCCAAATATACATCACCAATGATCAAGATATATACCGTTGTGGAGTATACTTGATTAATTCTCCAATTTATGAAGCTCATAGAATCTTTTGCATATCCAAAATGTTGTCATTCTTGAATATAGACTTATTAGACCAAAATTTCAAATTGTTTGTCAGTTATGTGTTGTTATTAGATTGCAAAAATGATGCTTCAATATTACAAGTTGTTCAGGATTACCAAGGGTTTCACGTTTTATACAAAAACTTGCATCAAAATTTTGAAAATCTAGCAATTTTCTCAAATGATGAAGGTGGTGAACGTCAAACTATAGCTGTAATTAAGAAGATATGTACCGTACAACTGGATCTAATGTTTCAAATGTGCAAATATTTGTCAATATCAGTGGAGGAACTTTCATTAATAGATACATTCTTTGTCAATTATATCTTTGAATCATTAGTGATTATTGATGCTGATGAAGATGTATTCAATTTTGCAAAATTCAAAGTGATTCTCTCTATCAATGAACAATTCATGATTGTTTCTCGTGAGAACAAGATTGAAAATAAGGTATTCCAAACAATTGCAACCCACACAACTTTTAGAAACTTTAGTGAGTGTCTGTTGGTTTACTTCAACAGAGAGGAAGATCGTTGTTTACAGATTATGATTTCAAAAGTCTTGTATCTAATATTTACAAATAAAACCACGTCGGAGTTGTTTTACCATAATGACTTGAACGTTTTGGTTGATGTCTTACTGAGGGAGCTCACTGATCTGTCAGAAGAGGAAGAAAGTATTAGAAATACATTTCTACGTGTATTATACCCAATATTGAAGTGTTCACAGTTTGAAAACACCCTATACAAAAAAGATAAATTAAAGTCCCTTTTGGGTTACTTTGCTGGACAAAGTGAATCCAAATTCTGGCATCAAACGGAGACCACAAAGAGGTTAGCATTGCGCTGTTTATCAATCAAATGGCTAGCCCTAGAGGATGATGATTCAGCGTCAAATTCACCATCACCAACAAAAGATACATTGACTGTACCAGAAGTTAACAATTCAAGCACGTCTATTAATTCAATTTCAAAAAGACAACCACCACCTGCTCCGTTGCCTAGAAAATGTTTTGGGCGTAATAATAGCAATCAACATATTCCACAAAGAACCCGTTAACTATTCATCGAGTTTATAACTTAGTCATTACCGTGCATTTATCTCATGTATTTTTACTATTGACATTCAAATGAGATAGTCATTAATTATTAGATTTTTACATTAATACACTAATTACATCACTTCCACATATAATGTAGTAACCTATAGCTCTACTTCTTCATCTTCAACATCATCATCCAAATAACTCACCAATTCAGCTCTTTTATACTCATCAATAACACTTTGAACAGTTTCCCTAGACTCTTTAAATTCATCAAGACCATTTTGAAACAATTTACCATCTTTGTAACCACCAACAAACGCATTTCTTCTCATGATCTTATCATACTGTTTACACGTTTTACCCAACAGTGAAATAATAGATGAAGTATTTGAAAGCATAAGACCACTCACATAGTCTGAATCTGAAGTCTTGTAATGTTGAGACTTTTTACCATTAGCAACATGAACACTTGAAGAGCTCCAAGGAACAAATTTAGCTCTTTGTTGTGCCTTTATTATAGCCTTCTGTATATCAGTTTGATCATAATCACCTTGTAAAATACCGAATATTGAAATGTAAAGATTATGCTTTTCTTCAACATCAATCATTTTTATCTTCTTGTCTAATAACTCTAAAACAACGTCGTATGCCGAACTCTTTCTTATTTGTTTAGCATCAGTGACAAAATCTGAAGTGAAAGGGGTATAACTTGGTACCAAAAAATGAAGGTCAGGTGTTGGCACTAATGTTGATATTATGCTTGTATAGGAATTGTACATGTATCCTGGGTATCTTAAAGTGTTGGTAGCGCCGGACATCACAGCTGCGATCAACTGATTTGTTTGGGTTGTTGATGGACTATTACTTTGGAAAGTCTTGATAGCATTATTCAACAAGGCACTATTCTCTATAACAATGTTAGCATCTGAAGAATCGATTAACCTTTTCAAAGTAAGCACAGTGTTATATGGTTGAACAACAACATCCGATGATTGAACACTTTCAGGGAATATAGAGTAGGTTGTTGTCAATTTTTTGTTGTAACGGTCAGCCAATATTTCCAAAAAATATGAACCAACACCAGAACCAGTACCACCAGCCACTGAATGAATCAATTGAAATGCCTCTAAGTTATCACACGAATCTAGTTCTCTATCAATCATTTCCAAGAATAATTCATTTTGACTCTCAGCGTAATCATAACCTTTGGACCATATATTCCCAGCGCTTGAACCAGTACTAGAAAGATGAATATTTCTATCATTGAACAAATTGTTGGTTTTAGATTTTATGTCTGATATCACACCGGGTTCAAGATCGACTAATAACGCTCTTGGTGTGAATCTTTTATCATCATTACTATTGAAAAATATGTTGGTTTCATCTTCACGCATTCCTTCAACTGTTGTCATACCATCAGGTCCTATCCCATGTTCATTACATAGTTGGCTCCAAAATTGCTGACCCACTTGGTTACCACATTGCCCTATAATGAGGTTAGTTCTCTGTTTTCATTTAAGTAAACAATTGTAACTGATCACATACCAATTTGAAGAGTTAAGATTTCACTAAAATACAGGTTAGTATTTGTAAATGAAGGAATTTGAACACAATATAGATTACTTACGGCATTCTTCACGCTTTAATTAATGAGAAGAGTTAGCTGCTAACCAAGGCGATGACCTTTTAAATTGATTTGTATTCAAAGGTTTTGTTTCAAATTGTTTGTTTACCAAAACGCGAAAAAACAAAAGATGATGTGTCGCGTACCAGAGACATAGACACTTGAGGCTCGAAAATTTATCTACAGGATTTTCCTATAAATCATCGTCTATTTCAAATAAAACATTCTTTTTTTTTGTTGTACATAAGTTTTAAATAAACCGGAGAGAAAACCAATTCTTTTTTTAGTGTTCATACACGAATTCTCAAACCAGAAGCTGGTGCTCCAATGCTAGTAATCAAAGTGATTTTATCAAGCTTACCTTTTTCAGATGCTTGATATTTAGCACCTGTTAAAGCTTCAGAAACGGATGGTGAACCCTTATATATTGGTGTATAAGTGGCAGCACAGATATCAAAGTCCACATATGGATCAAAATTGATTTCAATGGCATCACGAGCAATAGTATCAGACTTGGCTTTAATTTTTTGAGCTTGTTCAGCACGAGGCCCACTTGTGACAATTTTCAAGAATTCTGAAGCAAAGTATGAAGCAGAAGCAAAGTTTTTGTGTTTGTAAGATTGGTTCATAGCAACTTGTAATGCATTAACTCTATGGGATGGAATTAATTTAGTCTTGGTGAAGTAAGCTGCCAATTCCAAATTACGTTGAACTTCTTCAGCACCTAATGAACGACGTTGTAATTCAATTGATAAACCAAGAATGTATTCACGAGCAATAGACAAAGCTTCGAGGGTCTTTTGTTCATCTTCGTCGTTATCGACAGCAATCACAGCAATGATATATATCACTTTACGGAATGACTCGATAGCAGCTGGAAGGTTATTAGCTTTGAAGTTTTTGAAACCTTCATTGATAGTTTTGGTAATTTCTTCAAAACCTGGTAAAAATGGGAGAACCTTATTCAAATCATCTTCTTCGATATCAGCACGAATAAAAGTTTTGATTGGTGGTAGCTCGTCTGATCCTGATAATGAAAGTTTGGAAGCTTCATAAACCTGTAAGAAACGAGAACGTAATGGTTCAAAGTTAACAACACCAACTTGTCTATTCAAAATTTGAGCAGCGGTATCAAATGCACCAGCAGCGGCATAACCAGCAGCAACTTTTGAGTTACGTAACCAGTGAGATAGTTCACCAGCTGGTACTGCACCTTCTTCAATTTCAATATCAAGCTCATCATTGACATCTTCAACTTCGAGATCTTCGTCACCCATATCCCAACCACCGTCATCACCACCAACATCTTCGTCTTCAAATAATGGTTCATCGAAGGCACCAACATCCTTAGAGCCAGTGGCAGTTTCAACTTCATCAGCAGGAGCATCATTAATATCAAGGTCTTCAAGTTGACCAAGAATGGCTTTTTCAAAGTATGATAAAGTAGCTGGAGCTAATGGCCAGTCAGTGAAAGTGTGACCAGTGACTTCTGGTTTTGTGGTTGGTTCTAATTCAATTTCTGGAAGTTCAATATCTTCTTCAGTTAAGCCAGCTTGTTCAAGAATAGCTTGTGCTAAATCTTCATGACCGTTTGTTTTAGCAGTCGCATAGGCTAATGGTAATGATCCAGCTTGAGCAAAAGTGGCTGTCCTTTTTTCAGTTGAATTGTTGTAAATTGTATTTTGAATCAAACTACCAATATCACCACGGTGTTCAGCAATGGTTTCCATCTTTGCCAATTTGTTGAAATCACCTGTTATTAAATACAAGAATGATAGCTTATCAAATTGATGTTGAGTTTGATAAACCAATTCAACGATTGAACCGTTACCTTGTCTCAAGGCTTCAGCACCTAATTTTTCCCAAATTTGAGCAGAGTTCAAATTTTTAGCTTCTTGTAATGCAACATCTAAATTACCACATTCCAAAGCAAGTTCAAATTTTGTTTGTGAATCTTGAACGAATTGTAATGCAACTTCTGGGTATCCGCTTTTTTGTAAGTAAGCGATGATGTTTTGACCGACAAGTTTTGAGGTTCTGATGAGGCGTAAAACTTCATAAAAGTTTTTGTTAACTAAGGCCCTCTTGAAACGGTATTCTGTGCTATCAATTTTGACAATTTCAACTTCACCATTACGGTTCAAAGTGTAAACATCTCTACCTGAAACCTTGGTAATATATAATGTAGAATCCAGAGTTTTAATGATACCATTGTCACCATTCAATAAAGTGTATTTGATATGGTTCAAAGTTGAGTAAAACAAAACACCAGTTTCTTCCCAGGCAGCACTCTTGATACGAATAGTTTCATGCATAGATGTGATAACTTCCAATTTTTTGTTAACAATAGTAATAGTGTGTTTGCTTAAAAGAGCAATGTATTGACCATCCAATGACCATGAAACATATTTAACATTATTGACTTGGACTTCAGCTAGCACTTTCTTCTGTTGAGCATCGTAGTGAACAACTGAGTTGTTTTTCAATAATAAAATAGAACCTGGACCACCATAAACAACTTCTTTGACATTACTATCTAATTTGATAGTTTTGGTGGTTGAGTTGTCAAGATCTTTAACTTCAAGGTTTTGAGTTGACTTAGAGTAAACAACGAATCTGTTACGAGCAATGAAAACAGCATTATTACCATCACCTAATTTCAAGTCTTGAGGTTCAATAGCACCAGTGATATCTTTTGGTAAACCAATCAAAGCATATTGTTCACCAGTGGTTACCAAGATTGAACGAGAGCTTGGATTGTAAGAGAGAGTTCTCAAGTTGTTCCAAGCATTACCAATTTTTTTCAAAGATAAAGTTGGCAAAGAAGAAACTTGTTTGTCATAGTCAAAGATTTGAACTTGTCTATCGTTATTGACATAGAACAATTGATTTTGGAAAATAGAATGAGCTGGACGTTCACGATCTAGTTTGAAAACCATAACACCAGAATCATGACAAGTGGCAAATAAGTTGATATGTGGATGTGAAGCAATCAACCAGAATCTATCATGATCTCTTTTGAATTGTTTAACAGGTGTACGTTTGTTTAAATCCCAAACTCTAATTGTCTTATCTTCACCGACGGAAATGATCAAATCTTGATGTGGATGGAATAAAACACTTAAAACATTGTTAGTGTGACCTCTACAGGTATCAACTTCCCAAGCTTTAGTTTCACTCATTCTCCATAATTTAACTTGACGATCATCACTACCAGAAACAATCAATGGTAAACGAGGGTGGAATGAAGCCCAGTTGACACCTCTATCATGACCTTCTAAAATGTATTTAACAACAGCATCTGTGTTACCAAAAATATCTTGTTGAGAAATGTTTTGACGACCATATTGTTCTTCATAAAAATTATTTTGTGGAGCTGAATGTTTTTGTCTTAAACCTGAGATATCCCAAACTCTAACAGTTTGATCTAATGAAGCAGAAACAATCAAGTCTTCAGATGGATGAAATTGAGCACTCATGACATAATGGTTATGACCTGTTAAGCATGCAATTTCTGAACGATTTTGCCAATTCCATATTCTAATGGTTTGATCATCAGATGCTGAGATGATCCAAGGTAAATCATGATGGAAATAAACAGTACGAACATAATCCAGATGTCCACTTAGAGTAAACAAACATTTTCTAGTGTCCAATGACCAAACTTTGACAGTATAATCATCACCACCTGAGACAAAAAGAGGTTGAGTTGGATGGAAATCAACAGTACGGACTGAACCTTCATGTTCTTCAAAACGATCAATTAAAGTACCCATTCTGTAATCCCATAATTGGATGGTTGAGGAATGTAATGAAACCAAAATCCATGGTCTATTTTTGTTAGTGACATTTTCCATAAAACTTGTTGTTATTGATTTGGTACATACCTTGTTGGGTGGAAGGCAACACCTTTCGCACGCGAAGACTTGGACTCAAACTATGAAAAAGCGATGTTAGTTATGATTCATAATGAAATCTTTCAGCATTGAGCACATCAATGTCATCTTTTTACATGTTAATTGAACATTAAAGAAAACTGCCATGTTGTCATCTCAAAATGTAAACATACCTTAGTTAACATCTTCATCTTGACCCGATTTTCCAAGTTGAACACAGCGATAGCCTAATTGGAGTCTAATGAGCGAATGCACAACGATGAAAAGATAGATCAATTCGAGTTGAACGATTTTGAATTGAACTTTCTAAACAACTTTTGAACCTTTCGCGTGTTCATTCGCAAATGGTCAGAAAATTTCAAAGATCAGGGAGGACGCTCGACGCAGGGGTCACCCTACTGCTCTCAATCTGATAGTGACACGGGTACTTTTGACAGCGCTATAAACTACATGGATTGAAATGAAACAATTTATTATATATTATACACTAAAGGTTATGGGGACAATTACGTTGTAGTCTTTAGCTTTTTTGGTTTGCTGTTTTGTATTTAAAATAAGTATTAAAATTGCCCTGAGACATTCACAAGGCAGTGAAGAACATTAAAAATGAAACTACTATTGATATTATTGAATTCTCTGGAAGGCTCATTATACCACCATTCGAGGAGCTAGCGTCTTTCCCACCACTTGCGGAAGTGGATTCCCCAAACTGAACAAATCCAGTGGCTGCAGAAGTTGAACTTGATCCTCCCTTGTCACCACCATCTTTCTTGGTAGTATTTTCTGAAGAACCTGTTGATTTACCACCAGATGAGGATTTGGTTTTTGTAGATTGGTCAGTGGATGATGAGGAGCTAGATGACGCACTTGAAGATTCCTTCCCTTCATCTGGATCGAGACCTGTGGCTTTTTTGGACCCCAACACTGTGTCCTCATCTGTGATGATAATGTCATCCTGGTCAAAACTCTTTGAGTTGTTGAACACATAAGATTGGTCACCTTCGATATGAATTGATGATGGCGGCACATAACACTCAACGCTGATATTCTTCAAAAGCATGTAATAATAACCATTATCTTTAATATCATCTGAATTCCAATCAATAGCACCACCAGCCCAAGCAACTGTACCTATTTTATTTTTAGAATCACCACCTGGCCATAATGAAATTTGAACTCTTGATGGTGTTTGTGGGTAATGATATGATTCTGTACTTTCATTATAAGTATCTGCCTTCTTTAAAGTTCTAAAAGCGTTACCGTCAATTGACCACGTCAACTCTTCAGGTGTCCAGTCAATTTCATAAGTGTGAAAGTTTTCATAAGTATTTGAAACAGTAGTGTTTTTAACATTTGTATAGTTCAAAACTGCTTGGTAATAATAATTGGATTCGACTAAGTCAAGCTCTGACCCAATAAATTCGTAATCAATTTCGTCTTGAGCATTTGAAAATAAAATGAAAGCTGTAATAACACCTTGTAAATGTGAAGTCTTCAAATGAGCTGAAATTTTACCATACCAAACATAATGTGTTGAAGATAAAACGGTACCAGATGATTGATTAGGCATGGCCAATAATAAAGAATCATCAAATTTGTCAATATAACCATTATAGATCCAATCACCATCAGAGGCATCTCCAAGATAATCTTCTTGGTTAATTAAATCATCTATATCACTAAAACTGGTTGTGAGGTTCTTGCAAACTGGCATAGGCATACATGAATCGATTCTTTATCCTTTTGTTAGTACATCATTTTCTCTCCTTTTAGTGTTGCAAATCATCAACATCAAAAAGACATGGTGGTAGAACACAGCCAAAAGCTCACATAAACCTTTTCTTTTTGACCTTGAATCTCAAAAGTAATTGTACATACGAATATGAAAATACTGGATGACAACCTCCTAAACAATAGCTTCCCACACCACATTCACCATATTGTGAGCAACACGGTAAATCCTCTGGACAACTTGAACTTGAATTACAGAGGATACCAGCAGCTGAAACATAGGTGATTACACTCAGTGTCAGTATGAATCTATTTGAAAGATGCATTTTAATGAAGTAAAGAGTGACAATTCAAACAACGTTTAGTAAATGAACGAAAGTATTCAAAGTGTGCAAACTTTTCGAGGAAGGAGGTTTGTAAGAAAAGGATGTTCTATTTATAAAAGCATGTTCACTTGGATTTTCTCATAACTAAAATTCTGGGTATGTATGTTGATGTTTTTCTTTTGCATCATCTTTCCCGATTTGTCAAATTAAAATAGCCCAAGCGAAAAAAAAAATTGAAAAACGCGTTTTTTCAGGAACAGTGCTTATTTTGACGTTAAAAGTGCATGAAACATGGCCAACTACAAAAACTTTGAAAAAATACATATAAACTGTTCATTTATTCATTGTCTAGAAAAGTGCAATCTCATTTAGCGTTGCACCTTCAGCTTCCGATTCATCTATTGCATCTGTAATCTCCACTATAACGAACCTCGTGAAGATTGAAGGTGATGGGATCTCAAATTCAGTAATGTTATTTGGCAACAATTGAACATCTGTCAAGAATCTTTCTTCAAACGGTTGACTTATCTCTATTTGTAAGTTATCAACTAATTTGTCAAATCTAATGCGATCAATGTTTTGTAAAGCTTGTTCAAAATTCATGGAAATCTCATCTGTACCATAAACTGACAAAAACTTTGCAGGTCTTGAACCCCATATAACTAAACCTTTTGTGATTTTTTGTGCCATTCCAAGATCGATCAACAACTTTGCTGGTCCTCTATCTAATGGTTGCCAATAAGTATAGTTATTACCATCAATAGCAGATAATGGAACATCACCTGGCGATCCAACAGTTAAATTTGCAATAGGTCTGCATTCAACATGAGAACCTTCAATGTTCAGCAAAGGAACAAACAGTGGTACTATTAACTTCTCACCAGGGTTCAAAGTATAGTTACCAGCTTTAGAATTTCTAGCACGAACTTCAACACTAATAGGATTCTCACCTTTATGAACAATTATGCCTTCAATATCAGTGACAATCACATCCAAAAGTTGATTTAAATACTTAAACCCACTGATCTTCATACCTCCAGGTAAACCACTAATTGCAATAGGATCAAAGACTAAAAATTTCTCTATCTTCCCCTCAGCATTAACTCTTGCAGAAAATCTTAACCCATGAATACCATAAACTAGAGCTTGTAAATAACCACCATGAGCAGTTAAAAATGGGAATGCTGGATGTGTACCACCATTAGTTAAAACATTATCATCAGCTTGTTCACTGAATTGTGCAAATGGTGCTCTTATATATGGTAAAACTGATTTTTGCAAATAACTATGAACAGAACAACCATGGTTTAACAATTTAGCTGCAGCTATGGTGAAAATGGGGAACGTCATAGCAGGTCCAACATCTGCTTGTTTCAAAGAGTACCAGTATAGATCTCTTTCACCTTGTTCATAGCTATGAAAATCATTAAAGTCCAATGGAAAAGTCAATAAAACCACATCAGCTTGCTTTATCGAGACTGATGCATTCATTTCAGAATATTCTAGCGTGATGCCACTCTCTGACATTGGCATATGGATATTATTATCAACTTCAACCCATCTTGGATTGATTTCCTCACCTAAATGCGTTGCAACCATCAATGTCCATTTCAATAATGAATCAATACCAGCGTTTGTGAAAGCACCATTATCAACATGATTTGCATATTCATCAGGATCTGTCAAATTATGGGACACGAACTGGCCTAAAGTGGTATTATAAACAACATACTGTGAAAGGAAATCAGAGGCATCTTTCAACAATGGCCATGTAGTATATCTGAGATATTCTTCATCTGCTCCAGCCAAATAGATTAACCAAGAACTAAAAGCGATATCAACATTTAAATGGTATTCATAATCAACACATGGCCCTGTCGATGTACAGTTTCCAAATCTTCCAGAGGTCCAAGGATATGCAGCACCTTGATAATTATACAACTGAGCATTTTTCTTAGCCTGACCATGAGTATAATTTCTATATTGACTAATTGATTGGGCAACTTTTGGTGCAAATGGTAAAATAGCAGGTATGATCCATAAATCAGTATCCCAAAACACCATTCCACCATAACTATCAGAGGATAAACCAGTAGTACCTAATGCTGAAGTTAAATCTTTTGTTCCAATTCTTGTATTTGCCAATAAATGATACAAACTAGCTCTAGCTGCCAAAGTTAAAAATCCATCAGAAGGGATGAAAATATTTGTCTCTTTGAACTGTTCATTCCATTCCTTGTTATGTGAATCATACAATTGTTCACGACCAACATCTTGAGCAAAATCAACAACTCTTTTGGCATTATCTAACTCAGTACCATCATCGTGTTTGAATTCTGAAGAAATGATACCAACATATTTATTAATCACAGTTGGAGTTTTTGAAATATGCAAAGCAGCTTCATTAATCGCACTTGTACCATTTTCAACATGGTAACTCGTATCATTGATATCCAATCTGGAATAGATAGCTGCTGATGAATAGTCCACATTCTTTGGAGAAACTTCAATGTATATGCCTTTGTCATCTGATCCGATATCTTTGAGGGTTCCCCGTTGTGAAGTTGTGAAGTTCAAAACATCTTGCAAAGTGATATCAATATCATCATCAATTGCAGATAGTTCCATTTTAACCATAGCCAAGGGGACGATTTGCTTATGTGCAATAACTTCGATCTTAACATGTATAGTATCCAACCAAGTTAGTTCCGTGGAAACAATACCATTTTGTAAAGACATATTTTGGATGTAATTTGACACTTCACTTTGTAAAGTGAATTCTGGATCAAATCTATATTCTTCACCATCAAGATTAGCAATCAACTTAAGATTTACCCAATAAGGTATTGAAGTAATGACACTATCGGAACCATTTGCATATAATTCAGGAAAGTTGGTTTCTGGTAGTTCAGGTTCCAAATCATAAAACCCAGAGACAAAAGCACCAGTATAACGTTTATTGAATAAAGGCCAACCGTTCAATAACAATTCTTCATCTTCAGAATTGGCATGAATATTCATTTGATCATAGGTAAAACCTTGGCCTAAAGTGGAAAGTCTTGCACCAATATAACCATTTGAAACATAACTTTGTCTTGAATAAACATTTTTTGAGAAGTAACTTGTACCCAAAACGTTCAGTTGTTCATCATAGAATGCATAATGAGAGTCTGGAACTTGTTTGAACAATTTTTGTGATTTCTGGAATATCTCCAGCCATTTGGAATCTTCATCTTGGGATAATGGGACTGTGGTGTTCAGCAGGGCGGTTGAGAATACTGAAAAGAGCACTAGGATTGTTGGTAATAAAATGGACAGTGTTATCATTGTTGTCTTCCTGCTTTTAGACTCTGTGTTTTTGATTTCCTTGAGAGTTTTCCTTTCTTTCAAGTCAGACATGTTGGAAATGAGTGGTTTATATTGGGCTCTTATGCAAATGATTGACGATGCTAATTCTTGCTAAAGTGATGACTTGTGCTTCTATAATAAATATGGGGTACAATCTCAAGGATCATGAACAGTATAGGGGATTGATATAAAGGATTGCTCTAAGGGGAAAGTGGTACTTTTTATACGTATAACCAAATGTCAATACGGTGAGTAACCCATAGTCTTTAGCCGTCTCGAGGAATGCTCTTCGGCTTGAATTTGATTAATACCCATCACAATTGTGTCACCAAACACAAACAGCTATTTCTCCGAGCGAAACCTAATTGTACTCAATTGCACGGAGAATTGAATCAATTGGGATTGTTGATCAGAAGCAAGTGCAATCTTCTGTTTATGGATATAGACCACTCTATCTGTATTCAATCTTGACAGTGTATCCCTTTCTTTCCTTGGATCGGTCGATGTCTCTGGTTTGTAGTTGTTTTCTCCAGATCGATAGAGATCTCAACGTATGAAGTACCACCAAAACCAGCAACCGGATAATATTAAAAAGCCATTTTCGATATTAATCCATTCCACCTCTAATCCCACGCATATAACCTCTCATCTACTCGAATCTGATTCAACTACACTCACTCTAAATCCCTTCTCTTCAACAACTTGTACACAATAATTCTTACATAATCCGTGTTACCCTCACCCAGGGCGCCCATAGTTAAGCAGTCACCCTCTCGGAGCGTGCCCCGACCGCATCTGGACCAATGAAATTTCAAAGTTGTTCGAGGCCCAATGAAAAAATCCCACCTCCCAAAATCTTCAAAAAATCCCAATCCCTTTTTCAAATTCAACACCTTCTTCAATCACAACAATTCAATTTTAAGATAATTTAAAAGGTGCAGACCTCTTTTTTAATATTCCTAATTGAATTTATCTTAAAAGATCAATATGCTTTCACGTTCTGCTATCCGCACTGCTGCTAGATCAGCTGTTGTTGCTAACGCTGCTCGTTCAATCAACCGTGTTGTAAGTATTCAACAATTATGATGAACGGTGGGAATAAGAACAGATCGTATATCAATTCAATTTATTATTGTCAATTGTGCATTGCTCAAATCAATCAATTGATCCACTGGATCACTGGTCAATTGCCTTGTTGATTTGTTATAATTCGTTCATCCCAATTAAAAAGGTGTTTTTCTAAGGGGATTAGATCATTTGGACAAGGAGAATGTAACTGAGCAATTGAACTATACAAACAACCACCAATTGGACTATTCACCACCTATATCATCATTCTGAAGAAGTTGAGATTGATCATTTACTAACAAGTTTTTTTAGGCTCGTCCAGCTATGATGGTCGCCGGTCGCCGTTTCGCTTCAGCAAAAGCTCAACCAACTGAAGTTTCTTCAATCTTAGAAGAACGTATCAGAGGTGTCTCTGAAGAAGCTAACTTAAACGAAACTGGTAGAGTTTTATCTGTTGGGTATGTTTTTTTTGTTTTACTGAGTTTTTTAAGGAGGGAAGGAGATCCAATTATGGGGAAATTATTATAGACAAAAGTGTTGAAAATAGTCTTTTATGGCGAACAGGGTGACGTGAATACTACAATCAAATGATTTCCTCGATATCAACTACCGTTGTTATATCAGATCGTTGTTGTTTTGATGTTTGAAAAATCTCGTTGGTCAGATTCAAATTTTCTTGAAAATTATTCCCGAGTTTTTTTTTTCGTCCACCCCTGAAAATTTTCAGGCCTGAATATGAACAACAACAAATCAATAAATCAATTGATCCAATTGATCCCAACTTCCCTTTTTGAAACCTCAATTTGTCAATTCAATTGAATCAAGTTTTACTAACAAAAATCAATAGTGATGGTATTGCTCGTGTTTTCGGTTTAAACAATGTCCAAGCTGAAGAATTAGTTGAATTCTCATCTGGTGTTAAAGGTATGGCTCTTAACTTGGAACCAGGTCAAGTCGGTATTGTCTTGTTCGGTTCTGATAGATTAGTCAAAGAAGGTTCAACTGTTAAACGTACCGGTAAAATTGTTGATGTCCCAGTTGGTCCACAATTATTAGGTAGAGTTGTTGATGCTTTAGGTAACCCAATTGATGGTAAAGGTCCAATCAATGCTGAAAAAACCTCAAGAGCTCAAGTTAAAGCCCCAGGTATTTTACCAAGAAGATCAGTTTTCGAACCAGTCCAAACTGGTTTAAAATCTGTTGATGCTTTAGTCCCAATTGGTAGAGGTCAAAGAGAATTGATTATTGGTGATCGTCAAACTGGTAAAACCGCTGTTGCTATTGACACCATCTTAAATCAAAAGAGATGGAACAATGGTTCAGATGAATCCAAAAAATTATACTGTGTTTACGTTGCTGTTGGTCAAAAAAGATCAACTGTTGCTCAATTAGTTCAAACTTTAGAACAACACGATGCTTTGAAATACTCCATCATTGTTGCTGCCACTGCTTCAGAAGCTGCTCCATTACAATACTTAGCTCCTTTCACTGCTTCAGCTATTGGTGAATGGTTCCGTGACAATGGTAGACATGCTTTGATCATCTTTGATGATTTATCAAAACAAGCTGTTGCTTACCGTCAATTATCTTTGTTATTGAGACGTCCACCAGGTCGTGAAGCTTACCCAGGTGATGTTTTCTACTTACATTCCAGATTATTGGAAAGAGCTGCTAAAATGAATGATTCATTAGGTGGTGGTTCATTAACTGCTTTACCAGTTATTGAAACTCAAGGTGGTGATGTTTCCGCTTATATTCCAACCAATGTTATTTCCATTACTGATGGTCAAATTTTCTTGGAAGCTGAATTATTCTACAAAGGTATCAGACCAGCTATTAACGTTGGTTTATCAGTTTCTCGTGTCGGTTCTGCTGCTCAAGTTAAAGCTATGAAACAAGTTGCTGGTTCATTAAAACTTTTCTTAGCCCAATACAGAGAAGTTGCTGCTTTCGCTCAATTCGGTTCTGATTTAGATGCTTCAACCAAACAAACTTTAGCTAGAGGTGAACGTTTAACTCAATTATTGAAACAAAAACAATACAGTCCATTAGCTGCTGAAGAACAAGTTCCATTAATTTACGCTGGTGTTAACGGTTTCTTAGATGCCGTTGCCTTAGACAGAATTGGTGAATTTGAAACTGAATTCTTAGCTTCATTAAAAGCCAACAACACTGAAATTCTTGATGCTATTAGAGAAAAAGGTCAATTATCAGATGAATTGTTAGGTAAATTGAAATCTGCTACTGAACAATTTGTTGCTACTTTCTAAACTCAAGAAAGTGTTACTTTTAAATCAATTTGATCAAAAGAGATTTATTTAGATACAGTCATATATTCATAGCAAAAATTATTTTCAATTTTTTATATATTAAAACAAATTCTGATGTTATTATGCCTTCATAGAAAAAGAAAAAAGAAAACAAAACAAAATAAAATCATCTTTGAAAGAACCAATTAATGAAAGGTTTTATTTGAACTAAGAAAAAAAAGTAAATTCAAAATAAATATGTCACGATAAATATTTTTGAGATTGTAGCATTTGATGAACTAGTCGTTATTTCACAACCTCACTCATCACTGAAGCTAATTTCGAACTTTTGTATGGACACTACGATTTTTGCAAGTTCAAATTAGGGCAAACTAAAATAAGATAAACCACCTTTAACGAGAGTTTAACAACCACGTAAAGTGTGCAAAAGAATAGGAAATCAGCTTTACAATGACTCAAAGGGTCACATTTGATGAATTGTATCGTCGCTCAACACAATACAGAAAATGGTCATTCACAAGAGATGAACTACAGCAAAGAAGGAAAACCATAAATGAAAAAGGCTCATTAAAAGTTGATGAAAGACTTAAAGAAACCCCGGATGTTGAACCTTCACAAATTGAGAAAGTCACTGTTGACGAGGAACAAAAGTTGATTTCTTTCCACTCAAGGAGAATCATAATGTTGGCGAAGTATTTTAATATGCCTTCACAGGTTAGGGTATGTGATCTTTCCGGCTTCCAATATTTGATTAACTACTAACACAGTACAGGCCACTGCAATTTCATTTTTAAGAAAGTTTTATCTTGTCAATAGTGTCATGGAGTATCATCCAAAGCTCGTGTTACTCACATGTTTATTCCTTGCTGCTAAATCGGAGAATTTCTTCATAAGTATTGCGTCTTTCTCCAAAAGAATCCCAAAGACAACACCAGAGTCCATTTTGTCGCTAGAATTTGAAATATTACAATCCCTTCAATTCACTCTGTTTGTTCATCATCCTTTCAGGCCTTTGTATGGATTCTTCTTTGACATACAGGAAGCATTGAAAGGTGAAGTAACTGCTAAAGAATTGGGTAAAGTTTATGACAATGCTAGAAACTTGATCAACGAAGCAATCATATCAGATGCTGTATACTACTATACACCACCTCAAATTGCATTAGCATGTCTCAGAGAAGTTGATGAAGGCTTAACCATGAAATACTTGGAAAAGAAGTTTAAGAAAGAGAAATCAGAAGAGGATATTGAAGTTAAGGAGGAACTTCAAGAAAAGACTGAAGATGAAGAATCTAAACCTAAACAAGAGAATATATCTGACCATTATGATATTTTGGTCAAAACCATTACACAATGTCAAGAAGTGATACGAACTGCACAGGATCCAACAAAAGAAGAAGCTACTGTTATTGACAAGAAGGTTCAATACTGTTTAAATCCTTCAATTGTACTCAAAAGAAAAAGAGAAGGTGAAACTCCTGATGCTAATGACCCGAACAAAAGGCAAAGAACAGAGTCAGTTGAACCTAGTTTAACATAATAGAAAGCATATGGATCATGAATTAAGTGTAGCGTAGGCAGCCTCCGCCTATAATCTCTGCCTAGATCTTTTTTCAGCTAGGCGGAAGCTTCCTCTCGGTAACTGCACGCCACCGGTCAAGATTTTACGTTGTCCTGGAGATTTCAAATGTAAACAAAAAAATCAAACAAAATCTCAAACTCATCAAATCTGGATTAGAACACTAACAACCATTTGTGCCAATAAAACAATTCAGCGAAGACCATCAAATCCCAAGAATATCACAATATGGCTTATGTGCAATCAAAAGTCGTGAAGAAAAGACTCCAAGAGAAAAGAAGAGTCAGTGGAGCCTCTTTGTTAAGGGATGAGTTGAACAATGATTCAGGAAACGATTCACTTCTAGATGGTTTACCAGCTTTCCAGCAAAATAAAGGTGTGATGATGGCTAATTTTGAAGAATGGATCAAAATGGCTACTGATAATAAAATCAACACCACCAACAGTTGGAACTTTGCTTTGATCGATTATTTCCATGATTTAAATGTGTTGAGAGAGAAGGATAACAACATCAATTTCCAAAAAGCGAGTGCCACTTTAGATGGTTGTGTTAAAATTTACTCTTCTAGAGTTGATTCAGTGGCTACTGAGACTGGTAGGTTACTAAGTGGTCTAGCTGCTAGAAAACAGATGGAGGCAGAAAAAGCCAAAGAAGCTGCGATAGAGGAAGGTGATGAAGAAGATGGTGATGATACAAATGCAGAATATGAGGACGGTGATCAACAACAAACAAAAAAGAAAAAATCAAGAGCATCTAAAACCAAAGAACTGACCGATACTTTGGTGTCTTTTGACTCAATTAGGGTCAAAAAGTTGTCACAAGAACTAAGTATTGATCCTTTATTCAAAAAGACACTTGCTGAGTTTGATGAAGGTGGTGCTAAAAGTTTATTATTAAATACTTTGAACATGGATAACCATACAAGGGTTGTTTTTGATGCTACAACAGGTGACCAACAACAAGAGGACAAAATTGAGGAAGGTGAAAGAGATGAACATGAGGAGCGTGATATTGAAATGTCCGGTATGGACGAAGAAGATATTGACATAAGCGTATTTAAAGACTTTATATTTCAGGATGAATCAGATATGGATTCACTATTGTTATGTCCATCATTTGGTCATTTGGAATCTGTGTTGAAAGATGTCAAAAAGGCTAAATCTATTTTGAATGATGTTAATCAACAAAACATAAGTATCCCTGGAGATGATGAACACACAAATGCAGGGCCCGGAAACAATGATATGGATTTTGATTTTGATTTCGGGGGTGACTATGACGATGATGGTTCTTTTGGTAACTTGGATCAAGAAGCTGCAGCTGTTTTGTTCAACGATGAGACACACGCTGAAAATGAAGACGATACTAGGGTAGTAGCCAATGTTGTTGACCACGATTTAATGGCCTATTTTGATCATACATTAAAGCGTAATTGGGCTGGTCCTGAGCATTGGAAAGTTAAACAATTGAAAAAAGATAAGGCACAACAACTTCAACCCTTACTGAATGGAACTGATAAGAAAAGAAAGCCTAAGGAAGAGTTCAAGATAGATTTTATGGAAGATATGGATGAAGATGAAGAAGAAAAGCTATTTGCAAAGAGTAAGGTTGCCACAACATTATCTGCTGAACAACAAGAGTCGACTGATAGTCATTTGTTACCAGATGATCTGTATTTTTCCTCTGAGCAGTTGGTTAGATTGTTTTTGAAACCAGATCAAAAGCTTAAAATTTTCCAAAAAAGGGTCAAATCAGATGATACTATAAATCATCAGCCTCAGCCAAAAGATGAACAAGAGGTTGCTGATGCCAACTTTTGGGCTGATAATTATAAGGAGCAAGAAACAAGAGTGGACGATGAACCAAGCTTTTACGGAGGAAATGATGATTATGATTTTGGGTATGATGCTGGGGACTTTGGTGATGATGATATAGGTAAAGGGGACTCTAATGAAACAAAACTTGATTTTGGTACACAACTAATAACAGGTGGAAATAAAGTCAAACCAGAGTATGTCAACTATTCCAAGACTGCCAAAAACGTTAATGTTAAATACTTGAAAGACAATTTATGGCAATCACTCGAAGGGAAGAAACTTGATACCGAACAACAAGATGAAAAACAATTCAGTGATGTTATCAAAGATATAGGGAAATTGTACCCAAAGGAAGAGAAAAAGGACTTATCCACCAGTTTTTGTTTCATTTGTCTTTTACATTTAGCTAATGAACACTCCTTGACATTGGAGAGTAACGATCAATTAACAGATCTCCAGATCAAAGGTCTTAAGGCTCAATAATCTATAGATTAATGCATTCAAAAAGTGAGTTTATGGTATAATGTAGTGCCCCTTACCAGTTTCCGGGTTGTGTTTCAGGATTTCGCGAATTTGCTCAACCGAAAAAGTTCCAGAATTTGCAGGTTGAAAAAGCGGGACTTTGAAGTTTGATCCTAACGTCATCATACAATAGGCAGAAAGCATCCAGATATTGGAACTTGAACTTTCAATTCTGTTCAACATTCTTTTTAGTGTTTTTGAAATTATTGTGTTCTTTTAGGCTTCGAATACTTTCATCAATTTTTTAAATTCTTGTGTCAAAAGATCAAATTTCCTCGAAAACTGACACACACACAGAAATCAATCATATATTGCCACTTGTAAAAGATTTATGATTAGAACTTCAAATATTATAACTAGGGCAGCTCCTCAGATATTAAGGCTGTCTGCTTCAAGAGCTGCCATCCCATATGTCTCAAGAATAGCATTTAGAGGAATTAGATTAGCTTCAAGCTCAACCTATTCACAACTTGCATCAAAAGAACAATTAGCCAATCGTGAATTAAACAACCCAGATATTCAAGCTGATTTTTATAAAAGTTTATTGAAAGCCAATTATCCTCAGTATGTTGTTTCAAGATATGAAGCTGGTGGTCTTGCCAATTCTTATGAATGTACACAATTATATGGTGAAGCTTTGAAAAAATTGGGAAAGTTTTCTGAGGCTGAAGCTGTTTTGAAAAATATCCCATCTGGTGCTGCAGCTGGTGCTGGGGCCAACTTTGGTGTTGCTGGTGGCTTAAACTATGGTAGTCGTAATGAACCTGTTCATGTTGTTATTACTGAATCTACTTGGACTATGATTTCAAAATGGATCAAATGGTTAATACCTGTTGGTTTGATAACCTGGGGTGTTATGGAAGGTTTTACTTATTTAGTTGAGTCTGGTACTATTTTCAAAGGTTCTGAAGTTGCAGACAAATCTGTTGATATGTCTAAAGTTACTGTTAAATTTGAAGATGTTCGTGGTGCTGATGAAGCTAGAGCGGAGTTGGAAGAAATTGTTGATTTTTTGAAAGATCCAACAAAGTTCACTGGTTTAGGAGGTAAATTGCCAAAAGGTGTTTTATTGACTGGTCCACCGGGTACTGGTAAGACTTTATTAGCAAGAGCCACTGCAGGTGAAGCTGGTGTTCCATTTTTCTTTATGTCAGGTTCTGAATTTGATGAATTATATGTTGGTGTGGGTGCCAAAAGAGTTCGTGAATTATTCACTCAAGCTAGAGCACATTCCCCTGCTATTATTTTCATTGATGAATTGGATGCTATTGGAGGTAAACGTAACCCAAGAGACCAAGCATATGCTAAACAAACTTTGAATCAATTGTTGGTTGAATTAGATGGATTTTCTCAAACTTCAGGAATTATTATTATCGGTGCCACCAATTTCCCAGAATCATTAGATAAAGCTTTAACAAGACCTGGTAGATTTGATAAACTTGTCAATGTTGATTTACCAGATGTTCGTGGACGTGCTGATATCTTGAAGCACCATATGAAGAATGTTGAGATTGCTAAAGATGTTGATCCTACTATTATTGCTCGTGGTACTCCTGGTCTATCAGGTGCTGAATTGATGAATCTAGTTAACCAAGCTGCTGTTTATGCTTCACAACAAAATGCTTTGTCAGTTGACATGAACCATTTTGAATGGGCTAAAGATAAAATTTTAATGGGTGCTGCCAGAAAGACTATGGTTATGACTGAATCTACTAGAAGAGCTACTGCTTATCATGAAGCTGGTCATGCTATTATGGCATTGTACACACCAGGTGCTACATCATTATACAAGGCTACAATTTTACCAAGAGGTCGTGCATTAGGTATAACTTTCCAATTACCAGAAATGGACAAAGTTGATATCACCAGAAGAGAATGTTTAGCTAGATTAGACGTTTGTATGGGTGGTAAAATTGCTGAAGAAATGACTTATGGTCCTGAAAATACAACTAGTGGATGTGGTTCAGATTTAAGCAGTGCTACAAGTACTGCAAGAGCTATGGTTACACAGTATGGTATGTCCACTAAAGTTGGTCCAATAAGTTTAGCAGAAAAATGGGACTCCTGGTCTCCAAAATTAAGAGATACAGCAGATCAAGAAGTTTTAGAAATGTTGAAAAATTCAGAGGAACGTACCAGAGTTTTATTGAAGGAGAAAAAGGATGAATTAGAAAGATTGGCACAAGGATTGATTGAATATGAAACGTTGAATAAAGAAGAGATTGAAAAAGTCGTTAAAGGTGAACCTATCTCTAGAGCCAAAACAGTTACAAATACAGTTGTTTCGTCACCGGAAGATGATGAACGTCAAAATATTGGGAAACAACCGTTGCCCTTAATGACTGAAGCATAATTACTACAACAAGATTATCTTCAAAAAAACAAACATACCCATGACGCATAAATAAATTAATTGTAAATATATAACTGAAATGACATTGTTAGACGAATTTTACTGTAGCCTTAATTGATTGTAATTGATTTTTGCAGTTCTTCGATTTTTTTATTCTCTTGATTAGACACTTCAATCTTTAATGACTTCCCGAAAAATTCTGTACCATTCAATGATCTTTTTGCCAGATTGGCACTATCAACGTTATTGAAAGCTATAAAAGCTTGACCTCTGAGCTTCTTCTTATCCATATTTATCTCTATTATGTCACCATATGTTATGAAGAGGATGTACAAGTTTTGTTTCAAGGTGGATTGGTTGACTTGGTCATTAAGATTTGAGACATAAAGGGTGTGTAATTGTTTGTTGGTTATTGACATCTTGATACTGTGCTTTATTGACAATGGGGTTATTAATGGCTGTTTGTTAAGATCTTGACCAGTTTGTTGACATTTGAATCTTTGTGATGAAATTTTTTGCTGTAAAATTACCTAGGTTCGCGAATTCGGTTCATAAATCTAACCAATCCATATTCTATAAGCAAAATGGCTACGTATCAAAGTACAATTATCATAATATATTACCTTTCAAATGCATTATACGTGTGTATATGTGTATTTCCTTCCCCAAAATTCAATGGACAAATTCATTCTCCTCTTGAATTTTCGGCCCATGGATATTCACGCCCTTAAGCCAAATTCGCAGCATTCTTAAAACTATTAACAACACAATCAGGAACACCAGCACCGTCACCAAAACTCATTCCTCCTGTACTTAATCTTTCCCCAAATTCCTCCTTCACACTCTCCAAAAATCGTTTTTTCATATCATCATAACCTATATGATATTGTGGTAAACAATTTGGAATCAATTGAGAATCAATATAGAAATCATCTTCAGGTGAAAGTGATGTAAAATCTATACCTAATTGGTTTGTTAAAGCTTCTTTTGCTGCACTTATTGATCTCTCTCTTGATGGGATTTTATGATTAGCCCAATAATGACCGCCCATCATGATTGTTAACTTTGTATAATCAGCATCGTTGAACACTGGTTGAATGACTGGTAATGCAGCTTCCTCATTAGATTTCAAGTACTTTATTGAGTCAGATTGTAATAGTTTTGTAGCTGATTTTTCAATATCAGAATCAAATATAACACCAAGAACTCTTTCATTGTTTTCATTGGATTTTGGGATCAAATAACCAAACCCATGATTCTTCAAAACATTTTTCTTGATGTATAAGTTTATTAAAAAGATGTTTATGAATTTCAATTCAAGAGCAATATCCGCTGTTGGTGAAGTTTCTTCTCCACTGGAGATTAATGCACCATTTTGTAACATTTGAGCAAAAGTTGTAGCATTGACAGTTGATCTAACATGAGAATAATCCTTGGTTATACCAGATGAAGTTCTTAATGTGATTGATTTGTTTTGGTTACGGTTGATGGATATGATTGGATCATTTTTGACAAATTTGATTTTATTATTCTTTGCAAGATGCTCTCCAATTAAGTTTGGTAAATTACTCAATCCACCTTTCAATACAACCATTGGAAAGCTTTTCAGTAATGATTGTAGTCTTGATATTGGATAATAAGGTGCATCTTTGAATATCCCTTTGAACTTTTGGTCATAATCCTTCAATATTGGTGAAACTGTATCTTTTTTAGTGTCCTTTTGCAAATTTTTCATAATCATTGACTTAACTATTGAACCATCTTGTAATTCAGATTCATACATTGATTTCAAAGTTGTCTTTGCACTCAATTTTCCAATATCAGCAGCGTATATACCATTAAAAACAGCACTCATGATATTGTTTGGTAGAGATTTTCCAAACCTTCTGGTTAAAAAGGATTCAACACTTTCATCTTTATTAATTTTTTGTGGTTTGAAAACTTCTGTTAACAAACCAGGTACTAAACCTTTACCTAATGGTGACTTCAAAAAATTAAAAGTTGAACTCAAATCATTTGGCACTTGAACCAGCTCATTTTCGGGACTTAGTAGATACTTTTTATTTGCAATTGAATTTGAAGGTATGACATTTATCAAATCACTGTGACCCAATTTGATTAATGTATCGACAATAATGGTTGTACCATCACTTGCACCTCTCAGTGTTCTTGGGCCTTTATCCAGATTGATGAGTTCCCCCTTGAAGCGATGCTCTTCCGTGTTGATATAACCACCTATTCTATTTGATTGTTCATATATTGTGAAGTGTAGATCAGGTCTTAATTTTGATAAAAAGTAAACGAAGGACAGACCAGATATCCCAGCACCGATGACAGCAATATTTGAATTCTTGACTAGAGACATGACTCAGGATGACTTAAATCTTGGGATATATACGCTAGTGTGAAATGTTTCACAAATCTGGCAGCTCTAGCAGATTTAAATCAAGTGGTGAATTGTCGGATGATATATTGTAGCCAAAAATTATTTCAGAATCGTATACAGGTGATGATGGAGTCCTATTGAAAAGAGGGCTCACGTGAGCAAAGAGTATTAGTAAGACATTATATAATTGGATTAGCTAATCAGATTCTATTGGCCCTTATAATAATGGCAGACGTGATGATCCCCTCAGAAAGTCAATAAAGTTTAGCCAAAGCTTCACTCGGTACAATCTGAATCACCTCCACAAGAACTGACTTGCCACAGAGCCAACCGAGGATGGACACAGACTTAGCTGCTCAATGAATCAGATGTACAGGTGTGGGCAACGGTGTACCAAGCTAAATCATCTATATAAACACACCTCATTATCACCCATTCCCAGTGCTTTCATCAGTTTGTGGCATTTACAAGTTCAAAGATGTCAACTTCAACGGGTACGACTCAAGGTGAGACAATCCCTTCAAGAACCAACAATGATAACAACTACATTTCAACTTATGATTTACTTGCAAGCAAGAACATCGAGTTCAAGAAGAGCGACGGTTCTGCTGATTTAAAAGAGCTTTTAGATTACTTACCATACCCAGACTTCAAAGGTGAGGAGGTTCAAGCGGTAAAGCTACCAAACTCTAAAGAAGAGGGTCACTCTTCAATCTATAGGAGTTCTCATTCTCCTTCCCAATTGGTTAGTACAGCTCATCCTAGGCTAAACACTGCATTCAACATCTTTGAAGTTGCCTGTGAGCTTTATGGTAATCAAGAATTGTTTGGTACAAGATTGTTCAACTCTGAAACTGGTAAATATGATGATTTCTATACTTTTCAAACATATCCTCAAGTTAGAAAAAGAAGAAATGATTTGGGTTCAGGTATCATGAATTTATTCCCAAACAAGCGTGATTTTGTTGTGTCAATCTTTAGCCCAAATCGTCCTGAATTTTTAATCACAGAGCATGCAGCTTCTGCTTATTCCTTACCAATGACTTCGTTATATGATACATTAGTCCCAAAAACTACTGAATACATTTTAAATTTGACGGAATCCCCAATCTTGGTTTGTCCAATTGATAAAATTTTGAAAATTCTTTCAATCGTGGCCTCTCATGATATTCCACATTTGAAGTATATTATCTCTATGGACCCAATCAATTTTGAAAAAGATTTTGGTATCATTCAATTAGCTAAAGAAAATCATATTTCAATCATGTCTATTGATCAATTAGAAGCAATTGGGGCAAAAAATCCTATTCCTTTCATTCCACCAAAACCAGAAACTTTATTTGCCATTTCATTCACTTCAGGTACAACAGGAAATCCAAAAGGTGTTAAATTGAGTCACAAATCAGTTTCAGCTGCAATTGGAGGATGTATCTCATTGATTAGTAAACCGTTAAGTACTTTGAAAGAGGGTGAAGTACCAACAGCGTATTCGTTTTTACCGTTGGCTCATATTTATGAATTGTTGACTGGGAATTTAAGTATCATTAGAGGTTTTAGAACTTGCTTTCCAAATAGACCATCTGATCCTGCTAATTTTGTGGAAAACATGAAAATTTGTAAACCACATTTCATAAATCTTGTTCCAAGAGTTTTGAATAGATTTGAAAGTGTTTTGAAACAAGGTCTGAGTTCTACAATGCAAGGGAGATATTTACTAAGTTTATTGATGGGTGACTCAATTCCTGATTGGTTAAGAAAATCATTACAAACAAAAACAAGAAAAACTTTAGGATTTGATCGTGTAAGCTTTACAATCTGTGGCTCTGCACCAATTAGCCCTCATACTATTACTTTCTTGAACAAAATTTTGGGAATTGGTTACAGACAAGGTTACGGAATGACTGAATCCTTTTCATTTACATCTGCTTCAAGCGTTGCAGATCCAGACTATCTGAATTGTGGTGGTGTTAGTATTACTCAAGAATTAAGACTAAAAGATGTTCCAGATATGGGTTATTTGACTGTGGATGAGAATGGTAATGAATTAGAGGAACCAAGAGGTGAAATTTTATTACGTGGACCACAAATTCTAGATGGTTATTACAAGAATCCAGAGGCAACTAAGGAAACTTTGAATGATGGCTGGTATAGTACTGGGGATGTTGGCCACGTTGATAAACTTGGGCGTATCTATGTTATTGATCGTGTTAAAAACTTTTTCAAATTAAGCCAAGGTGAATATGTTTCTCCTGAGAAAATTGAATCTGTTTATATGAGTGAATGTGATTATTTATCACAAATTTTCGTTGCAGGGGTATCTATTGAAAGATATTTGGTTGGTGTTGTTGGTATTGACCCTATTGCCATTAGAAAGATATTCAAAAAGCTTAGCCATGTGCATGGTGATAATGAATTGGTTACAAAGATTAATAAGAGTACTGAATTAAAGAAGGATATCTTACATTTAATGAATAAGAATGTCAGTCATGAATTACAAGGCTTTGAAAAGATCCATAATTTGATTGTTGCGATTGAGCCCTTGAAAATTGAAGATGAAACAATTACACCAACATTCAAAGTCAAGAGACCTAATGCAAACAAGTTTTTCAAAAAACAAATCAACGATATGTATTCTCAAGGTGACCTGCTTAGAGGAGAAAAGATTTAGATGGGTTATATCTCTTATATATAAATCTTCATGCGTATTAATGATTTGTATTGTAGCTGATCTGTCATATATGTCACGTGCTCACGTTCTTTTCCCAAAAAAGTGAAGCACTCCACCCAATGATCAAAAATGACCCAAGCAAACCCTACAGAACTCCAAAACATGATGATAATCATCAATTAATTCAACCAAGTAGAGAACGGCAAATGACATGATCTCCTTTGTTCCTCATTCTCATGAATTCTCAAACTGGCTGAGTTGTTTATTGAATTCGAGAAATTTCGAAGATTCGGTAATCAAAGGCATTGGAAAGGTACCCAAAACAAAAGCAGCAAATTGTTGATTGAATTGATCCCCATTGTTTACTTTGAGGAGTAGTACCCCAGATTAAAGGGAAGATTTATATATAAAAAGATGGGTTATGCTTTTTGTCGATGGAACTCAAATGAATGAAAAGCATCAAAGAGATTCATCATGAGTAACTCTCTCAAAGATTTAAACGCCATCAGAGACAACTTCCCAATTGACAAAATCTACAAATCAGTCCCATTACCAGGTACTGCTAGACCAGGATATTCACCAATTTATAGAAATTCAAGCTCTACTGATAAATTGATTGCCTGTCCTTCTCCAGAATTGAACACTTTACATGCTTTATTCCAAAATGCTGTGGACTTATTTGGTGCTGATGATTGTCTTGGTGAAAGAAAAGTGAAAAATGGGGTTTTAGATGATTATTACACTTTTGAAACTTATTCCCAAATCAATGAAAGAAAAATCAATATTGCATCAGGTTTGATTAATCTAGTTGTTAATCATAGAGATTTTGTTCAAAATGAAACAACTGTTGATATTAATGGGAAACCAAAATTTGTTGTTAGTGTTTCTGGTAAAAATAGTGTTGAAATGATTTTAACTGATTTGGCTACTAGATCTTTTTCAATTCCAAATACTGGCTTGTATGAATCACTAAGTGAAGATGCAGCCGCTCATATTTTAAGATTATCTGAGTCTCCAGTTTTGGTTTGTAACAAGAATTTAATTCCAAAATTTTTAGAAATCAAAAGACATCATAAGGTCGAATCAATGTTTTTGATCATCTCTTATGATCCATTATCTAAAAAAGATGATATGGAATTGATTTCAAGTGCAAGTGAAGTTGGTATTGATCTTGTTGATTTTAAACATGTGGAAAATTTTGGTAAACAAAATAGACTTCCAGCTGATTTTAATTTGCCAAAACCAGATACATTATACACATTAGCTTTCACCTCAGGAACAACAGGTATGCCAAAAGGTGTTTACTTAACACATGCTAATGCAACTGCAAATGTTACTGGATTCTTAATTCATGCTCCCAAACCTGCAATAAATCTATCAAAGGAAAATTCAACCAATTTCAAATACAATAAAGATGCCAGAGGTAAACAATTAAAGACGTTATGCTTTCTTCCTTTGCTACACAATTATGAAAAATCAATATCAAATTTTGAATTATCTTATGGGATTGCATTAGCACTACCTTCACAACCCGGTACAAAATCCTTATTTGAAGATTTGAAAATCATTCAACCTTCACTATTTACTGGTGTTCCAAGAGTGTTTACATTAATTGAAAACAAAATCAAAAGTTTTATTCAAGATCATGGTTTAGATTTGGAAAAAGATGAACAAAAAACACAACTAGCAGTTCGTGAAGGATTTGGATTAAAGCAAATATCTTACTTAATGTGTGCTTCAGCTCCAATCTCCAAAGAGTCAATCATATTTTTGAAGAAATCAATTGGCTGTGGGTTTTTAAACTCTTATGGTGCTACTGAAATCTTTTCTGTCTTTACTTTTTCAAATCCATATCAAGTTCGTTCTGGTTCATCTGGTCCTACTGGTATCTCATGTGAAATCAAATTGAAAGATGTTCCAGAAATGGGATATACATGTAAAGATAAGCCATATCCTCGTGGTGAAGTTTTAGTTCGTGGTCATTGTGTGTTCTCCCATTATTACAAGAATGAAAAAGCCACAAGAAGTGCAATTGACTCGGAAGGCTGGTATCATTCAGGGGATGTTGTTGCCTTGGATGAAAATGGTGATTTATTCATTATCGATCGTGTCAAAAATTTCTTCAAATTGGCCCAAGGTGAATATGTGACCCCTGAACGTGTTGAAAATATTTATTTGTCCAATAACCCATTATTAACTCAGCTATTTGTTCATGGAGATTCTTTCAGTAATTTTTTGATTGGAATTGCTGGTATTGATCCAGTTGGTGTGAAAAATTTTTTACAAAGCCATTATAAAGGTGAAATAAACTCTATTGATGATGTTTTGAAGTTGTTGGAATCACCAAAGTTTAAGAAATTGGTCCTTAATGAAATTTCAAAGAACATTTCCAAATCTGATTTACAAGGATATGAGAAATTACACAACTTACATTTTGAACTTGAGCCCTTGACTATTGAAAATGAGGCATTAACTCCAAGTTTCAAATTGAAACGAAATGCCGCTAGACAAGTTCACAAAGATAAAATTGAGCAGTTGTATAAAGAAGGCTCTTTAATCAAACCTAGAACAAAACTTTGAAGTCTGTGTTATTTATCTGTTGTTTAGGCTTAATATTACACATTATTTATACGCATCTATACTCTTAATCACTCAAAAGTAGATGATCTATTTCCCTCTTTTGTTACTAAATTTGATCGATTAATTAATATAGCTAGTTTTATATATGTAATATTCGAGTTGATATTAATATAACTAGACCCAGCCCAATAAATATTTGTCTAGAATACATCTTCAAAAACTGATTCATCAGGATGCATAATTGCATAATAATAAATTCACTGGAAGTAAAATAATTCATTCGCGATCTCTGTCAAATGATACGTGTCACCAACTCCACACTTAACTGAGTTGTTTATTTTTTTCAGCTTAATCATTCGAAGGCAAAGTGGGACAGAAGTGTATCAACAACTATATAAATACAATGGTGTTCTTTTAGCCTTGTATCATCATGGTGACCTCGAAATAAACAAACCCAACATGACACTCTTGACCAAGGAGGACAGCAGAGATATACTGAAAACGTGCAACAACCTTCACCTGAAATACCCCCATGTTCAGAAATTTAAAGCAGTCCCAATTTCAGACTCCAAGTCTCCAGGACATTCTTCAATTTATAGGAATCAATCATCTCAAGATGAACTGGTGGAGACTATCCATCCAAAGCTGACCACTTTCCATGATTTTTTCCAGCATTCATTGAATCTATACGGTGATGAATATTGTTATGGTGAACGTCCAATCATTGATGGTAAAGTGCAAGACTATTTCCAATATCAGACATATAAGGAGATCGAACTTAGAAAGGACAATTTTGCATCTGGGTTGATTACATTAGTGCAGAACAATCCAAATTTTGATTCAGCAGAATTTCTATGTAAAGATGGGAAGCCAAATTTCATTGTTTCATTATTTAGTGGTAATAGATTAGAGTGGATGCTAACTGATCTGGCTACAAGAGATTATTCATTACCAAACACTGCATTATATGATACTTTGGGCCCTGATGCTTCTAAATATATTTTGGATCTGACAAAAAGTCCAGCTGTTGTGTTATCTAAAGAGAAGATTGTAAAAGTGTTGGATTTGAAGAGACAATATGGATTGAAATCTCTTCATTTATTGGTATCTATGGATACATTAGATTTTGCTAAAGATTATGGATTGATTCAATATGCTTCTAGTCTAAACATTCAATTGGTTGATTTCAAACACGTTGAAAATTTTGGAGCTCTCAATAAATTACCTAAGGATTTCAATTTACCAAAACCCTCAACTATTTACACTATATCGTTTACTTCGGGAACTACAGGTAATCCAAAGGGGGTGCTTTTAGATCACAAGATTGCAATTTCTGGTATCTCTTCATGTTTTATCCATTTCAAAAAGCCTATTGAAAAAATTGATGAAGAATCCTATTATGATTTTGCTAGTAATGTTGATAATAATGGGAAACAGCTACGTGCCCTGAGCTATTTACCTTTGGCACATATTTATGAACGAATGTTGATAAATTGGGCAACTTTTACAGGTATTGCTATTGCTTTCCCTTCTAAAACTGGTACTGCATCATTATTTGAAGATTTGAAGATTTTGCAACCACATTATTTCACAGGTGTTCCTAGAGTTTATTCAAGAATTGAGACTGCAATCAAGACTCACATTTCATCACTGAATTCAATCTCTTTGAAATTTTTTGAAAAATCGATGGAACAATCAAAAGAATCTTGGTTATATTCATCATTATCACATCTAAATCAATTGAAGGCAGAATTAGGTTTCCAAAATGTCAACTACTGTACAAGTGCTAGTGCACCAATGTCACCACATGCCATTAAATTTTTAAAATCTTCGCTTCATGTTGGATTTGAAAACTCTTATGGATTAACAGAATCATTTGCGGTAATGTCATGTGATGATCCATTTGGTGATGCTTATATGGGTAATGTTGGACCTCCTTGTGTTTCCACTGAGATGAGATTGAAAGATGTTGAGCATATGGGGTATAGTGCAAGTGGAGATTCAACTCCTCGTGGAGAATTACAACTACGAGGACCACAGATCTATTTGGGTTATTATAAAAATGAGAAAGCCACAGAGGAAGCACTGGCTGAAGATGGCTGGTTTAGTACAGGTGATATTGCAACTTTTGATGAAAACGGTCGTATAATTATCATTGACCGTGTAAAGAATTTTTTCAAATTGAGTCAAGGGGAGTACATTACACCTGAGAAAGTTGAAAATACATATTTGACTAGTAACCAATTGATTACACAGTTATTTGTCCATGGTGATTCTCTGAAGAACTATTTAGTTGGTGTTGCAGGTATTGAGCCTGAAAGTTTCAAAAAGTTTCTAAAGGCTAACTTTGATATTGAAGTTCTTGATGATAGTCATTTGAAAATACATTTAGATGATCCAAAAGTTAAAGAGAAGTTATTGAAGGTTTTGAATTTGAATGCCATGGGTAAAGGTACACTACAAGGATTTGAGAAGATACACAATTTATATTTGGATTTCGAACCTTTGAAAGTTGAAGATGAAGTCTTAACACCAACTTTTAAACTAAAAAGGGTCCAAGCTGTCAGAAAGTTTCGTGACATTTTGGAGAAATTGTATGAAGAGGGTTCTTTAATCAAAGATGGGCTTCCAAAATTGTGATCTCTTATCTATATAATGCTTATTAATCGTTGTTCTGAAATATGTAGTTCCTTGTTGAGCCGTAAACTCAAGTATGGGGAAAGCTAGAATGTCATTCAGAGGATATCTGAAATAATTGATGGGCTAAACAACGATAATTAACTCAATCTAACGTTTGTGAAACCTGGAAATCTGAACCTTCTTTTTCAAGTATTCGACTATTAGTACTACATGGATCTCTTGCCCCTTTGTTGTGGTGTTTTACAAGTTGCTTCGTGTTTGATCGCTCCAACTCGGTAGAAAAGCTTCGGGGAATTCAGCCTGGAACGCTTAATGCTCTGAAAGTGCTTAACGAAATACTCAGGTACATCAAAACCAATCGATTGGATACAAAGCTATTCAATAACATATAAACTCCATTCATTCTCTCGTTCTTTTCCACTTTAATGTCCAACATTACTCGGATTTGTGTGTACGGCTCTAGGTGGCCTCGGCTGTTTGAAAAGCAAAATGAGCTTAAAGCGTAACGGGGAAGATCATGAAGAAATGGAGGAGATTGGTTTTTAGTACAAAGCATAATTAACTATAAAATGATTGCAACAACCATGAATACGATGATTGAACTGATCACTATAGCCCCCATCGACAATGTCCATCTCAGTCCAGGAATCCTTTGAAATCTACAACGACACCATCAAGAAAATCCCAGAACGTTATGTTCAGGACAAGATAAATAGCTCGTTCAAAGTGCCAGGATCAAAGAAAGATGGTTATTCATACATCTACAGAAGTGCTGCTAGTCCAGATATCGTGGAAACGGTCCATCCAAGATTGAACACATTGGAAACCTTGTTCCAACACGCTGTCAACTTGTATCCAAATGACAATTGTCTCGGTCAACGTCTTTACAACAACTCAATAAAAGGTGGGTTTGACAAATTCTACACTTACCAAACTTATACAGAAGTCCTTGAAAGAAGAAACTACATAGCTAGTGGTATCATTCACTTAGTTACTTCTAATCATAAATTTGTCAAGAATGAGGAGAATTTCAAAAATGGTAAACCAAGTTTTGTTGTTTCAATTTACAGTCCAAACAGAATTGAATTCATGTTGACTGATTTGGCTCTATCTGCTTTTTCATTACCATCAACTGCCTTGTATGATACCTTGGGTCCTGAATCATCAAGACATATCTTGGGTCTAACTGAAAGTCCAATCTTGATTTTGACAAAGGATAAAATTGAGAGCATTTTGGAATTAAAAAAGAAGTTTGGGTTGAAGAACTTGTTGGTATTGGTCTCTATGGACTCACTACAAGGTGATAAAGGAGATGTTCAGCTAAGATTGAAATGTAAGAAAGAAGGTTTAGAACTGGTTGATTTTGCAACTGTTGAAAAATTAGGTAAAAGTCATCAATTACATACGGATTTCAATCCACCAACTCCAGATACTATTCACCATATTTGTTTCACTTCTGGTACAACCGGTCTACCAAAAGGTTGTGTATTGAACCATAGAAACTCTGTTTCTTATTGTGTGGCCACCCAGGTGATGGGAAGAAAAATGCTTTCTTCATTTTCATTAGAAGTTTCAAATCCAATCAATAATAAGGATGATGTAGGTGAGCAGTTCAGATATCTTGCAGGTTTACCATTGGCCCATATTTATGAAAGAGCACATACCACAGCAAATATAATGGGTGGTACTGCTGTTGGATTTCCTTCTTTACCTGGTGTTCAATCTGTGGTTGATGATTGGAGAGTTATAAAGCCTCATTCAATTGCTGGTGTTCCAAGATTATGGAACAGAATTGATCAAGGTATAAAGTTATTACTGCAAGGTTATAACTTGAAGAAAAAATCACCTTCACCAGTTGATAAACTATTAATTCAAAATAAGGTTCGTCATTTCTTTGGGTTTGATAATGTTAGATTCCTAGCTACCGGTTCTGCTCCATTAAGTCATGATACCATAAAGTCAATTTCAGAGTGGGCAGGAGTGGGTTTTGTTCAAGGTTTTGGTATGACAGAAACAGTTGCGGGTGTTATGTCAAGTGATCCATTTTGTGATGGTTATAACCCATCAAGTGTTGGTGGTGTCTATTCAACTATTGAAATCAGATTGAGAGATGTTCCAAATCTGAACTACCTAAGTTCTGACCGTCCAATGGCTAGAGGTGAATTATTATGCAGAGGTCCTCAAATTTTCACTGAATATTATAAAAACCCAAAAGCAACAAAAGAATCATTTGATGAAGATGGATTTTTCAAAACTGGTGATATTGCAGCTATTGATAGTAGTGGTCAATGTTACATCATTGATCGTGTTAAAAATTTCTTCAAATTGAGTCAAGGTGAATATATTACCCCTGAAAGAATTGAAAATACATACTTGGCCAATTCTCCATTGTTAACACAGATTTTCGTCCATGGTGATTCTTATAAAAATCATCTTGTTGGTGTTATCGGTGTAGAACCTACTGGGTTCAAAAAAATGTTGAAAAGTATTGGTATCGATGCTAAAGATGAAGATTTACCAAAGCTGTTCAAAGATCCAAAGATCAAGGCTGCTTTAGTGAAGACCATCAATTCTCATGTTAACAAATCTGGTTTACAAGGTTTTGAAAAACTTCATAATGTCCATGTTGATTTCGAACCTTTAAAGATGGAGGATGAAGTTTTGACTCCAACTTTGAAATTGAAAAGAGAAAATGCTAGAAAGAAGTTTAAAGAAATCTTGGAAAACTTGTACGATGAAGGATCTCTTTTCAACAGGGACAGATTGTGATTTGAAGTTTCTTATATTAATCTGTATATTTATTGTTATGCGCTTATGATTGTCCAACGAAACTTTTTCGTGTAGTTTACTATAGTGTGGCGTGTACCGTGTTTTTTTTTAATGAAGAGCACTTGAAATAAAAAAAAAAGTCAATCACCTTTAAGCCTATTGTAAAAGAAAATCAAACTATTGTATTCATATATGTGGCCATCTAGAGATGGGTTGGGTGTACAGGTCAGTTATGGATTACAAGGTGGGAATGTCTACGCTGAAAGCCTAGATTCAGAGCACCCATGGAAGTTTGCAAGAGAAAGGGAAGGTGGTTTAGCATTATCAAAAGTTCACAATTCAACTCAAAGATTAGTACCTCCTCAAATAAGCAATGTTGAAATCTCTGTTAGCAAGAATGATCAACTTAATGATGTGCTGAAGGATATACCAATATCGTTGTTGAATCAACTAAAAAATAGTGAAGAGTTTATGTCCTCAGAATTTATTTATGACCCAACTTTTGGTAAAATGATTCATGAAGGTGTATTAAGGGCATATCGCTCAGATAAATACTTGGATGCCATAGCTTTCGTTACGGGTCCAACAAGCTCTACTCTGAGTCTTCATCGTTTGTCTACTGTTCCAAATAATGTTGAGCTTCCAAATGGAGAGATCGTTGAAATGGAGGTTCCTGTGTTTGGGGAAGGTTATAATTTTGATTTCAATTCTCCTATCAAACAAGTTGAGTTCTGTAATCCATTCATCAAAGGTCCAAGGCATTCAAATACCATTTTGGTAAGAACAGCGTTATCTATCAACATTATGAACATTGAAACTAGAAAACATTCAGTTAACTTGGTTCATTTTGCTGAAATAGATCCAACCATGTTATTTGGAGAATCATTTGCCTGGGTTTCAGCATGTCCATATAAGCCTTATCAGCTTGCTGCTGTTGATGTATCTGGTAACTGGGGCGTTTTCCAAATCTCAAGATTGGCAAATCCATCATTATTGCATTCTGGAAGGATTTTTGATTCTGAAGACTTCTCAAATTTCAAAAGGATTTCATGGGGGATCATTGATAAGGATATAATAGTTTTAAGTCGATCGTATGTGAAAACTTTCAATCTGGAAACGAAGGAGAAAGTTGATATCATATCTGCCAAAAAGTGGTCATCAATTAGAGATTATAAAAGGGTGGTTGACGATTCAAAATTTGCATTTCTATTGACATCAAGAGAACTGGTATGGGTGGATGTTAGCAACGGATTTAAAAGAATACTGGTTTGGAAGCATTATTTAGATGCAGAAGACCCATCGCTATCTTTAGTGGTGAAATCAATAGAGGGAATCACATATGCCTCCATTCACAGTCAAGTACATCCATTAGTGTTTGTTTTCCAATTCAAGTTTGAGGACGGGTTGCCAAAATCAATAAGAGATCCTATAATGATCAAGACTGATACTTCGACTTCGGCTTTGGACTTCCTCTTGATGCCTGCTACCATAAAAAATGGTGGTGGTGAACGCTGCGTCGCTTTGTTCAAAGTTTCAACTCAATTGGAAATTACAAGAATGGTTATTTCAACTTTTAAGGACGCTAAGTTATTGAAGCATTCTGCTTATAGACGAAACAGTATATTGAAACAAAAACAGGATGCCGGCTCAGACAAAAAAGCTGCTCTGTTCAACAATCAAAAGGCAAAGGTTGTCATGGGGTTGGCCCAAGAAATATATGAACCACTTGATATTAATGAAGACTTTCCACATGAAGATGCTGAAGTTTTTCAAAATTATGCATCATCTTTGGGAATTGATGAAAATCAAGAGAAACCACCCTCATCTCTATTGAGAATTTCCAATACTATCGAAAACTTCAATCACTTTGATGAGTTTGATAATATGATGGAGCAACTTCAAGAATATTGTGAATCCAAAAAGGTCTCGTTCATACCATTAGAGAAGATTTCATCACATGTTTGTGGTTCAAGCCTCAGTAAAATCACAGATTTATACCAACATCTTTATAACCTTTGGAATAAGGAGTCCAACTCAACAGATTCCAATAGGTTCTTTGCCAAACATATTACAAAAGAACTAGCATTAGCCCTATCAATAACATATGATCAATTACTAGAAGAACAAGAGCTCAACAAAAGAGTTAATAAGCTGCCAAAGGGTTTGAAGAGTGTTGTTGATAAATGGGATGAAGGTTTCGAGCAAGAACAGGAAGAAGAAATCCCTATACAATTACAAGAAACGGAAATCCCACAGCCTATCGTAACTGTATCACAATCACAACCAAGTGCAACCCCGGCATCTCAAAGATTACTAAGACCGTCTCAAAAACGAACATCTCAGTCATTGAAACCATCACAATCACTGTCTCTGAGACCATCTCAAAATCAGTCACAAACTTTAGGTTCAAGCCAAAATATTTCATCACAGTTACGACCGAAGAAAAAGAAAAGAAGGATAACAGGGTTTGGGTAATCCCATAATCATCATAATGACCAACTAATGTCTGCATAGCCGTTGTACTATATAAAAATTGCATTTAATTAAAGCTTTTAAAGGATTTGTTAAAGTGTAGTTTATGTTTACGAGGGTTATGTCATGTGATGCAATTTACGACCCTCGGAAATTCCCCAAAAGAGTATATAATTTTTTTCAAGGCATTTCAATTGTTTTGGAAAGTGAGTGAGTCAAGATTTAAAAGAAAAGAAGAGTAGCCATATAAATTAGTTTTGGATTCTTGAATTTTAATCTATAAATTAATTCAAATCAATAATACAAAAATGTCTGCTCAACTAAGAGAAGCCTTTACAAGGGCCAAAAATGAAAGTATGTGGAAATAAAGGAATCCTGAACCTCAAAAAAACACAAATTGCTAACAAGATACCTATAGAACGTAGTGCATTAGTCACGTTTGTCACAGCTGGTTATCCAACAATTGAAGACACTGTCCCTATATTGAAAGGGTTACAAGAAGGTGGTGTTGATGTTATCGAACTAGGTGTTCCATTTTCCGATCCAATTGCTGATGGTCCAACTATCCAAGTTGCTAATACAAAAGCTTTAGAAAATGGGTTATCCGTTATAAAGACTCTTGATCTAGTCAAACTTGCAAGAAAAGAAGGTATTCATGTTCCAATTATCCTTATGGGTTACTACAATCCTATCTTACAATATGGTGAAGAAAAATTAATCAAAGATGTTAAAGAAGCAGGTGCTAACGGGTTCATTGTTGTCGATTTACCACCTGAAGAAGCTGTTAAATTCAGAGGATTCTGTACCAAAGAAGGTTTGAGTTATATTCCATTAGTTGCACCAGCAACTACCGATGAACGTTTGAAATTATTAGCAGAAATTGCAGATTCATTTATCTATGTTGTTTCAAGAATGGGTACTACAGGTGCTTTGAAAAACATTAGTACTGATATTTCAACATTAGTTACAAGAGTCAGAAAATTCACAGGTGACACTCCATTAGCTGTTGGTTTTGGTGTTAGTACAAGAGAACATTTTTTGACTGTTGGTTCAGTCGCTGATGGTGTTGTTATTGGTAGTAAGATCATTACCTTGTTGGGTGAATCCTTAGAAGGCCAACGTGGTGAGGTTGCTAAAAGATATGTTCAAGGTATTCTTGATAACAAAGTTTCTTCAAATGATAAACCTGAAGAATCTGAAGTTTTCCAAAATGCCCAAAAAGTTGGTGAACCAGTGTTTGAAGAAGAACATAAATTCCCAGCACGTTTTGGTGATTTTGGTGGTCAATATGTTCCAGAAGCTTTACATGCTTGTTTACGTGAACTAGAGAAAGCTTTTGAAGATGCAGTTGCAGACCCAGAGTTCTGGAAAGAATTCAAATCTTTATATTCTTATATTGGACGTCCATCAAGTTTCCATAAGGCTGATCGTTTAACTGAACATGCTGGTGGTGCTCAAATCTGGTTGAAGAGAGAAGATTTAAATCATACTGGTTCTCATAAAATTAATAACGCTTTAGCACAAGTTTTAATTGCCAAAAGATTAGGTAAAAAGGAAATTATTGCTGAAACTGGTGCAGGTCAACATGGTGTTGCTACTGCTACTGCTTGTGCTAAATTCGGCTTAAAATGTACAGTTTACATGGGTGCTGAAGATGTTCGTCGTCAAGCTTTAAATGTTTTCAGAATGAGAATTTTGGGTGCTGAAGTTATTGCAGTCACTAACGGTACAAAGACTTTAAGAGATGCTACTTCTGAAGCATTCCGTAATTGGGTTACTAATTTAGAAACTACACATTATGTTGTTGGTTCAGCTATTGGTCCACATCCATACCCAACTTTAGTTCGTACTTTCCAATCTGTTATTGGTAATGAAGCTAAAGAACAATTCAAAGAATTAAACGATGGTAAATTACCAGACGCTATTGTTGCCTGTGTTGGTGGTGGTTCAAACAGTACTGGTATTTTCTCACCATTCGAACATGATTTAAGCGTTAAACTATTGGGTGTTGAAGCTGGTGGTGATGGTTTAGATACTGAATTCCATTCAGCCACCTTGACTGCTGGTGTTCCAGGTGTTTTCCATGGTGTCAAGACTTATGTTTTACAAACAAATGATGGTCAAATACACGATACTCATTCTGTTTCTGCAGGTTTAGATTATCCAGGTGTTGGTCCTGAATTAGCTGCATGGAAAGCAAGTGGTCGTGCTCAATTCGTTGCTGCAACTGATGCTCAAGCTTTACAAGGGTTTAAATTGTTGTCAGAATTGGAAGGTATCATTCCAGCTTTAGAATCTTCACATGCTGTTTATGGTGCTGTTGAATTAGCTAAAACCATGAAACCAGAACAACATATCATAATAAATGTTTCAGGTAGAGGTGATAAAGATGTTCAAAGTGTTGCTGAAGTTTTACCAAAATTAGGTCCAAAGATTGGTTGGGATTTAAGATTTGAAACTTTCAACTAAGAACTGTGTGTATCGTGTTTATAGATATTTGTTTGATGAGAAGCTACATTGTATGTGTTTTTTTACCGTCCGTTGTAAGTATGTATTGTATTAAATAAAAAAGGAAAAAGAATTGAAATTAATAGAAATGAGTGTAACATTGAGAGTCTTCATGGACTTCCATTTCACTCTTTAGTTCGTTCAATTCTTCTTTAATCTGTTGAGCAATCAAAGGAGTCAATTGGTTACACGTTGCAATATCAGGATGTCTATCATAATCTTCACCATTCCATGCATCATACAAGACTATTTTTGATGAAAATCCAACTTTTCTTGATGGTTTAAAACTCTTTTTGGAAGATTGTTGAGAAGCAAATGATGAGGATGAAGTTAATGCTGGTTTGTTATTAATGAATGCAGGCGCTTTTAAACCTTTGAACGACATTGAAATCGGTCTTGATGTTTGTTCTTGAATGAATGTTGGTAATGGTTGTAATGCAGGTGATAATCCATTTGAAAATGGTTCATTTTGTAAAATTGGTGATTCTAATAATGGTGATGATGTAGTAGATTTGATGAAATTATTATTATTATCTGATGGAGAATTGAATGGTTTTGTTGATAATGGTGGCTTGAGTGATTTTTCAGGTGTGTTCAAATTTGGTGAAATTGGTCTTAAAGTTTTTCTTGGTGATGATTGGTTTGAATTACTTGGATCAAAATCAAAATTTAAATTCAAATCAGCTCCAAAATCAATAAAATCCGCAAATTCCATAAACTTTGAGATGTCCTCTTCTTCATCTTCATCACCTTGTTCATATTTATCAGCAATATCATCAAATTCTAAAGCTGCAGAAAAATCCTCACCAAACTCTAATTCATCATCAATTTTCAAAGAATTCATTGAACTTGATTTTTTCAAAACACTCGAAGTTGGAGATTTGTTAAAATCTGGAATTGAAGGTTCACGTTCATCATAAGTGACATACATTCCTTCTTGATTAGCATTCAATGAGATAGCATCAGATAATGACCAATTTTGACGATTTGCAGCTTGTGACATTGTTGAATGACGAGATTTGATAGATCTATTTCTTTCAATTGAAACAATTGACTCAACTTCTTGAGGGTTTAACGATTTTGGGAAAACATCACTTCCAGAATTTGAGATTTGAGAAATTGGTCTTTGGTTGATGTTTAGGTTATTGAAATCTTCGTTGAATTCATTTGATTCCGCTGTGGAAATTGAAAATGAATCATGGATATCTTCTTCTTCCTCCTCTTTTTGTGCTTGATTAATTTGAATATTTGGTATATCAGAAAACGATTTTGATGTAGTTGGAGCTGTTTGCTTTTTACGCTTAAACGCATCAAAAAGACTTGTTGAGGATGTTGATTTCTTTGCAACAGGTGGTGGTGATATGGTTTGTGGAATTTGTGGTGAAGCTTTCTCGAAAAGAGGTGAAGGTCTTGATGATGCGATTGATGGTGACGGTTTAGATTGTTCAACTTGACTTGATGAAACTGATCTTTTGGAAGATTTGAAGAATGAAATGAATTTATTCTTCTTTTTTGGTTGAGGTTGTTGAGGTGGGTTTGTCAAGATTGGCAATGATGAAGATCTTTGTTTATATTGTGGAGAGTTTAGTACATTAGTGTTCACTCTTAATTTAGGTAATGGCTTTGGGGATTCAACTTCTGTAGTTTCAGATCTTCTTGGTGTAGCTTCAATAGTGGAGCTTTGCGTTATTGGTGAAGTGGAAATAGCTTCCGGTTCAGTAACATCCAACATTGATTCATATTTTGGAGGTGGACTCTTTGGAGTTTCCACTTGATTGAAACTTGATAATTGAGGGACTTCTGGAGTTTTGAAAATATCAACATTATCAATACCATTTTGTTGTTGTTGTTGATTCATTCTTTCATAATATTGGGGAGCAATCATAACATTTGGATCCAAAGGAGAAGGCAATATTGAATCAAAACTCATTTCTCTTGGGATATTTGTTTCAGTATCATCTAATTGGATCAAATTTGGAGAATCTTGTTGTTTTTGCACGGTCAAAGTTTCAGTTGAATGTGTAACAGAAGGATTGCCAAAGAATTCATCTTCTTGGCCATCATCATGAACTTCGTGTATCGTTGAGGGCATAGAAGGTTTGAATTTTGTCTTCTTCTCCAAGATACTAGCTAACGCTGAGAATGAAGGTGAATTTGTCATTGCTAATTTAGTTGGAACTTGAGCATCATTTCCCACTATTATTGAATTTCTAACTGATTGGAATTGTTGAGAATCAAAAGAATCTGAATACACCATTGATTGTCTAAAATTTTGAGCATGATTTTTATTATCAATGTTATCAGAGGAATAAAACTCATTCATTAGATCTGGTGAGTTTTCTTGTTCTTCATAGATTGAATCTTGTTGTAAACCTTGTTGAACCGCCTTGTAGTTGTATGGAGATGAATTAGTTGAAGTTTGAGCAGATGAAGTTGAGTGGTTGAAAGTAGTTGAGTCTGATTCAGAGTTCATGGTGGACATGGAGGACATGGAGCGTAGTTGGCCTTCATAAGCAGAAATGTGGTTATTGTTGTTGTTGTTGTTGTTGTATTGTTGATACTGAAACATCTCAAGAATTTCTTTGATCAGGACGACGTGTGCTTAAAACTCTTGGTTGGATGCTAAGTTTGAATTACTCTTCTCTGTTCCACTCTTTGATGTTAATGGCTGTATATGAGTGAGTTCAACAATCAACAAGCCAGTCTTCTTTTATTCAAACAAACTATCTGTGTACAAATTTCTTTGTGAACCTGTTTCATAACTTCTTCACTATGTGTTTTACGTAAGCCATAGAGACGAAAATTTTTTGCAGCTTCTGAAAGGGGCAATTTTTTGTAAAGAGGTCGCGTCGCGTCGCGCTCAGCGCACCAAAAAGAAGATTTCGAAAGGTACATTGAAAACATTGATTCTTGAATCGGTGAAGATTATGGGTTTAGAAAGGAGTGTGTTTGGTTGTTTATGTTGTCATGTTGTCATGTTGTCATGTTGTTTAATGTTCGTGGAGGTGGTTGCACTCGAGATTTTAAGAATCTTTGTATGAGATTTGTATCAGTACAGAATTTAGTGCTGAACCTCAGCCAAACAGACAGCACTACACTACAAAGCTGACAAAGAGTCAAAAGATGGAAAATGAAGATGCTGAAACACATTGATCCAAAATATTCAAATCTGGATCTCGTCTTGTAGGAAACTGTCTCAAAATAGCTTCGAATTGCAATTTGCAACCGTTGAACTGATTCGCGAGAATACATTTTGGTCTTTTCCCGATCAAGTAAAGTAATTGAGGAATTTTAGTACAGGATCACATAAAGCTGGAAGTACACACTAATATCAAATGACAAACCCACTATCTTTCCAATACCGATAGAAATGAGATGAACTACAGAAACCTCCCCAATTGTTCTACTAGTTTGATTCCTTTCTTCATGAATCTGGAACGTAAATAAAGCTCTGAAACCAAAGTCCATCAATCAAACTAAAACATGATCGACGTTCTATGAAACCTTCAACGCTTACACTACAGAACGCTATGTATTTATAGATTTCATTCATTTCACATTATAACACACTTTTCTTCATCCGATCCAGCGGTATTTGAAGGTGTATGTCTACTCTTCATAACTTTTTTACCAAATTTTGCAGCAGTACTAGCAGTACTTGTTGAGTTATTTGGAGTTTTCAAAGTCCCCATAGAACTAACACCAGACGGTTGTCTTAGTTTATTAGTTTGATTCATTGTAGAGTTTGTATTTATAGATCTTGAATCAAAAGTTGAAGAAGTTGATAAATCAGTCATTGATCTTTCCAAATGTGCAATTTTATGAACTTCCTCCCATTCATTATTAATCTTGTCAATCTTCAATACTGGGTCTATACCGAATTGTAAAATAGAATTAGCCAAATAAGTGTATAATCTTGCCCAACATCTTTCTAATTCTAATGAAAAATTGATGCCAAATCTATCTTGGAAAGTTTTCAATAATGCAACACCCATTAGTTCAAAATGTGGAGGATCTATACCCAAGATTCTTGAATGTCTTTTACCCAAGTTCAACAGGTAATCATCCAGAGCTTTCAAGTTTTCCAAATTAATGATTGCAGTTGATAACACACCGGCAAATGATATAGCTTGATGTTTTATTGAAGGAAACATTCTTTCTAAATTTGGATCCATACCTAACAGATTTGAATAAAATTGTATACAGAATAATGAAGAAGCAATTGAAGCATGATTTATTGCTGTTGTTTGTGTGTTGTTATCACTTAGATTCTGGTTTAAATCGTCATTGATCATTTCATTCCAAGTAGTTCTTATTAATTTGATTTCGTTTGGTGTGAAATCAAGCACTAATTTAACATTATATTCTGGTTCGATATAAAGATTTGAACTTATGGTTAAAGGATTTGATTCTTGTCTTGATAGTTCATGATGACTCTCGTTTTCAGCTATAGTGGATCCGTTCAATAAACTAGCTGGTTGGTGATGCGGTTGCACAGACTTTCTCTTGTCTAGGTGAACAGCCTGGGAGACTGGGAATGCTGGTGACATTTGAGGTAAAGCAGTGGTGGACATTTGGGAGGTATGGTCGAGTCAAAGCTTGAAAAGATCAAAGAGGAATCCTCACGAACTAAATACTTTAAAGATTTGTTGGCTTGTGTTAAATGGTTCATCCCGTTGATCATCATGCCTCTATACACTTGAATCCACTCTGCCTACAATTGCGTCTCACCAGCTCCAGAAGTTGACCAGCTGCCCAAAGAAACCCAAGGGAAATAGGGGCCTGTGGGAAAGGGCAGCCATGTTGCATAACAAGGTTCCAGCCTGGACCTCATCTCGGTCTGCGTTGGGCGTTGATGGGAATGTAGCTGGTGATAGTACGACTTGTGTTCTCAACGGCCATGGGATCTGACTGCTGTAGCGAGGGCTAAACCGTGTATCAAGGGCTATTTTTAAGAACCAGTATAGAGTCTACAGATCACCTGGAGATATATGATACAATAAATTGGTAATGAAGGGCTCTGATTGGACTAGAGAGGAATGCTCAACAGACTCGTGGATCCTTTGCAAGAATTTTCCAACGTCGCTTCATGCTCCCTATTACTTTACCCAAAGGGGAAACGCTCATGATTCGAATATAACTTGTGAAATACAACCAAGTGAACTGTCTCACAACCTCATCACTGAACCTACAACACTTTGCACCCGATGAGCTCTATTTATCTTTTGACTTCTTGATGTGTTTCCATGGTCTGATTAACCCGTATACACCTATAGGCAAGTACAAGCATCACGTACATCGTGGTAAAATTATCGCAGGAACACTAATTCAGATAATTTTTTGAAGATATATCATTAATTCATATTGGTATAGAGATTGCAAATTAGTGTACTTGTACTTAAGTTGTACTTCATTTCCATATCTCATAAGCTATCTATGCTATGATGTCAACTAAAGTTTGATTACTGCAAGGTTGTACTGGTGAGACCGTACATGGATCAGCAATTATTCAAGAACTTCACAGCTATAAGATCACGAACTTGATCGCAGTTGAGATGATATATAAGCAGTTCACGTTCCAGTAACCTTTTGGTAATGAACTCTTTGTATTCTATGATCAAGAACGTCCTTTTTATAAAAGAGACATTCAACTAATTCTGGCAGTACATTAATGATTGTGCGTTTTCCACTGTACAGTTAAAAAATCAAATCCTAATTCAGTTCAAACTTCAGTCCATGTGATAAGCTTCCAAACTGGCTCAAAACTCAAAAGCCAGAATCACCCTTCATCAAAGCTTCTTATGAACAATTACCTGAAAAGCACCCCAGAGACCATCTCTTCACTTCTTTGATCGACTCTAACCTTTGTTAATGTCTCGTAATTCATAAAGGCAATGGTACACTGGTGTGTCTCACTCAATGCTACAACTAAAAAACATGGTACGAGAATTGAAAAACTTTTATACCGAAAAACATAGTAAAGAACATGCTCGTCGTGGACTCGTGTGGAGCAAACTATTCGTTGTATATTTATGCTTCTACGTATATGTCTCCATAAGAGTCAAGACAGCATAACATACAATGCCTAAGGACTGATTAACGTACATACAGAAGTCAACCTTACTTCAACACATATAAATATTTTCTTCAATTAAATAAACAGTAAAGAATAAAGAAGAGAGCCAAACAATGGGAACCAGTCGCCTTGAGCTCATTCAAAAGATGGGACTTCACCCCTTGGTGTCAATCTATATAAATGACGACGTTCTTCTGAGTCCCAATCAAAAATTGCTGAATGTAATGTACGTCTATTATCCCACACAACAACAGTACCTGGTGCCCATTTGGCTCTTGCGTGTAAATCAACTGAAACTGACAATTGAGTGTACAAGAAATTCAACAATGCATCACTTTCTTCAGCTTTCAATCCAACAATTTCTCTTGTGAATTGAGGATTCACAAACAATGCCTTCTTACCAGTAACTGGATGTTTTCTAACAACTGGATGAATACTTTTAACTGGATCTCTTCTCAAGATACCACCGTTTTTCAATGAAGATTCAGCTTGTTCAACGCTTGAGTGAACTGCACTCAACCCTTCAACAATTTTTTGAAATTGTGGTGATAATCTATTATAAGCTTCTTCAGCATCAACAAAAATAGTATCACCTCCAGATGTTGGACCTTGTAAATAAGCTAAAAATGTTGTAGCAGCTGGTTGTTTCTCAAATGAAACATCAGAGTGCCATGCGACTGAGGAGATATGTTTCTTTAAGTATGAACTATTTGGTGAAATCTCTGATGAACGATAAACTAAATGAATCTCTGGGTGGTCTCTTGGAGCACCAGATGCTTGATGAATATGTAATGGACCAAAATATTCACCAAATTCAACATTGAATTCAACACCTTTGTCAGCTAAATCTTGTTCTCTGAAAACAACAACACCTCTTTGGGCAACAAATAACGCTAAATCATTTTTACCAGCATCTGTTAATTCACTCAATTGGATACCTTTAACTTCACTACCAAATTTTGGGGTTAATTCTTCAACTTTATAGTTGGCGTCATCTTTTGGGAACAAATCTGACAAGTTGGCATCAGCTTTCAATCCAGGGTCTTTATGTTCGAAAACTTCATAAGGTGGGAATTTATCAGCAGTATTCCAAACAGGTTCCCATTCTTTATAATTGATACCTTCACGTTCTTCAGGTTTCAAAACCAAAACACCATCTTCGCCTAAAACTCTTGAAGTATAAAATGGTGATTTATATGACCCGACATCATTTTCACCACCTTTTGGTTTAATTAATTCTAATTTTCTCAATTCTTTGGTAATATCAGTGGTGTCGATCAAGACACTCGTAGCTGTAGTTGATGGCATGTTGCTTATTCCTTCAATTCATAAGTGAGTATTCAGGTCTAATTCATTTGAGCCTTCTTGATTGTTTATATACTTTTCACTAAAGTCTTAATCATAATGATTGCCACAACCGCCACAGAAGTTCATTACTCTGTTGAGCGTTATTTCCAGATCCAACATCCACAATTTCACGGTACACCTACACCTGTCACTAATCTTTCACATGACAGCACACAGTTCACAGCATTAATACATGAACAAAGAGGCACATGCCTCAATTATCTGAATCTCATGTCTTCGCGCCCTAGGAGAGAAGACGATTGTTATTGCTGTACTTCTTAAAGTATTAACCTCCATCATAGTTTGGCTTCTTTCACCTGCTCAAGACATATCAATCATATCCAATGATCTAGTCACTTCTAGCTGCAAACTTACTTATATTATTAGCAAGAAACTAAGCTGATCCACTAATCATCCTGCCATGGCTTGAAACAGACACAAGTCCGAGGTATGGCTGTTGTTTGTGGCTTGAGTCAATGGGGTGAGCTGATTTGAAAACAATTTGCTAAAGTGATCGATCACAACACCACTGCAATAACTTGTTGTTCTTGATTTGTATGAACTTCCGATAGTTTGAGCCAAATTGTGGCAAATTATGTTGAAGAACACAGTTTTTGTTTTTTGACGTGATCCTCAAGAAAAGATCAAATTCGCGAAGCCTGAGAACTACACTTCATAGACTTTAGATGTTGTATGATTCAAAACCCAGTGACTTCACTATGATCTATATACACCCAACAACTACCACATAAGCATGTTCTATGGAATGCAACGGGCCAGTGGTTCAAATTTGCGTTGGAATTGGCTCCTCCCTTAATAGCACTTGAGAAGAACCCTTCAGTATCATTAGCTGTGATGTACTCACATCTTAAGCACTTCTTTAATTTCTCCTTATTTGTAATAACAACTTTTGTAACATCATCGATCAAAGTATCATTCAGATTGAATAGAATAGGAACTTTATCTGTTGGTTTCAGTAGTATTTTGGAAACTTTAGGGTTGTTTGAAATTTGAAAATGTAACCATCTTGTATCATGGAAATACAATTCTGCAAGATTTGAAGTGTCTTGAAATTGTTCTTGAAACTTATTCAGTATAACGCCAATTGATCCTAAATAACTTGAAGGTATCTTGTTTTGGAAAATCAGTGTTTGTTCAATACTTAAAGCTGCACTTTTCTCTAGGTTTCTTTGGAAAATACTTTCAATGTCAATCAAGAATTTTTCATACCTCTCTAAATCAATTAGACTGAGCAAAAATTTATATCTTTCAACACTTTTGTTCAAAATCTCCATATTCAGAGCTCCAGGGCTATTTGCGTTGTTCAACTCTTGTATTTTCTGCAAAAATCCATCTATTCTTTTGATACCAGCAATTGAATAAATGATAAGTGATCTTGGGATCTTGGATAATAAAAGAGCAAAGACAATTGTATCAAAATGATCTTTATTGGAAGTATTGACATCACAACAACTCATCAGTTCCTGGATAGTAAAGATCAAAAACTCAATAAACCAATTGATTGTACCCAACGTGCTCAAGATATTCTCACTTCTATAGATTGCATCCATCAAAGTTTCAGACCCTTTTTTGGTGACTCTTTGTTGATGGTGAAATAACGTTCTCAAACTCAACATGATACTAAACGCCACTAATCTCAAATTCAAAATAGCAAGGGCAATTGAACTGGTCTCGTTTGTTGGTTGTAGTTTTCCTAATGAATATTGTAATGATAAAAGTTTTTGAATTGGTGGGTTAACTAAAAGTCTATCAATTTGATCTTTTGAATGATCTAATGAGAAGTTCAAAGCTCTATGACTCTCTTGTAAAATCGCCAAAATTAATTGATCTTTAATGTTTGGATCTGGAATTTTCAAAATCTCATCTTGAATAGCTATAATCAAATCATCAGATGACATATTTGTAAAACAAGCTGAGGAGTATTTACAACCAAAAGCAGCTGATAGCGTCAAAATCTCACCTTTTTTCATTTCATGTTGTGGTCTCGTAGTGGCCTTATACTCTAATGTATTGTTCTTATTCATTGCAACAAATCCACATAAATTTGGTGATACAGAAATAGCTTCTGGTACAGACTCTGGTAATTCAAACTTAAACCCAGCATCTAATAATGTTGAGATTGCTGATGGTATAACTTCTTTTTGACCCCCATTACCGATGATGTGTAGGTTTTTTCTATTTCTTAATTGAATTTCACCATTTCTTAAAGTCAACACAATCATGAAATCAAAATTTTTAAACGATATATCAAGAACCCTATTATCCAAGATTGTTTCACCAGTCTGAACCAGTGTGTAGTAATTATCAACAGACGTAGATGCCCCATTTGAATACCCATTTGATTCATTTTTGAATCTCAGATTTTTATACTCGTTGGAAATTTGAAATTTTTGCAACAAGGTTTCACCTCCAGTAACACCAGGTCCTTCAAATGTTAAAAGTAATTCTAATTCTGTATCCAATGAAAAATTTGGTGAAATGATATCAATTCCACTCAGCTCTTGAGGAAACCCATTTGACCCAATGACACTTAATGGCTCAGATATCAGTTTTTCAACGCTCAAAGTTAGCGGTGCTTTGAGCTTATCGTTAGGATTGATTTCACCCCAATTAACCACTATCTTATAAACACGTAAACTTTTGGTCAATTTACTGAAACAAGCGACAATAACGGACCCATCTCTATTGAAACCAATACTAGCATGTTCTAACCATAGCGTCTTCAAATCTGAAACATCTTCTAATAACACTGTTGTCTTTTTGAAATCAAAACCTGCGTTATTTAACTGATAATGGAAATCAACTTCACCATTTCTTCGTACTGTGAAAAAACCAGATTTTCCTTGAATAGGGTGAAGTGTCCCATAAGATTTGTATTGATGGACAGCATAACTATAAGCGTACCCTGAAGAGTCTGATGAAGCTGCAGCGCCATCAGCAGCAGCACCTGAAGATACCATTGAATCTGATGATGTCAGCACTCTAACTGCTGGTGAGTTTGAAATTATTGGTTTATCAACATTTAACCATTTGAATGCAATAACTTTAGTAGTGGAATCTCCAGTTGATATTCTTGATTGTTTGGAAGTGTTTAGGCGTTCACAGGTTTCATCTTGATAAATAATATCCACATCTTCAAAACATGATAGTTGATGAGATGAAGTGTTTTTCAGAACACCAGTTGATAAGATTGTAATGTTACCTAACTCGTCAATTATAGCTAAGTCCATTCCTGAGGTTGACCAATAAACGTTTGTAATCGAACTTAGTCTTGAATTTGGATTAGTTTTAATTTGAAAGATCTTCTTGGGTGCTAAACGCCATGTTGAACCTCTAATTGATTCTAATTTGGTTATCGAAAGGTTTGATGTTGACGTTGGGTCTGAGTAAGCTATAAATCCATTCTTTGACCAACTTATTTTGCTAAAGGGTTGTTAGATCAGTTCAATTGTTTCATTTTGATTAACTTACTGGTCTGACCTCGAATGTTTCATGCTTGAATAACCAACCGACATTCTGTTGTCTCTGGTCTATAGCCAATATACTATAATTTGACTCTTGGATCGTTTTGCTTTTTCACTTTAAAATGAGATTTTTCGAGAAATTCACGTGACTTTATTTTGCAGTAATTATAGGCCGAAAGTTTCAATGCTCTACAATCTTTCAATTTAGTATACAAGTCCGTATCATTCTATTTAAACACACATTATTCATTTCCTATTTATTTTTTTTTGCAAAGTTGACACGATTTGTTTAGTAAACATCACCGTGGTCAAACATAGCATCGGCAACTTTAACGAAACCAGCCAAGTTAGCACCTTTAACTAATGATGGTAAAGCATCTTTGTTAGATTCGTTAGAGTATTCAGTAGCAAATTTGATGGATTGGTTGAATAATTCAATCATTCTCTTGTGTAATTCACCATCAACTTGTTCACTGGTCCAGGTTATTCTTTGAGAGTTTTGAGCCATTTCTAAAGCAGAAACTAAAACACCACCAGCGTTTGAAGCTTTACCAGGACCGTACCAGACAGCTGGAGAAGCAGCAGATTTAGTAGCAACACGTTCACCTTCGAAAACATCAATAGCTTCTTGAGTACAACCCATGTTGGAACCTTCAGCAACGTATTTAGCACCGGCAGAAACTAAAGCTTTAGCTTCATCACCAGAAACTTCGTTTTGAGTAGCACATGGTAAAGCAACATCAACCTGACCAACATGAATCCATGGTCTAGCACCGTCAATGTATTTAACTGGAGAAGCAGAGAAAGCACTGTATTCATTAATGATATCACTCAAAGATTTGAATTGGACCTTAGCTTCTTGGATAGCGTAGACGTGTTCTTTGGTAATACCAGTTTCTGAAATGATAGCACCTTTAGAGTCTGATAATGAAACAACAGTACCACCTAATTCAATAACTTTCAAAGCAGCATATTGAGCAACGTTACCTGAACCTGAGATGGCAACTCTTTTACCAGAGAAATCTTCTTTACCTTTAGTGGCATATTTGATTTGTTGTTCAGTGTAGTAAACTAAACCATAACCAGTGGCTTCTGGTCTGATTAAAGAACCACCCCAAGTTAAACCTTTACCAGTTAAAACACCTTCCCAACTGTTTTTGTAAAGTTTGTAGGCACCGAATAAGTAACCGATTTCACGACCACCAGTACCAATATCACCAGCTGGAACATCAGTATCTTGGGAAATGTGGCGAGAAAGTTCTCTCATGAAAGAGTAACAGAATCTTCTAATTTCATTGTCTGATTTACCCTTTGGGTTGAAATCAGAACCACCTTTACCACCACCAATGTTTAAACCGGTCAAAGCGTTCTTGAAGATTTGTTCAAAACCTAAAAATTTCAAGATTGATAAGTTGACAGATGGATGTAATCTTAAACCACCTTTGTATGGACCTAAAGCTGAGTTGAATTGAACTCTGTAACCTCTGTTGACTTGGATTTCACCTTTGTCATTTTCCCAAGTAACTCTGAATTGGATGATTCTTTCTGGGATAGAAACAACATCAACAACTCTTTCGTATTTTGGATGTTTTTGGAACAAAGTTGAGTCTTTCAAAGTAGAGACTAATTCGTTGTAAGCTTGTTCGAATTCTGGTTCTGATGGTTGGACCATTGTGATGTGTATGTATAGATGGATCTATGTGGATCACGATAGATGGTTCAATTTCACTTGTGAAAGAATTTGAAAAGCTTTTATATAATTTTCATAATTTTTCAACTGTCGATGTCTGATATTTACGTTTCTTTTCGTTTCTCGGTTTTAACTTTGAGAAGACCGCACTTGTCGATGTGATTGGCCAGAGATTAAAAAAAGCGATTCAGAATCTGAATATCGCCGGAAAAGGATTGGTTCACGACACAAGTCCACCTGAAAGAAGAAAAGAAGTTGGAAAATATTGGTGAGCATCATGGTGATTTGTGTTGATTAGATGGAAATGTTTTGACCGTATACCGTACTACAGTACCTATTGTTGTGGATATTACTTCAATCCCACGAGAGATTGAGAAGGTCATTTATTGCAAAGCATGTCCCGTTAGATTGAGCATTCAACTCATAATATCTTGCAAACTGATTGGAATTTAACCACTATAGGAAAACATCTCCCTTCCTAAGTACGCCTTTCTCAACAATAGCATTGTATAACTACAAAAGGGTGCTCTGTCCCTCATTTTTTGAAAGGCAAGAGAAGTCTTTATTCTCAATCAGATCAATTAACATCGAAATATTGAAACCTTAATGCTGGTTTATTGTTCGACATTGACTTCGAATACTTGAGATCAAAATGTTGAAGATTTTTCATCGAATCGCTCAACTACGAAGGCTTGAATACAAATCTACAACTTCCCCATGAATGACCAAACAATGCATCGCACAATGGTCCGCTTCTTATCAGTGCACCAGCATTTAGCCAAATCAGCTCCTCACGTATCGTAGTACAGTATCTACACAATTGTTGAAGCCTCGAGAATTGGAACTTGGAAGCAGCTCTCGTTTTTCGCCAGTGGAATTCTTCAAGTTTCCTATTCCTGTTGCAAATTACAATTTGGCGAAAAAAAAAAGTCTGCTAGCGAAAAATTTTGGGTGTACAACCAGCTAACGCCGGAGTCTTATTGGCCACAGTGGTGTAATCGATAAGGGCATGCCCAGCACGCAGGACTCCTAGGACCTATTGCTTTTATAATTCCCCATCATATCCATAAATAAAGCTATCTTTGACTTCATTTTGTACTGTTTCTTCTACACTCTTTCACCATCTGTTGTATTCCTTTTTGATTTGATTATGACTCGGATTTGTACTTTTTATTCAACTTTAATTTGCACAACGCCGATTTCTTGCAGCCGGCTTTAGCCCTCGCGAAAGCATCTCTTATCGCGCAAATCGCTTCGGAATTAGTAGTTTTTATGCCAATTCGCGATACATTCACGTATTTTGGCGTTCATGGTATTCAACGAGATCATCTTTATCACCAATTGATCTAATCTACACAAAGGAAGGGTCCTTTTGTGGCATTAACTCTTCGTATTCCTTTTTAATTACATACTTTTACCTGCGTCCTCAACGTTCTTCCCCATGATCAAAATTATCCAGTTCAAAATCCGTTGCAAAATTACCTTCAGCATCAGGATTAGGCTCTGAACCTGAGACTGATGCGTATTTTGAAAGATCTATTCTGTTTGAGGAGGTTAAATTCAAAAACAGTTCGAGAAGTAGAAGAAACCATAGATAAATCAAAAAAGCAGCTGATGTGACAACCATAATATAAGAACTATGATCAGCTTCAAGTCTCAACACTAACCTCAACTGTTCTTCATTGGCAGCCATGAACAAAACACCAGATTCAATCAAGCAAAATGATGGTAAATATTGAAACGACATAATTTTACCTGGGATTGATCTGGCATCTTTCAATAGAAATGAAATCTCAGCAATTCTGATAGCACCACCAAGCATTAAGGATAAGCCAAACATGTAATGGACTTTTGTACTGATAGCCAAATGCTGGTTATGTTCAGACATAGCCCACCCAGTATAAATTAATAACAACGATGGAATCCACGTTCTTCTTCCACCTCTTCCTAAATATAATCCCAATAAACCACCACTCCACCAAATAATACCCATAGCAGTATGTTGATAATCACCATGGCCCCAGCCTTCTCTACCCCATCTATGTTCAGTAAAAGTATTAACAATACCCCAAACTGTCATTACTAAACTATCATAAAAATCTTGAGAGTTTCTGTGCTTTGTTTCCCTAATTCTTGGGATCACTAAAATTAAGGCATAAACTAACCCATAACCAATAAATGCTGTTCCCATAATACCATGTGCCAGACATTGACCTGTATGAATCTCTCTGCAAAATCCAAACATAGAAACAGGTGCTAGACAACTTTTAACCCAACCTGTTAGTGTCAATAAGACACTCAATGTTCTATGAATGATTCTCACTGATTTCTCTCCCAATTTAGCAATCCAATGGAATTCTTTCTTTGTTTCGCCATTTTTATTCATGAACCAATTAGCACCAGAATTCATAGATCCAATAAACACGGTCAAGGCATTTAAAAAAAGTAAAAACCAAGCAGTACCACGACTTGTTCTATCTTCATGCCCATCACCATCTGGAAATCTTAAGAATAAAGCTTCAATGACAGCATAAACTAATGAAACAATTTGTAAAAAGAAAGCTGTATGGACTTTTTCTGCAAATACAAGAGTTGTTGATATTGAAGGAAGGATTAAAAGTAATGCTAATGTCATTAACCAGTGGAACGTTTTCGATCCCGCATTTGTTATGTTTGGTCTTGTAAATTCTTCTGAATCGTCCATGTCCATGGATCCTGCCACGGAGCATATGAAGGAGGCTAAAATCAACAACTGGGCTCGAAGCGACATCTCTGGAACCTCTTCTCTTTGAATTGATCGTTGTTGATTCTTGATAAACACGTTAAAGAGTTTACTCGGTAAGGTGATTTTCGAGCCTTGACACTTTCAAAAGCTTGAATATTCGCGATACACGGGATTTGGCTGATGGCTGTGGTGAGCTCGGCCTTACAAGGAAACTTGAAAAAAAAACTATCCATTCTATAACTTTTTATAGGTTAACTATTTCTTTGTGTCATCATCTTTCTTTGAATCATCGTTTTTGGAATCATCTTTTTTTGAATCATCAGTTTTTGTGATTTCATCTTCTGATTCTATTTCAAAACTGTCATCTCTGCGTAAATGTTCATTTGGAAAACTTTGATTCAATCTTGAATTTGCATTAGCTTCAACATCATCATCACTTAATCTATTATCCAAATTGAAATCTGAATCTGAATCGGTATCTTCTGGATTTATAATATCAAATTCATATTGTTCTCTTCTTCTTGTAATCTTTGATGCAAATTTCTTGTAATAAACCAATAATATAACAAACCCAATTACAATCAAAATGAAAAAGTATTCAGCATAATGGGTTGGTTCATGTCTATATTGACCGTTATTGTTTTCGTTGTTGTTCTGTTTGTTATCGGTGGAAGTTGGTTGTGGCTCTGAGGAAGAAGTTGATGGTAATGAAGATGAAGAAATTGATGAGCTGAGTGAGGAGCTTGATAAAATTAAAGAAGAGCTTGATGATAAGCTGGATGAAGAAACACTGGCCTCATTATTTTCATCAGTAACATCTCTTTTTTGGCCGAAAAATTGAACATTAAAGTTTTTCAAATTGACCTTGTTTTCCTGATCATGATTTTTGACTCTTAATTTCCAGACACCATTGTGATTTGTATCACCCCAATGAGCAACGGACATGAATTTCCAGTCCTGGAACCCTTCATTTGATCTATCTAATCTTCTGACAACACCCAAATGTGAAACAACATTACTTGGAGAAACTAAATCAACAGAAACTTGACCTCTGATAGTGGTATCCATATTCAAATTCAAAATAATATGTTCCAAATTTTGAAAATCTTTCAATAATTCACTTTTGATTTCAAATTCATGTTCCACGGTTTGGTCAAATTCAACATTTTTGTTTGGTTGGACAACATCAGTAGTGACATTAATTTGATCGTTAACATTTTTCCAAGTTTTAGCTAAATCAACAACTTTACCAGCATCTAATTTACCATAACCATAACGATGAGAGTATCTACCCAATGCGGCGTCTTGCCATTCACCATCTTTTTCATTAACAACAACAGAACTGTGAATAGTCAGGTACTGAACATCTCTCCAGGTCAAATTAGGATTAGCTTCAAGAACCAAAGCATAAACACCAACGGCAATTGGTGCAGCAGCTGAAGTACCACCATGAGTATTAGCACATTTGTCATGTATATCAGTTGTATGAATGTGTTCACCAGAACCTGAAGTATAAGTGACAACTAAAACAGCAGAACAAGCTTCAGAATATGGTGGATGTAAACCTTTATGATCAATAGCACCAACAGTGATGGAATAAATACTGTTTGTATAACCATCATAATTACAATTATCACCGTGTAATCCACCGTTACCACTTGCAAAGACATAGACAGCACCTTTACCATCTCTTCCTTCTTTGATACCTCTAACTAAAGCATTCTTAACCATTGAATCCGGTGCTTGCATAGCTCTTCCATCATCTGGTGGACCCCATGAACAAGAATAAATATCATTAACATCTAATCCATAAACTAAAGAAGCAGCTTCAGCTTCAGATGTGATTTCACCAGATAAGATTCTAATACCTGAAACTTTTGAATCGTAAGCAACACCAACACCACAAACATCATTCCTCACTGCTGCAATTTCACCAGCACATCTTGTTCCGTGGTAATCATCCAACAGTCTTGGCTTTGGGAATGGGTTATTGTTATTGAAATCATAAGAACCTTTAGCACAGAAATTTTCATTTAAATCTGTACTTTCGAAATCTAACCCATCATCAACAATAGCTGCAGTGACACCTTCACCTGTTATATTTTGAGCCCAAACTCCAGTGACATTTATATCATTCCCTGGGAAGCTTGGATTTATTAAATGCCATTGTTTTGAGAATAAAGGATCTTCAATGCCAAAATGGTCTCTAGCTTCATAAATAGGTTCCAGTGATGAATCGTAAGGTGGCACAGGTACAGCACCAATTGGAACTGGTGCTCTTCTTTCTAATTTTTTCAATGGTAAACGATGTATAGACTTGATTCCATGATTTTCTATTAGATCCTTGAACTCTAATACTTGTCTTTTCTGTAAGTTGTGTTGTTTAATTTCTTGATCATTATTCACGTCAAATATAACATCATTTGAGGTTTTCGATATAGAAAACACATGATGATCAGGATTTCCTCTAGCTGGATGTTCATATGACCAGGTTGGGAATTTGTCAAGTATATTATCTATGCTAATCGTGTTTGGTATCTCTATAGCAAAATAATCTTTGATATCATGATCTTTGTCTGGTACAGATTGGGAATGTGAAACCCGTATGATGGCCAGTAGCACAGATGTTATAAACTTTAGCTTCATTATAATGATAAATGTGTAAATGAATGGAGCTTTGATTTAGAAGACTCTATTACTTGAGAATATGAAAGGAATGGGTATTATTGATGATGACAGGTGTGTAATAATAAATCAGGGGAATTAAAACGTTGGAATTCACCGCGTCAACAGCGATAAAATGGAGATCTCTGTCAGCTTAAATGTTAACCACCGAAATGAGGTACTGTACTTTGTTATAAAACAAGCGTTCTCTAGGGACCCTCAATTCACTTTTCCCACAACAGCTATGGTTTTTGAGGACGGTTTCAAGTTTTTTAATTGGCGACAGAATCAGGTAAAAAGAAAAAAATTAAAAAAAAAACATAGGTGTGACATAAGCACTTATGTAAGAAATTGATTATAAGCTACAAATGTATTAAAGCATTAAAAAGGACATTAATTTTTATAAAATCATGCTGAAGTTTCTCTACCACAGACAGCTAAGGCTCCCATTGGATCCCATAATGGCAAGACAATTGGTTCTTTATCCAATAATGCCTTGTGTTCTTCAATTTCATCAATATCAACGACAATTTGGTAACAATATTGTTCAAAATAGTCTTGAGTCATGATGTAGTAACCATCAATACCACTATCTTTACCCCATGAGTTTTCCACCCTGTAACGAACTGGTTTACCATTGTCATCAACTGAAACACCAGTGATCAACATAGCATGTGTCATTAATGATTCATGATACAAGACTCTTGAAGCTTTTGATTGACCATTTTCGAAACCAATCAATTTATAATCAAACAAGTCAACATCCATGATACCTTTCTTTTTATTCATGTATTTTGGAGTATGAGAACCAAAGAAAACTGGTTTGTTGGCTTTAATTCTTTTAACAATCAATGATGAAAGAGTATCGTTGTCCAAATTTAAGTATTCAACTTCTCTACCTTTTGAAACATTGTTCAAATGCTCAATTTTAACTTTTGAGTTGTATGGGTTTCTTGGATCATTGATTAAAGAAATTGGTTTTGAATAATCAAACTTAACATACTCTTTCAAGAAATCTAATGGGGTTGAAGTTAATTTTTGGTATTTTTTATCCTTGTCATAGTATTCAAAAGTGAATTGTTCAGTTGGTTGAGGTGGGACACCGAGGAAAATGGTTAAGTATTTGTAAATTTCTTTAACTTGATCATTTTTAACTTTTTCAATTTCAGCTTCTGAAGCTTTATCTTTAACTAAATTTCTCAAAATTTCAGCAAATTCTCTAAGCTTAGTGGTGATCAATTCATTCAATTTTCTTGAAGCAGTTGAAGAATAAACATCTGGATATTGATCTTGTGGAATGACACCATATTTTTCAATCAAGTTTAAAAACATGGTGAATTGACCACCATCATTAACTGGAGCTGATAATAATTCTTGGATTAATCTTGAATTGACATCTTCACCAGCTGTCTCCAAAATTTTATCCAAAAAATAGTTTGATTTCTCCAATTTGTCATAAAAGAACAAGTAATTTTGAGACAGTTGAAACTCTTTCAAATTTAAATTCTTAGCAGCCAAAATTCTCAAAATATTGGTTGAAGCAAATAACCAACATCTACCACTTGCCTTCTGGTTTGTCACTGGGGCACCTTCAGCTTCAATAACATGGGTGAAAACATTTGGAAGTTTAGTCTTTGAGCTAATTAAAAGGTCATCAACATTGTATTGTTGTAAAGTTGAAGAAGCCAATTGATATTGGACATCTTGATCGAATTCTTGTTGCCAGTTTTGTAAGTCTTTAACACTGAGAGTCATGATTGTGGATGAATAGTTGATTGATGTATAAGTGAATCCTCCAGGGTGTCATTTGTCTTTATATATGGATTTTGGTTCTGATCGGTGTACTATTAGGGCACTTCCAGTGCCTCTAACCACGGCTTCAGGTGACCGGCCTTACATACAAATACAGTAAAAAGTAAGATAGGGCCATTTGTATAAGGAAGGATACATAACTAATACTATGAGTTTGACTCTGCAAACATCTGTTTATGTTGGGCTCAGCCATTCAGTTGACTTCGTTGTGTATGTTGTTGGTGTATTAGTCAATTTTAGTCTTCTTTAGTGAATCGATTATCTTCAATTACTTGTTCGTCTTCAACCTCAATGGTCTATGAGCTACTCTGATATAAGCTAATAGATCACCTTCAATTGAGATCTGGGAGTGCAGAGTTCCTAGAAAATAACTAGTTATCCTTAGATTCATTGACTTTCAACAGTCTAGATGTGTCGAAATCAAGATATTCACCACTGAATGTGACGTGTACCTCAAATATTACCAGCTAGCAGTTGGACACGTCATGATTCAAATCACCAGCCGTAAGATTTGACCACTCAATAAATCCTACATGTAGTACTTAGTGACTAGGCCATTCTTCCTTGGTTTTGAAATGATAAATGAATGGCATGGACTCTTTTAAATGCTTTGAACAATTACTTCTTGTCGTTTGACTGATACAAACTCAATTACAAAAGTATTCTTTCAAACTTCCTCTTCCACTTCTGCCTTCAAACCTTTCATTCTCTTCTGCTTTCCACTTTCCACTATCACCCACTCCATCACTAATTCCCAGTATAAATATCAATTACAACCACTCTCATCATTTCTACCACTCACAAGCCAGAGATTACTAAAAATCTTATCATCATTCGAATTCGCGGAAAATAAAATCAAAAAAAAAAAATCTGACTAAGATCATTTTACCAATCTCATCGCAATTACAAATTTGATTAAAACTTTCAATCTTTAAAACTCTTCATCACTTTTTGCTAAGAAGAAAAAAACTAGCTGATACATAATGAGTGCTATTTTATCAGATGCTGACTTGAATGACTTCATAAGCCCCGGGTTAGCATGTATAAAGCCTGCTGGTGAAGTACGAGCCAATAATTCAAATGTTGATGATGGTGCTTTTGAAATTCAAATAGGTTCAAATGGTGAAGCTCTTGAAGTTTCTGTGGATGATGGTACTGTTAAAGACCTACCCAGTGCTAGTATATCTTTGCAAGATTGTTTAGCATGTAGTGGGTGTATTACATCTGCTGAAGAGGTGTTGTTGGCAAAACAAACTCATACTATATTACTGGAAGAGTTGAATCAGAATTTAGATGACAAGATATTTGCAATGAGTGTTAGTCATCAGGCTAGAGTTTCATTAAGTGCATTTCTGAATATACCCATTATCAAAGTTGATGAATTATTGATGAATGTTTTCAGTGAGAAATATGGGTTTAAATTTGTTGTTGGTACAGAATTGGCAAGATTATTATCAATAGCAAAGACAAATAACGAATTAATTCAAAACAAATTACAAGGAAGTTCAAAAGTTAATCTTTCGTGTATCTGTCCTGGGTTTGTCTTGTATGTTGAAAAGACAAAACCTGAAATATTACCATATTTATTGAATGTTAAATCTCCACAACAAATCACAGGATTATTAATGAAGACTTTAATTTCAAGACAAATGAATACAACACCAGATAAGATTTATCACCTTTCCATTATGCCATGTTTCGATAAGAAATTAGAAGCTGCAAGACCAGAAGAATCATCATCAGACTCCACAATTGATGTTGATTGTGTAATCACTCCAAAAGAACTAATAGAACTATTCAAATCAGAAAACATCAACATTTTAGACTATATTACCAAATCACAAGAATCACCAACATCACTTTACTCACAAGCTGCACCACAACACTGGCCATTCCCTATTGAATCCTGGGACTCTAATTTTGGTTCACCAAGTGGTGGATATGCTCAAAACTACATCATTGCATTACAATCATATTATACAACACAGGGAATAGATTCAAAAATAAAAGAGATCAAAGGTAAGAATAGTGATGTTTTAGAATTTCAATTAATAGATTCTCAAGGAACAAAATTAGGATCTTCAGCTATTGTTAATGGTTTTAGAAATATTCAAAATCTAGTACGGAAACTAAAACCAAGTGGTCGTGTTAAAGTTGGATCTGGTAACGCACTTACATCTCGTCGTAAAGCACGTTTGCAACGTGGTGGTGATAGTGGCGTTAATGAAGAAACTGCTGATCCTGCAAGTTGTGATTATGTTGAAGTTATGGCATGTCCTGGAGGTTGTATTAATGGTGGTGGTTTGAATGGACCTGTTGAAAATTCCATCGCAAACAATAAAGAATTCTTAAGTTTGATGGTGGAGAAATACGAAAATGAATTGAAATTAGTTGATAAATTGAATGATGATGTTAGTTTACAACAATTTCTTGAGAATTTCAAACAAGAGTTTGGAATAGAGGATAAAAGAATTTTCAACTACAAGTTGAATGTGATTGAGAAATCTAATGATATTTTAACAGCTGGTAATAATTGGTAATATAGAGAACATGCATTTAGGTCCAAAATAACTTATTATTTATTGACTTTCTTACGTTATTGTAGTTATTTTGCACCCGTGTTGTTTTGGCAGACAAATCAGTAGGAGGCGTTCTGGCGACCAAACGACGTAACATCAAAACATGAAAAGCGCGTCAAACTAATCAGTTTTAACGGATTGAAGACTACATTATTCATTTCCAAATAGATACTAATATACATTTGTCATTAAGACTAAAACCAGATATTAAACCATAAATAAAACCCATAACAATTCATGAAAAAACAAAAAATAATCAACTCCAATGTTTTCTTTGATAAGGATTGAATTTCCATTAACTCATCTTCATCAAAAGAAAAACCCAATCAATTAACTTAAGCTGAAGTTGATGAAGAGTATTTGGTAACAGCTCTGGTACCTTCTGAAACAGCATGTTTAGCTAATTCACCTGGTAAGATCAATCTAACAGCAGTTTGAATTTCTCTAGCAGAGATGGTTGATTTTTTGTTGTAAGCAGCTAATTTTGAAGCTTCAGTAGCAATTCTTTCAAAGATATCGTTAACAAAAGAGTTCATAATAGACATAGCTTTTTGGGAAATACCGGTATCTGGATGGGTTTGTTTTAAAACTTTGTAAATGTATGAAGCATAAGTTTCTTTTCTAGCTTTTGTTCTCTTTTTTGGAGCATCAGTAGAAGATGAAGTCTTTTTAGCAGCTGGTTTCTTTTCAGCTGGAGCTTTGGAAGCAGGTTTCTTTTCAGCTTTTGGTGCCATTGTGATAATATGTGTGTGGTTGTTGTTTGTGATAAACGTGTAGAAAACTAAAAATGTAGAGATGGGAAACAGGAATTCAGGTTGTTTATATAGTGATATGACCCAACCTGTTATTGTTCCCTTGACATAAAGCCCAACTCCAAAACCAAAACAAATTCAAACTGATCCCACATCCCGTGCCACAAGTTACACACCAGTGCTTAACTATGGCGAACACATAGTTAACAAATTCCACCCCCGTGTAAATCTGAGCCTTGGGAGTTTCCTAATCGGGACGAAAACGACCTGGCAGTAGTTAACAAAATCAATTTTTCTCTACAAAAACGAAATGCTCGCGATCGAAATTAGATCGTTACAACCGTTCCAGTTTTTACCACACACCCATGAAAATCTCAGCACTGGCAAACACAACGACGCCCTGTGATTGGCCGATATCTCGACAACAAGAGCACTTTTGGCAAATCACCTCATCGTTGCTTGCAAAATAGGGGCAATCGTGGAATTTGCCACCAAGACTCTGTGTAAAATTGAAAACAAACAAAGAAACCATACAAAATTATATAAACTCGTGATTTTCCCATAATTTGTATCAACAACAACAATTTCAATAAGATTATAGATTCTCTTCTATTCAATTCAATCAAATAACTATTATTATACAAAATGTCTGGTGGTAAAGGTGGTAAAGCCGGTTCTTCTGAAAAAGCTTCTCAATCAAGATCAGCTAAAGCTGGTTTAACTTTCCCAGTTGGTAGAGTTCATCGTTTGTTGAGAAAAGGTAACTATGCTCAACGTGTTGGTTCAGGTGCTCCAGTTTATTTAACTGCTGTTTTAGAATATTTAGCTGCTGAAATTTTAGAATTAGCTGGTAACGCTGCTAGAGATAACAAAAAAACACGTATCATTCCAAGACATTTACAATTGGCCATCAGAAATGATGAAGAATTAAACAAATTATTGGGTCATGTTACTATTGCTCAAGGTGGTGTTTTACCAAACATTCACCAAAACTTGTTGCCAAAAAAATCAACCAAAGGTGCAAAAGCTTCTCAAGAATTATAATAAATTTAAAGAATATGATTTTAAGTTAACTTTTTTTGGTTTTTTAATGAGTGGTTATGGTTTTCAAATTTGGTTTTTATTCAGTTTATCAAGAATCATTTATATGATTCAATGTTGTGTACATTAGGTTTTAATTTTAAAGTAATTTATTCGGGTTAATAAACTTGAGTGTAAAACTCGTATCGTAAGCTGAAGTATTTGAGATTTACTTTCTGGTTACTATTGAGCCAAAGCTTGAACTTTGTTATCCACCAGTTGTATTCAAACTTGTTCTGAATTGATGTACAAATATAGAAGACTGTCTATTGATTCATCATGTAAAACAAACAAACACAAGTGACACAAAAAAAAATTTAAATGGTGATTATATAATTTTAACGTGTATGATTACGTAATATACTTTTTGATTTCAATAAATTAGCACTAATTCATTGGAAAATGACGCAATAACTCCATAAAAAAAGCTTCATAGTTTCAAGCCTATATTTCAACTTCTGTGATGTTTTGAACTATAGTTTCTTAAGAAAAAAATTTTAAAATTTTAAAGTGTAATTTTTTAGCAAATTTTGAAGCTAAAATAAAGAATCATAGATTGATAAAAATCTTTGAAATTAATTTTTTTTTAAAAACTTCGATATCGATAAATAAACTAATATAATTTAGAAGATCGCTTAAATTTAAGTACTCCACCTCAATTTCAGGTATTGTTTAGTGCTTCAATCTGAAGATAATTTAGTTTTAATAATTATTTGGTTACATAAGTAATTACGTAATCAATATCAGCTGAAGTACAATTTTATGTGAAGCTTTCTCAAATCCTACGATAAAATAGACAAAGAGATTATTATGCAATTTCTTAAACTATAAAAATACTAATCCACATCCCAAAGTTCATCGTGTTCATCCTCTGATTCCTGTGCTGGAGCTCTTGGTTCAGGGGCTCTTGGTTCAGGAGCTCTTGGTTGAGTAGTTCTTGGTTGAGGTGCTGATCTTGGTTGAGAAGCTCTTGGTTGAACTACTGGCTCAGCATTTCTGTTTTGGAGATCACTTAAACTAGCTGGATTTGAAGGCGTGAAAACCCTTTGAGTTGAAGCACCTGTATTTTCACCATTTCTATTGCGAATCTCCTGTTGTTGATTATGAAACTCCGCTATTCTAGTGCCTTGGCGATTCAACATTTCAACAACATTATCAGTATCTGCTCCCATTGCTTGTAACATGGAGAATAGTGGTGTCAACCCTTCTCTCGCAATGTTTGGGCTTATCCCTGGTGGAATCACTCCATGTGGATCAACTGGATCAAAGTGTTCATCTTCATCTTCATCTTCATCTTCATCTTCATCTTCATCTTCATCTTCATAATCATCTTCAGAATCATGTTCATGCCCAAGGTTACGATCATAATAATGTTCGTCTTCATCTTCATCTTCATCGTCATCATCATCGTCATCGTCATCATAATCACTATGGAAATAATTATGTTCATAACGTTCTCCATCAAGGTCATAACCTTCACCAGCACCTAACCCATCAAAAGCAGCCATCATTCTCAAGAATTCTGCAACATTTCCTGGACTTTCATTAACGTTTGATGTCATAAACTGGCGAATCATTTCAGGACCAATACCCTCGCCCTCACTCTCCTCGTCATCTTCTGGATTAGCATGCGATGTGTACTGAGCATTTGAATCATAGATCTCAACACCTTCACCGAAAAAACCAGTATCATGGTCCAAATATTCAGAATCCACATCGAAGCCTTGTCTTGCAAGCATGTCATCGACAGCATCAGTAGTGAATGGGTTGAATCTTCTCAATGTTGTTGATCCTGATTTTTTCAAGAATGGGGTAGGCTCAAATTTCATTTTTTTAGGATCAAAACTTTTCATAAAGAGTCCAATCCCAATATTTTCACAAATTACATCAAAAACTCGAGGCAAACATTGACCATCAACAATCACACGATTCTTGGAAATATAATGTCTTCCAGATGTAGCAAGACGATAAACTAAATCAGGGTTTTCAGGATTAAAAGTGTATTGATACCCTAATATGACACCAAAATCACCTTTAAAGTCATTATAAATTTCATCATAACAAGTGTCACCAGGTTTAAACCTTTGTGAAACCGATTTTTTAATATCTTCTGGAACATTGTATCTCAAATCCAAACTGTCTTGAAAGTTAAAGTAATCCTTCTTGACATATCGTTGATATTGACCTAATGGCATATCATGGAAAACTTTCTTGTTATGAATAAGTGGTAAATCAAATGGGAATTGTTTAGAAAGAGCAGCAGCAAAACCTTGACTTGTATGCTTCTTGAACATACCGTCTTGAGCAACTCCAAAATAGACACTCTTTCTAAATTTTTTACCACTTGATTGAACAAACCAATAATAGTCATAAAGTGCTTGATGATACATTTCACTATATTCACTACTTGTAATTGGATATAACTTAGAAAGCGGTTTATTCTCCTCATCCTGCTTTAATTTTGATTCAAATAGCTGGAAATTTTGTGTATACATCCCAATTTGGTTGGCAAGTTCCATTGGCTTTAAAATTCGACCAACAGAACTTTCAGTTGCATGCTCTAATTGTCTAAACGTTTGTAACAATGAACCAGCTTTGACACAATTATAAGTAATATCCCTGAATGTATGGTTATGCATTACAGGTCCTGTTATCCAAACGTAGTCAAAATCCGAAGACACACCAACACGCAAGATATAAGCTGGAATTTTCCCTGATTCAATGTATTTATGCTCCATAATCTGAACCGGGATGTTGAAATCACGAGCAATTCTTTCAACAATAGCAATAGCTGTAATAGGATGACCCAAAACTTCTTTAGCATAAAGCCTGACAATTGAGTTATCTTCACTAGTATCTCCCCTTGCCAAAGGAGAATCAAGACCATGTAAAACACTTGTGACCGATCTGTAAATTATTGCAACTTTCTCTCCAATTGGTGCTTTCTTAAACTTTGGATCCTTTTGTGCTTCCTTTCTGATTGTTTCCAAAGTTCTTTCTCTATAAGGTGCCGCGTCTTCAAATCCAGGATCAAAATGACTTAAATTGTACAACGTTTCTTCATAGGTGGTTGACACACTTGTATATGGTGAAGTACCTTTTGCAACACAACGATCAATAGTTTCATAGGCCGTGGCACGACGAATTGACCTTAGCAATGCAGTAGCAAAGTAACGTACTGAAAGTCTGAATTTGTTCTTGGGGTCCTTTCTGATTCTATTCAAGACTGGTGTAACTAGATTTTTCTTTTGGACTATTTTCCAACATTCATTGAACACATAATCACTTGAATCTGATTCCACAATTTGATCTAGAATCTTAACAACACCATGATCGATCCTCATTCTTGTGTTGAAATATTGACAATAATTGGTATTATCATCCACTTTATCATTTCGTTGATCAAATTTTGATAACCAAAGATTATGACATTCTTTTTTCCATAATGGCGACGCGTCAACACCTGACTTGATGGCCTTGCTCAATTGGCGAAGCTTAGCAGCTTCATCAGCTTTCAAGAACCCAACTATCTGGCCAATAACTTCACGGGGCAGTGAATCCAGATTGGTACCCATAATTTATCGACTGGTGATTGTTTTAAGTCGTCTAGGTGTGCTTGATGAGATCACTAACTTTTACTGTATTTTTTTTCCAAATGGGGTCCTCTCAAAGGACCAGAGTGCTTAACCACTAAGTTTGGCATAAAGACTTCATTTCTACAAAATTAACCTATCGTAATCATTAGTCGTTAAATTCAAGGGTATGTAAAATGATTGCTCTATAGATTTGGATATAATTTCAGTAGATGCTTTGTTGGGACAAATTTATTTTCAGCTTTATCGAAATGAGTGAAAAACATTCCTATCCATCCTTCTCTTGTGACAAAATGGTAAATATCCTGACTCACATTTTTAATTTTTCTTATACTATTACTCTCATAGATTGTTAAATCTCCATAATCTGTAAAAGTGTTGTAATAAACGGAGCCACCGGCCAAGCATTTGCGACCAAAAATAATACCATATTTTGCAGAACGCTCGTGATAAATCACATCTCCAATTTGATAAACTTCTGTGGAGTCTTCTCTCGTCTCTGGCTGAAGATGGAATCCCTGAAATTTGTAATAATCATTAGCTATCGCTTTCTTGACAGGCTCAATGCTAAAAAACTCCTGGAAGCATAAATGCGATTGAGTATGTATCAAATCAAATGGCATTGATCTTGACACAATCTCAACAAAGTTTTTGGATAGCATCTGATCATTAGCACAGTTGGCCGCAACTGGAGAAAATGGTGAGAATTCAACACCTTGTAATACTCCTCTAACGTACATATTGAACATCAAATTGATATCAGGGACGGCACCAATTTGTGAAGAGCGATATATTTTATCATATAAGGAAGCATCAAACATTGTGTATAAGGGATCATGACGGCTATCAAATATGAATCCAATGAGGTAATTCAATGTGACTGGGGCCAAAAATTTATCCAAATCCTCAGATGAGAGTCTAATGGTTCTCAAAACATGAGCCCGACTATAGACTTTTGCCCTATCTCCATCCAAAAGGGCATAAGAGTATCCTGTATTGAACGTTTTATCTTCAATGATGAAAAATGATTTTGTCAATACTGTCTTGATATCAAAATATGAAGCAATCTTTTGAATTATTGACTGGAATATCAATCCATCACCATCAACCTCTCCAGCATAAACTCTTAAAATAGAATTATCTTCAAGACAATTTATTCCCTTGACTATTGAGCACTTTTGAACAACATTTAGAAAGACTGATCTAATCAACAAAACCTTAAAACTTGCCGGTGACGTCTCTTTATAAGATGGATGACACTGAACCTTCTCTATAACTTCCTCTATCACGGATTTTCTAAAGGGCAATAAATCATCAAAAGCAGGATCAATATAGCTCATTTGAAAGAAGAATTCTTCAGCAGAAGTGACTGTATTCAAAGAGCTGGATTTCAAAGCATCAATTGCACGGAATGCTTCAGAATGCCTTATAGACATTAACAACACAAATGCATAGTACCTCACGGATAAATCACTTTTAAATTGTCTCAACTCATTCAAAATGGGCACAGCTCTGTAATTCATTCTTATGATACTCCAACCAATTTCAAAAATCTCATTTGGGTCTTCTGATCTTGCCATCTTGGTGATTAGCTTTTGAACTTTCAAGTCATTGCGATTTCGATTTCTATAATATGTACAGCAATCTTGCACCTCTTTCAACATGACCGAGGGCTGGTCATCTATTGAAAACCATCTGGCCTGTGAGAGGGACCTCCAGATTCTATTTGATGAAAATACTTGATATAGTTGCCTATTGACAGACCTGAGGCTGAAAATGTCCTTAATATCTAGCAGTTCTGCAACTTCATACCATGTGTCTGCAGATAGTGATAGCAAGCCACATCTCATGATGGATAGCCAGGCTCAGCGAGACACTTGCAATTGTTTGAAGTTGAGGTTAAGAAAAGTCAGATCGATAACATTTTTGTTTTTGTTTTTGTTTGAGATTTTCGCGACTATAAGTAGGCTACATTATTCCAAAAACATAATCATAAAGTTTTATAGTTTAATCCTCAAGATATGAAAGGGAAGATTCATACAGCAAACGCTCAGTTGGTACAAATCTTTTCTGCTTGTTGTCATACCGATGAAAGAAAGGTCCCATGTACTTTTGATCCTCCAAAAACATCCACATTTCACTTTCTTTCGGATTCTTGTTAAGCACCACCTCGTCGACACCTATAAAATCATCATTTCCAATGTAAAGGATGTATAAGGGACCAGAAGTTTCTTTATTGTAAAAAGCATGACATATAACACCAACGGTTCCCTCATTATCGTATACGATGTCACCTAATCTGAATTCAATGTTTATATTAAGTTCTTCCAAAAGTGAGCCCTCACTGTCATCATCACAAAGATTCATTTTTTCAAAATCATAGAAGAATGCATCTTGTATGGACATGTTTAAATCATCGATCGGATTTTCGAAAAAGCTGGACTCTCTGATCAAAATATATGTAAGTGGCATATCCCCAAATACCATTCTGGGAAGAGTTAAAGTAATAAGTGAGTCTATTCCTTGTAAATCTGAAGGTGTGTGCATCCAATAATGAAATGCAACTGTGAAGAAAGTAGGCGGCAACTCAATTCTAGATGATGGATAAACTTCATCTCTGTTCATATCCACCTCCCCTTCCATAAGCTGAATTCGTAAAGAATCTGTTTCCCCTGGAGCAAGCACGGCATTTATGAGAAAATCAGATTGAATAGGACTTGAAATCTTATTCATTTGTAACGCATCTAAATGCAAAGAGCTGAGAAGTCCGAGGAATTCATCATGTGTCAGGATTTCAATATCATGTAGCGACAGCATTTGAACGTACAGCTTTTGATTTGATTGGCCATTTCCTGGAAAGATGAGAAATCCCGGTGAAAGTTCTGATTTTATTTCTAGCAAACTGAGAATTTTCTGGTATATTGCAATCTGATAAATAGTGGGTCCTGCAGTTTCACCAGCGTAGAGCCTCATAATACTTTTATCCTCTTCACTGTCATAAAATGCATATTCATGAAACTTTACCGTTTTAATAAAACTGGAATGAACCAATGAAATCATAGACCTCAAATAATCGGGAGATTCTTTGGATAATTCAGCTTGCTTGACCAATTTCACCACTTCATTTAAAACTTTGTTTCTGTGCGGTAGTAATTTATCAAACGCAGGATCCAAGTGACACAATTTGAACACTAAATCTTCTGGCAGCTCATTCAAAGAGGAATCGTTTTGGTGATTGATTTTCTCATAATATTCATCGATTGTATCAAACGCCACGGAATGTCTTCTTGCCATTAAGAACTGAATAGCATAATATCTCAATGTCAATTCCTCATACTGATCCACCAACTTCAAAGCTATTGGAATAAAAGCGTCACCGTGATCAATAATATCCTCCATCTCATCGAAAATTTCAAGGCCATCTGTCATTTTCGTTACATCCTGTAATCTTTGCAAGAGATATTGATCAATCTTCACACGGCGCAAACAATGTTCAAAAACATTGAATTCTTCCCAAAGATCACCAAGATCCGGTTTATCAATCGATTGGTCACCTGCTGAAAACCATCTTTTCTTAGCTTGGATTATCAACAGCTCCTTTGTTTTGAAAATAGATCGTAGTTGTCTGTTGACGTTTGCAAGTGCTAGGGAATCCTCCATATCAAGGTCATTCGAGATCTTGAGCCATAACTCTTTTGGAAGAGACCAGTCAACAGTTGGTCTTTTATCCTCCATATTCAATGATCATCCATTTGGTTATTGGGTAGTTTTGTAAACGCGTTACATTAATGGTTAAGGATCAAGATTCTCACGCGTTAATCAGAGAAATACTTGGGCTCTGTCATTAGAAGAGGGTCAACAATCGCGAAAAAAGGGCTGTGAGCTATGAGCCCAAGGCACACAATTCCTCATAAATGATCGTTCATTTGTTTTTGAAATATTCTCCTGTCTTGATGCTTGAAGTCATGGATTATGGAGCCAGAGGCACTGAGAACTGATCTTGTAGATAAAACTGATCAACTGGAGACGGTTTGAGCATCGGCTTTTGAAGGCAAACGCCTGAAGAAAAACAAACTTCAAGTGGGAGGTTGCCAAGTTTGCAATTGGCTAGAGAAGGATGTTGACCGTGAGACAATGAGTGCTTTTTAGCTCATAACTCGATGCTTGATTTAAAGAGTTGATATCTGTTTGATGCTCTTGAGTTGGTCTTCGGTTGGGCAAGTGGCTGTTGATCAAGAATTATAAGCTTCTCAAAGGGTCCTAAAGTCTAATTCATTTAGCCGCATTTATGTCGAACGGAATGAGGAATTACAACTCAAGAGGTACAATTCTTTGGATATTACTGAACTCCAAGTGGCTGGAATATTTTGCTCATGTTTGATCTAGAGACATATTCATTCAACTTGCGCAGAAAAGTGGACCCATCTTCTTCGTTAAAACAATAAAACTCAGAAGTACCTAACCTAAAAAGAAATGGGAAAAAAGGTGTGAAAAATCCATCAAAGTCCAAATTGATTCAATTGAAGATCCTTAACTGACTACAACTGGTATGGCATCCCAGATCCTAGTTCACTTGTATATATAAGAATGAATCACGTCCCATATCAGACCTTCATTGTGAAAAGAGATCTTCTTCAAACAAGTAATGTCAGAAGAATCAAAACAAATCAAAGAGATTGAACCAGATAACGCAAGTTCAACTTCAGAAAACTCCACAAACTCACAATTCCATAACGCTTGGTCCAAGTCATTATTATATACAGCATATGGTATTTTAATACTCACCACATTTGTGGAAAGTTTCGCCGCTGATTCAACAAGTTCATTGAATTCATTTGCAACTTCAAGTTTCAACAATCATTCATTAATCTCCACTGCACAAGTTGTTTATAAAATCACTGCAGTCTGTGGATATCCATTGTTAGCCAAAGTGGCTGATTTATTAGGCCGTGGTGAAGGGTTTGGACTCACTGTGCTAAGTTATGCTTTAGCTTATGTCTTGTTTGCAACTTGTAAAAATGGTGCAAGTTATGTTGTTGCAGAGATCTTTTTCGCATTGGGTCGTATTGGGTTTAAACTATTTCAACAGATTTTTTTAGCAGATACAACAACTTTGGTCAATAGAGCAATTTGGTCAACTTTACCTAATGCGATTTCTGGTGTTCCTTCGAGTTATGCTGGCTCTTATATCCAGGATGCGTTTTTGGAGAAATCTTCATGGAGATGGGCTTATGGTAGCTTTGCAATTATTTTAGGTGTTTGCACTATACCTTTAACTATAACTATGTTGATTGTGGACCATAAGGCAAAGGCCAAAGGTGTTAGAAAAAGTCCAAAAGTTTTACAAAATTTACGGGCAAAGGCTAAACATTTATTGATTTATGAATTAGATATAATTGGAGGAGTGCTACTAGTTTTCGGTATTGCTTTATTTTTCATCCCATTCACATTAACTGGGAAACAAGCACCATACAGATGGTCAGAAGGTCGTCTCATTGCCATGATTGTGGTTGGTTTTTTGATAATCGTTGGATTCATTACATGGAACGCAATGTCTAAACATAAACCATTCAAGGGAAGAATTCCATTTATCCCACCACAATCATTATCATACACCACAATCATCATCACATTAATAATGGTTGCGTTAGATGCATGTGAGAATTCAACTTTTAATACGTATTTTTCAACAGTTTTACAAGTTGGTGGTTATTACACAGCTGGACAAGCTACAAGAATTGATAATGCTAAGAAAATTTCAATTGATATTGCATCTGTGATCACTGGTGTGTTAATGAAATTTACACATAGAACCAAAGTATTTGTATTGGTTGGTGTCCCCGTTTTGATCATTGGTCATGGATTATTAGTTTGGTTTATGAATCGTGATGGTGTCATGGAACGTACAATTTTATTATATGTTATGGAGATCTTCACAGGTGTTGGTAGAGCCTTGTATCAGTGTTCATTACAAGTTACAATTCAAGGTATTGCTGGTGTTGGAGGAATAGCCATGTCTACTGGGTTTTTCTTAGCTTTTAGTATGGTTGGTTCGTTAATTGGTAATGCAATTGCTGGAGGGATTTGGAATGAATTGCTTTTAGACAAATTACAAAAATATTTACCAATTGAAGAGAAAAAGAATGCTACAAAGATTTACAAGTCTATAAATGTTGCCCTAAAGTACCAAAAAGGTTCAATAGAAAGGATTGCAATTTCTAAAGCATATAGAGAAACTATCCAAATAATAGGGTATACAGCATTGGGGATAATTGGACCAATGTTGGTGCTAATGTTTTTCGTTAGAGAAGTTAAACTGGATGATAAAAGAGATATTTATGGGTCAGATACTGAAAGTATTGTTATTGATGAAGTTAAAAAGGCAGTCTTGACAGAAAAGAGAACCTGGAAGAATTGGTGGAGGGTGTAAATAAAAAATTAATGTGAATAATACTTAATATACACGAATTGAAATTCTTTCTTTTGTTTTTTAATCATCACAGCATAGAAAGTTTTGGGTGGCAGCATAAAATTCTCATGTTAAAGCAAATCCATAAAAACACCACAGATATTCATTATTTCAATAGCACAGCATTAAAAATGTTTCATTATTTATTTCGTCTCCAACGGACTAACACTTTCATCACTTTCTATACCTTCTCTCAATCTTCTAACTTCCTCTCTCAATGATAAGATATAACTAGTTGCCAATTCCACAGTGGTTGCCTTACTAGGTATACTAACAGTAGCTTGTAATTCCTCAGGTATCAAAGTCCCCAAATCCATTATGGCTTGATTCATTCTATTTCTTCTGCCTTGTTCCGCCAACTTGTGTGAAGTTTTCTTTGTATCGTTATCTTCAGAGGAACGTCTTGATTGAGATGAAGGAAGTTCATGTTGAGAGGGCAGGTTGACACGATCATTTGAAGGTAAAATGACTGGAGAATTGGATGATTCCAATTTAAAATTCATCAAAGTTGCAGGTGTAGCTGGTTGTGTTGAGTCCTTCTTGGTGGAACGACGGCGCGTAATTGGTGGTTTTGATGAAGGAGGCGGCGCCATTGAGCTTGTTGAAGATTCCACGCTTGGATCTGGCAATGGTGTCATTTCACTATATTCAGAGGATATGGAATTGGAATGTTGGTGGTGTTGTATGTTGTTTGCATAAGATGATGATCTTTTGGCTTTTATTATTGGTGATTGTTTGGCAATACGACCTGGAATGGTTGGGCCGACAATTGGCGTGTTTCCTGGAGTTTTCCTCTTGCTGTATTTTTTCTTATTGGCGGATATGTTACCATTATTATCATCTTGAGGTGATGAAGTTGATGATTTTTTCAATCTCATTGGTGATTTGGCTTCTAAGGCAGGTGAAGTCAATGGTGAAAAAAAGTTGGAATTACCATTATGATTGTGTTGATTGTTATTATTCTTATTGATCATAGACTCCAAGGGAGTAACTGCTGGTGAAACTAAAGGTGTAAAGACAACATCTGGTCTGATTGAAGTGGTAGTTGTGTTTTGAGATTGATGATCTATTTGAGGTGAATCAAAATTTTGAATAAACGATGAATTTGAACTATTTGCATAATGTGTAACGTCAAAAGATTGAGGAGTTGGAGGCACTGAAGCTGCGTTCCCATTCATATGATGGTGCTGCTGTTGCTGTTGTTGATGAATGATTGGCTGGTGTTGATGTTGATTATGAAGTTGTTGTTGCTCATCATGGTCCATATGAGAACCCAAAATGATATCATGGCTAGAACCACCATTATTGTTGGGGTCATTTTGGAAAAAATTCATACTCATATCAATATCATTAAAGTCTGGAAGTTGAGACCATTCACCATCTTTTTTCAAATGAGCAGTAGGATCCAAATAGTCCAAACTCGACATTTGTTGATTGAAATTTTGATGATGGTTTGAGTTCCCACCCCCATTAGTATGACTATTATGAGATTCAGAGTGATTGGAAGGAGAGTCAAAATTCAGGAAAGAATGAGTTTGTGAAGGAGTGAAAGTATTGTTATTAGTGGATGAATTGGATTCTTGAGCATTATGAGTATTCATAGTAGCAGCATTAGCAGTTGAAGCACCGTGATTATTAGCCGAGCTTGAAGGTGTTGTTGCAACCTGAGTTGCAGCTGAGGATGACTGATCGAAAATCCAGTTGTTGTCCATGAGGGCACTGTCCTTTAATAGTATGGGCTAGAGTGGTTTGTGGGTTCTAGTAGTGTGAGTTGAAGGAAGAGTCTTGTGGTTGTAAATATGGTGTTTCCCTATGAGCTTTTTAATTTCAGGATGTGGTAGTAAGAGTTTATAGCGAGGGTGATTATGTCATCAACAAGGAGTAGTGTTCCTACCGGTATCGTCTTTTTTTTACTGTACTGAGAAAACCCACGTGGGCCCTTTTGTACCTACGATTTCACCGATTGTTGTATCAAATCTGGAGTTTGAAAGGGTGGTTTTACTGAAGAGAAGAGCTATGGGAGAGTAGTTTTGGAGGTATAGATTACATGGTCAATTGTGTCTTTTAGTATTTCATCAATTCATCGTTTCAACCAGATTCATAGGTATCAAAGGACATCAATTGTTACACCACATCTAGATTATCAGAAATTGGTTGCCTCAACGTCCGCTAACTGGAGCTTTCCTATATCGGGAACTTGATCCTTTGGTTCAGGAATACAGTCACACGAGTACGCCAATCATTAACAAAAGTACTGTTCGTGTGAGTACTTGGTACAATAATTCTATTACGATATCAACATCTTTGGGTCTTTGAACCACTCTCCACTTCTTTAAACTACACTGTATTTCTAATCCTTATCAACCTACATTTGATAGTTGAGCCCAGCCAAGATTATTTTCAATTGTTTAGCTCTCGATAAAAATTTTCGTTTTCGCCTCAAGTTGAGTCAACTTTTTTGTGAAATAGTGTAAAAGCCGTTGAACCTTGCTGCAAGAGCATCAATAAACCCACCAATGAGGTTGATATTTCTTCGCAGTACACAGATGGACCAATGAGCCCATCATGCTCTTTCCAACGGTAGCCCTGTTTAAATTTGCATCATGACGGGTTTTTGCGGTAGTTTTCATGCGTAAGGCTAAAAACACTACGAGTATTATATTACATCATCATTCTGAAAATTTGGTCATGTGATATTCTTGTAATCTGGTCTGCCATTTTGGAAAGGGTCGCGCTGCAATTGATCAAACTTTGAATTCATGATTGATAATTTTAAGGTCATAACTAGCCATGGCAGCGATCCATTTTATGGCCATTAACAATTGATATTACTATTAAAAGCTTTTGCTAAAGCTACTTTAAAGTTAATATAACTGCGAACTGAACCGGTTGTCTAGTTGAGCTGTATGTGATTCGAGAGACAGCAAATAGATCCAAACCAAAAGTCAAGACCAATAAACAAAATCACCAATGGCACACCTCATTTGGTGCTCAATTCTCAACTCTTCATGCTTTAAACGAAACATATCAGGCCTTAGTTTTCAATATCTTTTTCCCAAGCCTCCCTGGACCCTGGACTCTTTGAAAATAATCCCGAGAGATTGATCCGAGATAAGAAATCCTCGAGAAATCGTTGAACATCCCATTATGCAACTCGTTTAAGCCACTAAGTATACCTCATTTGGGAAGATATTATATAAATCACATACTTATACAGGGCTTCTGATCATGAACACTTATGATTGGTTCTTGTGATGGTACAATCAAAGTGTTCTTGTCTGATAGTGTTTTCTCCAAAGGCGTTGATGATTCGTGAAGGATCCACTTGAAGCTACAAAGCGATACTTAGCTGCTTAACTCCTGGATTGATGTGATATAGATACAATTGATTTATGAAAGCCTTTCTCATCAAACTGGATAGTTCCAAGTTTCAACATTTATGTTTCAACAGGGTTGTTTAGTCAGAGTCAGTGTCTTTAATCCCGCTAAAGATAACGTCGAATGGCCGCCAGGTTACGATAAAGTTCCTCGAGGAAAGTGTCAAGCCAAGATCATGAAAGTCCGCAAATTGGATAAAGATTACACCAACGGAGGCTACTTCATTGGTGAAGATTATTTGCATACGTATCAGTAAGGGTATACGAAGGTAGTGATCTCAAATACCCAAATAGGGAAGCGATGCGTTCAGCAAGATGAAAGCTTAGTGGAGCGATTAATTATCACATACTGGTCCATTTCAAGTATAAAATGAGTTAAAGATCCACTCTTCAATTGCTTCATCCATTCAATTCAAATTAATATCGTCAATAGTCATATCTTCAAACAATGCTTTTATCCAAAACTATCTTAGCATCAATCTTACTTTCATTAATCACATCAACTCAAGCAGTCCCATTATTGAAAAGAGAAGATTCTCCAGTTCCAAAAAATGCTAGTTTACCAACAGTTAAAATCTTTGGTACAGGTGGTACAATTGCATCGAGAGGTGGTTCAGGTTCACAAACTGCTGGTTATGAATTAGGTTTAACAGTTGCTGATCTAGTTGAATCGATTCCTGATCTAGCAAAAGCTGCAAATATTGAATTTCTTCAAGTTTCAAATGTTGGTTCAAGTTCAGTTAATTATACTCATTTAATTCCATTATATCATAATGTTTCCCAATCTTTATTAAATGATGAAATTGATGGTGCTGTTGTTACTCATGGTACTGATACTTTAGAAGAAACTGCCTTCTTTTTAGATTTAACCATCAAAACTGAAAAACCTATCTGTGTTGTTGGTGCAATGAGACCCGCAACTGCCATTTCTGCAGATGGTTCAATGAATTTATATCAAGCTGTTAGTATTGCAGGCTCTGAAGAGGCTAAAGGTCGTGGTACTTTAATTCCTTTCAATGATCGTATAAATTCTGCTTTTTGGGCAACAAAGACAAATGCCAATACAGTTGATACTTTTAAAGCTGTGGAACAAGGGTTTTTGGGTACTTTTTTGAATAATGATGTTGAATTTTTTTTCCCACCAGTTAGGCCAAATGGTTATCATTATTTTGATATTTCAAATGTTACAGATGCTTCACAAATCCCAGAAGTTGTTATTTTGTATTCTTACCAAGGTTTAGATCCTGAATTGGTTCGTTATGCAGTTGAGGAAAGAGGTGCTAAAGGTATTGTTTTAGCAGGTTCCGGTGCTGGTAGTTGGACTGCAACTGGTTATACCGTTTTAGAAGAATTGATGGCCAAATATAACATTCCAATTGTTAGATCAAGAAGAACAATGGATGGTTCAGTCCCAGTCACTGCTCCATTGAAGGAATATATCTCATCTGGTTATTTGAATCCTCAAAAATCAAGAATCATGTTACAATTGTGTTTGTACTCTGGTTATAACGAAGAACAAATTAGAAGTGTTTTCAGTGGGGTATACGGTGGTTAAATGAAACCATCCAGTCATTTGGCTTTTCTTCTTTACCTTTTTAAAAACAGCCTTTCTTTCTTTCTAGCTGTTGATTGTTTTATTGTTTCACCAAAGCCGTGGTTTCAGATAATTTCCCTTTTGGGGCACATTAAATCTACGTGTTGCAGGCTGCGGGTTTGAACGGCTTTTGGTTGATACAATTGAATAGACTTTATAAATATCCTTTGATGATTGTATATTTTCCATTATTTGTCTATTCTCTTTCTTTCTGTATTCCAATTTTCTATTATCAATGATCTCCATATTCACACTAAAAATGGATCTTCGATGAGCATTGTCACGTTTGTTTACATTTTTCTTTTACGACTCGAAAAATCGAAAAAAAAAACGAAAAAGAAAAGAAAATTTTTCATGCAAACACTTTGGAAATGGCCCAATTGCAACAAAGAATTCCCCCAAAGGAGACGTAATAACGTACAGTTTGGGCAATGTACTTCGTGAGCATTTGTCAAATAGGAATTGTACGTTTTAGCATCGGGCATTTTGGCGTAGAGCAGCTCCTTTGGAAAAAGTTGGTTCATGCCATGCCCCATTCTGGGCTTGGACAAAATACATAAAAACACATTCCTCGAGATCTGGTATAAATACCTACTGGAAATCCTCTTTTCTTTTGGAAACCCAATCTACAACTAAACACACACACTCACATCACATCAAAATGATGTTCATACAAAGACTTTCACTTATAATATCACTACTACTGGTATCAATAGTGGTTGCTGCTGATGATTCAGATAATGATAAATACAAAACCATCTATTGTAATGCCACATCAAACTGTCCAGAAGATTTACCATGCTGTTCTCAATATGGGGTATGTGGTACTGGTATGAATTGTTTAGGTGGTTGTAATCCTCATTTTTCATTTAAAAAGGAAGCATGTATGGCAATGCCAGTTTGTAAGAACTTCACAACTGAATTCAAAGATACTGAAGTTGCAAAAGATATAAATGATTATTTAGGTAATCCAGATGATACTGATTGGGTTTATAGTGGATTTATTGCAGATTATGATGATTCAATGATCTTAGCCATGCCAAACCAATCTTCTGGTACTGTTTTATCTTCAACTCGTTATGTTTGGTATGGTAAAGTTAGTGCAACTTTGAAAAGTTCCCATTTAGCAGGTGTTGTTTCAGCTTTTATCTTATTTTCAAATTCTCAAGATGAAATTGATTATGAATTTGTTGGTTATAATTTAGAAAGTGCAGAAACTAATTATTATTATCAAGCTGTTTTAAATTATACAAATTCTTTCCATGCTAATGTTTCAGATACTTTTGAAAATTATCACACTTTTGAAATTGATTGGACTCCAGAACAAATCACCTGGTTAATTGATGGTGATGCTAAAAGAGTATTGAAAAAAGAGGATACTTATAATGAAACAACAAAAAGATATTATTATCCTCAAACTCCATCAAGAGTTCAAGTTTCCTTATGGCCTGCCGGTGCTAAAACAAATGCTGTTGGTACTGTTGAATGGGCTGGTGGTAATATCAATTGGGATTCAGATGATATTAAAGACTATGGCTATTATTATATGTTTTTGAAAAGTATTGAAGTTCAATGTTATGATCCTCCTCAAGGTACTTTGATCGAAGGTGATAATGCTTATGTTTATAACAATTCTAAATTATTTGATACAGAATATATCATGATTACTGATGATGAAACTGAATTAGGTTCAAAAGATGCTTCTGGACTGGATCCAGATAAAGATTCATCATCATCTGCATCATCATCAAGTTCTTTATCCTCATCATCCTCATCATCAAAAGGTTCAAAGACTTCATCAGATTCAGATTCTTCTTCAACAGGCACTTCAGATGATTCCACAAAGACATCAGGTTCATTAGCTGCTTCAAGTGCATCACCAACCGCTACTGGATTTGTTCAATTTGCGGGCTCATCCACTTCATCAGTTTCACATTCAAATGGTGCAAGTTATGAATCATTTTCATTATTTTCAATAATTGTTTCAGTTTTGATGTTGTTTGCATAATAGTTTATTTCGTCATGATGATATCCCATAATAATTTAACGTACAATGATTTTTTAGTTTTTAATAGTGATGACATTTATTATATTCATTATATTTCATTTTTGTAGCACTTCTAACCTAGCACTACTATTAATTAGTTTATATCAAGTTCATTAGCAACTTCTATCTTCTACCACCTCTACCTTTACCTCTACCTTTACCACGACCACCACCAGTACCATTAATTCTATCAATTTCTCTTTGACTAATGATTAATCCATTTCTTGTACTTTTCCCAACACTTTGAATCTTTAACCCACGATCTCTATGTTTTAATTTCTTATTATTTTTCAACCCAGTTCCAATTCTTTCAGAAATACTAACAGAACCACCAATATCTCTTAATTCACCCTTTTTAACTTTACTCAAAATGATATCACCTTCTTTAGCATCTTTTTCAAATTTGGCAATTTTTTCAATTCTATTCTTAACCATACCTTTTCTTATACTCATTGGCATTTTACTTAAATTTTTCTTAGCAACACCATTAACACTACTTAGTTTTTGTAATCTTGATTGTAGGATATGACGATTTGCTGCACCTATTGGTTCTTCATGATCTAGTGTTTGTAAAGTTAGGTCAGCACCAGATTCTTTATTTTTAAAATTTGATAAAATATGAGATTCATTCAAGAATCTTTGTAATTCAAGATCATTATCAAAATTTTCTTTATCTTCTTTAGTTTTAGGTTTTTCTATTGTTGGTTTAGATTTTGCGAGTAATGATGGAGCTTTACCACTTTTCAATAATTTTTTTTGTTCTTTTGTAGGTTCTTGATATTCTCTTGTTGTATCTTTGAACTTGATAACTTTTGGTTGTGGTTCATCAAATCCTTTGAATTCTTCTTCTGATCCTATTTCATCATCATCATCTTTATCATCTTCACTATCATCACTTCCACTTATCAACTCATCATCACTATCTGATTCTTCATCATCATCATCATCATCACTACTCAAAGATTCAGTATCAGACACTTTTGTCTTGTCCTCATAACCCATCTCCTCAATAGACCCAAACTGGGCCTCAAAATTCCGTCTCTGGATCTCAATCTGTCTCAAATATTCCGCATCATCGTCATTTCCACCCATTTTCCCAATCAACTTTGTTTATATTCTATTCGCCTCTATACAAAAAGCTCATCTCAAATTTTTTTTTTGTCTTTATCCACATTTTGGAACCGGCCACTCCATCACCAAATTCGAAAAGATGAATCATAAAACAACCATTAAACAAAGCCATTTAATACACCAATCCTCAATATGACACGTTTCAGAGGGTGCATCGACATCCACTCGGGCCAAGTCAAGCAGATCGTGGGAGGAACACTCCACAGCGACGACAACAACAACGCCAATGCCAATTCCCAAGATCATGGCCAATTATCCACAAATTTCGTTTCAACTCAACCTTCATCCTATTATGCTTCATTGTACAAAGAGCACAATGTCAAGGGGACCCATGTGATCAAACTAGGTTCGAATAAAGCGAATGATGAAGCTGCGCTGGAGGCACTAAGGACATGGCCTGGTGAGTTGCAGATTGGTGGTGGTGTGAATTATGAGAATGCTCAGTATTGGATAGAGAATGGTGCTAGTCATGTTATTATAACTTCTTGGTTATTCCCGCAAGGTGAGTTTAGTAAAGAAAGATTGGTTAAATTGAGTGAATTGATTGGGAAGGAGAGGATAGTTGTTGATTTGAGTTGTAAAAGAAAGCCAATTGTTGAAGGCGATGAAGTTAAATGGGTTGTGGCAATTAATAAATGGCAAACATTAACCAATTTTGAATTGAATTATGAAAATTTTAAAGAATTGAGTGAAAATTGTGATGAATTCTTGGTTCATGCGGCTGATGTTGAAGGGTTATGTAAAGGGATTGATGAAGAATTGGTTTCAAAATTAAGTGAATGGTGTGATATTCCAATTACTTATGCTGGTGGTGCAAAGAATATTGATGATTTGAAAACTGTGGAGAGGTTAAGTAAGGGAAAAGTTGATTTAACTTTTGGAAGTGCATTAGATATATTTGGAGGCAAACTTGTGAAATTTCAAGATTGTGTTGAATGGAATAAAGGTAAATAAACATTATACTATTATACTAATTTGCATTTTATCTATACACTTTTTCCCCCATTCAGTAGTTTGCACCACCGTATTGACCATAAGTTGAAGCATTACCACCATAAGCTGAAGCATTACCTCCGGCACCATTATTATTATATTGAGATCCAGCTCCACGAGAATAAGTTGAAAAAGCACCACCATTATATTGAGAATGATTCCCACCATAAGCAGTTCTATTACCATCTTGATTCAAAGACATGACTATCCCAGCCACTTTTTTTTGTAATTCATCAATCCCTCTTAATACAACTTGATCAGGAGTGAGTGAACCAATAGTTTCCACATTAACATAAAATTTATTTGGTTCAGCTTTAAAATCAAAAGGTTCTTCAGGGTTTGGAGGATCTTCATATTCACAATTTTCAGATTTTGGCCATTCTTCATCTATATCTTCTTCATACCAATAATCGGTATGTTTTAATTTATTCCAAGGATCATATTCAAATCCAATAGCAGCACATGGAGACCATTTAGCATGTTCTTTTGAAATACCTTTTTTAGCAATACATCTAATGATTAATTCTTGTTCATTTCTTAATTTACAAATCAAAACCCCATTTTGTTCTCTATCTGTGATGATTGGATGCCCGATATTTAGATGAGTATTTGATGAAACTATATATAAATCTTTTGAATAAACATTTAAAGTACTATCTTGATCAGCACGAACTCTTAATTCCAACTCCACTGAACATTTATTACAATAATCATCACAAGTACAATCTCTTGAATATGATAGTTGATCCACATCAACACTTTGCAAAGGGATCAAACCTAATCTATGGGCTAAGAATTCATCAGCAAGGACACTTGTATTTGTTTCAATTTCTACCGAATCTATAGCTAATGTTGGTATTTCGGAAATCATCACTCTTCTTAGGGAATTAGCTAGGGCCAAGTCCACGTTTGAGAGCACGAAGTCCACTTCATCACTGGCTGTTTTTCTTATGTTTATGCTAGGACCAGAACTCATTGTGGAGTGTATTGTAATTGATCTGGATGTTTGTAATATTGGCCATTTGATTAATTTTCATGTTTTGAATTTGACGTTGAAAAACATGAAAATGAATTCGCGAAGTTTACCCGCAAATTGAAAATGAATCGAATTATAATTATTAAATCAATTAACTATTAACTATTAGCTATTAACTATTATATTGGTTAATTACTATATTGATTAATTATTATATTGGTTAATTAGTTATCAATTGACTAGTCTTTAAGATGTCCACCCAAATCCCAATCCCAGACCTACGATTCGAATCCTCCTTCCATCGCTCATTACAATCAAAAGCATCATCCAGTTCATCCATCCAAAAACTAAACAACAACCCTAATGAACCAGTCCCAATCACACCAAGTATAATAATCCAAGTGATTTTAAAAGACGTTATAATCATGCCCTTGATCCAGGGCATACTATGGACATCCATCCTATTAGTCGCTAAACCGTGGTTAACCTACGTTGCACAAAATGGACGAGATTATGGTGTAAAGTTGTTTAAATCAATGGGGTTTAAACAGACAAGAGTATGATATTTATGAATTACAATAATGAGAATGATGATTTTTTTGTTCTATTTGTAGATATATTAAGCCCATGCTGGTTTTGATTCACCACGATAGTTCCCCCTACCACGACCTCTACCACCACGACCACGACCTCTTCTAAATCCACCACGGTTATTTCCATTGTTGGAGTTTGGTCTTTCTGGTCGATCATTCGAGTTTGAAATTGTATCAAAGAATGATTTTTTTTTATCATATGCAGGTTGTTCAGGTTGTTCAGATTGTTCAGGTTGTTGCTCATTCTTCAATTCTTCAACTTTATCATCAAATTTTGCATTGTTTTGTTCGAAATCAAAATCATTTTTAGGTAATTCTCTAGTTGAGGCAAAATTATCATATCTTTGTTGTTGTTGTTGTTGTCTTTGTGGTCTTTGTTGAGGGGTTGGTTGTGGTTGAGGTTGTGGGACTGTTGAAGATGGTTGGGATGGAGGTGATTGTTGAGTAGCTGTTTCTGATGGAGTTGGGGTTGGAACTTGTTGTGATTGAGTTTGTTGATTATTTGTTGATGGAGTTGGTGTTGGAGCTGGATCATCTAAAACTGATAAATCATGAACATCTGAACCTCTAAACACAACGACTGGATAAACGTCATTGGAAGGGGCTATCTCTTTTGAAGGATCGTTTAATCTACCTTCAGTACCAAAAGGTTGGACGTTTTTCAAAGTGACTGTTGATTCTTCACCGTTAACATCATCCAAGATACCAACATAACTGTGGAGTGTTAGATGATTCCAAATCAATAAAGAAAAATGGTATACTCACCGGATCCCTTTACTGGAGATTAAGGAGATTGTTCTTCCAATATATTGCGACATTCTTAATGACTTTTATTCAATTTAAATTGTGTTGAATGGTGTCAAATTTTGGTTCAATTGATGTTTTTTTCGAACTTGAAAATTAATCTGTCATTTCGACAAGGATCAGTAATTCTGAAAAAATGAATGAATGAAATTCATAAACTAATAATCAATTAAATTAGATCAATCAATTAAGTCAAAATGTCCTCACTTACTCCATTCCAAGCAACTGACTTGTTCAAATTAAACGCAATCAATTTAGACACGTTGACTGAAAATTTTAACATTGGGTTTTATTTAGAATATCTTACCCAATGGCCTTCATTATTTTTCAAAAGTGAAGAATTCAATGACAATATATCAGGTTATATGATGGGTAAGACTGAAGGTTCTAATGAATTATGGCATACACATATCACCGCAGTGACTATAAATCATTATTATAGAAGAATCGGATTGGCTTCATATCTATGTGATAATTTGGAATATATGACTGATGCTAAACCTCACGAGACTAGGTTTATTGATTTATTTGTTAAAGTTGATAATCAGTTGGCTATTAATCTGTATGAGAAGTTGGGTTACAGTGTATTTAGAAGAGTGATTGGGTATTATGGAGGAGAGCATGAGTATCCTCAGGACACTTCAGTGGTTAATGATTTGAAAGATGCTTTTGATATGAGAAAGAGCATGGGTAGGGATCTGGGAGAGAGTGTGAGAAGCGATGGGAGAGAGCACAGGGTACTGCCACATGAGATACGGTTCTGATATAGTTAATTAATTAAGATATAATATAATCTATGATATAATGATCTATTAATTAGTTATTTAATCAATTAATCTATTAGTTTTTCAATTATTTCATTCTCTCCACTAATTCAATCAGCCTCGGAACAAACGCAGTTGCTCGGACCGGTCCATTTTTTTGGAGAAAGCGATTAACTCAATTGGAATTATCACTATGAAGAAAAGTGATATAAATACTCTGGTTATCTACTTTTATAATCTAAATCCACAATTCTTCTTTATCCAAAACAATGTCAAATATCGAGTCTGCCATCTACGGAGCAAGTGCCTCCATCATCGCAAACACAATAATATACCCCTTGGATCTCGTTAAAACTGTCATCCAGACTCAACTAGAACTAAAGCAAACCCCAGATGATGAAGATACCGAATTATTATACAAAAACTCACTAGATGCATTGATCAAAATCTATCACAAACAAGGTATAAAAGGTTGGTATAGAGGATTATCTTCATCCTTATTAGGCACTGCTACTCAATCATTTACTTATTTCTATTGGTATTCATTTGTTCGTAAATTATGGTTAAGAATTAAAACTTTGAAAAAATGGAGATTAATCAATTCCACTCCAGAGGAATTGTTATTGGGTATGGTTGCTGCTGCTTTAGGACAATTCTTCACTTCCCCAATAAGTGTCATTTCAACAAGACAACAAGTTAGTCCAGAGAAAAATCCAACTTTAATTAAAACTGCTGAAAATATCTTGCAAGAGGATGGTGTCACTGGATTTTGGAGAGGTTTAAAAGTTAGTTTAGTATTGACTACAAATCCTTCAATAACTTATGCCTCTTTTGAAAGATTGAAACAATTGTTTTTCCCTATGAAGTCTCTTTTATCTCCACATGAATCATTTACATTAGGTGTATTATCCAAAATGTTGGCTACAATAATTACTCAACCTTTAATTATATCAAAGGCAATGTTGCAAAAAAATGATGATAAAAACAATCAAGATTTAAAATCTTTCCAAAGTGTTTTAAAATATTTGGTTAAAAATGAAGGTGTACCTGCATTATGGAAAGGTATATTACCTCAATTAACAAAAGGCGTCCTTGTTCAAGGTTTCATTTTCATGTTTAAAGATCAAATCACCGTATTATTCAAAACAATATTCCTCTTGATCAAACTTCGTCAAAGACCAGCTTTACTTAAACGTTAAATATACATGATCAACTCCAATATATCAATTTCTTATCAATCCCAGAACTAATCAAAACTTCCCCCTGACCTTGTAACTCATCCACAACCAAACACTTTATCCTCTTGTCATGACCTTTATGCTCTTGAACAACTTCACCATTCTTCAAATCTAAACCCCTAATAATCCCATCATCACCACTTATCCAAACCCCAGACCCATCATTTCTCCAATGCACAACCCCCTGGGAATACTTATCCTGTGGTGATAATGTATTATAATTACCAATTATTAACCCACGATGCACTTGTGCCGAGGTTAGGTGTTGTTCAGTTTCGATTTCAAGATTTGTTAATAATGGATCCAGTGGTGGTAATTTTATAATGATTAATCTCATGTATGGAACATGTGAAGTACCCACAGCGATAAATGTATTGGAATCGAGCTTGTGAGATGTTAATGATATACTCATTGGTGTGAATCCATGTGTGGAAAATTCTGCATCGTTTAATGAAATTCTAGATATTTCAAAAATATGGGGTTGTTTAAATGTGAATAGACTTAGTTGTGTAGAGTCTAATCTTGTTAAAAACACAATAGGTGTCTTTCCATAAATTCCTAATTCAATTGATGTTGCATTTGATAATAATTTAAAATTTGAAATGATTTCAATTGAATCGTTTACTATTCTTGATATTTTCAATTGGAAATCCCAACCAATTGAACAAATGAATGGTGTTCCATCGTCTTGATCAATCCATACTTTGAAATCAGTGACCAGTCTTTTATGTAATTGAACTTCACTAATCATTGAAACTTTATCTTCATCCAGTTTAAATAATTTAATCTTCCCATCCATACCACAACTTAAGAACTTATCACTACCATTAATAACATATGAACATTTCCCAACACTTGTATGTAGATTCTCCAGAACCCTTATCACTTTCAAACTTTCGAGGTCGATAATTGTTAATTTTTTATCAGATGAAGTTATAAATACAACCTTCTTCAATTTATTATTAATTTTTAACACCCCTTTAGAAATATGAATAATCAATTGATTATGATCCATCAAAACATTCTTAGTAATCCTAGAACCATCCTTCCACTTTGAGAAAATATCAGCATGTTCAATCTTATTATTAGGTTTTACATTATCATTGTTTATATCATGATCAAGATATTTTAAACGATCCTGAACAATATCTTCTAATGGTTCATAGTTTAATGGATGTGAAATTATACCTAGTTCAGATTCAAATGATTTAAGAGTGCTTGAGAACCCCTTCCGTTTGAGATAATCAGCAATTAAAAGATCTGTGGTGGACATGGCTGTACCTTATTGAAATGTAAAGTAAACAAATATAGATAGCCTCTATGAAAGAAAGAAAAACCATATCAAGACCTAATCACATGACTCATTAGTACGTCACATGACCCTGCAAAATAGCCCTGCTTTACACCCCAACACCACTTTTAATATCTGTGTCCCCTTCCCAAAACCCCCTACCGCGACTCTTTTTTTTCCGTCTCCAAAATTCACAATTTCGCGAAAGTAAGGTGATGACATAAGCACCGTCCAAAGAAGTAGAATCCCATTAAAAAATCTTTTTCAATTTTTATCACAATTAACACAACTCTTCTTTTAATACTTAGATCAACACAAATTCATATATCAAGATGGGTAAAGGTAAACCAAGAGGATTGAACTCCGCTAGAAAATTACGTGTCCACAGAAGAAACAAGTAAGTGATTACAAGAATGGTTTTTATTATGTTGTATGGAGTGTCTTAGGGGAGTGATTATATCAATGATTGAAATAGAGAAGTCAATAAAAGAAGATTATAAAGAAGAGAAAGTGAAAAATGACAAGAGAGTATCAGCAAAAGAGGAATTAAATGGATAGTGTTATTTCAATAGATCATGATCATTCTCATACCCCAAAGCAATCCGCAACATCGAAACATCCTAAGAATTTTAAATACTAACAAATTTCAATAGCCGTTGGGCTGAACAATCATACAAAGCTCGTTTATTGGGTACTGCTTTCAAATCATCTCCATTTGGTGGTTCTTCCCATGCCAAAGGTATTGTTTTAGAAAAAATTGGTATTGAATCAAAACAACCAAACTCTGCTATTAGAAAATGTGTTCGTGTTCAATTAATTAAAAATGGTAAAAGAGTTACCGCTTTCGTTCCAAATGATGGTTGTTTAAACTTTGTTGATGAAAATGATGAAGTTTTATTGGCCGGTTTTGGTAGAAAAGGTAAAGCTAAGGGTGATATTCCAGGTGTTAGATTCAAAGTTGTTAAAGTTTCTGGTGTTTCATTATTAGCTTTATGGAAAGAAAAGAAAGAAAAACCAAGATCATAAGCAAAATGTGGTATTTTTCTTTTGTATATTTTTATCTGGTATGCACATGAGTTATTAATTTAGAAAAAAAATGAGTGTAAGGAAACTTTGTAGATACTACAGAATACATTATTCTTAAATCATTACATTTACTTACAATCCCATACCTCTACCTTCAATACTAACACCACCTTTTTTAGATGACCCTTTTCTTCCTGTTAATCTTTGATTAATTCTCTTGAATTGATCATCTCTATTTAATGAAGTACCAACACCAGCATTCATAATACTTTGAGGTGCACGTTCTAATCTTGATTTTGGGGCAAATTTATAATCAGTAACAGTTGGAACAGGTGCAGCTGCTCTATTTCTTCTTGCAGCTTGTTGTTCATAAATTGATTTCTCACTATTATCAATATGGATTTTTTCAGCACTTGTTTTCAATTTCTTCTTATGTTTTAATGCATCATAATCAATTGAATGGAATTGTTTATCACGATAATTATCTGATGCCCCAATGATTGGTCTTGTCCAATCTGAAATTAATTTATCTGCAACTCTTTTAATCTTTGGTTCAACCCTTTTAGATTTTTGATAAAATAATAAAATCTTACCAATCCCAGATTCTCTTAAATGATTTGTATTAATTGGTAATTTTAATAATGCACTGAATAATGTCTTTTGAATCTCATATGAAGGTAATGATGCATCAGGTAATGGTTCTAACCATTGTCTAACTTCTGCCAATAAATTATTATCCAATATAACTTCTGCTAAATTTGCCTTTGATAAAATATCACGAACTTTTGGTAATAGTTGAATCTTATTAATTGCAATACCACTTTGGTTTTCAATTAATTCAGCATCTTTCTTTGCTGCAACATCCATTTGATTCTTCAATATTTGAATTAACTCATCTTCATCATTTGTTAAATCATCTTCACCTTTTCTCTTCTTCATCTTTGGTTTCTTTAATGCACGATCTAAACGGGCTTCTAATTCTTGACGTCTTTTAGTAGCTTCATCTGATTGAGCTAGTGAAGCTTGATCATAATCTTCATAATCATTATTATTTGGTTCAATACTACTTCTTCTACCTGGTCTTGGTGATTGTGAACTTTCTGGAACGATATTTGAACGTTTACGAGCTTTCAATTTGGTCAAGTCTTGATAATCATCAAATTCATTAGCCTCTGCCTTATCATGTTCTAATTCAGCTTTATCTTCATCAACTTCAGCTAATTCATCAACATCCTCATTATTATCTTGTTGTTCTTCTTCACCACCATCATTCACTTCAGAAGTTGGTTCTTCCACTTGCTCAACTTGTTCCTCTTCTTGAGGCACTTCAGGACTATGCTCTTCACTCATTTGCCACTTGATTTCCAATAGAATCTGAACCTTTAAGCTGTTTGTTATTCTCAATTCAATTCAAATGTTCAAATCCAAATCAGTTAAAATTCGCGAATCTCAATCAGACGAAAAACCGGGTAAAAATCCAGTTTTTTTTTCAGCAAATGAGCCAAAGTCAATCAAAATCAACATCAAAAACTCTTTGGAAAATTGAAATATCAATTTATAAACTAAAACTATACCATAAATCATGTTCGGTGGAGGTCAACCTTTAAGTGAAGAAGAAAAAAAAGCTCACCAAGCTCAAACTAATAACACTGTCATCACTTCAGTTTACATTGCTGCTGCATTATGGGCCACTCCAATCATTATCCATTTTGTTCAAAAACAATTTAAATGAATAACTAGAATCTCTGCATCTTTGCATCCTGTGTGTTTAATTTTTGGCATTATGATTTGTGATGGTTAAACGATTTTTATTTTGGTTTGTCAGGTTTATCAAAGAAATAACTACAAGAGAAACAAAGATGAATGAATATTGTATATATGTATTAATGACTGTGTCTTTCAATTGACTATTTGATAATTTCATTGTATTTTATGTCTGATCCATGGTTCAACTCTAAAACTTTCAAAGCTCATTAATGAAGATTCATTAAATGTGTGTCTTTTAATTGTGGATTGTCTTATTGATTCATGATGTTTGATAAAATTGGCCATGAGTTCATTATATTCATATTGGGTTGATTTATGTTTCCAAATCCTTCGGAATTTATCAAATTGAAACCCTCTATATTCAAACAAATATAAGCTTTTCCTTTTATATTCTCTCAATAACAAATTTTGGATATTATTTGGCACATATCCAACCTCACCTTCAAAAATCGTTGGAATTAAAGGTGACAATTCATCAATCTTGTAAACATGATAATCTTTGCAAAAAATTAAATTTTCATTTTGAACACTTTGATTATAACTTGCCTCTATTTCACTTAGATGTTTCTCTGTTTCAGTTTTTATTTGATCAAAATATGGATTGAAAACTTTATACATTTCTGTTAACCCAGCATCATCAAACTCATTCTTATCAATATAATCATGGCTTAATGTAGTTATATCAATGTATAATCCACTTTCAACATCAATAAACCTTGCATCAATCTTATTATCACTTTCTTTAGACCTTACACCATACCATGGATTAATATCAATCAAATATTTCCCCAGATTCAAATCATTATAATCAATAACCAAAGTCCCATTATATTCCATCAATTTTTCGAACGAAGATGCAGTTACCTGAACATCCAAATCATCATCCCATGGCATTATTAAACCATTAAAGTAATATCCCAATAAACTACCATGGGCAATCCATGTTTTTAATTCAAGCCTATTTGTGAATCTAAACCAAGATCTTGCAATACGATGTAATATTGCTAATCTATCTATTGGCTCAATTCTATTATAATAGAACCTCAGATCATAATGAGAAAGATGCGGAAGTTCTAATAGTGAGCCTTCTTTGAAATAACGATACCTGGATGTTGAATTTGTGTGAGATTGAGGTTTAGTAAATTTGAAATCTGATGGAGTCAAATCATATGCCTTATAGTTGGGAATGAAAGGAGGTTCATTGAATTCCTGTTCAATAAATGAACTTATGGATGATATTTGACTAATATATGGTAATTCACCTTTCCTTGTTGGGAAAAATTGTAGTTGTTGTTTCATCAATACAATTTGATTTAGGTCAAATCTCTTCATATGGTATACCCCCAAATCGGTCTTGTTTGAAAGGTTGACAATATCAGCCCAAGAAATGGGTACACTACCTTTACCATCCTTCAAATAATGTAACACTTCGATACCAAATCTTCTAGGATCATAACCATCATGTAATTGATCAATCAATGATCTAGAGTGATTGGATAACTGGGAATAAGGTGTTGTGATAACCACAGAATCCTTGACTTCTTGATCTTTCCTCCACCAAAAACTGAGCACCAGAAGCAGCAAGCTAACCCCCAGAAATTTCTTCATCTCATTTCTTCAAAGCAGGTTCAGTTTGAATGTTGTCTATTCTGTTCAATGTTTTTGTTGATGTTTTGAATTTTGACACCAACTGAAAAAAAAATAAAATCATCAATATCAAACATCACCGATATCAAACATCACCAACATCACCAACATTAGCAAACAGGCTCACCTAGTAAACCTCACCAATCAACCAAACCATGGCCAGCATCATCAAGCCACACCTGCTGGTGTTTGTGAACTATGTCAAGCCGCTACAAACAGCTGCAGAAGCACGATACATATACAGCCAATTTGCAAAACTAGGAACTCTCTCATGGTGGCACGATTACGCAAGTCCAGCTGGTTATAGACATCACGGTGCTCGTTCAGTGGCAGTATACACTTTAGACAACACAAGAGATTCAGATCTACTGGAGTTGGAACGGAAAACATTAACGGATGATCTGATGAGTATAGTTGGCTTACCAACAATGCACGATTGGGATTTATTAGAGTCTGGTAAAGCTAAAAGAATTGAACCAAATTATAGTTTTCTTGATATAACACCTACTCCACATTCATTAACTAAGAGGAAAATGCCTGAATTTATTCCAAAGCCTCATCATGTTATTGTGAAGTCTGCTACAAAATATGAACCGTTCTTTATAGCTACAACGAGAGAACAGGATGTTGGTTATATGAGTAAATATGTCAACATGAAGGCTAGTGATTCTATTCCAATAAAAATACATCTGGCAAATACTGAAAAATGATCTGTGATGACTCCCCTTTTATTTATTTTTTTCACTTGTACATATCATTACACAATGCATAAAGATTCCATACTTTCTTCTATTTTTTATAGTACACAATAATATCATTTAAGGAAATTTTGAACTGTCTTTTCATCATTTTCAATGATCTCAGCAAGGTATTTAATACCATTTTGTTGTTGTTGTAAAACGTGTGCAATCTTCAATATTTGTGATTGTTTTTGTTCACTATCATTAATATCATCAACATTATTATTATCAAGATTTTGAATACCTAAAGTATTATCCAATTGATCACTTAAACTTTTAGCCTTTTCTTTTAGAACTGCTAATCTTGCCCATAATTCATTACTTTTACCTAATCCTGAAGGATCTTGAGATTTGTTCAATAATTCTTGAAATGTTTGTATTAATTTTTCTTCATTTGGCGATAATTGATATCCTTTTGATTTCAATACAGCTAGGGTTGAAACTAATCTCAAGATTCTTTTGGAAATTCTCGAATGTTTAGCCTTTGCTGCAATAATTCTTGAAGCAGTATCCAAATCATGCTTATCACTCAACATTTTATTCTTTTCACTAATCTGTTGTAAAATTACTCTAGCTTGTGCAACATGATTTATTTGAGTTTGTGATCTTTTCTGCAAATCACCAAATCCAACAGCTCTTACAGGAATTGAGTTATTGCTAGGTTTTTTGGCATATGCTTTATCCCATTCTTCATTTTCATTGGCTGGTTTTGTATATAAAGCTGATTGGTTTTCTGGAACTGTGTTGTAAAAAAAAGTTTTCAATGCTGTTTGCTGAGATGTAGGATCCCATGAGTTTTTAACTTTTGATAACTGTTCTTGAATTGTGATGGCATAGTTTGAATTGACCCTTGGATCTTGTGAAGTATTTGATGCAAATGACAACGGTTGTTGTTGTTGTAAGGTGTTATTTTGTTGGGATGAAGATGGTTGTGACCAAGCAAATGATGGTTGGGATGATTGGGAAGATGTTGTTGCTGGTTGTTGTTGTTGCTGCTGTTGTTGTTGGTTGTTTTGCGTATTACCAAATAATCCTCCAGAAGATGTGTTATTTGTATTTGTATTGGTATTGGTATTAGATCCGAAAAGACCACCTGAAGTTGGTTGTGCTGATGTATTACTGGAACCAAATAGACCACCTCCTGTACTAGGTTGTGTTGAAGTTGTTGTATTATTGTTTGACCCAAATAGCCCACCACCAGTTGTAGATCCAGTTTGAGCATTTGAGTTATTGGAACCAAATAATCCGCCGCCTGTAGTTGGAGCTGCTGGAGTTGATGTAGCATTTGTATTGGAACCAAATAGACCACCACCACCTGTAGTGCTTGGAGCTGCTGGTTTAGCACCAAATAACCCACCTCCAGTTGAAGGTTGAGCAGCAGATGACGCATTATTAGTGTTACCAAATGAAAATCCTGATGATCCACCTGTTGAAGCTGTATTTGATCCAGTATTACCACCAAATAGTGACCCTGATGCTCCAGTACTTGCTGTATTAGAGTTATTGTTGTTATTCGATCCAAAACTGAATCCACCACCAGTATTTCCTGTTGAAGAGCTTCCAGAACCGAAACCTGATGATCCAGTGTTACCACCGCCAAATGAAAAGCCTCCTGATCCTGATCCAAACATTCTTATCTTTCAATTGACCTTCAAATAGCTTCTAATCAACTTTAGATCTAAAAACTTGTTGATGTTTTCTTGCAAATTCACTTTTTCCTTTCAAAAAAAAACATGGATTCGTTGACTTCCTGATTTGGAAGTAATACGCTCTCTTCGCTAAAGTGTCGCGAATTGTGTTGATGATTTGAATTTCAATGGGGATGTTTTTTTGGCAAGGAGTTGAAAGAAACAACTACTTTAAAACACAACTCAAAGCAGAAACCCAAGAATCGAAATGTCCAATGAAAGAGAGCCTCGCTTGAACTACAAGATCTATACAGACCCTACCCCTTTACCAAGTGACATACCTCCAGTTGATGAACTCGGTACCACTTCTGCCCCATTGTATTCAGCTGCTTATTTCATTGGTGCCAGATGCCAACCTTACAATGATGATTTCATGCTCTGTAAAGAAGAGGCTCAAGGAACAGGAGAACTGGACTGTTTGAAAGAAGGAAGAAGAGTGACAAGATGTGCTGCTTCTGTTATCAAGGATTTGAATGCTCATTGTGCTGAAAGTTTCAAGTTGCATTATGAATGTTTGAATGAAAACAATTATAGAATGAGCAATTGCAGAAAGGCAGAGACTTTATTTAACAATTGTGTTTTCGAAAACTTGAAGTTGAAGAAGGAAATCCCAAATGCCCCAGAACAAATTCATTTGAAACAAAACACAAGGTTTGGACCAATTTTTGAAGACCGTCCTTCTGCTGCTGCTTATGATCTTGCTAAAAAAGAAGGTAAAATCTGAATATTGCAAGTCTATCTATTTATTCTTATTTATTCCAGCCTATTTATTGAATTATTTATTTATTTTATTTATTACACGTTACATGTGCCAAACATTTTAAATACACATATATTACTCATTAAAACTAAAGCACTTCCTCCTCCATTCTTTGTTCTCTCAACTTATTGATACGATTGGACAAGGAAACTAAACCAATTCTTTCTGCAATCTTGTTACACGCAACTAAACCATGATCTTGTTTGACTTCTCTAGCTAAACGCCATGCTTTAGCATTCTTACCTTCTTGACAAGCATTTGCAAATAGTTGTAAGACGGCTCTATCATGTGCAATAGCATATTCGTTTAGTCTTTCATTATCTTCTTCAAAAATCTCACCATCGTTAGCTAAAGTTTCACCTAACAATTCACCCATAGTTCTAGATCTTAAAAATTGTTCCTCTGCAATATCATCTTGATTTGAATCTTTGGTAGTTGGCAGTTTAATTTCAAGTTCTGAAGGTAATGGTAATGGGTAAGTTGGGAATTGTGAACCTCTAACAATAATACAGTTCAAATTATTAGCATGAAGACCTAATGGCCAAACTGACAAATCACCTTTACCCCCAATTTCTTTGACTTTCTCCTCTGAATCCAAAATTGGAACCCATGTAGCTTGTAATGGAGTACGCCATCTTGCTAAAACCAAAATGACACCATCAGTTCCAACAATAACTGGATCACCATATGTACTGAAAAATATACCTTTCAATAAATCAGCATCATTTTGTAATTCTAAAGGTAATGTTAAATCTCTTTGTAAGAAACGACCTTCCAAATCTTGCAAATTATATATTAGTTGATTGTTATTGGATAATGAAACTGTAAACATGTAGTTGGTATTAGTGGCAGATGCTAAAACAGGGGAAGATTTCTGAAGACCTATTGGTAGTCCGAACAATGTAAAGCTTCTGATGTAACCGAATGATGTGCATACTAAAATAACAGAATCACTCAATGAAATTGATGTTATAATTTCACCACTTGAAGTTGGGATGTTCTTTTCCCATGCTTCATTAACATTCTCATGAGGTCTAAATAGTATTTTTGTAATATTTGAATCATTTCCGGAAACACCAAGTAAAATACCTTCTGTATTTAATGAAGCTAAATCATAACCATACAAATCTTCAAAATGATACTCTCTATGAACCGAAGTGTCAAAAAATGAAACCGTGATTGATGAATGAGAATCTTGTTTAACTGTGGAGACATAACCAATCGAATTTATTGTTAAATATCTTCTATCTGAAATGTATGGAGTACAACCTGGTGAATAAGGTTTTAGTTTATATTTCTTAGCCCCAATGAATGTTGATGGTCTTGAACGTTTAATAGATCTTTCAGGCTCCACACTTCCACGATCATCATATTGAGTTCTCTTGTAAGTTGGAATAACGTAACCTTGTCCGTCGTCATCATCAACAAATCCATCATCATCGTCAAAAAAATCTGCTCTTTTCTCACCATCATCACCTTCATCATTAGTTAATTCATTTTCTGAATTTATATCATCTGCATTTGCTTCTTCTTGATCAGAACCTTCGTCAACACTGATATCAGCTTCATCGTCAACTAGTGCAGAAATCCCATTTAATCTAGCACCCTTAGCCTTTTTAGCCTTGACAACATTTGAAAAAATATAAGCATCACCATTCTCAGAACCAACAGCTAAATCATAACCGTCTGCGTTATTCTTAGCCCAAGCCAAATTGTTGACTCTACTATCCAATTTCTTTTCTAAAACTGTGTCTCTAGATTCTGAATCCCATATAATTAATGTATTGCCAATATCTGCAGATGCTAAATAATCACCATTCGGAGACCATTTCAAATCAGCTAAATTCTTTTGATGTAATCTTGGGAATGAATAAACCTGTTTGTAATTCTCAGATCTAGAAAAAACTTTGATATCTTTTGATTCTGATGGAATCGCAAAATGGTCACCATTTGGATTCCATTCAACTCTAGTTGTGATAACATTATCTTCTGCTTCTTCATCATCATCTTGATAAATCAATTTCGGTATCTCATCTTTAATTGTAGCCAATAACTGTGGTTCCTCTGAAGTTAATGAGTACATCTTAATTTCACCATTTGATAATGATATTGAAATCAAATCAATAGTTGAATTATATGAAATGTCATGAACTTGATCATTGACTTTGAGCTTTATGACTCGAGTATTATCTGATAAATCTGCAATTTGAACCTCGTCATCATCACCAGCAGCAGCAACCATGGTCCCAATATGTGTAAAGACTGTACTTCTTAAAGGTAGTGAACTTCTGATAACTTTACCAACGGCTTTGTTGTCCTTCAAGGAATATAATTCTACTTCACCAATCTTTGAGGAAACTGCAACTTTATCATCACCAAACACTGCAAGATCAGAGATCTCATCTAAAATATCGATGTTGTTTGGTTCAGAATCCTCTGCACCAACTTTATAGTTTCTGATCAATCCAGATGAACCTGCAACTAAAAGATGATCGCCATTCTTGGTGTAGGCAACGTAGGTGCTTCCTCCAGAGGAGTACACATTTCTGACTTCAGGTTCCACCATCTTTATTGCAAAATCAACGACTTCAAATGCCAATAAACGCGGTGTTTATGGGTTTTGTAAGTTTCAGCTCTGTACTTTTTGTAAATATTCTTCCTAACGCGTTTCGCGATTCTCTGAACGGCCACTACTTTTTCTCGAGATTCAGAGAGATCAAGGAAAAGAACAACAAAAGTAATCTTTTGGAGAAGGCATTCAGAGGCATCGACTTGATCAATTGGTAACTATGGCTGCTACATTTGAAGAGGAACTGAATTTTGAAAATGAAGAGTTCCCATTTCCTAAAACAATCACTAGAGAAACATTTCTCAATGACTTGCAAATAGATCCAACAAACCCAGCTCAATCAATTGTAAGAATAAACGAGGTCAAATTCAATGTTGACCAGTTTTTATTTGATCACTATAGATTTACATCATTAGAGGATCTACAGGCTGAACTTTCTTCATTGCTGAAAGAGCTTGATCAAGAGCTGTTCAACCTCGTTAATAACGACTATTTTGATTTCATAAATCTAGGGAAATCATTAGAAGGTGGTGAAAATTTGGTTGACAGATTAAGAGTAGATGTCTCCAAATATAGAAAAAAGCTCAAAGATGAGAACAGCAGATTGGATGAATCAAAAAAGCATGTTGAAGCCTCGGTAGAGAATATCAAAAAATTGAAACAACTTAAAGTGAGTTGAAATGATACAATTTCAAGAGCATGGATACTAACAATAAAAGAAACATGCACAGAATATGCTTCTACTCGAGACTTTTATTGAAAAGTTTGAAACATTGTTGAATGAGAATAAAGACTAGTAAGTGCATTCGCCAATTCATCAAATTACAGAATCATCTAACACCTTTCTAGCATACAAATTGAAGTCTTGAAACAATTAACATCATTATACCTCACAATCCATCAAATATTCACATCATTACCCAATTTTCAATTTGTTGCGCAAAAAGCTGAAAGCGTGAATATTTTGAGATATGAATATAGAGGAGTTCTAGATGAATTCTTAAGAGGACTACGACCAGAAACAAGCTCATACAAAGAAGTTGCGGAAATACTAGGTATATATTCCATTATTGGAGATGAAAGATATGCAGTACAAATACTGAAAGAGAATAATACCAAGGAATAACCGAAACAGTCATGAAGAAGTTAGCTCTTATACGACGATATGCCATTAGTACATGTGTCAATAAACTCCCCTTTCAAAAACCATTTAAAAACAGTATTAAAGAGCGTAAAAAAACCGAAAAAATTTACAGGGTTATTTATTAATCAATCCATATCCATCTTGTAGCACTTGTAATCATTTCCCATTCTTTAATCTATTATTTTCCTTGTTTTCTGCTTCTAAAAACTTATCGGTAAAGGACGCATTTTTTGATGTTGAGGGTAACGGCATCGAAAAAAAAAATTTAAACATAATAACAATCAAAATACAGTACTTTTTCAAAGAGTTATTTGAAATCAAATATTATAAACTAGTTACAGTACAAGAATAATGGCTGGTGATCCATTCTTATCTGATCCTAAAGCCAGAAAGAAGAGAAGCAGAAATACCAGAAACACATCCACAACCACCAAGAATGCAAAGAAATCAAAACGTACAGAAGAACGTAGTCAAGTTGGTGATGAAGAAATCTCAGGAATAAGTGATAGTGATGACGAGCAAGGGAACGTCTCTTATGATGAAGGGGCAGAGGAAGAACGTGATGAAGATGAAGTGGATAGTGAAGAAGAATTTGCTCAAGAAAGTGCGGCAGATAAACGTCGTCGTTTGGCTAAACAATATTTGGAAAATTTAAAACAAGAAACTGAAGATTATGATTTTGATGCTCAAGATTTAGATAATGATATTATTGCTAAAAGATTGAAAGAAGATGTTGCAGAAACGAAAGGTCATGTTTATAGGTACATTGCTGACAACTTATTACTCTCAGATATAAAACCAACAATCACTAGAGTTGGTTCAAAAGCATTAACTTCATTAGCAGTACGATTCCCATATGCTTATACAGTTTCAAAAGACATGGAACTGATCAAATGGGATATCAGAGATTTCAAAAAGAAACCACAAAGAGTAAGACATACAAGAGGAGGTAAAAAATTCATAGAAGTTTCAAATGAACCAAAAGATAACGGTCATTGTGATGAAATTTTAACAGTTGCAGTTAGTCCAAATGGTAAATTTGTTGTCACTGGTGGTAGAGATAAAAGATTGTTAGTTTGGAGTTCAGAATCATTAGCTCCATTGAGAGTATTGGAGACTCGTGATCGTCGCGGTGAAGTTCTTGGATTAGTTTTCCGTAGAGGTTCTGATCAACTATATGCATCATGTGCGGATTTGAAAGTGAGAACATATAGTATAAATCAATTTGCACAATTAGAAATTTTGTATGGTCATCAAGATCATGTTGTTGATATTGCTGCTCTAGGTCAAGAACGTTGTGTCACTGTTGGTTCAAGAGATCGTACTGCAATGTTATGGAAAATTGCTGATGAAACCAGATTGACTTTTAGAGGTGGTGAGTTTGAAAAAAAGAAAAAGAAAAGAAAAGATGTTGATGATGAAATGGATGTTGATGAAGAGAAATTTTTTGCAGAAGGAAGTATTGATTGTGTTTCCATGCTCGATGATTCACATTTCGTTACAGGATCAGATAATGGAAGTATATCATTATGGTCCTTAGCTAAAAAGAAACCTTTGTTTATACAGCATTTGGCACATGGATTAGTTCCTGAGTTCCCATCTGAAAAAGCATCAGCAGAGAAAGATGATCAAACAAGAAATTTACAAGTTCCAGAAGCTCAACCATACTGGATCACAGCTATCCATGCAATTCCATATTCAAATATTTTCATTTCAGGTTCATGGAATGGATCTTTGAAGCTGTGGAAATTTGAAGATAATTTGAGATCATTCACATTATTGGGAGAATTAGGAAATGCAAGAGGTGTCGTTACAAGAATAGATGTTGCTGAATCTGGTGCTAATAATAAAGAAAGCTTCAGAATCATGGCCACATTATCAAAAGAGCATAGATTAGGTCGTTGGATTGAAGCAGGTGCTGGTGCTCGTAATAGTATATACTCTGTTGTTATCGACCAACAAGTATTGCAAAAATGATTCAACCAGTAAATAGCTTAGCATATGTACATTACTTCCAATAAAATACAGCATTTTTTTCAAACAAGCTTACAATGTAAAAATCTAAAAAGATTATCGAGTTGTCCATTAAAATAAAAAACATTAAATAAAATCAGACGTTAAAAAAAATCAAAAACTCCTTGTAGTAAAATACAATATTAGCCAAAATAAAATATATGAAACTTTGGTAACAAAAATAATAAGCAAACATAATGGATAATGTCATGAGAATGAAAATAAAACTATGGTATAACGAAAGTTCCAAATGGATTGTGATGGAAAAAAGACTGGTGTAAAGAAAAGCAGGAGTTCAAAAAGGAACAACAGATATTGGGCACATTAAAAGAATTGCATGACCAAGTTCTAGTGGCTGAAATAAAGAAGCATCATTTAAATAAAAAAACAAAGAAGGTGAAGCACGTATTGAAATCTCATAATAGAGCACCAAAGACTAAACCAATGAAACCGACTGTGAATGCAGTTGGAATAGTTTGAGCAACAGCTAAAGCTTTAGAAGATGAAGATGAAACGTTAGCAGCACGAGCACCAGAAGCTGATGAGGTTGAAGAGATTGAGGTCAAACTAGCAGAGACAACATTGGTTGATGAATGAGTTGAATTGTGTAAAGTTGTTGTGTTGTGTGCTGATGAAGTGGAGTTTGAAGCATCTGAAGCAATAGCGACTAAACCTTTAGCAGTGGATAATGTTGGTTTTGCTTTTGATGATGAGGAGGAGGATGAAGCAAGGGCTGCTGCTGCTGCTGCTTTTGAAGATGATGAAGCAATAGCTCTATCGATGGCAATTGAAGCAGCTGAGGCACTTGAAACAGAAGCTTGATACGCAGATAATGAAGCATCGTAAGCTGAAACAGATGACACTGAAGCAACTGAAGCAGCAGCTTGTGCTGAAGCTTGTGAAACTGAAGCAACTGAAGCACTTGATAATGAAGCAGCTGATTCAATGGAAGCTTCATAAAGAGCAGCTGATGAAGCAGATAAGACTGATTCATATGAGTTAACTGAAGCAACTGAAGCAGCTGAAGCACTGGAAGCTGAAGCAGCATAAGCAGATGCTTGTGATTCTGAAGCGACTGACGCAGAGTAAACAGACGCTTCAGAGGCAGATTCTAATGAAGCTTGTAAAGCAGAGGATTCTGATGGACTCAATAAAGTTTCGGTGACCAAAAGAGTTGAAGTGTAGGTTGTAGTTGGGTCATCTGCTAAAACCATGGAAGCTAAAGCTAATGGAATAATTGATTTTTTGAACATCATTGTTTTAAAAATAATAGTTGTTGATTGAAAATGTTTCGTGGCTGTAAATTCAAAATAGCAAACTCTCTTTGTAAAAAGTTATTGGAAGAACTGAATTAAAAAAGGGTTTTAGAACTGAAGATATAACGACTTGTGGATTATTAACACTCTGAATAAGTTAAAGGAATGACTGGAGTGTGTGTTGAATGGATAGTTGTACTCAAACGAATGTGAATGGCGACTGGCTGAAGAAAGAGAAGAGAAAATTTTTGGAGAGGAAACGAAAGCTTTTATTGGGACGTTTTTTTTCGAGATTTTGGTGATGTTTACTCTTTGGTCCCCGATCGGGAACTGTGTAAACACGGTTGCCATGGTTACATAGAGGGCTCCAAAAGCGGTCACATTCTCGCTCGAAGGGGCAACTTGTGACTTCCCAAAAGAGGACGCAAGTGGACGGAAAGAGAACTTAGGGTTGGTGAAGTCTATATATAGAGAGACCAATGCTGGCTTTGTAGCCTGTACTTTGTGCTGTGATGATTGAACAATCATCTTTTGATTGTATATCTTCTATTGTTGGTGATGGTTTGATGATGGATTTTCAGTGGGCTTTGTGTTTTTTAGCATGAACCGATTTGGAAGAAAAAAAAACTTTTTCGAGCGTTGTTGGCCGTACGACGCACTGTATGTTTTTGGTTAAGGACAGCACTTAACAAAAACACTGTCAATTCTTCACGTGTCAAGTTTCGACAACAGTATTGTATAATTACTGGTTGGTCGATAGCACTAATAAGCTTCAATCCCTTGATTTTATCTATGGTTTGGGAATTGGAGACAAACTTGAACTAGAGAATCAAAACATTCACGGTCTCACTAATCAAAGGCTGCAGATTACCTCGAATATTCATCATGATATCATCCAATTATAACACGATCTTGCAAACTATCTTACAAGTCGACGTCGGCACAAGCTGTATAATTGACTGTTTGAAGATCGATGTTGATAAGTTGAGTAATATGAATCATCATCACAAGCTATAATCAGTTAACTCATCAATATACTGTAATTATATTTAATATTATCCTGAAGTTCGCTTTTTTTTTATTTTTTTTAATTATAATCATGATGATCATGTATCTAATCATGATGTGTACTAGTATTTATAACAAAATTATGCTAAAATATTAATGCTTATATACGTATCACAGCTGGGGAGTACTCATGAGTGGTATTCAGCTAATATAATGACTGATTTATAATAATATTATAAATTAATAAAGGGATAATTATTAATCAGATCATCAATATTAGTTATAAAAACAAGTAATTAGAATGAACTAAAAAAGCTGCTGGGGGCGCCATATTTAATAATGTTAATATATAAATGGAACGATATTGTTTGTAAAATTTGTTGAAATAACCAAGATATCGACCCTAATACGTCTTTTCTTGTCGACGAGGAAGTACTATATCCTAATTATGGTTTGATTTTATTAATTATAAGTTGATTCTAAGGTGACTGAACCACTAGCTTAAAGGAATTGTGCATGATTAATGCTTTATGAACCTGGAAATAGAAGTAAAAAATGGGAGAGGAATTGAAAATTAAAGAATTGTTGATATATATTCAATCAATATATGGGTTGGCTAACTAGTAACTGACATGATCATAGTAGTGGATTGGGTATATAACAATATAATTATTGAGTATATTTAATTTCAACATATTGCGCAGCAATATGAATTATATACTTATAATATATAAATTAATTATAATTATATAAGAATTAGCTAGCTAGTGCCATATAATGTTTATTGTCGACCAAAATCGGCCAAGCGGTATAAAACTCGTAATTCTTCAGCTATATTATAAATATTAATAACGTCCATTAACACACCGCCCATATTATATTATAACTCTCTAGGAAACGTAGCCAGATTAAAAATGGAGAATCAGTACCTCAATATTATATTCCTATAAGCTTTTAAGTATAAGACTAGCAATAATATTTCATCTTAAAAAAATGTTGAAATAAAATTGATATTTAAGACTAATTTCGACTGATATTATTTATTGTCAATTCCAAAAACCAACAACCAACCCTATGGTCATAAACCTTAATATATCTCACGAATCAGCTTGCATTTGAGACTAGTCCAACTTATCTAGTGTGTAATATTATAGCAAATTGTCTCTAGGTGACTACCTAACCACTACTACAGAATCATTAAGATTAAGCGCTTTTCATTTGTCTTTTTTCTGGGATTCCAAATCATTGCTTATTATTAAAGTTATTCTTCGTTTACCTTGAGGAAAAGTTAATTAATGTTTAGTATTTACGCACTTGACATGTTTTGCTTTCTCCGTTTAAAATCTTTCCCCATACTTTTAATAAGATTGTGAAAGGGAATAACTTTGTTTATTGAAGGAAGAAAAATACATCAATTGAGAGAAGCATTTTGATACTGGCTAGAAATAATTAAAGTTGTTTTTTAACTAAACAATACATTAATTAACTAATTTGCAGATAACTTAATATACTAGTGCTGGTGATGCCTATAATCTCTTTGGTGAACGTCGATACATTCATAGCCGTGAAAGCAAACAATATCCATTTAGACTGCGACTAGATATAGCAAACTTCAATACGAAATTGATTGTTCTTCAAAAGCCCCTTGTTTAAACAGAGCAAAGTAAACAAAAAAAAACAATTTAACTTTAACAATACTTTTAGAGCTTCAATAAATCAAAAAATGTATAATTTAATTAGTTCATGATATCCATCATCACGGACGTACTAGTATGATCCCAATATTATTAGGGGTAGTTCATTCAATTGTATAAATTATGATCGAAAGATAGCAAGTTTGTTTGTTCATTCTGAAAGCAAAAAACACAATGTATTAAGAGTTATGTTCACCAACTTGCAGTAGAGCCACTCTTACAATAATATACGATTGACGAGGTTTACGAGATATTGTAGACTTCTTCAAAATGTACGCGTAGCAATATTGTATGGACCATGATTAATGAAACTATGATTAATCTTTGGTCTATATTTTAAGCAAAGAGCTTGATCTAGATCATGAACATCAGTGTCATCATCAATTACTATAATGTTACTATAAATATTACTGACGGGCGGTATTGCCCAGTCATAATACATCGACACAAATATAACAGTGCACCGGGATCCAGATATCGAAAACTTAAAGGTGATGAATGCACCCTTAAAGGAGCGCAATTAGTGAAGAAAGTTTAATCAAGTGGGTTTTTCAATTGCATAATTACAAGTGAAGTTGTCTGGTTGCCTTGTAATGTAATAAGTAATAAGCCTATGTCATCGATGATTTCAGAGGTTGAGCGTCGTATTTCTTGTCTATTGTCTTCCCCAGAGCCTATTGTTCCTCGCGTCTCCAGTTCTGGGCCTTGCGCAAATGCCCGCCGTTCTAGCTCAGGCCTGTCTTGAGTCATCAGCCACGCCGGCTGAGAGCGATGGTGATGAGGTAGATTAGTAGAAGTACATCATATTATTCCACAGAGAAAGTGAATATTATGGACTTGGTCTGATGTTTATTAATGGTCATGCTATAGTAAAACGAGGAAGATCTTAGTTGGGCAATTGAACTAATTACGAGTACATGTAAAAATCAATGTGATTCTTACAAATCAGTGAGCACAAAGGCTAGTGACAGCGCAAGGGTAAGGTCCAGCCCAAGTTCATTCACGTCTTGGAGATGGTAAAGTGTTGCTTTGTGCTTCAATGATTATCTTGCTATCAGGATTCAAGCGGCTCTGTTAACATCACCACTTTGTTGAATCGTGTATTAGTCAATTCTGTTGAAGTTTGAACTATTTAATAGCCTATTGTATGTACTACTCACAATACAAAGGTTCCTATTGTATCTTTCAACAAGTCTCAGAAATTGTCAGTGATTTCATTTCAACGGTTGTCTCAAATGTCATTGTACATGAAACACAAGGAAAACAAACCTTGTACTGATATACGACAAAACGCCAACTTCATGATCCAGCTATTGGAAAGACTAACGTATATTTTATTTTTCTTGACCATCATATTGTCCCGTTATCCCAAAGATCATGTCTATTGCCCATTGTCCCTTACCTTTTTGACTATCTTTACATGTTCGTTAAGTCATTGGGACAATTAAAGTACTGCAAGAAATAATCCCATACTTATTGCTCCGTACAGATAATAGATTGTATGATTCCATGGTTCATTTTATCACTAGGTCCATTTTATGTTCTTTGATTAACCACAATCCACTTATATCCAGTACTAGAGAGTGTTATGAAGCATTCATTGTGAGTGTTGAGTTTGAATTGGAGAGCCACTTTCGATTTTAGTCGAGATCTCATCAACAAGGACAACAAGGGTTCAAAACGTAACAGTGTACTACAAATCGCATCATGATTATGATTAACTCGAAGGAACATCTTTCAACAAGACTCATGTCTGCCATGTACTGAACTACTGAACAATAAAGGCTCTAGTTCAGGAGTTGGTCTCAAAAGTTTCAACTTTCAAGTACGAACTCTCAGTTTGAGTTCATGCCCATCATTGATCAACCCTTGTTGTCTTTGATTCACTAGTACTGTCTACCAGTTTCATGGCTCACAGTCCCCAGTGTACAACTTTTTTCAAAGACTCAAACACAGCCTAAATTACATTATCATTTGTCAAGTTTCCGCGATAAACCTTATTAACAATGAAAGGTAGTGCGCACGATCTTTTTCGCCTTGATTGAGACCTGTTAGCCACAATTGGACACAAAAGATCAAGGTACTATCGATAGAGTTCACGGATTGGACATTGGTTCTGGATTTGCTTGTCATTAACCATGGTTGGACCCGGTCTGTATTTTGGAGACATTGATCCAAAGGGTGTATTACAACTAGACGTTGACGTGTAATTTAGTTAAGATTCGAAGCCCGTAGTTTGAAGTCACATGTATTGATCTAAAAATTAGAGCATCGTACAACGAAAAATGTTATAGGCCAGCTCAGAGTTATAAAATCAAACGCTCTTGGTATAGGTTGCTTAAGCAAATAGTACTGTGATGAATAGTACTGCGAACTGTGTTCAAACCGTGATGTTATGATTGCTCTTGGATTCCTTATACACTCGAGACGGTATTAATACTTGTTGTACAAACGTAGAATAATCATTGAGGATACCTACAGATCTAGTTCAATATGATCGTTCCATAACAATAATTTTGGTTGGAATATTGGAAATTGTTTCTTTTTCTAGATTCCGCTTAATATTTTGTTTACAGCCCAAAAAGAAGGTTTGATGCTGAAGATGATGTAGTACGATATAGTAAAACGCTCATGCACTTGGGGTTAAATTGTAGATATTTCAATCAACCCGAGTCTAGCAATGTCTGTTCAAGATCTATGATTAGTACGTTGGCTCAAATCAATCCTAAATTATAGCGAGTTGTTGAGTGTTACACCAACTTTCTATTTGAAGGTCAAAGTGTACTAATTCTAGGAAAAATGTTTAAAAGTACCGGTTTACCTGTACGTACCACCGACGTTTTGATCAACGAATTACAGTACTGAACAAATTATACGAGAATACATGGGCTTGAACTTTAGCTAACAACTTAACAGCCCCCGGATCAACTGGTATATGCATACTTTTTTACTCGGGAGATCTGTAGTTTGGATTTAATCAGTGCGTTGAAGCTCTATGAACAGATTTCCAACTTAAAAGTCGGATAGTCGTGGGCTATTATACAGACGTTATTTACTTCAAGCTTGCAAGAGACATGTCAGTCATTTCATTAAAGTATGAGTGCAGATGCTCTTCAAAATGAAATAGGTTTAGCTGGAATATTTCATAGGATTTATTCACAGAATGGCATCAAAACGCGTTTCAGATACCTTGAAATAATTACGTTAAAGCTCACCCAACATTAGGAAGAGTTGAAATTAACCCAAAAGGCACAATGTAGTCATTGATAATTAGTTACTTCAACAGTGAGAATCCAAGCGTACTTTTGAAGTAATTCGAGTCAAAAGCAAATTGACATGTGTATTGTCCTATGCGGCAAGTCAATATTGTGAAGACTCAACTGAAGAACGTCTCGACTCTGAACAATATTATAAGGCCACGGTGTATTATTATTTCACATGACAAGGAACGTCCAACTACAGATGAATTGAAGGGCTTAATGAAGAATAATAAATATTACAGATACTATACTTTTCTCCAAGATTGGTAACTGTATCCGTGCCAACTGTTCTGTACAATAAAATAGTTCGCTTAGAACTATACGGTCAATAATAAAGAACACGCAACATTATTAATAGAAGCTTCTTGTAGCAAGTGCTTTGAGGTTTACTGCCGTCATGTCTATTGGCCTGAAAGTTGGCATTACACTCACGACTTGTACAATATTTAATATCATGAGGCCAGAAAAAATATGAATATTATGGACACAATAGTTTGAACTTTCTTGGTGTACTAATTGGGATCACTCATTGATATTGTGAACAGTTTGCTATCATCTCTAACAAGTGTACACAAATACCACATTGTATTGAGTCCATATGTAGTTAAGGTTCTTTTACTAAGATTTATTCATCATGATTCATCAAAACATATCACAATATTGGGTTAATTTATGCTCCTTAGGTCCCTGACTCTTCTATAAGACTGGGTGCTTTTCTGGTTCCTCAGTGCAAGATGATGGTTATGTCACCAGCAGATGATTTATGGTACATGGCGCTGAATAAATTACTTGGTGATGAATGTATTCAGCTGTAACAATAATAGAGGTCCAGCATAACAGTTGTAAGTTTAGCACCGCTCAACGTACTCCTGAGTCCTCAATTAAACTTTAGAGCAATTCCCCCTGGAGTCTGTCGTAATTTAGGTTTGGTGAGAGAAGCTTTCGCTTTCAGCTTTGATGAAAGCTTAATGCCATCAAATCAAAATTATCATACAACGTAGCACACACCTATCGACTCTAAATTGTGTGAACCGTTCACTTCACGAGCTGAGGCCTGAGGTGAGGGTTGTTCATTTGGAACGCTCGATTGTTCCGAGAATCTCAAAGGCTAGTCCTTGAATCCTCTATTGTCAGCGAGCCAACAAAAGAAACGTGATGCCACCTATTGTTCAAGATAGCTACAATCCACTTTCGAGGGGCTTGTCTCTCAAAAATTTCCCTTTTCGTAGCGATGAGCTGGTGGTAGCAATCTCCGAGTCCCATCACCCATTCCTCCTGGTCCTATGCACCTGGCAGCGCTCTTAAAACCCTAATGTATAGGCCTGGCACTCTGTAATCCAGAGACTAAGGCCCCTGAACAGTCTCCTGAGCCTCACACCGGTAAAGGGATCCCTTCAAGTGAAATGGACTGAAACCTAAAACTAGTGGCAATAGAAGCGAAGAAGCACTCCAAGATATTTTGTAGTTGAAGCCAGTTTTTGTGACGTAGCATTAGAGCTCATGAGCAATCTAGTTCACTGATTATCTTGAAAAGATCCGTTATAGTTGTAACTTAGATTTCTGATTCCTGATCTAATCGACTGTAGTCGCGACTCGCTTTTCAGCGCTCATGCTTGAAGATGTACTTTCTACGAAAACAAAGAGGTCTAGAAAGCTGAAACCTAGCTGCGAATGAACATCAGGACTTCGTGACTTGTCAACCTCCAACAAAACAAACACTGATTACGATAATAAACCTGAAACGATACCTGATGATTGGATTGAATATTGGATTTTGATCACTCACATGTTTTAAGGCATTTAGTTTGTTTTGCTTGAGTCTTCTTCCAATAGGAGACGTGGGCCATGGACGTTCAGCTTATTGAATGTGGTCAGCATATAGACTTTGATCGGGTGCCGCCAGTTGGGGGCATCAGCTTTCCAATTGTGTATTGTTGTAAGTCAAAATATTTGAAGCCTAGTGCTTGTAGTTAAAAGTGTAACTAATAATCATGTTATACTGTTCAAGGGGCCGTTATGTGGTAGCTCATGGCCAAGATAAAAAGTTAAAAATAACAGCGCAAAGGCCGACTCACTAGTGTATTGCTCCATAGAAATTACATCTGTTTGGATAAATCCAATCAGCTACACTCATAATCCGTGAGCCCCAGGAAGGTTGTAGGGTGGTCACAGCTTACTGTGATCAGAGGTAGGCTCTCATAATAATAATTTTCTATATTGCCTGAGCTGCTGGTGAGCGTAAACAGTTTATAAAACCTATTCAGTGGTTGATCCATGTGTGAAGTAGTCGTCGGGCTATGGATTGTACTTGGGCCAGCTTTCAAAGTTGGCTCGCTTCCATAATATTATTGGAACATGAGCTAACAATATCCACGATTTGTGAGTGTACACATGTATTTATTTATATCTTCAACTGCCGCACCACTATAAGATCAAACAACATTGTTGAAAAAGCCTAACGACATTCGATGTACTATTACGAGGCTTTAAACTTCCAATCTTCAAAATTGGATAAGCTTGCCTTACAAGTGCGGCTAGACAGACAGCTTCATGAACTGCATTTCAACATCAAATCACAGCAAAAGCTGCGTAGGTTTAGTAACTGATTAAAGATTCAATATATTTAATTACGCTTGAGAATTCTTATATTGGCGTGCAAGTATAGTGTAAATAGAAGGCATACTAATTAGATATAACCTGCACGTTGTTTTTTTGAGCAGAAAGCTGTTGATATTAATCGAATGTTATAAAAAGAATCATGTATAGTAAAACCATATCAACAATATGATTAAGGTTAATCATCTTAAATAAGAAGCTTTTGAGTTAATTGACTCATAATCAAGCCTTTTGTAGTCGCCTATCTTATTAGCTGGACCTCCAGATCATGCTAGCTTTGTGTTAATATTAATGTTGTGTCAAGAGCTAGATTACTCAGCTATTAACCATTAATGTTCCATACCAGTAACTTCTAGGAGTAAAAAAAACAAGATGCTAATTATAATTACTTATAGTTCAAAGCATACTAATGAGCAACAACGATTTCACTTCATATCTAGAATGCTTTGCTACTGTGATGTATGTTGAACAGTCATAAATCATGATACAAGTTGAGGGCAACTCAGTTTTAAAGAACGGAATGGCTTGTACATAGTAGGCATCATGAGGTTTGTGCGCTACGAATCACGATTAATCTTGAAGAAACGAAGATCAACTTGAATAGAGGCTCATGCTAGTTTTCGGAAATAGATTTACCTCAAATTGCTTGTCTCATCTCTACCTTTTCGGTCAAATTTCAAGGAAAGAAATCAAGCTGTTGGTCATAGTTATTAGGTTGTACCACGAATCCAACAAATTAATTACAAAGTACAACGTTGAAACTAGAAATAATAACGACAACTAAAGAATTCCAAGTAACCTTATTTTGGCTCTTACATGAAGACCCTTTTAACGTAATAAGTAATCATTTGTTTTGATGACGATTGAAGTGTATGATAGTAGCTTTCTATGATCTCATTCGAACACCAAAAAGAAAAAAGGTAGCTAGACTCCAAAGTTCAGACTCAAGTCTTGAGCACCGTCTACCGAGCCTTGCATCAGTGTCCTGCAGCTCTAGGTTTGGGAGAGGGCCAGGACCTTTTCGATCCCAACGTATGCTGGGTTATAATTAGGAGACAGTGAGCCATCACAACTGCTTGAAAAAGCCACCTGATAATGAGTCAATGGATTAATTCCCCAAGCTAAGTCGCAAAAGACCTCTCAGTGCTCTTTGATCTCATAACTTGATTGTTCTTGTGGGAAAAGTGGATTTTCCATTGCGAGTTCTACCTAGGATACTCTCTGTCTGTCCCAAAAATCTTCCTGCACTGGCCTTTTTGTCTCTAGCAAAAAGAAATAAAGCTCCTCTGTAGGCCCGCATGATCCTACAGCACACCATTTTTGTTATGAAGCTCAAATTCAGAACATATATAAGTTCAACATCATCCCAAACTGATCTTTCAACAATATCCTGTCACTGATAAACAACAAGTTGAAACACATATTGTTATCCCCTTATCAATTCAATTCAGTCTATTTCCATTCAATTCTCCTTAGTTTTATTCATTCTCCTCTTGTTATCAAGCTGCTCTTTTAAGTTCCACAACCCATTCAATAATAAACAACATTAGGATTGTTTATTGTCATCTAGTCGTTGTTAACCAATAGCGCGCTTAAGTTTTAGAACAAGTCATTCTACAAGTTTCATCAATTCATAGATGTTTACCACCTTTTCACCGTTACCAAGTCCAATGATCAATAATAACATCAATCAAGAGGTGCCTAAACATTCTCTCCCACCATTATCTCAAATCATCACATCCATGCCTTCATACCAACCTTATCCAACGCCTCAACAACAACAACTCCCAACCCATCAACTCCATCAATCTGGTGTCGCTTCATTTCATCAACCAGAACCTGTGAAGAGGGAAGATTTTTCACCAACAATAGTTCCTCAACAACATCAACAACCAAGAACTGCTGGTCCAGCTTCACCAAAATACTCATCTAAAGTTGTTGACAAATGTACATGTCGTAATGAAGGTAATCACATTCCAAGACCAAGAAATGCTTTTATTTTATTCCGTCAACAGCATCATCAATCGGTTTTAGATGAAGGTAATGTTATTCGTACCAACCCAGATGTCTCTAGAGAATTAGGTAAGAGATGGAGAGATTTATCCCCAGATGAAAAAGATTACTGGAATAAGTTGGCTGAAGAGGAAAAAAAGAGACATGCTGAAAAATACCCAGGTTATAGATACATTCCAAGAAGATTTGGTAAGAAGGGAAGTTGTCCATTCTGTAAGAATAAACAACAAAAGCAACAACAAACTGAACAACAACAATCCACACCACCAACCTCAACTTCAACTACACCTGATGATGTTAGTAAAGCTTCAAGTTCAAGTGAAGAACATGCCATTGCTCAAAGTTTTTTAAGTTTAAGAAACCAACAACCTCATCCAAATTACAATCCCGTTTACTATCAACCTCACCCATTAAATAATCAACCACAACCTGTTCAATTTGTTCCAAATACTTTCCAATCTCCTGTGTTTTATCAACCTCAACATCAACCTCAAATTCCAATTCAAGCCCCAATTCAACCTTTACAACCAGGTAATACAAATAACAGTAACTATACAATCAATAGATTACCTGAATTAAAGAAAGTAAATGTTGGTGTTAAAAAAGAACAATCAGAAGAGTTAGAAAGTCCATCAGATAAATCTAAGATATCATTTGCAAATATTTTAAATTAAGTTATTTAGTATGGACAAGACACCAATGGAATATTGTGATTTTGAAGTGTATGAGTAATATTCTGTTATGAGAAGGGCATTGAAGTCACACGAGAAGAAATATTTGAATAATGAAGAGTTTCGAATTTATGTTTCTTGAAGATGAATTTATGAAGTTTATAGTTTAAGGGGTGCCACTGGTTTTCTTTGTTGATAGGCCTAGTATGTTGTCGTTTGGTTTGAATTTTGTTTTATAGTACTGCTCTATGGGTGATTACTTTGAAGAGTTTGTGTTATTGGGTTTTTATTATTGCATTTGATGAGTTTTTTTGAGTCATAGGTTATTCAGTTTTGTATATGTTTATAATCCAATAGAGAGTTTATGTATTTCTACAAATCGATTGTAAGGTCAAAGTCGTCAGGGGCTGATCGATTGATGTAGGTTTCGAAATTTGTTGAGCAGAATTCAAGATGAAGCTTCAGCAGCTGCACTACGTAATTTTTTAGAGACCAATTATCAATCACTAATACACGCGCTTAAGAACGGCATTAAGAGGATACACTGCATTATTTCAAGAAGGCTGTACTAGAATCTTGGTATTGTTGAACAAATTGAAGGGATTCTTTCGCATTGTGCTGTAGTGCTGGAGGTGAACCAAACGTCGAGGTGCCGGACGAGGTGTTGAGTCCAGTCTTCTGTGTGCACTGTGTATCATTGCTCAAGCCTCATGAGTCTTGACTGCAGTACTAATTTTGACTAGAATGATCGAGTATTACAGCAGATTGCTTTGAAGTCGTTGATTCATATTTCTCAGTGTAGTATCAATCAATTTACAAGATTCGACTGGGATGTTCACTCGGATTCATCGAAAGAGCACTGTAAAATTTGAATGCAGGAATTGCTTCTGTGCACTGTCCTTCTAGCTGGGCTTCGGAGGTATCAAAACGGTTTTCTTGCGTGATGATGAGTTTGATGGAATGAATTAAGCTCCTTCACATCAACTACGAATTCTATCTTAGAGACTCTTCATAGTGTTTTAGGTGCTATTCAAGAGATTTGAAGCATGGCGAGTTTTCAGAAGCATTGATGGATTTAATCGGACTTGTGTTTAATATCGATGGAATATTGAAATTGTATTGGCTGATACTGCGCGCGCGAGAGTAATAATATAGACCGCGCCTAAGTTCATCAATTTAAATATTCAGTGGCCGTGGAATCTATTGATAATACAGAGATAATGGTAACCATTATATTGACAATTGTAGTAGCAGACGCTGTTAATATTTTCGTTACTGGCAAACAATATCATTAATGGTTCCACCCAATTTCATGGAAGCAGGCTGCTTCTACAGATGTCAAGGGAGATTTGATTTATCTGCTGCGTCGAACTTTAATCAGGATATGAAGGGTTTAAAAGAACACATGAAATTGAGAGATTGTGGGAATCGGTACAACTAAGGTCAACCGTTCACTGGAACTCAGCTTCAGAACGACAAGTGTCAATAGTTTTCGTCTGTCTCAAGTACAATTAATTCCAAGCTTCAACGTCATGTTAAGTTGTCGTGATTTGAAAGTCCAAAAAGAGCTACTTCCTGGAGTGCTTAAGCTTAGGAAAGCATATTTGAAATGCCAGTTGTCAAGTGATCCATGAGTGTATTGTCGATGTATCAGAATTTCAGAATGTTCAGCGGTGTAATTGGTTTGACTTTCGACGTTATTGTATTTGATGTGGGCTCCTTTATAGATATTTTATGAAAGAATTGCAAGCTGGTCGACAACAAATAAACTTGATTACGTCGCAGGCAAGCCTTCTAATCTATTGTCTCCATTTCATTCAAGTTATGTTCGATCAACGTGCTAGTGATTACAAATTATGACTACCTAGGCCATATGTGTCTCATGATGGGTTTTGTGAAGTGTATTTTAATCTTGTCTCACCTTGAAAGTCGATACAATGCTAGGTAAATTTGCCCTAGGAATTTAAATTAAGTGTGAAGTTTGAGCTTTACAGAGGTAAATTTGGGACCAGATTGCTGCATGCCACATAATATAATAATACATGTAAAAAGGTAGTTGATATGAACAATGCAATGTTGCTGGTAGTACATCTAGTACTGAACCATTCAAGGAGAGCGACTCCTGGATCTTGGACAGGTGATTATCATCGCCTGACCAAGTCTTGTGTGTTGAAACCTGTTCTGCTGCATGCTCTTCAACGGAGCAAGATGTGATTCAAGTTACAACGTACCCATTTCTTTGTTAACTTCACCATGATCACAATAGCCGTTGAATTCTAGTGATGAATTTGTCCCCCCAATTATTTCCGACTGGGAGATAGTTCCGATAGCTGGACATAAAAATCAAACCTTATGAGACCCAGTTCCGTTGGACACATACAACACTTTAACGAGTCACACCAAGCCATGATTAAATCCAACTTTTCAATAGTAATATTGGGCTGGTGTCTTACATAGTCCTTTGATCAGTTTATTAACTTCAAACTTAGATATTATTACCTGAGGGCCGTGAGTGTGAGTCCAGACAAGTATTGAGCACCAGGGCTGGCTTTTGGGCGCTGAGTCTGCTTCAGGATCTACTCCAGAGGGACAAGTCTCTATCTAGGGATAGAGCTTCTGAATAGAGCCATAAAGTCAAAGAAACCAGAACCTGTACTTGACTCAATACACAGCTGGCTCTAGAGTGCTCACATTTTAAATATTCAGGAGTCAGTCCGACTCACCACTAGGACTCACGCTTTGTTTAAATGAAATTTCTGGCATGCAAACAGTAGCAAATCTCCTTGTATGATCTTGATACCTTTTGCATTGTTGATAATCTTCGGTTAACCAGACTCAAGGCACTGTTTACAACACAGAACCAGATTGTAAAGCACATATGGACGTGAATGTCCTCTGTTGGGTACATGATCTTCTTGTACATACGTTATTACTTTATAGGCCAGCGTATTGGGGTTCAAGCTTTAGCCCCATCAAACCATGAGAAAGCAATTGCTAACCAAACTGCGATCATCATTAGTAATGCGAGATAATTTTACTAGTGTTCTTAAAATCCTCCCTAGTGTACATGTGTCATGTGTCTCTTCTTGCACAGACTATGCTTTGTTGATCCACAGTTGTCTTCAACAATTTATTGAAAGACTACATGTAACTCGAAAACTCATGTATATACATCTCTCGCAGTTCAATTGACCAAGGCATTTGGATTCAGAGATATTGAAGTCTAGTGCCAGTTGTCCATGGAAGTTGAAATTACTAATTTTTCAAATTTCTATCCGAAATAAATGCAGGAATTCGAGTACATCAGGTTTCCTTATGTGTTGAGGATAGTGTTGATTTGATATTCACGAATCACAAGCTGCTTTTAAAGGTTCTCTCAATCTCGTGGGCCTAGTGCTTGAAGATTGCCTGCAGGCTTCAATTAACTGAGGATCTCTCGAACTTGGTTTTAAATCCAATCAGATTTCAGAATTCACCATATTAAAGATTCACAAACGTCATTGCAGAGAAACTTACCTATTGTTCAGCCGTTCATACAACACATGTGACATTTTTACCTTTGATTCTATCAACAGCCGAGGTTTTTTAATTGTGATTCGAATATCGAATTAAGTTTCTACAGCAACCTAATTGGTACATTAGCTCAAGATTCAAGACTTCAAACTAGTCCAAAGTTTGAAAAATCCATGCAGCTTATCAAGAACTGTCAAATAACATATGGGATATGAAGAAAACTGAAATATTTGACCAGAAACCCCTTTAGCTCTCTTTCATGTGATTATTTTCTGTACTTCACACAATACACTAATGATTAGATAGGGTTTTGGCTTCACTCTTAGCGCGCGGTCCTTTCAGATATTTCACCATTCACAATCAATAGTAAAACGAGCACATGAGACGTATCTATTTAACAACGTTTAAATTTCGAGAACACACACTCCTGAGTGCATCTTGTAATTTCAATCCCAGTGTTTACTGGTTAACACTAGTATACCTAGAGCTCTATGTTTCATTTGGCACACTATTAGTTTCAATAAACCAACCCTGATACCACAATCTATCATAATCTAGTTGTTTTCTCCTGCATCATAGAAGTCGTTTTCTCTCTGCACAACTTATTCGATAAAGAATACGACTCCATATCAGCCAATATTGTTAAGAGGTTGAAACATTGTAACACATAGGAAGATTTTCATTTATAATTTGAGAACACCTAATACAATATTCACATATAACGGGATCGTTCATTTTTTTTCGAGGAAAAATTTCCTCCCATACAAATTTTGAAAACGAGTGGCCGTAACACCAAAAGTGCTTCCCGAACCATGGAAATTCTTCAAAAATCAAAGTCGACAAAACAGGTCAAGTTCAAACACGTATAAAACAGCCAGTTTTTGAATTATTTATTAGATATTGTAGATATAGCTTTATAATTGGCCAATTAATATGGCTACCAATTTTCAGAGAGATACCTCCGGTAGTAGTTGTTCTGTAATTTTGTCCAAATTCGACCTCCATAGTTAACTCCTGGCCGAAGACATTTGTCCAAGGTGCGATGAAAGGCCAACTTCAGAAATTGAAGGAAACGAAGCACTTGAAATGGTTCTAAGGCTATATATGTGTTTCAATTGGACTTAGGAACTATTTGGCTCTTCAAGTACTAAAATCTGATGAGTTTTGAATAGTTTTGTGAATTTGTCGCCAAATGGCTTTGGACTTTGGACAACTCCAGTGGGAGATAGAAAATTTCAACTAGACATCTAGAGAGTTGTAGCGCGTTTTACTGAAATATAACCACATCATTACAGATCTATAGCAATGGAGTTATTTAATAGTTCAAAACTATATTTCTACACAAGCGCAGCTAGTAGATGTCTTCTTGCCTTGAGAAACCACGGTATAATACCAGCCTAATGACACGCCATCCAATGGCAGGTTTTTTCACGTTCAGAAAAAAAATACCTACCACAAGAAACACGAACGCCCTATATCAATCATTATAGACCTCCAAATGACACAAC